TATTTACCTATTGTGCTTCCGCCGGTTAATGGGCGGGGGGGCCCCCGGGGGGTGGGATTGGGCTACCCCCCGCCCCCCCCCCCCCCCAACCCCCCCCCCCCCCCCCCCCCCCCCGGAGAAAGGGGCGTGTTACAGCACAGGATTCCCGGGACGGTAGCTAGTGATCCGCATAGACCAGGCTCGACCAGGGTAGGTCGAACTGCGTGCGCCCTGGCCCGATTCTGCTGGTGTTTGTGCGCTCTCCGTCTGTCTGTCTGTCTGCCGGTCGCTCGAGGGACTGTCGACTTTCGACTGTTGACTCTCGACTCTCGACCTTCTCCTCAGACGGTGGACGCCGGACTGGCACGACCTGTGACTGGTGGTGGTGTCATGGTCATCGTCGATGGTCCAGTGGTGGGTTTGGTGATGGCGCGCACATCGTCACTAAGACCTCATGGCCTCACCGCTTTCAAGGATGGAACTGGTGTTGGCAGTCGATGCTGAATAAGATTTACGACCCTGTCTGGGTTTCGCCTTCACACCATGGATAGCCATCCATACCTATACAAGACACACATATCTATCTGCAAACACATGTTCATGATACGCTAGACGCCCATCATACAGTCCACCGACTACCGGTACATCGCACTACCTATGATAGCCATTGGACACGCACAATGGCAGTGACTATTCCCGGATCGTCGTGCGCCCCCGCGGCGGCGGCGGCAGCATCTCGGCCAAGTCGGTGATATTTCTGGAATGTCTGGGTCCGGCTCTAAAGCAGTACTATGTAGGCAGGCTGGGAGTGGTTACACGCAGGGCGCGCTTGTCTCCCACGCCCCGACGATTAATTAATTGCCGGCTCAGCTGAAGGGAAGTGCCTCGAATCCAATTAATATCCAATTGAGCCTGATTGTAAATTTTCCGGAGTCTGGGACGTTCAGTCGCTGGTCGGTGGCCGGACGGGGGAGGGGGAGGGGGGGAACTACCACCCGGATCCCCTAAAAGATGCGATGCAATGCGACGCGGCCTGGCTGGCTGGCTACATGGACCATACATAGAAACTACTACTATACATACATACATAGATACCGTAGGTAGTATATGTTGGGTAGGACGAGACTGTCTTACGTATAGTACTACTACTACTACTTCGTAAATATGTATGTCGTAGTGAGGCGGGAATCGTGTATACTACTTATTGACATCTGTTCACAGTAGCTACTCACGCACAACTAGTCACACCCTAGCGCAATGAAAAATGAGATACCTATCATAGCGAGTCGACTTGAAAAGAAAAGTGCCATCTCAAACCATCAAAAAGACAAATTGGAATTAATTGGAATTAATTGGAATTGTGTCTCCGTGATGTAATACCAACCTATTCCACATGTGATGAAAGATCGGCCATAACAATTTTGCCGGGGGAACTGGTAGGTAGGGGTTACAGGGGGGGCCAGCGGGGGCTAATGGGGCTACTGTACCTAAGTAAGCTAGGTAGGTAGCTGTGTGCACTGGAACACCCCGCATAATTACTTGTACAGGGCTCTGACTGAGGCCTGTTAGAAGGTCCTGTACAGGGGCAGCGCTTACATACAGTACATACCTACTGTAGGTAGACTAAGGTACAGTGAGGTGCAGTGGTGTGGTCTGACCTACATACCTAGCACTAACACACTCACTACCGCCTGCCCTAGCCAATGCCCTAGCCAATGCCCTAGCCAATGCCCTAGCCTACCTCTGGCCTACCAAGACCAAGACTTGCCCAAGATAGACAAATAAATATTTACTTGGGTATGTATATTCTAGGGAAATAGTGCGACGAGAAAGAGAGAGAGAGAGAGAGAGAGACACTCACACATATCATTGTGCCATTGGGCAGTCGAGAGAGGCACGTATATACGTGTGCATATATATATATAGGTATACCTACCGGTATATGTGTGTGTGTGTGTGTGTGTGTGTGTGTGTGTATGTATGTATCAGGCATCTTACATAGGATTGGTTCTACCTGATCTGTCCATTTGCCATGGGTCGTCGTTCCATTGGGTCTTGTGATGCGATGCACTTGGAGCCGCTGAAGTCATTCACTCAACCCAGGCAAAAAGATACGTATACATGCCAAGTGGGCAAGGAAGAATGCATGTATGTAAGTAGGTATTTATCCTTGTAACATTGGTATTGGCCTTCGCATCTGGGCAATCCACACGCGATGCACAATACTTACAGTACGGTGCCTAGTACAATGCCAACCGGCAAGTCAAGTATGTGTCTGGGCTGATCTGGGGTCTGGGTTAACTGCCACCGAACGAATAAGCCAAGCAAGGTCCATTCATCCTGTGACAAGGGGACCGCCCACGTCTACTGTGCACAGTAGAGTAGGTAGGTAGGTATGACAATAATTCGGCGGGAGCGTGTGGTGTAGCGGGCGGTACCCCATCTTGGCCCGAGGACTTGTGCCTACATTGTGCGGCACAGCAGAAGGATTCGTGGATAATCGTGGATAATATACGTAAGTACCATGTAAGTAAAGTAGGTATGCACAGTAGTAGCCGTGTGGCGCAAGGAAGTGAGAGTCTGGGAGAGGGAGAGAGAGAGAGACGACGAGACTCGGCTCGCCTTGACGCCGGTACTTGGAGATATGCATTCCTTACCTGACGCCGACGGATAGATGCTACCTGTGATGCTACATACATGTTCTTACATGAGTACTTACTTACACAAAATATATACATCTATCTCACACTTGTCTTCTGTTGTCATGTGTTGTCTTTGGTATCATAGTGTATACTATGTAATGTACCAGTATAATGTACTGTAAGTATGCAACCAAGTCTGTCGACGGAGACGGAGAAGGGAGAAGGGAGAAGAGAGAAGAGTATACCCACCCGTCGTCGTCGCCGTGGTGTCGGCTGACGTTCCCTTCCCATGTCTCTGCCAAGCCAGGAACTGAAATCAAGTACCCTATACCTTCAAGCAGCTGTGCTTCGCCACCTATCGTCGGGTACCCCAATACCCGTATTCGCATCCTCTCTCTTCCTTAACTAACTAACTAACTACTATGTAACTAGGTAATATGTGCCTAGATGCAAGACATCAATCATCTACACACTAGGCACGGTATTAGGAAGACATGTAGGTATGTGTTTGACCTTACGGCGTGTTGCCCCCATGTACAAGCCTATACACACTCGAGACATTTCACATCATTCAGCTTAAGATTCTCAAGACATGATATATCCCAGTCCATGGCCCAACCATCACAACCCCTTCTCCATCTCATCCCATCTCCATACTGATACCCTGCCCAGATACTCTACACGGCGCTACGCTCTTGTAGCCCTTTAGCCTCTTTGATCTACTATTTGATCGACTCGTCCTACCAGAGCTTACCATTACCAGTCGATATCACACTAATATTCCTTCTCGGTTCGGTCGTGGCCATTTGAGACCCCTCTAGATCCCCAGATCCTTTTAAGATTCCTTAGGTCCCCTTCCTAATCCTACAATATCTATATCCCACTTCAGATCCCGTCTCAACTTCAACTTCACGCTCGCCTTACTACACACCTCTCCAACAGGACCCTGCATAAATACAAATACCAGCCCTGCCGTTTACTGTTGCATAGTCCCTCCAGAAACACTATAAACTTACAATAACAACATCGCTACTATCATGCATTTACTCGATCTTCCTCTCGAGTTGCTCGACCACATCTTCTCCTATGCCGTCGAGGATAGGATATTCAAGCGTGTCATGAGGCTTCGCCTCGTAAGCCGTCAGTGTCGCTGCCTCTCATACTACCAATGTCCATTCTTGTCGACTAACAAATTCTATAGGCCACTTCAGATGTTTGACTGATGAAGCCGTATATAGCTCGCGGATGTTGGATGATGTGGCCTTTGATTCCGAAGCTAGTATGAACTGTGCGGAACAGCACGACTCACCATGGACGCTGTACCTCCGCACATACTTGGGCCGGCGGATATACCAGGAACGCAATGCCAAAACAATGCGAGGACAGTACAGACAGGTGGCTGAATATTTATGGGTGACGGGCAGCAAGATTTTCCCCGGTCTGACCTTAGAAGACTGCATCTACGACCTATCAGCCGTCACGTTCTTCATCAATTCTTCATTGGAGACATCAGCCCTATTAAAGTCAACATCGTCCAAAGACTCATTCAGCCAGCCTCAACTTGCTACATTATTTCTCAATGCCGTGGTATACATGGGTTTAGAGCCGTTCGCCAGGGCCCTCATATCTGAAGACCCAAATGACTACTGGCAATGTCCCAGCGTTGCCGCAAGCAACAAACCCAGCTTTCGCCGACTTATCGAGATGGCCTCTTATCGTGGACATTTGGGGTTGGTAGAGCATCTTGTCCAGGTCGAGAAGAACATGACGCATAGGACTTATTCCCTCATGAGCGCTAGCACTGCTTCGACTATTCTACGACATGCCTCTATCGGCGGCCACGAGGATGTCGTCGAGTACGCTCTGAACAACAGCAATCTTTTCAACGAACATCTCGCTTCAACCACACGGCGGAACCTAAGCACGGCGCTCAGCTACACTGACTCACCAGACATTTACACCAGACTAGAAACCATCATGAAGCACGGCTCAGACCCCTTTGAGACATCGACACGCGATGACGTCTACGCACGACTGGACCTCGCCGCACGCCACGGCAACACGGAAATGGTCCGCTATTTACTGAGACAGGATTTATGTCTGAACCAACCCGGCGCTCATATCAACTCGGTACCCGTGCCCCACAAGCCAGGGTGCGACGATTCCGTCAAGAGCCGATCTGACTTCCGCCCTCTCATCAGCGCCATCGAGAGCGGCAACGTAGAAACCGTCGAATTACTATTATGGCACGGCGCAGATCCCAATTGGTTCCCGTCGACGCGGACGGCGCTCATGGCGGCCGTGCACAAGGGGGATCTGGCCATTGTGCGCACGCTCGTCGAGTACGGTGCAGACATCAACGTCGGCACGCCGGCCCCCGTCGTCATCGCCGTGCAACAGGAGAACGAAGAGATTATCTCCTACCTCGATTCTAAGGGCGCTCTCCGCGAGCCCGAGGTCGGCGCCTGGGCCATGTCTTACGCGAAAGTGTTCGGCCTCGACACCATGGTCGACTTACTAAAGGAGCGGGGCTTCGACGCCAACGACGCCCTGCACCACACACCCTCTAGCGAAGAGGATGAACACGGGCGCTATCTATTCCGGGGCGAGCACTACGGGTTAGGGGCATTGGAGTTATGCTGCAAGCCATCGTTCTAGTCATTCTGGTGAATTTCAGGAGGGGAGTTTACGGGGTCTCTGGATTTATCGGTTCTGGTGTTTACTTTCATTTACAAGCGGCATATACCATTTTTCTATTTTTACTGTCTATCTAGCATTCATACTACGCTATGAGGGCGTTTTTTGTTTTGTACTGCATTTGTTCATACTCATCCATCATGAAAAATACCTTTTCCTTATCATCACCAATCAACAAGCTACACAGATTAGTTAGCTAGCTCGGCGTATTCGCCACGCAACACCAAGAAAGAAATCCTTGGGAATACACGAATGGATGAATACGCATCCATTATCATGATATCTAACGCTCCGGCAAGAATTTTTTTTTTCTTGGTGATTTTTATAGCGCTGTCTTCCGGCAGGCAATTCTTGGTGAACTATACAACCCTAAAGAAATCCTCCCTGATCCTCCCTGATCCTCCTTGCACTCCGGCTGGCGATTATTGAAGACGGAGGCAAAAAAAAGGTGAAAAAGTGTTCGCTCTAGTGTAAAATCTATAGATAATGTCTATCTTAGTCTATACCACCGGACCGTGCTCTCGCTGGCAGGCAGGCATTCCTTCGTGAACTATACTATGTAGTAGCATTCCTCCCGAATCCTATCTAAGTAAGTAATCCATCCCGTCGTCAATTGATACAGAAGTTGAAGAATTGAAGGAAGGGGCTAAAGTACTGTAGACACACTACCCGACATAGTGCTAGGTATTCGTTAGCAGCATTCCTCCCCGCTAGTTCTTGCTGATAGTAGTTAGATGCCGCTGGCGAAATCGCCACCGGAGGACATTCTTCAAGAGGATTTGGCAGGACTTGATATCGATAAGCTAGGTTGGCTGTTCAGGGTCCAGAACCGGCCGGCAACTCTTTCAACTTCGCTCGCTTGCTTCCTTCGCTTCTCCTTCGAGCTGTATGGTAGATAGAAGGAGGATGAGATGCGTACCCTGAGGAACTAGAGGCATTTTCTCGAGCAAACACACTAAGTAAGTTAGCCAAGGAAGTGAGATTTTGGTGTTGTGGTACAGTGCAAGCGCTCGTTAATAGTATCCTCGAAGTACATAGTAGTGTAGAATCTAGATAGTGAAAAAGGCAGACCAAATGCTACATAGTGGGCTAAGGTAGCAATAGGATAGGAATCCATGTTGTCGGGAATCCCCTATTCTTGGCGCTTATGTTATCCCGGTAACAAGATTACTTTTTGCGCGTCTCATGGACTAGCAAAACCAATCTGTTTATCTAGGTATCTGTCTATCACTATCAGCACTACTAGTCTCTGCTTACTTACGAGTTGGCTATTCACCGGCACTGACCGGGTATTGTCTAATTGTATATGTACATTGGGGGTTAGATGTACACTGTATATAATGTTGCCATCGAAAACGAGGATTGACTGGGAACAAGAGCCATCACATATCAGTCCCGTGTCGGTGATTGATGTAACAACAGGAAGATGAAGCTGGAGCATCTCGGCCGAACCATACCATCAAGTCGGGTTATGAGTATCAGTTGGTTAGTTAGTCACATCCAGCGATCCGAGCCCCTCATCCTCATTGGTCGCATAGAACACAGCCAGTTCCCCTCCCGATTCAGCTGAGCGAGCGAGCAGGTTCTCACTTCTTCATCTCGAACCAAGTACACGAGCTAATGCCACACAACACTAGACTGTGTTCGTGGCTTTCGGTGCAAGTATGATACTGTGCAGGAACCCCATTCCCGGAACGATTAGAACCGCAGAAACGGGACGCCGTGGCGCGTCGCGTTCGACAAGGCTACCTAGACATAGGAATCCTGGAGTGTACTATATGATATGATCTTGACAGCGATACTAATACATGAACGACTAGTGTGTATTGTGAGAGTGTATAGCGGTAAGATCCCCCCACCTCTATAAGCAACTTCTTACCTTCACCTTGCTTACCTTACACTATGTTCTCGAGGCGGTCAACATGATATCAACTAGTAGTAGAACTGCGTCGACCATACCTAGTTTGCTTTAAATTTGACTTCTCTAGTCGTTGTGAATGACTACGCATGTCTGCAAGTATGTTCAGCAGGTGGATATGATATCTTGGTACGGAGTGCCATCTCCAGCCCATTGGTCATACGCCCCATCTACGGCTATCAGTGCTGAGAAGCCTGACCGCTCATGAATAGGTGAAGTACGGTATCTGGAGGTAGGGTAAATAGGTATGTACAGACAACAAGGTGACAAGACAAGGTGAGATGGCCTGGATGGATGGATGAATGTCAGTGGCGTCACGTGTGTCACCTGAGTCCCAATAATGGCGCCCGAAAGAGTTCCGTATCTAGCATGATGGTCGCACCACACTGTACGGACCACAGCTGTGAGGGGAAGGGATATGTGATGTCCAGGAGCAATCTTTCCAGCGAGGCCTCTTCGGAACGGAACTTTCTGGGATTTGAAGGCGGATAAAATATTACTAGGTATGCTTCTATGTCATCTGTGTATCTGAGGAGATCCCTCAGCTTAGCATCCTAGCTCAAGCATGGTTAACCTACTCGGCCGATTACGAGAGGAGCTGAATATGGATACAACTTTCTTTTTAAGGCCGGATCAAATCTTACCTGTCAGAGAGCGCGTGAAGTTCTCTAAGGTATTGCTCGTGTATACCGTGTGCGTGTGCCATGTAGGTAAATGTAGACATTGCCTATCACCATGTTACTAGCGGAGTATTGGCCGCGTCGTTCTATCCCGAGACAAAATGCTACATGGCTTCTTTGTAAGGCGGCATCGAATCAATTGGCTCTGCAAGCTATCTGTATCACTTTATGCATATAAATGTTGAGTGCCGGTGTGGAAGCCGTTAGGGTTGGCAAAGTCGGCACCCTGGGTCAAATTCCCTGCCTTCATCAACTAAGTTCCTAGTTTTCCAACATAGATAAAATAATTATCAGATAACAAATAGAATTGAATAGTCAAGTCAAGCCACCGAGGCCATGAAGGAACTGGTTGGCTAAGTACCTTTGCAGCCATAGTAGATCATTGTATTGTGAATAACATCAAGTTTCAAGCCGAGATCTCTGCCCTTGTGACATTATCTTATTTCCTGCTATCAGAGCTGTCCCAGTATATAAACTGTAGCCCACATATATCAAAACGTAAAGAACTTCCACCTTTCCCCTCTTACTCTTTTTCGATTTCCGATTTGGGCTCGAACGTCAATATGAACCCGTGTAGCCACTCTCTGTAGACCCGAAGGCCCTTCGCAGATACCACGCGCCTTCTATCACCATAGATTGTATATGTTCTGTAACGCTCATTTAATATCATCCTCAGAAGGCAAGCTGAGCTTAATCAGCCCGAAGTAATATTCCGGGACTTCGGGATACTTTTGATAAGACTTGCACCAGCTTTCGCTCACTGACTTCTGTAAATGGGGGCTCAAATCCCTTTCCGCGGTTTCCGGTTTCTCTTGTTGTAAGTTACCGGAGTTTTTCAGTTGCTGTTGGGATATTTCGAAATCCTCCGATATGAAGCTTTGCGCATGACTTCGGACCTAATCCTGACGCTGGGCGTAGGCCGAGCCTACCGCTCTATCTTGTGCCTGCATAACCGCTGCCTCCAAATGCCTCGCTTCACAATCGCAGGCCGTGATTGCTGGGGCGTGGCATATGGCGCGATCCGGGTCCATTCTTATATGATCACGCTTTTTCACGGCGTCCCGGTTGCCCCACCGGACTGATGATGCTGGTGATGATCCCCGCTCGCCGGGAATGGACCCCAATTCGCGAAGTCCTTCTTCAAACTGGACCTGGTGGTTTAATCGACCATAGCTAATAGAATTGTCTGAATCTGTATTTTCGGAAGGTTCCGAGACAAAGGTTTCCCTCTCCGTTTCGTTAACATCAGAGTGCCAATCGATGTTCTTATCAACCTTATCTCTTATTGTGCTTCTAGTTTCTGGTAGTGATATCGCTAGGCTGCTCTCCTCGCTTCCTGACTCGCATGGTTATTCAGCGTCGTCTTCGTAGCTAGGAAGAGACCTGATGGCGAGACAGCGCATATGTCCCGCAAAATGATGTTCTATATTGCCATCAGAGTCCTTGATCCCACACAGTGGACAGGATTTGAATATAGGCCCAAATTCCCGGCCATTTCTGTCAGCAAGGACCGCGAGTTGGGTATCTGTAAACTTTCCAGTGTGAGCTGTTTTCATGTGGGTGAGGTATTCGTCCCTTGTAGCACAGACAAATAAGTGCAGCGCTATCTACGGGCATGTTCCCCCATGTGTTTAAGCCAGGTATGACTATGGCTGTATACCTCTTCAGGCGAGTCGCATTCCTGGAACATGCAAACGTATGGATCAAGATCATTCATAACGTGTAAGCTATCAAGATTAGTATTTTGCTCCATCAATATGATATGGTCAATAAGTTGTAATTATTTAGGTCATGACGTACCTCCACTTCTTCTCGTCTACCACTTCCTCTACTGGCAAAGCGTGGAAGCAATAAGGGCATGATATTTCAGGCACTGACCGAAGACATTCGCTCCAATCGTTTGCTAACGCTGCTTTGTACTTCGCCTCCACGGCCCGGCACGATTTGGAGAAGAGAGATGACCGGTGGGAGCCACTTGGCTCCGTCTGCCGCGGTATTAACTCTAAGTCACTCTTGTATTGTTTCTTTCGCTCTTGCTTGAGCTTTTTGTACATCTGTTTTAGTCTCAAATAAGGAGCAGGAGGGAACCGAATCTCCTCGTGATTGTTGAGTGCCACGGGCTTTGATACCGATACCACCGATGGAGTCGAGGCTCTCTGAAAACTTTCTGGCGACAAAGTCGTAGCAGTCTGAACCGCTGATCGCGCTGGGATTTGAGGGACTATTGTGACTTCTCCACACTTCACAGGCTCTCCACGGATTTGAATTGCGGCCCATTTCTGCAGGAATTGCGGTATTTATTTTGCGTTATGTGAGGGTACATCTGCCCGAAAAGGCTGATGCATTGAATAGCTTGAAAAGGATGGAAACAATGTTGAAAAGGTTGCGGAAAAGGGGTCTATGAATAAGCCTCGGGATGGCTATCATTTTATTGACGTGAGTGTATATAAGGATAGTCTATTTGAGAAAGACAAAGAGTACATCGATTACATAATTAAGGACCTCATGAGCAGTTAGCATAAACAAACGCGGCAAATATATTATGTTATCAACGTATATAATTTATGTGCACCACACAAAACCAAGAGCTGCATAAACGCCTACTCAAGAGTGTCTGGTGGACCACCCTGAATTCCTGGAATAGCACAAAGTACTACCTCGTTGCCCTCCGTTAACTCTTTCTTAGAGAATCCTTCAAGTTCATCCTCCATGTCTTCCTCTTGCTCTATAATACTCAACTCAGACCCATCCCTCTTCTCAGTCACGCTTTCTAGCATTGCACCTTTCTTGTACTCCTCCTCTTTTCTCACTACACCCGTCTTCCTCTCTACCAGTACCCTCCGTACTCGAAATGCAAAAATGAAATCACTGCTCCCTTCCCAAGATGCATGGTCCTTACTACCTATATTTCTACCGGCTTCAATGCCACCGGCAATAGGGACCCCGGCCCATGACGTTGCATCGGCCCCAGCACTTACACCTCCGTCAACAGTCTTTGTCTTCAACGACTGGACCGTCACGCCCTTCGCAATCTTAAGGCTTGTGATGATATATACTGGCTTGCGGTAGCGAAACTTTTCCAAGTAGCGTCGTACAGGTTCCGTTGAAATGCAGTCCTGGATATACCCAGGTTCTGGAAAGAATTGAGAGGTATTCGTACTTTCAAACGTGAAGCATGACGAGTCACTATCCGAAAGGAATGGGAAAATCAGCTTACACGTTATCATAAAACCTCAATGTCCAAATGAGACATGATTACGTACTTCATCTCCCAGCCCACCGTCACGTCAACGCCAACGCCAAGACCAAGTACTACATTTAAGAACCTTGTAAATATCCCAAACTTACCCCCAGAGAACCTTTCCGTCGAGAAAATGACTTGCTTTTGCGTCGTGGAGAAGGCGGTCGAATCGTCCAGCTTCGGAGCCTTGTAGAGTGGTCGCTCAGGCGTTTTGACACAGGTGATAATGTTACCCAGTTGGATAGGCCCCGACGGCGAGTATAGATAACCCTACGTAGGCGCGAGGAAGAAGTAAGCAGTGCGATTCGCCATTGAAAACGTTTTGATATCGTACGATTGGAGATTCTACATAGTATACTACGGTATAGCCAAGTACGCCTGATTGTTGCTGCCTCAGCATAGTAGCGGGGTCTGGATGCCTAGACAGAGGTATGACGAGGCAGGGCAGAGAGCTGTTGTGTAATCTTACTTACCAATGTGCTGATTATGGAAGATTCATGCTCACTCGAGTGTCTGTGTTGTTGAACCTTTGACTGTGGCGGTTTATACTAAAAGAATCTTAATAAAAATTGGCAAAATCGTAGGGTTATAGATCAAGAGACTCGCTGTCTATAGCCCTAGCTTACACCTAGCAGGTTTACGTATCAGAACTAAGACTCTAGATTCCCAGAATAGAATTCATGTTACGGAGCAGCAGATACGGAGCGGCAGAACTCTCGCGCAGTAGGCGCTGAATGAAGTCCAGGCGAGATTGGAAGTTATCCTTGTTCTTGGTCTTTCTGGGATAGCAATATTTTCGTTCCTCCCAAGGGAGACAACAGCGAAAATGACGGCAGGTACAAGAGGGGTGAAGTCTCATCCTTTAAGCCTCCTCCAAGGACAGGCAGCACCACGTGAATACTTTACATCCCTCCAACGAGTTATCCGGGGAGCTAATTCGAATAAGATGTCAATTTCAACAGACTGGCGTTCCAGCTACTAAGTTTAGTGGTCTCCAAGATGGATGGTTTGATTCCTGAGTTGAAATCGACAGACACTCGCCTCTGGAATGCCATGTCGGCCTATATAACCATGAGCCCTAGTCACTACCCTGTAGAGGCTAGACACTTGACCGATCAAAATCCAGAAGGCGGCTATGTAAACGAACTTTGAATTGAGGAAGTTTCAAAGAAGGAGCGGCATGATCTGTCGACCGATATCCCTTGATCCGATCAACTTGCAGTCCAAGAAAATCAAACCCCTTAGTACTTCTCGAATCTCCACAGCCATCATGATCTCCGATCTAGCTAGGAATTCTGAATATGGAAGATACGCTTGAATAACCCCACGCCAGAATGTACCCAAGAACTTGAACCCTGCATCGCAACCAAATGTGCGTGGTAGCCTTTCTCCAGCTCACCTAGATTCAGATAATCAGGTCCCGTTGGTAGCTATTCGTTACTGAAGTCAGCTCTTGCCTTCAGGGTCTTTGTTGAGACGTACCCAATGATCGTAAGTCACGAGGTCGGCACCATCAGGTCCGGAAGAAGCCTTATACTTAACAACCCACTCGCCTCTTGCACTTGCATAATCGACTGTTGAGCCCGAGTTGGGGTTCTCTGTGCGATTGGCATCCCCGTAGCTAGCTACCCACTGAGCTCTATTGTTATTGTCATCGACAGTCGGGGAATTCTCATTCCCTGTCTTGTTGGCATCTCCGTAGCTAGCCACCCACTGGGCTCTGTTGTTGTTGTCATCAACGGTCGGAGAATCTAGTGATCTATCGTTGGTTTTGTCGTATGGGAGGGCTCTTGTGCCTGCCTCATCCACGGTTGGGGCCAGCTCATCGGCTAGCCCACGGACACGGCTAGTCCCAACTTCCTTGTAAAACATCAGCGTAGATTCTTGGGGTATTGGACTGAAATACTAACAGCCTGACTTAGAGGAGGGGCGAGCGCCAATGATGACGCGCCTACGAGAAAGGTAGTAAGGGAAATGATAGCCTTCATCTTTGATGCTTTCTCATGAGTTTTTTTGGCCTGTGCACTTGCTGTCTTGGGTGTCAGAAGAGAAAATACGGATGAGTAGGAAAACTAGAGGTAGGATTATCCATATGCCTTCCAGTTTACGGAGTTGAATATTTAAGTTGCCCTCCCACTCATATCCCCAGTTATGCAGATACAAGAATGCCAGAACGATTGGTCGATTGACCAAACCCCTTTCTACACGGCGATTGGCGATCCGGCTTGTTATCTCAGCGTGTAATATGATGCCGGTGAACCCTACGACAACCAGTCGCACCGTGCAACTATCTCCAGTCGTCCGATGAGTCGTACAGAATATAGGTGCTTCATTGGAGAATCTAGGGTCCTTAATCTCTCGCTATTAGATTGGGACCTAAATCCAGGTTTATAGCTATGAAGGGCCCTGAATACCCTTACTGCCTTGAAGACATCTGGTAGTTACAGTATAATAAGAGTCACACCCTCCCCTATCTAGTGATCCCTGACACTTGCTTTCAAATAGATTTCACGGCATTTTATTACCTTTTATTTCACCCTGTGTCAGTAGTCGGTGCCTAAGATGTCGAACACGGTTAGCAGCAGTGGCCAATATGTGCGCCTTAGGCACATTCCTTCTTATTCCACGCCCCCAGAGATCAATCGTTCTATTCAGGATGATGTTGATTGTGAGCGTCCGCTTCGACCAAGACGCAAGCTACGAGGGCGCGTGGTACTCACTATATCGCTGATACTAAACATCGTCACGGTGTGCATTCTACTATTCTCGACGTCACCGGACTATGAGACGCTTACCTACTGTGGGTATCTCCAAGCCTGAACACGTAAAATATACCTAGGCTGATAAGGTTGATAGCTCCAGCAATGAAGGCATCACAGGTCGAGCAGGTTGTTTTCTCGAGTGCTTTTGGTATTGAACGTTCTCCCTTCCAAGGAGAACCTTCAGACGCCAACGACAAACTGTGGGCCGGTCTTTACGACTGTAAGTATGATTTCCAAAGACAGAATTCTTGGCTAATACTTGAGAAGTCGGTATCACGCGTATAAGCACGGAAGAAGCTCGGCCAATGGTAAATAAAACGCTCCCAGTCGCGGACGGTCAGGGGGGCTACATAATTCAACTGGCCGTATTCCATCAGCTGCATTGTTTGGTAAGTATGTATGAGAAATGAAGCGGGCAGATCGCGCTGACACTGACGAGAATATGCTACGAAAGGGCATATACCACGGCATTGACATGTCCAACACCGATGACTTGATGGGAATTGAGCACATGGACCATTGCATTGACATGCTTCGTCAGAGCATTATGGTGAGTTATTATAACCGCTGTCACCGCATTAATAGACAATCAACTCCCAGACTGACCCTTTTACAGTGCCAGAGTGATATTTCACCTACCACGTTCACTCGCACTTCTCTTGGGAAACCCATGCAAGTGGTTGCGGAGGTTGCTCACACTTGTCGAAGTTTCTCTAAGATACAGCAATGGGCATGGAATAGGCGGATTAAGGGGGAGCTGGACAAGAACACCGTGGTAACTGATGACCCGTTGGGATGGGGTACCTACACGTACTCACCCTAGTTTAGGCGTGACTGAGAATAGCAAACACACTACCACAACTATATTCCCCATTAAGGATCTGCAGACTAAGCTATTCTATGTTACATGTACAACTACAATGGGATTATGTGTGATGTGATCGGACTGGTTGTAGTGGCTCGCGTCCTGAGTGGATTACACATCATGCTGAGACTGATTTCTGTTGTCCTGCATGACCAGCAGATGGAATGTATTGTATTACAGGAGGATTGGGTGATAGACCGCTCGTGCCATGTATTCTTTTGGGTAATTGTTATACACATCACATTGAATCACGCAATATCCCGGACAATCACCTCGCAGTCAACGCGATGAAACAAAGCTATATGTGTCATTCAATCTGTCTGTAATCTAGTGCTGAACTAGGCTTGATTTCATGGCACGAAACCTAAATCTGAATCGTGACGATTCACCCAATCCGTGATATCCGCGAAGTTTCGGCACTTATGAGTCGTCGATACTCGGGCAACCGGTTGTCGTTGGCCGACATCAGTGTAAAAGATGAGACCAATGTCTGCATTGCACATGAGTACCTGGCGCAGAAGGTCTATACAGTGGTCTTTCATTCTATTAGAATAGTGCACGGTAACTGGAAGTGACAACCTACCGACATGTTCCCACACCAGACCAGGGGGATCTTGGAATGTATCAACGTGTTGGTACTGATCTCGAAAAATGAATTTGCGAGTGATATCCAAACAGTGGAGTTGGTGGTATACCTCCACTGTAGCATAAAAGTGACCATCAATGCCTTTAGTAGGCTTTGACGTTGGATCAAAGGCTTGCAACGTCTCGTTATTCACGAGAATCATGGGTACTATTGAAGCGATTAGTAGGAGACAAGAGAATTGCATTCCGGCGCATCGGATAAAATCGTACGATCAACTAGTCTATCCCAAGCATCGTCGAGCTCTTGTCTAGGGGGTCCTTTGAAGACGGAGGGCTGTCCTAGTTCGGCGTCAAATCTCATGGGTCTGAACTTCGCTACATCCAGAAGAGGGTCTAATCGTAATCGGTGAGTGTTCTCGATAGAAGCTATGAATGGGGACAATCTTACAACTATCATGCAAAGCCCTAGGATACCCGCGATCGTCTTGGATTAACGAGACATTGGAACAGGAGCTTAGGCGCTCTGCTGCCCAGTAGTTCAACAGTAATGCGAGTAATAAGAGCCCGGCATTCAAACAACCACAGATGCATGACCAGTGAAGCCCATTTGCACAGCTTCGAACAGGGCGTATGTCTTTCATCGTGATAGACATGAGTGGAAAGGAGAATTCAAGGACCCCTCGATGTAAATACTCTGTTCTCGCCATTTTAAGAACGCTCTTCGCCTGAGCTAAAATATCCTGTGCACGGCAGTATACACAACGCTATGGGTGATTAATGTGTGGCCCGCATGATATCATAGTATCTAGACTACCATATGTGCATCAGTTATTGGCCCTTTACCGGATTGAAAGAGGAAATACTAGGGTGACAGACCCTTCAGTGCCACCATCTATAGATAACGGAGCTTCAGGACGGGAATCAGAGTGTCACGATCACGATGCCCTAAAACAAAGAGATCTGCTGAGCGGACAAGATGTTAGTACGTACTGATGCCGAGAAGGCGAGCACAATTGGGCTCTAATTGGTCTTGTCTCATCAGGTCTGGCTTTGTGAGATTGCTGTTAACGAAGTCAATATTCCTCTCTCACCAGGTTGAATGTTGATTAATTACCTTATCGCCGCTAATATACTGTTATATAACTATGCCTTCTATTTTGTCACTACCTCGAAGAGGATAGCACATGCCTCGTGTTCTGATAATTTGTCCCAACGATTTTCAGCGTGACTGAAGTTATCTGTTCGGTTGCAGATATGTTCAATTTCCGTGATGCTTCCAACTGAAGCTGTTAATGTCGCCGCATCATCGCCTGAATCCCAGCCAGGAGCATCTGAGTATGCACCATCATATAGAGAGACCACTCCTGATTGTATTGCTCAATATTTCTATTCTCTTATGGATATCTGCTAAATTTCGGTGGCGGATTATATGTAAAATGTATAGTAAGTCGTCTTAGCCCGAGCTCTATAGCCTCTCAGAACTGCATCTGCGCAATCACTTCTTCTGAGTTGAGAAAGGCGCACCGCTCACTCAGTCGTTGCGTCGCGACCTCGGGTATCGCCTCTGGCCCTTCCCATGCCGACAGACCCTCGTGCGGCCCACCCGCCACGAAAACCCTCCATGAGGCGTTCTTCCCAACAGGAGAGGCAGACTCCCATCCAACAAATGTCTCGTGGCCTTCGAGTGACGGCCGGCCTAGGGTCGCAAACGTGCTCCACGAGCGAGATCCGCGGCGCGCAAGCGCGTAGTCTCGCGAAGAGGGGTTGAATGGGTACCCTTGCGCCGATTTATTGTAGCGGTCGACATCGCCGAATACGTATTCCAGGTCCGAGGTGTGGAAGACGCCAACCCCAGGAAGCCCGGCGGACGCATACGCAGGTTCGAGGAGCGTCTGATTCCATTCGAACAGGTAGACGCTCTCCGGGTTCTTGGCGGCAATGGCCGCTCCAAAGCCCTGCGGCATGCACACCATGAAAATGTCCCTCCAAATCCGCGCGGTGCGGAAGAACTCGGCGCTTAGGCCGGCGGCCACATCCGCGCTGAAATCGGTGGATGGGTAGAGCGTTAACAAACCGTCAAGCGTGGTACTGTTCATGGCCGGCAAGTACGCTCCAATGAAAGCGCGTGTATCGTCAGGGGTAGAAATAGAGCGGTCCGTAAACAAATTCAGGTCATCCTGGCACCAGCCGATGATAGCATTAATATTCTCCGCGAACCGGCTCTCGCGGATCAGTGTCGACGGCGCGGCAGGCAGGAAGTCGTCGTCCACAGTCGGCAGCCAGATATCGCCGATATTATCGGATATATCAGACTGGAAGGTCGCCTCGGCGGCCTCGAGCATAGCTTGTGTGTCGAGCTCTCGTAAACACGCGACCTCGTCTTCCGAAGAAGAACCGTCGCATCCCGCGTAGGCCACAACACGGGCCCATGCATCGGACGTGAAGTTCCCAGTGATTCCTGGCTCAAGCGCCTGGCTCTCACATATAGCGCGCTGGAAGGGCACCTCCCGCGCACCGCCATAGGCAAGCATCTGCATCCCGACCGCCAGTCCGCCAGATGACTGGCCAAAGATAGTAACGCGCGATGGGTCGCCGCCGAAGTTCGCGACATTAGCTTGTAACCACTCGAGAGCGAGGCGCTGATCACGTAGGCCGGCGTTAGTAGAGCCCTCGACACGCAGGGCGTCCGAGACGCCGAAACCGAAGACTGCAGTGGTCGTGTCAGCACTCCTGAGTCTTTGATCTTGAGGAGGAAAATAAGGAGTAGGCAGAGAAGAGTAAGAAAATGCAAAACGCACCACCCAGACGGTAGTTAATATTAACTTCAATAACAGGCAGCCCATTCGCAACGGACTCACGCACGAGTGCGTCGGGCGCGTAGCGCAAATCGTTATTGAATCCTAGCCAGAAGCCGCCGCCATAGATAAACACCATGACGGGGAGTGCGTCGCCCGCCTGCGCCCCCGCGGGGCGCGCGATGTTGAGGTTGAGGCAGTCCTCCGACGTATCGTTCACGCTGGATAGCGCGTTCGGCCCTGACAACGCGTTCAGGGTCTGCGGGCAAGCATGGCCCGGGGTCTGCGCGACAACGGTGCTGTTAGCTGGAGCAGAGTATGGGACTGGGGGCCGGAACCGATTTGCTCCGCCCGTGTTCTCTGCAAAGGGAATGTTCAAAAAGACCTCGATCCCATTGCGCTGGAGGCCCAGGTAAGTGACACCGCGGGAAGCGTCAAAGGCCGAGGGGTCCGAGTTGCACGCCGCCGCCACGGCGGACCCGGCGCTCCAGAGTGCGGAAGAGAGTCTCATCGTGCCAGGGACAGCTACGGAGTCAAGGCAGATCTCTCCGGGATAGAAAGAAATATCACGGGCAAAACCAACCGCATTAATCCCATGCCTGCAGGTACAGCACACATGGCTACCGAGGTATATATGCAAACTCCACTGCGACAACACGACAGGATCACGATCCTTTCGCGATAACCTATATCCACAACGAAATCTGCCGGGGGGAGGGAGAATCTGTGGACCCGTTGCACCATCAAAAGCCGTTAGTTGACGCTCTTATCTTTTATACGAAGCGTGTAGTAGCCCTTCGAATCCTTCCAAGACGCGAAACCAAATTGATGCAATACCAGGGCTAGCCGCAACGGTGAAGAATCAAGATGCGCTAACTTTTGCTGCTAACCGAGAGAGCTTCAACTTCTCTATCGTGAAGCCACTATTGATGGTGCTTCGCTGCCGCAAACGGCTAACCACATCAACCGTCCTCTTGTTGCTGCTCTGGGTGCTGCACGACTGGGTATGGTATACATTTGATACAGCGGCAGCATTCTTTCTTGCCACACCATGCACCGCTTGTGTTAAATCGTTGGGGGGAATTGGCCGCCCATTTTGACCTGATTCGGATTCACTATTATTGATGGGATTCTCTCCTGAAGTTTCGCATGCGCAACTCATTCAAGGCTCGTAGAACCAAAAGCCCAACTCGAGTTTTAGGCAGGCGGGGTGATAGCCAATATGGCGCCGTGCGCTGCCACTGCGATAGCAACCTTCTCAACCTCAACCGTACGGCCATTATACCAGAATTAAGGAGTTGTCGAAGCCAAATAATCCGAAGACAGTAAATACTCCGCATGACGCCTGCAAAACTAGTCAGGACAGCCTTAAACGCATAAGCTCACTGATTCATGTCCGACTACAGTCTTACCTCCCCACCGATCCCAGCTGCTGCAGGATGATCTCCCCATAGCCTACAGTATACGTTGACAACTTGAAGACATAACCATCAACTCTAGACGCCAAGAGCTTACTTCCGATTCCTGACGAATAAAAGCAACCAAGTGAGCACCATCCCTTCAACTGCCAAGGACGCTAGGCTAGGGGTTTACGTGCATATGTAAGCAGCGTTGATCAATCGGTATCTACTTACATGCACTGATCCAACAAGTCTGAACAAGCAAGTGCATTCTGGTCTCTACCGCTTTGATACCTATTTTACTTATAGAATACTCATTGTACTAAGTACTAAACTTTATCCAACTCGAGTAGGGGACGTGGCCTTCTTACAAAGAGCGGGGTAAGTTACTCATCAAAACATATCTTGGCATTCTCTAAGTGAGATAGGAACCAAAGGGGACCAGAGTACACGCGTTCAATTGTGAGGTCAGTGTGCCTGTCATATTGAACCTCAATGCCGTGGTACCGAACTGTTGTGTCTATGATACATATCTAAAGTCACCATTTTCACACCATTTCTGGCAGATTTCTCTTTCTATTCCATCAAACAAGTGCTAGACAGTCAATCGGCAAAGAGCTCCACTTCCTTGCGCAATCATCTAACGCAACCTGGTTTGAGCCCCCTGGTAGTAGAATGATGGCTCTTACTTGGTCCAAACAGCCACTGAAGGGTATCTTCATTGCCTTTCATATCTTCAAAACGCTCGCGTTCTTGCCTTGGCTTTTGATCCGTTATACTCCGAAATCCGCCCGCCCCTTTCCGGAATGGAGCTTGAAGCGTTGCGTTCTCAATCCTCTGGTCAGACAGCTGCTCGTGTACTACACAGTGACCAAGTCAACCGCTATGTCCCTAGTAGTCTCTGATCAGAGGAAAGCAAAAGAACGCTATGCCCTCGCTGAACCAGCGAATGCAGATCTGTATTCGGGGGTGCTAGCGTCCGATATTGCGAAGCCGGCGCCGGTGGGTGGAATCTGGTATCCGACCCCGGTTTACGTGGGATCACCTAACCTAGATGATGAGAAGGTTGTGCTGCATTTCCCCGGTGGCGGGTTCGTTCTCGCGTTCGGGCAGGAAATGTACGGCAAGGGTGTTGCGAGCGCCATGTCTAAATACTTAAATGCAAACCGAACCTTTTACGCACAATATCGAGTTGCAACTGATGACGCGACCCGTTTCCCCGCTGCTCTGCAAGACTTGGTTACCTTTTACAACTACATACTATCTTTAGGAGTGAAGCCAAGCAATATCATTCTGTCTGGAGATTCCGCAGCGGGAAACCTGGTGATTGCGCTGTTGCGATATCTGGAGACCTCGCCGAAGCTTCCGTTGCCTAGAGGGGCTATTGTCTGGTCTCCCTGGGTGCACGTAACACTGCAGGCCGGCAAAGACTTCAACGCGTGTAGAAATACGACGATCGACTCTTTGACTGGGCCCTTCCTTCAATGGGGTGCCGAGGCATATTTTCCTAAGCATGAACCTCCCTCGGAAGAGCTTGCTTACATTTCGCCATTGCATCATCCTTTCCGAACGAGAGTGCCATTAATAGTTCACGCTGGCGGAGCCGAAGCCTTTTACGACACTATCGAAGAGTTCGCAAAACAGATGAATGCAATAGACGGCAATAACGTCCAATTCTATCCAAGTGATTTGGTGACACATAACCTGATTCTGGCATATGGCGGAGCTGGGCTGGAACATGAAGTAGAGAGTGTTTTACGAGACATCTCTAGCTTCTTAAAAGTCTAGCTACTATGACCGTTTATTTCGGGCGCGAAAAATTGAATTAATTATGCGGTCACAAAGCCTACTCAAATTACGCCATACAACTATCCCTCGTACCAGAACCTGCTTCTCTGATTATTCCACGACGGTCTATTGGACGACTTTGCAAACGTAACCATTGGGGATGAGTTCCCAAGGGCGAGCATAAGGAAGCGACTCGCCAGCGGCAGTCTGTCCTGAAACGCGATAAGTAAATTCGTCCCCTGCGCGGCCATTTAGTGGCGTAACCAGCCACGTATAGTGTTTGTCGGAATATTTCACAGAGGCTAGTAGATAATTACAACGGTCAGCTACATGGGATTGTGTAGAGTTCTAGCAGGAAAAACCATTGCACTTACGGTTGAGGACAGTAGTCTGCCAATGGTAATCATATGTAGGAAAGGATGAGGGCGTTGGACCAGGGATGATGGTAGGGGTGTTATTGAAGGAGCGCATCTGGAGCTCGAATGTACCCTCGCTGCCTTCAGGGTCCCACTCGATCACGTAGTAAGAACCTTCCCGGCGGGATACGTCGCCGTCGCCCGGTTGGTGGACGTCCTTCCACTTAAAGGCCTGCGTAGCTCCGGCAAGGAGGGCGATGGATGCCAAGAATTTCATCTTGTCGGTGGTTTCGTTATGTAATTATTGAACGAACAGGAGAAGATGAGAGGAAACTGCTGATGACTTAGTAGGGATGAGGAATTATGATGCTTTATATACTCTGACGCAGAAGCCTTTCAGATCCTTACGACCCTTGAAAAGTAGTCTTGCATCGTGTAGTTAGACATTTTGATCGCCAGGTACCCAATAGGCAAAACATATGAATGGTTCCGAGGATTCTATGCCACTTCGCGTGTGGGGTTTTCCGAATGAAAACCGCGGGCTATACGACGGCGTTAATGAATGATTAATGCCGATACAGCTTGGTTCTGCACTATATGTAGGTGGGGAAGGTCGGAAGTTCGCAAGTTCGGAAGCTAAGCTAATGGTCGGACCCGTTGCAAAGCCTTTGCTGAGTTATCACGGTAGAGAGATATAGGACTACTCAGCAGACAGGTACCGAAGGATCTATGACTGAGCGTAATGTTGCACTCAGGTAGAGACATACAATAACCGTTAGACAGTGCACTATCTAACCACGTCGTCTTTAACAAGTGCGACACATAGTGGTGACGATTTCTCTAATCAGAACTTTTGCAGTTAATAACTAGTTGATCTTAAAATATTATAATTGCTTGAGGAATAGCTAAGTAGCTATTGACCACTGTTACTCAACCAGTGTCACGAAACGAGTATAGGAGGTAGTAACTATAACCGCTACGCTACCAAAAGGTAAATGACGTACGTAATCAGTTCGAGACCCCGCGTCTCTTCACTCAACTATAGTACTGTGATAACAACCAGTGTCAACGGGGCTTGTTACAGCACCATATAGTTAAGTATAGATTTCAAGGGCAGAGATACTGGGCTTGGGAACTTGAGCATTTCAGATTATAATGACAACTGGGGCTGCACGAGTCCTTGACCAACCAAGTCCTTCTTGGCTGTTGGTGGCTTGACTTGACTCTATATACAACTGGTCTGTCAGCTCAGACCGCCTAAGTCTCTGGGGTCTGTTTCAAAAAGCAAAGTCCGTATAACCTCACTTTCTAATATTGCCTGCATGCCTCTGTAAGATCATGAACAGCCTGCAATGGCTTTTCGTACGGCCGAAATGCAAGGCGAACTGCATATTCAGCTGGCACAATGCTTGTGCGTGTGACAGTAGACGCGCAGGGTCTCAACTTGATAGCGTCTTTCTATCTTCCAATAGCGTAGTGGCTTGGCACTGCACTCCTATTCTGTCCCGTGATAGAACCAAAAAATCTTATGGCTAGACCAGGCGAACGGATCTATATCGTGATGATAAGCATGGAGTCCGCGGAGTTCATCCTCGAATGATACCCCCCCCTGGTGGGATAAACCCGTATTCTCTGAGTTGTTGGAATGGCTGTGAGACGGCGATGGCTCTTGGCTCATACTCTCAATCGCTTGTTGAAGGTGCGTCGTGGGGCTGGTATAGAGTTCTATGTCCCGGATGGCTTCCTCGACGTCCGTAGTGACCATTTTGTGCTTTTCATATAGGTTTTCTATCCTCTTGAAGTGGCCATGTGCTTTTTTCAATCTTTCAACGCAGTATTCTCGTCCAGTAGCTTCATTCCAGCCCAATTCCCAGTCCGGCACGAGGCTTAAAGTCTTGAGGCTTTTACGGCTTGCATCGTACATCCCCAGTTCGTCTCCATGTAGGAACAAGTGTTTAACCATCGTTGAAAGAGTAGGCTTTAACCAAGTCAAATAGCTGATAGTTCCACCTTCAAGACGCACGCTTTGAGCTATAACCTGTCTTGTAAACGCTTCTAGGTGTATTGGTGATAGCTCAACGAGACTGAGGGTAGCATGTGCCAGTTTTCGAGCGTGTGAGGCTATAAGAGCTTGCAAATCTGGGCTCTTGTTCCGTATTTCTTCTGGCTTGAGCCCTGGTACATAATGGAATATATCACGGATAGAGTCAAAGATGACTCTGTATATCATGAAGTGGCGCTCGGAAAGCGCCTTGAAAAGCTCCTCGGAAATCTGGTCCGTATAGTCTGCATAGGCCGCCGGAGAAAAGATGGCCGGGAGTATCACAACAAATCTGTGATAGAACTCATTATAATATTCTTCTGCCAGGTGTGGATCATTTGTTAACTTCAGGTCGTCCAACTTGAGTCTATCCCAAACCTGAAGTTCTTTCAAGAGATGGTCGAGTACTATGATTGGGATCTTTCTTTTTATATTATCCATCGTTTCTGACATCTTTATTATAGGGTCGACTTCGCACAAGCTTATGTAGCTATGTAGGTGTCACTATTACAGACGCGGAAGCCGGTTGATATAGAGAGTGAATATGATGTGCCGTCATACAGTGGAGATTTGCGCATGTGTAGGTTCCCTAGCAGTTGGTTGATACATGGGCGGCTTGCTCTTTAAATACAACGGTTGGAGGCATTGAAGGGGTCAAATACTACATCAAACTCCGCAAAATACTTCAGCGGTGCAAGACACAAAGTTTTTGCAGGACCAAGTTGGCAGCAAGGTTAAACTTTTTTGCACATGTGGCGCGTCCCAAATTCTGTACACAGTTTACCAGTTTATCTATGAAAGAAAAGAAAATAAGCGGTCAACAGGGATAGAGCGAATATAAAATTATACCGGCGAAATGAACACTAATTATATCCAGACTAGTAGCGATAACGGAGAAGTCTCGAGAGTGTGGGTTGGAAACGACAGAAACAAGGTTATAGAATCCGGTAGGAAACGCTCAGAATCAGGTAGATGGATATGTAATGTACAACTGAGTGGTTATTAGGAAGAGCTTATCTATCAATCCACTTACCAACCTAACAAGCTGCGTGCATTTAGCTTTCACTATTGCAGCAGTGTTATGGTTGTGTGCGTATACACGGTTGGAAAATCACAAGATAGTTCAGCAGCGAAGACAAATCCTTGTGATTAAGGGTTTCCTTCTCTTTTTTTTCAGCAGGTTTATACCCATCACGAGCTATCCGAAAGTTCCGACTAGCTTATGAGACATGTGCTGCGCTTGATCGATGAATGTGAAAATCATGAAACTTGTCAGAGAGCAGACAATAGAATTTGAAGTATTCACAGTTATACATGGCAAGTAGTCATGGATTCGAGCTGCAGATTGCCTGATTTCGTTTTGCTGCGGGCATGTAGTGAGACGAAGAGTCGCATCCCGAACGAAAATTATGATATTCTGAAGATGGACGCTCCCCTCGTTACCATCTTAGGGACTATGGTTCCGTATGGAACGTTGGCGAGATCTAAAATAGTGCCTAGCTATGTTTGATAGAGCCAAAAATGATAATTATACTCTAGACTCCATCAATGCGTATTTCCAAGTTTTAGACCCAAATGATTAAGCACCGGATCTGGCGTCAGCACTGAGATGAAGCCCGTACCTCCGCGGACGGTAAGCGATGAAGTTGGCTATCTAATCTGTTCCGGTCGGCCCGCTTCGGCGATGAGCTCGGAATGCGCTGCGGGGTAGGCAACAGCAGGATGACTCTCATCTTTATTACATCATCTCTAGTTCATACTTCTATCCAAACGGTCAGGGAGCATTACGTTTTGGGTGAAGACGGCTTGTGAAAGTGTATGTAATATAGTGTCGTGTAGTGTCGTATAGCCTTGGTACAGCATGTCAGAAGTCTCAAGCGATATGGACGAGCAACAGCGGGTGGCATCGCTCGTGGACGCGCAGACCAAGGCGTTGCGGCTATTCAACGAAATCGCAACGGACCTCATCCGCCCCGGAGTGAGCGAGAAGGAACTCAGTAAGGAGATTCACGAGCTTGGCGCGCGTCGACACGGCATACAGACGCATTGGCACAAGCGAGTCGTGAGAAGCGGGCCTAATACCTTACAACCGTATAACGAGAACCCGCCCGACCGTATCATTGAAGCTGATGACATTCTCTTCGTCGACCTGGGACCCGTCTTCGAGGCTTGGGAAGCTGACTTTGGCCGCACTGTGAGTTGAAATACGCCCAAGAAGACGCCTCATAGTCATATAAAGCCCGCATTGGCGATGCCTGAAACGGCAATAACTGACCTCAAACACTATAGTACGTTCTCGGAGATGATCCGGTGAAAAAGAAGCTGCGGGATTCCCTCGAGCCGGTCTGGAGGGATGTCAAGTCGCAGTTCGACCAGAAGCCGGACATGACAGGGGATGAGCTGTATGCCATTGCGCGCCGCGTCGCCGAAGCTGAGGGCTGGGAGTTTGGCGGGGCGATAGCGGGGCATCTGATCGGTTCATTTCCGCACGAGCGCATCCCCAACGACAAGAAGACACTGTACATCACCGACGGGAACCACGAGTCTATGAAATCGCTGGGCAAAGACGGCAGACCGCGACACTGGATCCTGGAGATCCATCTCGTCGACCGGGAGAGGCAGATAGGCGGCTTCTTTGAGCAGCTACTCACTGTTGATTAAACATCAAGGGCGTTAAGGCGTCTTACACGTATCCATAGAACATATCAGCATGTGGCGCGCAGAGGCAAGCGATACATGGCTATCATATAGACAGAGTCAATAGAAGCAGGGGTTTGATATGGAAGTCTCGTCTCAAGAGCGATGTGAACTTTCAAGTGTGTGAGCTATCTGAAGACCGATTGGCGGACTATGAGAACGAAGCAGCCTTCCCTACGACGGGCTCATCGATTGGCGTCTTACAGGACGAAATGAGATATCTATCTAGCCTAGGTACTGACTGGAATGCACACAGGTGATAATAGTGATAATAGTGGCAAAGAGACACCACCCCAGCGAGGCGGGTAGAAAACTATGATTCTCATCAACTCACTACTCATAATTCACAATTTATTAACTGATCGAGAGATTCACGTTTGAGAAATAAGTGTTTTTCCCCAAGACATTGCTTCATAATATAGATGGAACCGTGCTATGGATTCGTCATGTACGTCCGGCATGATACTCATGTGCGTTAGCTCCAAGTATTCTGCCCAGAGTTCAGTAATCAAAATAAAAAAATTGATGATTGGTAACAAGTCGCGAGAATCCATCTCGTACTGAACGAATTCGAAGACATGGCAATCCCGCGGCAATACTACGTACATAGTAGGTTCACCTCATCTCAACGTGAGCAGGCCGTAGCTACTACGAGCGATTACAAATCGCAGCTCCGTCGCGTCGAATGTCGTGATAGCGTCGCAAGCTTAGGTCAAAGGTCAGGGCGAGATCTAAGTCGCCCGACGCTGCGGGGTCGGTTCGGTGCACGGCTTTCTCAGCAAGCCCATTAATAATGCAACGGGCTCACTACACTAAACCTCCACGATTGCTTATTCCCGATCGCGTTGTCCAAGTATATAAGTCGTCATTATATCTCCTCACCGTCGTCTCCAAATTGACTGTGATCTCGTGTGCGATTCTACATTATTTCATATTGACTCCGGCTGTTTCGGTTGAGTCTATATAATCTTTATTTACATTAGCAAACTATTTATTGCAAAATCATGGCGTCCAAGTTCTACGCAGTCATCGTCGGAGCTGGCGGAGGCACAGGTAAGCAACTTTTTCCCCACAACCCATCACAATGTACCCATCACGATGCCTATATAGCAATAGTTGGATTTGATCGAGAACAAATGCGTATGACTTGGAACCTGAACTCACACAAGTATAAATTACAGGTGGTTCTGTAGCAGCCAGGTTCGCAAAGGAGTACCCAGTCGTGCTCCTGGCGCGAACAGCCGCGACCTACGAGGGCAGTGTAAAGGCAATCAACGAGGCAGGCGGCAAAGCCATCGGTATCAACGCCGACGCAACAGACCGGGCCTCTCTGGACGCCGCCTTTGAGGCCATCGCCAAGGAACTGCCAGACCACAAGCTCGCTGCCGCTATCTACAACGCCTCGGCAGGTCTCAAGCCTACGCCTTTCGTCGAGATTGACCCCCAAGTTCTCGAGGGCAGCATCGATGTGAACATGTATGTGATGTGAACGCTGCTCACCGATGCATCCCCTTCTCTTCCTCCGCATCAATTCCCCATGCCAGTGTAGATTGTTCTGGAACAGCCGTCTGACAAATGGATAAAAAGCCGAGGCTTCTTCAACTTCGCACAAAAGACTCTCCCATTACTCGAGGACGCCGTGAGCTCCTCTCCACACCCGCCCTCGCTCATCGTGACGGGCGCGACAGCCTCGGTGAAGGGATCCGCCAAATTCTCTACCTTCGCCGCAGGAAAGTGGGCAAAGAGGGCGCTGGCGCAGTCCATTGCCCGCGAGTACGGGCCTAAAGGCGTGCACGTTGCGCATGCCGTCATCGACGGCGTCATCACGGGGCCCCGGACCGAGGCGTACACTGGTGTCAACGGCGGTGCGCCCGACGGCAAGATCAGCGCTGATTCGGTAAGTTTCAACTCTCTCGCATCTGAAATGGATTATTTGTAGAATACTTGCTAACGGTCGTTTGTCAGATTGCTGAGACATATTGGAGCTTGCACACGCAGCATCGCTCGGGATTCACCTGGGAGGTCGATATTCGACCCTATGTTGAGAAGTGGTAAAAGATGGAATGATGCATGAATAGTCCTAATGAATATTTGATAATGATTAAGTTTATCCACAGGAGTATATCTCTTACTCCCAGCCAGTGAATCGCGATGTCATAAGACCTGGCGAGACGCTTTAACAGTCTTCCCTGGGATACTCCGTGTCGCACTCACTGTACAGCACTTCTAAGCCATGCACTTCTTCATGGCCTTAATTATTTTGATATGAGCTATAATAGCATACAAATAGCATATTTCCTCGCTTTTAGTAGGTAGTATACGAATTTTGATCAATCACGCCGCCCAAAGCGACGCTCGACGTCCAAAAAAAGGCACTTCAAACCAACTTCAAATCTCCAGCGCCGCCGCTAGCGGAAGCTTCCGACTACTAGAGCCAACATAGATCTGATACTGGCCCTTCTGCAGCAACCAATTCTGCGCGACGACATCCCACGTGCTCAAATCCCGCCTCGTTAATCCAAATTCAACAGTTTCCGATTCGCCGGGCGCGATAACGCTCTTCTCGAACCCGCGCAGCTGCTGCACGGGGCCGCCGGGGATGCCCACATACAGCTGCGCTACTTCAGCGCCGCTGACATCCCCCGTGTTCGTCACCGTCGCGGAGACCGTGACGACGGTATCCCAGAGGTCCTCGTGGCCGCCCTCGACGACGGGCTTCGACGGATACTGCGCGAAATCCGCGCCCTCGACGAGGTTCACGGAGAGGTCGGCGTAGGCGAAGGTCGTGTAGCTTAGGCCGAACCCGAATTCGTACCGCGGCGTGATGTTCTTCGCGTCGAAGGCGCGGTAGTCGAGGTACACGCCCTCGGAGAAGTCGGACTGCGGGAACTTCGCGTAGATGCCGTCGGGCAGCGTCGCGTTTTGTAGCCCACCGAAGTCGGACTCGTTGCGCGGGACGGAGTACGGCAGTTTGCCTGATGGGTTGACGTCGCCGTAGAGGAGGGACACGAGGGCGCGTCCGGAGTCTTGGCCTGGCAGGTGTGCGAAGATGAGGGCCGTCACGTTCGGGTGGTCGATGAACTGGTCGACGAGGCGGACGCCGGCGTTGTGGAACACCACGATGGTGTTATTGCACCGCGAGGCGACGTTCTTAATCAGTGCATCGGTGTAGTCGTCGTGTAAGCCGAGTCTGTCCCAGCCCTCTGTGGCGAAGGCGTTTCCGACGACAATGCACGCGTCGGAAGATTGGTCGACGCCCGGGTTCGCGCTGTCGAAGTCCCACCAGAGACTTGTCCCGTCTTCGTACGCGCGGAGACTGAGGGCCTCGAAAGGCGAGCTCAAGTACGCTGGTTGATTGCCGCCGGAGCCACCGCCGCATATCAGCGTGCCACCCGGTGCGATCTGCATGCGCTCAGTCGCAGCCGGCTGGCTGCCGCCGTTCCAGCCGCGGGAGCCGGGTGTGTACGAGTTGAATGCCTTCGCGGAGTAGCCGAAGAGGGAAATCATATCAGGGGACTTGAGGGGCAGAGCGCCTCTCTCATTCTTTACTAGAACGTGGCCTTCAATGGCACCCTGTAGGAGCACGTCCCTGTTACTTTGCGATGTTGCGATCACCTTTTGGTGTGGTGCTCGGAGGTCCGATGGCATGCCGGCTCCGATAGATGGGAAATCTTCGGCTTGCTTCATTTTGAACCATGTCGCGATGATTCTATTGGTGGTCAGCGAAACAGTCCAAAAGCACGGTATAAAATCGACATAGCCTTACCTCGTCGCCATGTCATCAATGCGAGACTCGGGGACAGATCCATTGTTGACCGCCGTGATCAAGCTGTTTCCCCAGAACTGCGACCCGCTAGGCATCACCATATCAAGCCCTGCCAAAGCTGTCGCAACGCCGGCGTGTTGCGCACCCCAGTCTGTTACGACGAAGCCCTGTTCAGCTATTAATCATCATTTCCAATGTCGAATTAATAGGATATGAATTACCTGGAATCCGAGCTCTGTCTTTAGCAGCCCGTTTTGCGTCTTACTGTTGGCGCAGCCGTAGGAGTTGTTGACACGTTGGTATGAGCACATGATATTTCCCGTGCCCGCCTTGACGGCGTCTTGGAATGGCCTACAGGACGTACTATTAGCGACAAAATTCACTATCTATTTTCGTGTGCCATTGTACAAACCAGAGATATAGCTCATGCATCGTCTTATCGTCGATATTGGACGACAGTGCTGCCACATCACGCTCTGGGTTCCTGTTGGTCTCTTGTTCATTTGCAATGAAGTGCTGTAGAAGCCTTTAGCAAATATGATTAAGTAGAGCCATTACTGGGAACTAGTGATACCTTTGTGCTCGTGATGACACCTGTAGACTGGGTGCCCTGGACAGTCTCATACGCCAATGCACCACAGAGGTAAGGGTCATTAGAGAAGCCTACAGGCAATTAGTTTAAGCCCCTTGAAGATGGGCGACATGTTCCTTACCTTCCCAGTTACGCCCGCTTGAAGCGATTCGTCCTAGTGGCCCTACAACCGGGCCTAGCAGAATATTGACTCCTTTAGCTCGGAACTCGCCGCCCACTACATTCATTAGCAAGACTCTTGCAGTTTGAAGATCACTGATCTTTCGAGATAGTACGCACTTCCAACTGCTCTCTTATGAGCAAGTTCTCTGTTCCAGCTGTGGCAATGAGTAAGTAGACGTTACCAAGGTATAGGCTACAATCGAGAACTAACCTCGCGCCGACTGATAGACCTGCCGGCCAACTTGAAACGAAGTTCGTCGTTCTCGGTCCGTTCCCGGCATCGCTGAGGCAGAGACCCGTAAAGTTGACTCGTGGTATAGAAGGGATGATTCCTGAGCACGAGCTGCTAGAGCTTATGCCTCCCGTTAGGCTCACCTATAATGACCCATTCTTCGTATTAGTCGAATTGGAATAACTCTCTCACTAATATCATCTACCCACCTTTTCCGCAAGAGTCAGTTCAGACACGATATCTCTCGCACGCGAGTACGCGTCGGCCCAGTCACCCGTACCCGTCCCTTCAGCTGTCCTGGGTATTAGTGGAAGATTTCAGTTATTTCATGAATAATATGTGAATATGAACTCGGAATACATACGCGACGGATACACAGGAGGCGATTGGCCGTAGAAGATAGTATCATCGGTGATGACTTGCGCGAGGCCCGGCAGCGCCAGGCAGGCGACCAAGTAGAATGCGGAAGACAGCATGATATCGACAGAATGGACCAACGCCTCGACAACGATGTGCTCGACGTTAACCGTGCGCGGGCTCCTAGTGATTCCAATAGCTACGTAAGAGGAGAACAGCAGCACTAATGATTTTATACATGTCTAGCAATGCATCATGTGCGACTACCTCGTATTCGCACGGAACCTGCCGCCAGAGAATTCCTGGTTCAAGGGCCATAGGCGATCGGACACCGGTTGCCTACTTGGGTGAAGAACGATAATGTGACGATGTCGGTGACGCTCATGGTTGGATTTGAGGTGGAGAAGAAATGGAGAAGTAACGATCTGTCTTCGTCGGCAGCCGCAATGCTCTGCACCGACAGAAGCTAAATAAACATCCGATGCGGAGATCAGGGCGTGTGGGATATTCCGGTGTTGGAGAAGCTATAATTGCTACGCTGGGGTTGTATCAATTGAAAATTTCAGGCTTCTCGTTCCTTGTTCGGCCTCTGTTCTACCGTGTATGCTTCTTACTGTGTAGTTTCCCGATATATAGCTCGATCATGCCGTGCAGACCGACGTAGTGTCTTACTTGGGTAGTATCACTCTTCTAGTGGATTGTTCTCAGAGAGCTTTCTGGGCTCTTGCTCATGTAGGCGTTGCTAGGTGCAGGATGTGCGAACATACAGATGAATGGTCGTCGACAGGCTCGTATCCCATTGGTAATAGAGCACACGTGAGAGAGGTGATAGTCTTTTGCCCACCCAATTGCGAAGCGAAGTGCACCACATCGGGATGATCTGCCCTATGTTAAATGCCGGCGCTGCGGGGGTGGGATCGTAAAGAAAACGTGCACCCCGCGCCTCTGGTCGCGAGGTTACATGCGTGATGGAGTCCCAGGCACATGTTGCGGGGAAGCGTGCGGGCCGTTCAATATTTCGGCAGCATGAAGTCATAGTAGTCAAGCCTATAGTACACAACTGCAGGGATGACGGTGGTGTGAGCATGAGACTACAGTTCAATTGAATTCTCTGCTATGATGAATCTATCCCATTTCGAGGTACTTCCAAGCGCCTGTTCGGTGAATCCTCATGATATTTTCACCGAGCCAAGTAAGAAATATTTGCTGTCATGCCTGCCTACTGCAAAATCCCTGTTCTACTAAAGCTGCATTCTGGTCATTGCTCCGGGCCGTTACGCTGTGATGGAGATTGCCATAGCGAAGCACATGGCCGCAGCAACAATGAGTTTACTTGTTTTAGTCAAGCCACCGTTATCGTTCGTCTTCGTGTTTGTGGGTACTCCAGTGGTCAAGTTTGCGTCCCAGCCCGGAGTTGGCCAGAGAACCGAAGTCGTAACTGTAGTTGTTGGTGGGAGCGTCACTGTCTGTAAAGCTGGTCGAAAGGTTACTCCAGAGCTTGTAACGGCTGCAATCTGTTCCCCGAGGTCCATCATATACTTGTATTGGGAGGCCACGCCACTTGGAAAGTGTTCTAAGTCACTCTGTTCCCATTGGACTGTTACCTGATCGTGCATAATCCACTCGGGCGCCAAGGTCGTGTAAACATCGGCAGTGGTAATATTTGGGTCGAGAAGGAATGCCATGGGGGTCGTGACGCTCGAAGTGCACAGATAGTCAGAATCGTCAGACAGGGGTGAAAATCCACTGCTATTGTCAATATCGGTCTCTTCAGTAGCAGGGTAGAACACAAGCACCTTTGGCAGCATGCTGCAGTCCAGATTGTCTTGTGATCTTGCTCGTTGAAGGCATATCTGACGACTTCCATATTCGCTGGGCAGAAACCCGGACTGAAGGTTGGGTAAGCGGTCGAGTATTGCGCTGGAATGCACTTGGTAAAGGATGGGTCTATCCATCCACTGCTGGGTGGCATGGTGCTCGTGCCAGGTGCATCATCATCTACGAAGACGGCGAAGCGATCAGAGCACCAGGGAGAGGGTGTGAAAAGCGTAGTTAGTGCTGACATTATGCTGAACGTCTATGAACTGTGATCTGACTCCTGATTGTAGTGGATATGCTTAACCAAAACGACAAAATGTTGATATGTTCGTGCTGGGTTGAGTGGATGAACAATGAAAAACGGGAAGAGAAGAGAGAGACGGTTTCTAGGTATGAATGCAGTAGTGCATCTCATACGCTCTTGTGATGTCGTTGGCAACTCCGACCTCGATAGATTCCATCGAACTAGCCCGCCGAACCATCGTGCAGCCAAAGTGAGTCTCGTCATTGCCCGTCTAAGCAGCCGAGATATCCTTAGCTAGGAAGCTGTGAATGCTGCTGAGCTAGAAGGAACAGTATTCAGATCGCATAGGAGCTGCATCCGTGCAGACTGTCGCTGCATTCGTGAACTTCGAGCTCCGACTGAAAGTATTTGGCAGATATGAAGCTGTAGAAAGGTCGTCAGGCCTCAGCTGCCATGTAGCCCATGATGACGCTGATGACGCGTGACTCTCCTAACCTAGGTTCTTGGCTCCTACCTATTATTCCTCGTGGAGTCGGGCAAATCCCTATGAGATGTCGGGAGGCTTCAAACGCAAGTCACGATCTTCGGCGAGTGATCACGGAGTATACGATACATTGTCAAGATAATAGTATGAATCTCCTCATAGCCAGTTGCTTGCTCGTAGGTGCATATAACCTGGGAAAATTGCCGAGAAGGTGCGTCGATGTCGTCAGGGATGCGGAAATGGTGGGTTGGTACAGAGCAGTACATCTTCGACTTGGGGTATTAGGTACTTGCCTAGATTTGAGGCTCAAATAGACGCTCTCATCAAGTGCCATCTAGGCAGCAGTCATTGATTTGACTCTTGATGACACTTAGTGCGTCCGCGTTGATGAGGGTGAGAGAAAGTTATGCCGACGGGTGAGAGACGCGACATCACAGGTATGGATAATCGGGTATTGCTTAATACAGTATTACCACCCCGTTTTCCCCATATCCATATATGCAGCATAGGTCCATTTGATCGCCTCTCGATGACAAGATGAAGGTCAATGGACTGATTGCTCTTGGTATAAATCACCGTATACGCAAGATGGCCCCGACGTATAAAGTCGCATTAGTCCAGCTTCACCCCAAGGTGAGTGCTCAGTGTTCTGCGACGCCTAGGTCGGCGCCTTTGGTAGAGGGCGAAGTTGAGTTGGGATGACGTCCTAGACACAACATGGGCATCTCCTCAAACTGTCCACCCGCAATCCCCAGGACCGCTATACTCACTTACGCTTCACATAGCCGTTGGCCCCGGCTCAGAACTACGAGAAAGCTGCGGCATTCATACGCGATGCCGCCACAAAAGGATGCCATCTAGCCGTGTTACCCGAATACCATCTCACCTCATGGGTCCCCGACCGACCGGAGTTCAAGGAATCATGTGCAGATTCCCTACAGTACCTGCAAAAGTACCAGGCTTTAGCAAATGAACTACACATTTGCATCGTCCCAGGAACCATAATCGAATCCAATGATAACTCCTTACAGAACATCGCGTACTTCATCTCGTCCAACGGCGATATTGCTGGGCGGTATCAAAAGAAGAACCTATGGCATCCAGAGCGCCGCCATCTTGTGTCATCCGCCCACGAACCCCATTTGGCTTTTGATACGCCTCTTGGCCGTGTTGGTCTACTCATTTGCTGGGACCTGGCCTTCCCAGAGGCTTTCCGAGAGCTCATTGCCGACGGCGCTCAAATCATCTGCGTGCCAACATTCTGGAGTCTGCGCGACGTATCGGATGAGGGCTATGCCCTAAACTCTGATGGCGAGGCTCTATTTTTAAATAGCACAGTTATAGCTCGGGCGTTCGAGAATACGTGCGCCGTCGTATTTGTCAACGCTGGAGGTCCGCCGGAGAAGGGCGAGGACACAAGCTTCGCCGGCCTTAGCCAAGTTGGTGTCCCACACGTAGGATCGCTGGGACGGCTGGGCAGCGCCGAGGGTATGTCCATTGTCGATTTGGATATGGATGTATTGAGGATTGCCGATGAGAACTACAAGGTCAGAGAAGATAGTAAGTTATCCCAAGACGACCTGTTCTATTTCTGCCTTCGAGCATTTAATTCTAGTCCTATGCTCTTGATACGTAATCGACAACAATATACGCTTCACATTATTGAGTCAATTACTAATTTGGGTTTCCGTAGTGCAAGCAGAGGGATGGCACTACGCCTACACGCGCATTCGAGACGATAGCAAACTGTAGGATACTTCTCACACACATACAAACTGCTCATATCAACAGCATAGTGCATCATGAATTAAATGCATAACTACCGCTTGTATGTACTAAGTAGGGGCTTTATGAAGCTAGAGGCCGCCCTCGCATGCCTGGCGCAATTGTGGTATGCAAGCAAACCTGTTCGGCAGGCAGAAGCTGCCAAGCAGTTTATCTAAACCCTTTATGCTTATAATATATCTATCTACCTGCCTATTATGTATGATGCGCATAGGGACATTAAAAACAAACGTGCTAAATTGCAAGGAGAAGGAAGATAGGAGAAAGAAAAAAAGATAAGATAATTATTGCCCCCATCCCGGATCGAACGAGAGACCTTGTCATGATCTTGCAACTTTATACAAGTGACACGCGCTACCACTACGCCATAGGGGCTTTAGAAACTTGAGCAGGTTCTATAAGTAATAGATTTCAAAAATGAATAGATATATATTTATCCAAGCAGAAAAAAAAAATCCTGGTGGCTGCTGTGATATCTTGTTGAACATATATTCTCCCACCAACCCATCTTAACCTATAGCTGATTACCCAGCAATACCACATTTTCACGGATCGGTCGACAAATCTCTGTAACAAGGATCCGTAACAGTTTGCATAGACCTATCCATCACCCTTTCTTCATAGGCATCGTCATATGACACAGGCGAATATCCGCTCTCCGTCGCTACGGAACTTAAGCTAACCTTAGCTCTATATACAGATAATCGACCGTAACTAAACTCTGAGATGTACCCATACATCTCAATTAAACGACGGCTGTACAGTCTCGTATCTAATGAGTCCAACATCTGTCTCTACATGATCACCAAAAGATGCATACGACACTCGTGCATTGTGTTCGATGTGTTTAGCTCGCGTAATATCCCGGCACTGATGTTAATTATCAGCAGCATTGAGAATATATCTACAAAGCCAGCAACATTAGTGAATGAACCAGCGATCTGACGATTTAGGACTAACTTTTGCACAAATTTCTGTATTGCATCATTTGTTTCCTCCCTTGGTTCCGGATACGAACCAGGTCTCTTGTTCATCACGGCGTCGGATGCCCGTCGTAGTGCCCCCTCAAGAGTAGGTCGGTTTCTCGAGTCCTTGTACATGCATTCCGCAATGAGCCCTGCAAGGTCCGGATCTAGCCATTCGTAGGGGTTCCCCCAGCGCTGCGGTATAATGTCCCCCGCCAAGGTTGCTTTTCCTTTATATATTTTCGTTCGCTCCGTGTTAATACCGGCCATGTTTATCATAACGGCCACCAACTAGTTGACGGGAAGCATTTGTTAGAACAATTATATACAGAGAAATGCGACTATTAGAAAATAACATTACTTACCTCAGCAACAGCACGTAAGTTCCGAGTTGGTCCTAATGCGGGGCCAGCAGCATCGTCCGCTTGACCGAAATCGATCAACTTAAATATCTGTCCTATGTGGTGTTCACCAAGGTCGTCCCCCCCGCCTAACATGACATTTCGAATAGCAATGTCATTATGTGTAATGTCCCCCGCTAGTCTACCATCTCTTGGGATCGTCTCAAGTATTGGCTCTGTGCCGATTGGGCTACCAATAGGATACGCCATTCCAATACATGCTCGTATCACTCCAAGTTTTCATATCAGCTTATATTTCATTCACTATGGGGTATAGAGTATGATATGGCTGGGAACTTACAACACAAGAATAATGCCCAAAGCATTCTATTCGACATATGTACATCCTCATCCTGCATTCTCCAGAAGAAATCCAACAAACTACCATTCTCGATGTACTCCAGTGCAAGTACCGGCCCTTCAAGCTGAGCCAGGCAGTTAAACGCAGTTTGTGGGGGCAAAGGCTGGTGCTCCTGGATTTGGGGCTCTGTGTCCCAATCTGGTTGACTCGGTTTCTCGCACGACGCTACGATCCGCACAATATGTTTAGAGCCATGTACTTGCTATGGTTGGTTTTATGTTGTTAGCTAGGCGTAATTGTAGGAAATAGTTAGGAAACGGATGATGAGCCCAACCTTTAGCCACTTGATTTCATTCCGCAACTCGTCTGCTTCTCTATGTAATGCGACCTTCAAGGCAATTCGTTGCGTGTGTGGTCCGAACTCCGCCTTTTGTCGTAGAAGGATCGCTACACCATATCCGCCGTGGCCTAGGGGTTTCTCGAATTCCCAATACTTTGATGTCGCAAAGTAGCCCTTAATTTCATCGCTAAGTGCATTCGCCCTGTTTTCCATAACGTGTAGAATTTTGTCCTGAATCTCTATCGTGATGTAGTAGATTTAGAATTGGGAATGTGGGTGGCTGATTAGGAACATCTTGCTGTGAACAATGGGGATCAAGACAGTGAACCCTTTGTTCATTGCACAATACGTATTTTTTTTGTCAGCATCGCGCACTTCAATACCGTTAGATATATGTCTTTATTTTCGGGAACAAAATGGACGGTTCCGGTGCTGTGCTCAGACAGCCCGGCATAAGGCATGACGACGAAAAAACAGTGATTTCGCTTCAGCCGAGACATCAGCTAGAATGGTCCCGACGAGGTCTAAGTAAAGCAATAGAGCTGACCAGAACAAGGAGATTTCCTGTTTACCCTAAGACATTGAGAAAGCTACTGATGAGAATACCTTGACTGACTTGTTTGCGAGCTCTTCATAGTCCCATTTCGGTGTATCGGGTTGAAACACTGACTTAGGTGCTCCTTGGTATTCGTATGCTCCACGATGCAAGTCTGGACTATTCCAACATTAGGATACATGAATCCCCCGAGCACCCAGGAAATCATGACTTGAATAAATAAGGATGAAGTCTCGAAGGTAAGAACCAAAATTACATTTGGGATGGAACCCATGAGCAGCGCTGCCTTCATACCAAGGCGATCACTAACCCTCGCTCAAATCATGCTGTAAAGAGAAACTCGGGCGGTCGACTCATCGGCTTCTTCAAACAATGCAACCATGAGGTACACGTAAGGGAAATGCTAGTCTATACGATCGCCTCCACGACTCGTAGGGCTGCTCCATACAGCCAGTACGCGACAGCATTGCCCCTATTAAGCGCTGCGGTCAGCGCCCCTAGGCCTACTAGCTTATGGCTGGGGCGCTGGGGCAGGGGACACACAGAGTACATTCTGTGCGCCTCTTACGAGGAGTCACGCAATTCCCATACTGGTCCATTTTTATAGTTAATCTTTCTAAACAGTTGCCTAATTGACTAATTGGTGACATGAAGGGCCCGAGGACCCGATCGGACCCGTGTGATCTGTGCATAAACGAAACCGACAAGAGTACAACGGCTGGATGGCTACGATAACGAAAGCGAATAACGCACGCTGTAGGCAAAGCTTGTTGTAACTTGCGAGACTCAGAATCTCGCCCATCTAACCCCATGTCAGAAGGGCTGTACAAGGTACACAGTAAGACTTATTGTGGCACAAGGTCTAAAAGGTCAGAAGTCCGAAGGCATTCGGACTTCTCCGACTATATACAATGTATCTCATTGTTCCTCTGTCCTGAGACCCCCGACACCCCATTATAGAAACCCGGGCCCTAGTACGTAGTACAGTTTCTAAAGAGCGCAACGTGATCCACCTAGGTATCGCGCGTCTCCCCACACGCTGTAAGCTTCAAACACTCCGAAATTGTCGGTGCCTAGAAAGCTTCCGCGTCAAGCTAATAGTCGGCTTGGAGGAGGGATCCATAAGCCGTAACTTACCACCCGTACGACTGTTGGCTTTCAGTAGGAAAGGGATGCCGCTATGCGCAAAAGGGGATGAGGTTGCTATTGGATAGTATGCTAGGAGGTAAGATTACTTCGCTTTCGCTATCGGTGCAGGGTTCACACAGGTTTACATAATGACTCTTTGGGTCAACATTGGGGTTTCATTATGCTTCCAATATACTTGGCTCCCTTCGGACACAAATAGAAAGTATTGAAACAGCAAGTAATTAATACTTTAGCAGAATAGGTGGATTTACTATGTAAGGGTTGAAGTTCAGTCATTGTAAGAGCTAGACTAAGCTATTCCCCCAGTAAGTAAATAATGCGCATTGAGTCCATCAAGACCGCCAACTGCTAGTATTGGTTCTAGGGCTAGCTAGCACTAGCGTTGAGTCAGAACAAGCTTTTGGCGCCAACTTTTAGTAGGAAGGATCTGACAACCTCAACTAGTGTCGTGGCCTCGGGACCCGAAGCATTGGCTAAGGTACCTTTTAGACTGAAATGTCGATGTGGAGGGAACTAAAAATTCCAGGCAAGTGAAATGTCAGCATGGTGTCTTATCTATGTTCCTTCAACCCCTGGCCAGGTTTCACGCTGCTGAAGAGGGAGCAGCTATGACGGATGGACCAATACTGCTGTAGTAACCACGCAGTAGTGAGGCTATGCAGTACATTATGCGATGGCTGCTCATATAGGTGATGTTGTTACCGGCCTGAGCGTCTCCTCTCCACTACATGCCTACTTATTATTTAATAAAGCTCCACGAACAAGGCACACTCTTGGCCTACCCTATGTGTCATTCAGCTTGTTGTCACCATCCAGCCTCGACAATATATACTTCCACAACCCTTCTTCTTTCTTTTTATCATGATATTATCGAGGCTTCGTGGTGGTAGGAGGGGCCGAGGTGATGACTCCATCCTAGCGGCGCGCGGGAGGCTGCAACAACAGCCAGGCGCTGGCCCTGGAGGAGTCATTGTGCGAGGAATAGCGACGGGCATAGGGCTTGCTTCTGAAGCGTACCATCACCACAAGGAAAAGAAGGCACAAAAGGTAAAGGAGGACGGGAACGACTCTTCGCTGATAACGCAACCATCGGTGCCTGGTGACCCTAGTTCACAACCAGTGACCTTATCCCAGCAGGTAGACGAAGCAGCATGGCAGCTAGATGATGCTCAACAAGAAGTCATGGGTGCCAAATCTCCCTCACCTGATGTTACCGATGAACAGCAACCTAAGGAGCTTGCGAGCACATTCTTGCAGCGACATGCAGAGCCTCCTTCTCTGGCGTCATTAAATCAACGACTTGCTCTGCCTGTCGTTATTACCCAAAAGCGACCAGGCAAGCGAACGAGAGGTTTCATAAGAGCATACGCACTTGTCCTAGATGACGTTGGGATCAATGAGGCAACCTTCCTAGAGTTCATTGATGATTTAAACAAGGCTGTTCTGCCAAACCCATGGATCCAGGCTCTCAATCTGGCGTCACTCGCGGGAATGGCCGCACCGGAACCCTTCACTATTCTCATATCTATTGCGGTCCAGAAAGCAACTAATGCTGTCAGTGCGGTTCATAGCCGTTACAAGACGAACCACTTCATCAACGAGGTCAATCGATCCTTCTTCATGCCAAGGGGACTCATTGCACTCATCATGACCTGGAAGCCAAGTACACCCGGAGAGATATTGACAAACGTCAACACCGAGATGGATCCAGCAATCACACATGCTGTGAACGAAAGCGAGCAGAGTTCGATACGAAAGAAGTTCTCTCAGTCAAACGGAGCCACGGCGTTTGAGTGGCCTGAAACCGCGCCTTTGGTGTTTCCTATTCTGGACAATGTAGCGGCCACAGATGAAGCGCAGAAGCAGAATTCCTTGAAAAGAACCGGGGCTTTCGTTGCGGAATACATGGATTCAAGAAGTCGCGCGAAATGGGCAGGCCAAAATCCCGACAGTAAGATGGCTAATGTCGGCCCCAAGGAGCAATTTCATTCCAGATACTCCGATCCCAATCATCCAGCGAGCAGCGGCGACCCTATTGCCCTAATAACTGGAGGGCGTTTCAAAAGCATTGGAGGTCTTAGAGGTGTTGCTCCACGTCCAGTCCCGCGTTCTCTTGCAGGTCCGGTCAACCCTAGAGGGCTCGTGGTTGGCGGTCAGGGTATCGTTGGAGCGGGTGTCGGTGTTGCGAGGAAAATTTTCGAACAGGTAATTGCAGATTCTTCATATAATATTCGCCACTATTGAAACACATACTGACCAGTGCACAGGATATTCTTTATCTGATGATTGTGCAGCTTCCATCATTGGAACAAATAGCTGAAGCGCGCACATATATGCCAACGGCTGACTTGCAGACGACCGATATTTAAAACAATTAGGGTGATATGGATAACACTGGTGGGATTAAAAGACAGGCGTTGACAGGCTTCCCTCTGAAAATGTTCTCGCGGGGTAAGACATAATAATTGCCAATCCACTCGCGACCGTCTGTGTCACTATCAGCCCTATCGGAGCGGAAGCTCTGATCAAGATTGAGTTTTAGATCTCAGGAACGCTTGCGTGCGGTGTAAAAAATTTATGTTGGGTCTCCATACTGGATGTATGACGTCCCATCTTTAAATCCGGCACCAGGCACCACCATCTGCGTGGTGCCTTCAGCGACTTAGATAGACTGGTGAAAGATTATCTGAAGTCAATTAATTCTCCTGCGGAAAGATATCACAATGCAGGGCCAGCTTAAATCGGAGCAGAAGCTCCCTCTATTCCATTAGCATCAAGAGAAATTTTTATCATTAATGGGCTGATGATGTTATACTCCCCATCTTTCACGGCTAGATGTGGGACCGGAGATAACCTCCGTTAATTGGCAAAGTTGCATCGAACAAAGAGTCATAATAGTGCGACAGCATCTATGAAAGATGCTTGAGCCTATACTATCAAGGGAAACCCCAGAGTAATTTAACGAAACTCTTGATGTCAACGCGTCCGGGGTTGGAGCCATGGGGCAAATGTTAAGCGAATGCGCCTTTGCCTCTGCTTATATGACGTAAAAGGCGAGCCCAATACTTCCGGCCGATCTTCACACTCGATAGAGATAAATTCCACGGCATAGCCACCAAACAGCCAAACTGAACAGGAGAATTTGCCAAATAGAACAGAACGATGTCTGAAACCTTGAAGCGAGATTTGCAACAGTACGAGGGCAGATACTCTATGGACGTGAGCGATATGCATCCTGATATGCTTGATCCTGGACCGACTCCGTCTCATACACGAAATACAAGTTACCAGGGAAGCTCAAGGCAGCCAGAGGAACTGGAAGCTATAGAGAAAGATACACCCAGATCACGCGAGCGACATGATTCAAGAGAGCAACTAAGACCGCAATGGATCGCCAAGGGATATTACGATGTGAACCCATGGTATAACCAAAAGAAAGCAAAGCCGAATTTCAGTTTGGGGCAACCTCTTCCCCGCATGGTGCGATGGGATAAGTCTACATCTCATGAGGATGGGGTGAAGCCCAATGACGATCTGGCTGAGTTAGGGGGAGTGTCTTCGGGCCAGACCTCAGAGTCGGGGAGTGAAGCCAGCCTCAGGAAGAAGGGAAAGCACCATCGACAGACGCCTGCGGGAGTCACACTAGGTGGAAGGTTCAACGACGCTGGTCAACCTGTACATGAATACATTCCATCGAATAATCAGTTGGAAACGCAAGCCGACTCAGGAGCAGAGAAGCAGAAAATCGATGGTCCAGACTTTGGGATTGACAGCGAGCCGCTTGGAAAGCGCGAAAAGGACGAAGCCGAGAAGCCCAACAGTAACTTAGACGATTACAGGAACTGGTGGGCGAGATTCCGTGCGAAACACCCCGAGCCCCTTGCCGAGTTTCTTGCCGTAAGTAAACTGAACTCGCCCGCAGCCCCAATGCTAATCACGCAACGCTAACTCCATGAACCTACAGACATTCGCAGCAGTGTTCCTCGGCTTAGCTGGCAATCTCTCGGTGTATCTCTCGGCAAACCAGGCCGAGAAATACGGTACATACGAGACCTCATGCTGGACTTGGGGGTTCGCGTGGATGTTCGGCATCTACCTAGGAGGCGGTGTCTCGGGAGCTCACATGAACCCCGCCATATCGATCTCGTTATCCATCTTCCGTGGCTTCCCATGGCGACAATGCAGTGTCTACGTCATCGCCCAGTTCATCGCAAGTTTCGTGGCTGCAGCCCTGGCATATGGCGTCTACCAGGACGCTATCCACTTCGCCGACCCGAGGATGGAGAGCACTGCCAAGGCTCTCTTCTCGAGCCCGAATATTTCAGTATCGCTTGGCACTGCTTGCTTCAGTCAAATGGTGGGCAGTGCTGTCATGATGGTTGCTGTGTTCGCTTTGGGCGATGACCAAAATAATCCTCCGGGTGCTGGGATGCACGCTTTGGTGAGTCTACACTTCTTCCAAGATCTACTTACCGAAAAGGTTAAAATATACGCTAACATTGGACATGAGTAGATTCTCGGATTGCTCGTCAGCACTCTCCGGTTCTCGCTTGGGTATAATATAGGGTCATCATTCAATCCGGCTTCTGACTTTGGGCCTCGCGTGATAGCCTACGCTTTCGGGTATCGAGAAGCGACAGTATTTAGTACGGGATGGTGGATTTACGGGCCATGGCTATCAACCTTGGCTGGCTCATTGATCGGGTGCTCGATATACGACTCCTTCATCTTTGTAGGGTCGGAAAGTCCTATCAATTATCGCGCCCCTGAAAAATATAGGAAACGAGCAAAGAGGATGGTCAATTTAGATAAATAAGTTTTTAATCGGATATATCTTGAAGAGGATTTATATTGATACTATGACCGTATGGTTCCACCTTCTGGACTTGATATATTCGATTTCTTCTACCTTTAAACTCTTATAGAGTGAAGGTTCAAGTTGCTTGTATAATAATATAATAATGTAACACAGTTTTCCAAATTGCCGGTCACGTTCTGATTTGATAAGAAATCAAGCTGGAATCAGATGCCACACACAAAATTGCTATCCTGTTGATTCTTTTTCAACCAAAGAACTTAAAAAGTTTGATGTAAAATAACATCTTAACCACAGCGGTGATTTTCTTCTTCCCAGTTCGTTGCGAGCCTTCCACCTTGCCTAGATGCTTTGCCCCCTCCTAGCAGAGTTGTCTGTTATCTGGTCTGACTAATATCAAGAGATAGCTCGAATCGTACGTGAGACGCAAGTAGGAACTCGCTTGGCGTTGCCTCAGATTGACGTGTCTCAAGAGGAAGGGATTGTTGATGATGCTGCTCCTGTGCAGGCATGCATACGTCATGTGCAGGACCCCTTACTAGCAACACCTCATGTCACGTATCCTATGGAATTGAACAATATATCGACTTGAGATGGTATCTTTCAAGATACATAAATGAACTCGTTGCTCTATACCATAATTGCCAGACTGCATTGAGGAGAATAATAATACAGGCACTAGAAGATACTACGTCGGACATGGTATGATGATCGCATATGAGCTTCGAGCAAACAATCACACGGATCACTCCGCTTTCCTATTCCTTGCCATTACACAGCCAAAGTAAGGGAACCGTCCGGGGTTTCAGATGCGACCATATGTACGTGCTCTGGGCTCCCTAGCAGTAACATTTAGTACCCAGGCCTAAAAGCAAGTCCATCAAGATTATGCTTTGCTTTCAAAAAAGACTCGGACTGCCTTCCACAAAACCAACTGCTTGAGCTAGAAATTGAAAAGGCTTGGCCTTTGTGACAATTCGTAATTATGAGACTGAGTATTACTTCACCTACCAGTGACAGAAGAAGATCTAATATGGTGCACGGGTAAAGTCGGCCTTCTCCGAGATCTTTTTCACTTCTCTGTTCGAATAGGACGATTTCCTCCCTTATTCTCTATCACTCCAAACTTATCATAGTCATCGTCATAAGGTACAGTGGGTATCTCCCTTACATAAGGGATCATGATTCGTGTTGCAAAGATCTTAGATGAAGTATAGATAGGGGCTGTGTGGTTGGTTAAAAAGATTTCTGATTGTAATGCGCTATACCCTTTTTATTGATATCTCGTATATTTGAATCAATTATGTTTATCATCAGCCGTTCTTCTCCTAATTGCTAGTACGCCCTTCTTAGGCTCTCCCCAAGAAGCTAGCTACTAATATCATTACTTCAAGTTACTTATTTCGCCTCCTTGCAATTTGACCACCATCCTATGCTTTCCCCCCTATCACGATTCTAGGACCACGTCAAAGAACTCTACTTTACATAGTCCTCGTCTAGATATAGAGGCTTCCGTTGCAGTACCATATATAGTATACGCAGACGATCAGGGGTTTGATATGATAACTTTCTACTTTCTGCGTAGTGTAGCGGTATGGTGCCACATGTCTATTCGTCACAGCTTCAAACCCTTTGTACAACAACAAGTATCATAAAGTGCACTTGCAACTCTCGAGCCTCTGACCCCTCACATAGCCCTTGCCATATTGCGGTAAATCCGGAGCAGGGAGTCTCCTATCAACTTGTGTCGTAGTTTTGGGCTTGACGCGACGCTCTGGTATAGGGGCTTCTGTTCGCATGTGACTCGCCCTCATACATTCCTCCCTTTAGAGTAGCAGGGGTAATCCTAAATACCTATCTCATCACGAAGAGCTGGAATTGCACAGAAGGTCAACGAGGGCGGTATGTAGGGTCCCTCCAGGCCTTAGTGTCAAAGTATATAGCAATTCCCATTCTGCTTCAGCCAGAACCTTCCCACATACCACACACTCTAACTGCTATCGCACTCTACACAGTCCGCATCAATTCATTATATAACCGCAGCAACTTCAGCAAATATCTAAGCCTACCCTCAACCAAGCCTCCGTTCAGCGCTTTTGTCGTCTCTATGAGGTACTATCCCAGCTTGTCCTGCTTTCTAGATGTGTTATTACCTTAGCAAACAGACATCTTGCCCCGACTGCCACGCAGTTCTGAGCACTAGGTGGGACCAGTTTATACAGAGTTCCGAAAAGTGTATCAAAGAAGGGAAGTGTCTAGGACAGTTGATAGGAGACGTAGAGACGGAAGATGGCCTCTTTCGCTGTAACCAATGCGAGCTACAACATCTTGCGATAGAACGGGCTCGTCTGGAAAGCCAACGCCCTTAGAGCAACAACGGCGCCGCCGCCGCTAAAAAAACCACCCATTCCTCATTTATCAAGGTCTTTTTCCACACTTTAGTTATAACATCACAGTTCACACCGCATCATCCGTCTTCAAGAAAGCCCCCTTTATTTCCAAACCTCTCGCCCATTCACGCCATTCGTTAAGCGCATATTGTTGAACGTAGGTGGGGCTATATAATAACCGTTAGACCGCTCGAACGTCTAACGGCGTCGTTTTTGACGTTCGAGACATATTTCCTAATGTGTTATTACGTTCGAATCGACATTCAGTGCCCTTATTGCAGGTCTGTCATCGGCCGTCGTTGGGGCGCTCTCATCAATATTGCTACGGCTTGTAGAGACGCTGGACACTGTTTGGGACAGAGGAGAGGAGACACGAATTCCGAATACAGCCGTCGTAACTGTGCCACTTGCGCTGAAGGATTACGCCTTGCCCGTGAAGAACGACAGCGCCAGCAGCAAGAACGGGAAGAACAGGAAGAACGACTACGCCGTCGCCGTCACCGACGCTGGCGCCGCTATTATTACTAGCAGATTGGTCATTCGTTATCTATCAAGGGCTTTTATCGCACCCTAAAATACACCCATTTACATCACGTCGCATCCTACCTCCCCAAGTTCGCTATTTAACGAACAACATATTCAGCATAAGGCGCAAAGACACCTATCGCTAAAGAAAGCCTCCGAGTCTTGTTCTGATTTCGTTTAGCTTCAAGATGTGCTTCTACATTATCAACACCGTCTATTGCTCTCGATGCTGGTGCTATCTCGGCTTCCGTTGGGGGCCTTAGTTGGACAGTCTCAACTATGCGTGGAGCATGGGCGATGCTTGCCAAAGCAAGTTTTTTGGTTACACAGGGACCATCATTCTGAGAACGTCTGCAACTATTCCAGTCATAGACGCTGAGTTAATGGTGGAGAACCCCCTTTTAGCCCTCGGTCATAGCCACATCCGACATACTATCAATAACTATCCAGCAAGGCGAGTTGCGTTGATTATCCTAAGACAATAATTCCTTCCTTTCTCTTTACACGCGGGGCGTCTACTTGTCATCGTACAACAGTATCAACAGGGCGAAAGACGTCCTACGAGAACAATGTCCATTTTCAATGTCACTCGATTCTCTAATTTGATTTCCCATTGCTTTTCAGTTCTCACAGCAAGGTAAAGCAATGACATGTACCATGTTGGGGTATGGCGACGACTAAAGCAAGGTGGGTGGGTTTAATGATTATGTTACCAATTCTTTGGTTTAGATGAGTAGGATTTGGATATTCAGCTTGAGTACTCTTTTTCCACTATCAACTCAGACGACCTTTCAACGATTGAAGTTTGCCGTCAATAAGGTCTAGGATAATTCAATGTGAAGAATCATTTGCACCACATAATTGTTTCCATGCATTGTGTGCTTGTGTATTGAATGGCCATAAGACCCTAATATAGGGAAAAAGCTAATATATGAGCAGCAGTTGCTTACGGCGCTCATGCTTACAAAGCAATGGCAGCCAACATGGCTTTTGTGAGCTCATCAAAATAATATCGCTGTAAATTCTAGGTTTAGTAATAGAGTCATGTCAATGCCAAGGCGGGCCTTATGGCCACGAGATTGCAGGAAGAAATCCTTATATTGACACATATATAAATCACAATCTACCATATGGAATAGAGTGCAGCGAGAGTATCTGCCAATGCACCGCCAGAACAAGCTTTACTCCTGAAGCTTCATTCTTGTGATTCTAAACACTCCATACCCACTCCACGACGCTGCCCACTGCGCCAAGTCAATGTCCGCGTGCTTTACATCCTTGAAGCCACGATTAACAAAGAAATCATGATGGTTAGGCTCAGAGCATAGAACGATGGGCAGTTTTGCGGCTTCGGCAGCTTCTTGGGCGATTTGCAGCAACCACGACCCGATTCCCTGTCCTCGGCTAGATGGTTCGACATACAGATGAGTCAATTCTGATAAAAATGAAGGAGAAGTGTTAGTGTATGAATCAGACTATGGATGTTTTGTTTGTAGTAAGCCGTACCCATGTATTTGTCGGTCTCCAATCTTGGCTCCAGTTTCTCAACTGCTTCCATGACCGCCTGGTACACGGCGGGATTAAATGCAGCTGGGATCTCCTTCTTCACCTGGTTCTTTTCTCCCCCGGTGGTGGCTTCAACGTCACCTGCTGGAGTGGACGGCTTTTCTGTGTAGAATAGGTGTGCCACGGCTTGCCCAGTGGTGTTGTTGATCACTTTCAGAGAGGTTGTTTGGGGGTTGGATACACCACCTTCGATGGCTCTAGTATAATGTACTTTCTGGAATTGATCATTAGGCCAGTCCTTGACCAAAAATCGGTTGATTGCTAATTGAAGTTTAGAGGCCTGGAGGAAAGCGCTGATGAGAGGGATATCTTCTTTGGTGATGGGCACCACGGAATAATTTGGGACAGGCATAGTGTAATGAAGGCGGTGGGATGCTTATGTGAAGTTCTCAATAGTCTTGAGGAGAATCTACATTACTGAACTTTCAAGTGTTGGAAATCAATAATTTTATACACAAGTAGATAGACAGGCAGCAGAATTCTTGGAGGACGATTGCGTATGCTCCGGAAACTACAATGCGAAAGATTGATTCTGCCTACAGAATCAGGCACCAATTTAAGCGCTGAAGAGTTCACACCATGCATAGGACGTAGATAATCTTGTGAAAATTACCCAAATCCAGAGTTCATGCCAATGCTATATCAGAATATTACTTAGCATTCCCACTGATATGGAAGGTTCTTTTGGTGTAGTGAGAGTCACATGACCTCCGCTAGAGCTGGTCAGCTTAGGCACTTCGCAATTCGGCGATCTTCCACTTTAAGAACTCCTGCTAACCTAGTCAGTCTGGTCATCCGGACCCCTACGAATACAGCAGGCATCGCTGGTTTTACTCACAGGCTATGTAGTATTATTCTGTCGTAAATTAAAAAGCGGCAATTGCATTAAGAGCCTTGACTATTAAAGGTGGTTATGAATAACAATGAGATTTTCCCCGTCCTCTCATCCATCAAACCAAAGCCTTGTTGCGCTTGGCGATAACTATCTTGTCCCCATGCTTTTCCCCAGCCGGCCAGGCCATCGGTAGCCGGATGACTCCTTCGATTCAATATTAGGTTTGGAGCACAGATAACAGTCTCTAATTACACTGGATATAACCCACCGACCGGGGTCTAGAATACCACCTATCTATCACAAGGGTGTGAAAAAGGTGCTGCAAAAGACAAGGAGAAAAATAAAAGCTCTCGATCGGGGAATCGAACCCCGGCCACCTGCGCATTGCCTATGACAAGCAGGTATCCTAACCACTAGACCAATCGAGATGAAAGTAATCCAAGTACAGGGTCTGGCCGGGGATTGAACCCGGGACCTCTCGCAAATTTGCCGTAGGGTGAACCCTAAGCGAGAATCATACCACTAGACCACCAGACCAGACTGTTCACGATGATTCGCCGCTGAGAAACAGCAACCATCAATGCCTGATGACGACAGCAGAAAGTTTTCATAGCTCTAGACAAATCCAAAGACTGGTTGAATGCTGTGATGTACGCAGTATCCTGAACGATCGGGATAACGGCGTCATACTTGCTAAGGTGGCACAGGCCCTGGAGATATGACTGATGAGTTCAGGTCCCAGGATTCATTGGTGGCGGAACGCCTCCCGGGGTGTCACGGAGTGAGTAGAAGGCTAGACACAGCCAAGTAGGTAGGTAGAAGGGTAGTGTATGGGTCAATAATCCATTGATTCTTGAATCTCTCAACTGTCCAAGGGGTCCTATCACGCTTTTACACAACCAGAAGGCTAATAATATAGCCACCCTGAGGGTCTATTGGGACCTTATCCTTGGCATCCTCTCAGCCCAAGAGATTCAACCCCTCAGCACAAAAGACATAGAAAATAGACTCAAGGAGACGCGGATATGGAAATTCAATAATAGGCTGACAGTCACCGTCTCATTCTAGGTTGTGATGGTCTGTAAGAGATGAGTATCAAACGAAGGGGGATCCACGACCAGACTCCTACCCAAACAAGCACCCTAGCAATTTCTCAACATATAGATCAGCGAACAAGGTTAGGAACGGCCTTGATCCATCCGCACTGCGCGAAACATCTTCAAGTCGACGTCACGAAACTGTTTCTCGTTCTTCTCGAAATCCCAAAACTCGCTTCTCAAAACGACCAGGATCTTTAGCTCCGCCTTTGTGTCCCTGATCAAGGAAAGCATAGTATTAATGTATTCCGTGCAACTCTCTTCTAACTGCGCTTCGCACAACTCTGGTCGATTCAAGATAATGTCAACGCGACCTCCGCAGCAGTTGATAGTGCGAAGCAGAGCATTTCGGAGCCCCTCAAGCCTCTCATATCTCTCACTTAGAACACTACTCCTGGAAATCTGAGATTCAATCTCTCGATAATCTTCGGCCCGTTCAACAATTCCTGGGTTCCTTTCGAGCAATTGAAAGATCAGGCGCGATAAAGTTCTCTCAAGCGTGCTGTCTTTACCACCTCTATCATACGCAGCTAGGTTATTCGCTTCGAAGTGTCCTTCAGCTATCTCGGTTGCAATAGGGGATAGCCAAGAGTGGTTGCTGCTACTGCCCATCTCATTTCGACCGTACAGCAGCAATAGCCCGCGGCCTGGGCTTTGCCAGAACTGCCCACTTGGTGTACCCAAGAAATGCCGTGCATCTATTTTCTGTCGACGCCTATCGCCTATAAACTGATGCTTAAGAATTGATTGTTCCTCTTTGAGCTCTTCACGCATGTGCTCAGTTCGGTAGTTCTGTAAGTTCAGGATTGTCACTATCTCTCCAATAATTCTCACGTTCTCTCGATCTTGAAGCACTGCCTCCGCTTTAGCTTAACTTTCACGGCGAGAAGCAACAACACGTACTCTTGTTCTTGATAGTAAGGTCATCGATCTTCTCCGCAAGTAGCACGCTGCATCTCTCACTTATACGATTTGAGGTTTCTCGCATTTCTTGCTCCATAAGTTGGAACTCAGCAACTCTGTTGAATTGCCGCATGTATCGTACTACTCATCATTAGCTCCTTCTATGGTGGGGTGTTGCTAAATGTGGCCCGAGGAATCATCATCTCTCACGAGGACATTGTAGTACTCACCAAATCCGTGGGGTTGGAAGTAGATTGTGACTTTTCGTGCGAAAAGAACAATACCGCGGTATGCTTCTGACAGCATTAAACCCAGTTTAGGATCAGGATAGATGCGCTCGTATACTTTGAAATCCGGCATCCGATCAGAGATATGAAGGATGCTCGATTGGATGGATGCCTCTGCCTCAGCCTTTGCTTTCACGGTCTGTTTTGATGGTCAGTAAGGGCACGTCGATCAGGGGAAAATACTGAGGGATCCTTACAGCAAATAAGAGGGAGAGTGCTGCAAATGCAACATTGCCGAACTGCGCATCAGCATTTTGGATAATGCTGACGACCCCAGAGTATGCCTTCAGAAAGTGGCTGAAAGTCACTGCGAAATCTTGCAACCGCGCTGCACGTTTATGAAAGCCACTCGACCTTTTCTGGCTTAAGTCTTCGCCAGCGTCTCTCATTTTATCCACACTGAAGTTTACATAATCCGAGAGCTGTTCGAGGGGGAGTGAATTGATGTACTTAGTGAGGTCTTCCCCAGGCTGTTTGCTTGATTCCTCGGAACCCTTGTTGAAGCGTATAATAGAATTAAACTCATTCTTAACCTTCTGCCCAAGCTTTAACAGACAGTCGTCAAGAAAGGCCTGAGCACCCTTAAGTACATCTTGGGCTGGCTTAATCTCGTTACTTTCGAAGTCAGCGGGATTGTATGGAGACGCGGAGACCATTGAACCTACGATGCATCTCCGTCTGGAAACCATCTATTTCTCCAATCATTCTCCATGATTCCCGATAGCCTGTGGGCGTATGAAGTGGACGGGCTAATAAAGGAGTAATAATGAGCAGTGAAAACTGAGTGGCCTTTTGGTATCCGCAATAGCCTCTCAGTTCTAAGCTATTTGTTGAAAGTTATATCACGCAATTATGGCCAATTTCTAATTCATCATATTAACAATTCGGTCCTGATTATAGCTATTTGAATTGTGGATCGATGTACAGTCGAACGACTGCAAGCATTGCCTGGGGCTCTCTAGCACAAACGTAGTACTGTGCATCAAGCCGGAATGGCGAAGTTCCTCTGCAGGAAATAGTTGTATTCCGACAAACTATGAAGCGAACAATGGCTCCTTATCTGCATGCAGACAATATCCCCGAGTCTCCCCTGCTAACCATCCTCCATTCCATGATGAAATGTACCGCTATCGACGAACCTAGACCACTGTGTTTGAAAGTACATGATACCCCCGCTCGTTTACAAGGGGTGGGTTGTATACCCAGCTTACAGCTCTGACGTGGCCAAGTCAGCCTGCTGAGAGACACGCCGACACTCTCCAACAGACCAATGGGTTGAATAACGGCAGTTTCTGGGTAGCCAGAATAAGATCAATGTTGGTCAATTGTGCATTTCATATCCTTGGTAAAGGTTCTGTTGCGTTGGGGGCGAAGACTGCAGAGCCTGAGAATAGACAGTTAGGACTGCTTTAGTGTGTATTCCTTCCTTCACTCCGGATAGCCGTAGCGTTGCAGGTTTTCAAAATACACTGAAGGGCAAGTATTCCGAGAGCGAAAAAAAGGCCGGCCATTTTCGTGCACGCTTTGCGGTAGTATATTATCTGTTCACGATGCCGCTGTCGGGAAAGGGGCAGAAGGTCGTCACCGTTATAGTAGTCGCTAACAGCCTGATAGATGCGGTGGAAGGCGGAGGGTACAGGCCAGGGTGGCGAATGCATGTTACTGTGGGCAGGTTGATATCGAGGTAGAGGCATTTCTGAATAGAATTGTCTAAACTTATCTGTTCCTTTGCGCTATACTTGAATATACTTGTAGAGTTTTGATCACGTTGCCAAATTCCAGATCGCCCGGAATGCCGTTGATATGAATGTCTGGAGATGCTAAATAAAGTACCAACAGTAAGATGCGAAACTTCTAGGCCGCATGCACCTAAGAAAGCTAACTAAACAACCAACAGCCATATGCGTAGCGCTGTAGCCTCAACGCCGTTTGAAGACACAACGAGAGATAAGTTCAGATCAGGTTTTCGTGTTGCGGTAGAGGTGGTGTTGGGCCCTTCAGGTTCTGATTTCATGGTCACTCATTGGGTATACTAAGCGTCTTCTCTCCCCAGTATACACATCATTCCGCAGTTGGCGCCTCTGGATGCATAGTTTATAATTTATATTAAACGTGGGGGCTAAAGGAGTGACTTAGCTGTCTCTTATTGGCCCGAGAGAAAGTAGAAAATCTCGAAATCTCGTCCTTGCATGTTATCAACAGGTTAACATTCTTGAATGAAGCATGTAACTGCGATCTTGGTATGATATTGATTGGTCTAATAGACTGTTACACGCGTACAAGCCGTACACGCTGAATATGCAGTTCGCCTTGAACTTCGGCCGGACGAAAGGCCATTGCAGGCTGTTCATGATCGTTCAAAGACATGCAGGCAATATTAGGCAATATCGGAAAGTGAGGTTATACAGACTTCGCTTTTTGAAACAAGTCCTTGAGACCTAGGCGGTCTAGGCTGGCAAACTAGTTGTATATAGAGTCGAGTCAAGCCACCAAGACTAAGATAGAATTGGTTGATCAAGGACTAATGCAGCCCTAGTTGGTCATTATATTGTGAATAGCTTCAATTCCAAGCCCAGTCACCGGCCTTTGTTATAGTACAGACCTAAACTCTGTGCTTCGCCCCTTGAGCAAGCGACCAAGTCTAGCAGTCGCTGGTAAGAAAAAGCATGGAGAGCCTCATCCCCCTCACGAAGTGTGGTGCACATGTAAGGACCCCTGATTAGCTGTTGGTTAGATTCGCTGCACATTGATAGCTGAAATATGCAAGTCCGTACCAACAATGTAACAGTGCTCCGTTTGATTCCGATAGAGTAAACCAATTAGAAGCGCCTAAAAATAGCCGCACTGCTTGACACGATCAATGAAACCAAATGTTAGGTCCAGTAGGCTCTATGAGAAGGATCTGTGACCAATCTTGTAGTCAAATGTAACCCATGTGCATGTTAGAGTGAGTCATTTCTCATGTTACCCATCAATGGCTGTTACATCAATACTTTATGCAGTCGACCGCATATGGCCTTGGCCGTAATCAGACCACTTCAGGCTTACATGATTGAGGCTCATTCTGAGTGGAGTGATGCCGCCTTAACACGGAGATACAGTGTGCGATATATGGTACCGTATTGTACTCCTAATGGTGACATCGTACAAGTGTACCTGCCATCGGGGTAGATGTGATCCACACTTTATTACAACCCTCACTCAACAACATGGAATTGAAGCAGGCTGGACTGTAGTCCCAACAATAGAAATAGCGGAGTGTATATGCCTTGCATGGGTAGCTGTTGGCTTGTCGATGGATACGCGTTATAAGCTCTGGATAGGCCCCGTAAGCGGCTACTAGAAGTCACGCAACGTCGCCCATCGCCATCCAAGATACTCGTAGTCTATAACACCAACCAATACTTGCCTGCTGACGGGTTTCTTGTACTTGATTGTAAAAATGCCTGAGGTGGATATATCCATCTCGACTCATGCAGCCACAGAGTCGACTCCTAAGAAAGATGTCATTGCTAGTCTCGAAGATCGTTACATCCAGCTCTTGGAGGCGAAGATTGTCCATCTCGAGTCAAAGATTGAGTTTCATAAACCAGAGGCTGCAATTTCAGAGGTTAGTGGAACACATTCTACTGCCTATCCCCGAGAGAACAGTAGCATCAGAGCATGGTATCATACTGATAAAGGTATAGGATGGAGATACCCCTGGCGACGTGGATTTAGAGATTCGATCTCCAATGGTTGTGACCAATCTTCATTCAGTACGTACTCTAATGAATAAGACATCCCGTACACCTACACTGACATGTGGTTGTCAAACATTAGGGCCTGAATGGAAATCCTGCGCAGCAACCTGACGAATCTCAGAAGCAATCTCGATATCAGATGATACTCTCCGGATGGGATCCTCGTAAAGGACAATTTGAAGAGCAGTTACTGCCGGATATCGAAAATGGCTCCCCAATTGGACCTATAACAAAGCCTAACCGGGCATTTACTTTCCGTAAGATCACAAATGTCAGAGGCTTGCGCCGTCATATAGAGGCCGACTACTACTCGTCATCAGAGGTCGATGTGATCTTCCCGGAACTACAGAAACTGCTCGGCCGTATCACATACAAGTGGGGATGGCCAGAAGTGGTTACTAAATGTTCAAGCCCATACATCGCCTTGATATACTCGTGGGAGGAAGCCCAGAAGGAAGCAACGACTATTGTTGATGACGAGTCAGACGACGAGAAGCAAGCCCGCGATGATTTGAAAGAATTGCTAAGAATAATCTCGACTTCTTCTGGTGATGTTCGCCTAGATCGGTATTTCAAAAGCCGCCAGGCTCTTTTGTGTGAGGGCTCCATCACACATGAAGCACTTTGGACCTTATTTCCACCAGGAACATTGGTAGTGGGCAGACCGTGCCATGACGAACTCCAAATTTTCGTCGTGGAATCCTGCCGTAACTTTGTCAGAGACGAAGATGATTTCGCAATGGTGTGCTACAGCTTCGACTGGAATGGCACGGTTTTCAGTAGAGTACCGTTCGAGATCTTCATTGAATCATGGGGCGGTGAGAGAAAAAGTGTGACATCGCTTCCATATTACCCGCTGGAGTTCTACGAAGAGGATGGGTTGAGTCGTGAGGAGTCAATCACTAAACTGAAGGAACGTCTCATTAGGCGGGGTAAAAAGTTCATGGAATACTGCGTCGCTCCAAAGGGGAAGCAAATGTTCAAGTATTCGAATGGCGCGGCATACTTCCATCAAAGCGGCACCCTTTTGCAACGCAAACAGACTGATTCCAGCATGGAGTTAGAGAGTCAACGGAACAGTTCGTCTACAAGAACAGATAACAACGGAGCGGCAGCCATTGGTGTGAGAGCCAGCTGGAAGCCTGTGAGTTTGCGTGGCGGGAGTTCACCAAAGTCGAAGCTAATAGTTACAGATTGAGGGCGCAGTTATCGTTGATTTTGCGTCGTACCTAACATACCAATCAGCCCAGGCGCCGATACTAGGGCCACTCGAGAGATATGAAGGGCTTCTTACAGAACTATCCCCTTCACGACGCACCCAGGAAGTGTTCAAAAACATGTATAAGTTCGACTGGGATAGACACACTCCTGGGCATACCATGAGCGCTGAGCAGTTTCTTTGCTGTCCCCCAAGAGTTCTGGGATATGCGCTAAAACAGAAAACATGGGTACAGCTTCTAGTCAGGCATCTCGTCCCCCCCAACAAGGCCGATGATAGCACCTTCAGAGATAAACTGCAGCTGGAACAGGACGCCAAAAATCTCATTTACAAATCTGTAAAGGCGCACGCATTGTCAGGAGAGACAGCAAAGGAAGGGCTTGCTGATTTCGCGCCAGGAAAAGGAAGGGGATTAGTTATTATGCTATACGGTATGACGCATTCGTTGGTGATATCCAAGCCCGACTCGTGAGGCTAATGTCAATAGGACAACCCGGCGTGGGGAAAACGCTGACAGCAGAAAGTGTTGCCCAAATGACAAGTAAACCTTTGCTTTCCGTGGGCGTATCGGATATCGGCATTCGCGGCGACAAGGTTGAACTGAACCTTCAGAGAATCTTTGCCCTTGCTGGGTTCTGGGAAGCCGTCTTACTATTGTAAGATTCTAAACTCACGGAATCACCTGTGCTGACTAACGCGCTCCCAGTGATGAGGCAGATGTCTTTCTCGAAGCAAGAGGAGAAGGAGACAACGATCTTCAGAGGAATGCAATGGTTTCAGGTAAGAGCCCTGCATACCCCAAAGTTTGAGGCATGCCGCTCACCGTACAGTACTACTACGCGTCCTTGAATATTATGATGGCATACTGATACTGACCACGAACCGAATGAGGTCGCTCGATATCGCTGTACAAAGCCGTATTCGTAAGTGCTCACGTGTGCTATGCATCTAGTAGTAGAAAAGCTAACGGTCGATAGACCTAGCCATCAAGTTTGCGGAATTGAATTCGGAACAAAAAATCGCCATCTACGAATCCTTCTTAGAACAGCTTGACAACAAAGGCCTTGTTGAGGATCTGGAAGACGTTCAGAGGTGGACTAAGAAGGAGGGGAAACGGTACAAATTCAATGGTCGGCAGATACGCAATGTGCTGTCAACCGCGTTGGGTATTGCGCGGGCAGATGGTCGAAAATTAAGCAGAGAAGATCTCATCAGCGTTGCACAACAGACTGAGGAGTTTAAGCAAGACCTGCATGAACAGGAGACCATCTACAAAGACAGGCAGCTCAACAATCGAGCTTGAGGGGTCGCCGAAGAGAAGTAGGAATATTATGTTAGGCCATGTCTAGGAATCTCTCTCTCTCTCTTTTTCTTTCTAAGTACTTACTATCAAGTTTTTTAACACTAGGGTAGTTTAGCGCTAGATTAACATGGATATGGTCATTCCCTTCTAGTTAAGCAAATTCAACACAATACCATAGTATGCCTACGCATAACTCAGCCCCAGGGTAACTAACTATGTAGGGCCACCTGATACTCGAAAGGTTATTTGTTTATTTCTTGGGGAAACTGATAGCTACTTACGTGTAATATCTACAGATAGAGTGATGAAGCGGAGATATGTCGGAGACTAACAACGATTAGCGAAGCGGCAAATAAAGAAAGCGGACCGACCAAGTCTAGGCCCCGATCAGGAAAACCCCAGCATTCTTGATTCAAACGGGTCATGATTCGCCAATTCTCCAATTCGCCATTCTGCTCGGATGGCCAGCTAGCTGTATCTGGTGTAGTGGCACATTGCGTGATCACCGTCTTTCAGTGCGAAATGCAAAACGCGGATTCGCCGCCGCGGTGCTTTTCAGCCTCTGCCACATGCTGAATCCCGCCTGGCCGCATCGCCAACCCGCCCGAGCGGATACGTGCATTGCCCTGTCTGCCAATCGAGGCCGACCGACATCCGCTGCCGACACTGCTTTGTTCTTGCGCCATCGCAGTATGCGAATAACACAATGGCCACCGTCAACGTCTGGGGCGACCATCATCTGGGGTAGTGCCAGAGCTAGAGGTGGGCAACGGCAGGCTTTTTTTTTTTTTCTCTATTTCCTTTAGTGTATCTATTAATTTTCTTCTTCGCCTGAGGCCGGTGTGTCTAGGTTTGATTCCACTTATACCTTGATGCTGCTGCTGCATTCAAGCGTTCAACTTTAATTCAAAGCCTCTAGCTTACTGCTGTGATTTGAACGCCATCCCGTCAAGAAAATACTTTTATTATATTGCTCGGGGTGTGCTAAATTTTCTTCTTTAGGTTTCCCCCGTGCCTGTTTGTATCCTGGACACGGCGCATCGCATATACCTAGTAGCAAAATAGGGATGCAGTTGCAGCAAGCCGAGAGTGCTGGTGGTCCGCTCGCTGATCAGATCACAATGTCTGACTCCCAAAGCAAAAGTGCTGAATTCGCTAAGCAGTCGGCGAACCTGCCCTTTGGCCAAGCTGTGCCGCTGTCTTCGATATCCGGCCCTACCTATGTCACGGGCCAATTGCTCGTGCAGCAGGTCGCTTATGCCCTGTCCGACAAGATCTTCTCCTACTCCCCCGAGACTTTCGACCTAGATGTCGCTGTAAAGGACTGGGCTGCGCAGCAAGATAAGAACATTCATGGGTACACAACTGCTGTCTTGCCCCTGCAGACTCGCACCGGTGCTGGCGCTTTTGCGCTGGGCTACATCTTCTCCAAAGACTTCGATCTGAGCAAGCGCCATATCCCGCAAACACTTTTGGCACCCTCGCTCAGTTTGCGCCATTTGCGATCAGCCTTGGACCAGCTGTCTCTGCTGTATGGGGTCGCTAGCCCCTTTGTTGCCCACGTTGCTGCCGTCGACTATGCCTCGGAGAGCGGTCTTGTTGCTGAATACAGCGCCGCTCTGCAAATTGCCGAAGAGCTTGGCCTAGCTCTGGTGTCGAGCGCATCTGCCTACGAGTCTCAGCACATATCGCTTCTCGCTACTTTGATGGCCAAGATCGTTCCTACGCTGCATGTGTACGATGGTGTCCGTACATCTCGCGAGACACTGCGAGTCATTGACGCGCTGAGCCAGTCCGGTATCGCTGACATCTTCAACAAGCTGTCCCAGTCTATTGACGGCTTCAATTCCCGGCTAGATAGTGCTGGAAAGGTTTTCGAACTTCTTCAGGCCTTCAATGGTGAGCTTGGTACGGAGTATGAGCCTTTCGAATATGTCGGGCACGAATCTCCTGAAACCGTTTTCGTTGTTTTTGGTAGCGTCGAGGCCCAGCTTGCTAAGCAAGTTGTTTCAAAACTTGCTGCCGATGGTGCTCAGATTGGCGTAGTCAGTGTCCGAATCTACCGCCCATTCATCGAGGAAGCTTTCATCAAGGTCCTTCCCTCTTCAGTTCAGAAGATCACGGTGTTAGGACAGGTGTCCAATGACACTGCTGTCGCAGACGCCTCAGTGCAGTCGATTCTGTACTCTGATGTTTTGACCGCCGTTTCTTTCTCTTCCAAGTGGACACCAGCACCGGCTATAGTTGATGCCAAGTATGCTGCTTCGCAGGTCCTGACTCCTACGAGCATTGCAGCCATTATCTCCCAGAACGTCAACAAGTCAGCAACAGAGTCTAAGGTGAACTTGCCTCACCTACAAACTGTTGAGCAATACGTCTTCTGGGACACCGACGACTCCAAAGCACGTCTCGCCCCTGCAGTTGTGGGTAACCTGCTTTCTCAAGATTACAACAACAACATTTACCTTGGCGAGTCTCACGACAACCTGGTGCAGGGTGGAGTTGTTCGAACAGATCTCCGGTCCTCTCAGAAAACAATTGACGCTCCTTACCCGACTGAGGAAGCAGATGTCGTCGTTGTTGGCGAGGAGAAGCTCTTGAAAGAGTTTGCCATCTCACAGAGCGTTAAGAACGGTGGAAAACTACTCTTGCGACTCTCGAATTTCAAGGAAGAGGAGGTTGAGAAGAGGATCCCAGAGCCGGTGCGCCACGATGTCCAGAAGAGGAACATTTCTCTCTTCGTCTTGGACACCGCTCTCTCGCCTGCTTTTGAGAACGATAGCGACGCTACTAAGCTACTGGTTGAGCTCGGCTTCCTCAAACTTGCAAAGCCGGACTTGAAGCAGGATATTCTTCAGAAGCTGTCCGAATCGAATGGTAACAATACCAAGGTGGAAGAGTGCGCCGACGCTGTCGAGAAGTGTTTGAAGCAAATCGAGGTTCCAGAGTCCTGGGCGGAGGGAACGAGCGAAACCCCAAGCGAAGTCAAGCCCCTGAAGACTAACAGCTTCGTCCCCTTCGACAAGGAAGAAGCTGAGCCGGACCTCCAACTGAGTAGCTGGGAGGCCGCTGCTAAGGGTCTGCTCTTCAAGGAGGCATACTCTACCAGTATCAACCTCCGACCCGACCAGACGGCGCAGACGTTCACTATTCACGTCAAGGAGAACCGCAGACTCACACCTACCACATACGACCGTAACATCTTCCACATTGAGTTCGATCTGGGTACCTCTGGTCTTACTTACAAGATTGGCGAGGCTCTCGGTATCCATGCTGAGAATGACTCCGAACTAGTCCTTGAATTCATCAAATCTTATGGTCTAAATGCTGGCGATCTCGTGCAGGTGCCCTCTCGCGAGAACCCAGCTATCGTCGATACCCGAACCGTATACCAGACCTTGACCCAGACTATCGACATCTTCGGCAAACCACCGAAGCGATTCTACGAGTCGCTGGCCGAGTATGCCACCGATGAGCTGGAGAAGAAGAAGCTCGCTTCGCTCGGCGGGTCAGAGGGTGCGGATGAGTTCAAGCGCCGCTCCGAGATCGACTTTGCCACTTTTGCCGATATCCTCGAAGAGTTTAAGTCTGCCCGTCCTAGCTTCCCCGAGCTAGTCCGGCTGGTCGGTCCCTTGAAACGTCGTGAATACTCCATCGCCTCTGCCCAGGCCGTCTCGCCTACCAGCGTCGCCCTCATGATCGTCGTGGTAGACTGGGTTGATTCCCAAGGAAGAACCCGCTACGGTCAAGCCACGCGCTACTTGAGCCGCCTACCCGTCGGTGCCGCCGTGACTGCATCCGTCAAGCCTTCCGTCATGAAGCTGCCTACTCGCGACGACGCTCCTCTGATCATGGCCGGTCTGGGTACTGGTCTAGCACCCTTCCGAGCCTTCGTCCAGTACCGCGCGATGCAGAAGGCTCAAGGCAAGGAGATCGGAGCTATCCTGTTGTACCTCGGCTCACGCCACCAGCGTGAAGAGTACCTCTACGGTGAGGAATGGGAAGCCTACCTCGACGCGGGCGTCATCACGCTTCTCGGCGCCGCCTTCTCCCGTGACCAGCCCCAGAAGATTTATATTCAGGACCGCATGCGGCAGACTATGAACGACATCGTGCGCGCATACATCAAGGACGAGGGCTCCTTCTACCTCTGTGGCCCCACGTGGCCAGTCCCGGATGTCACGGATGTGCTGAAGGAGGCCATTGCCGCCGAGGCTAGGATGAGCGGTCGCAAAGTCGACCCCACGAAGGAGATCGATAGACTGAAGGAGGACGGACGTTACGTGCTCGAGGTATACTAATCTCGTGCCTGCTGCATAAGCGACGTGTAATGAAGTTACGATTCCACATTAGCATAGATCTGAACCTTCTGCATTACCACACTAGAATCAACCCCTTTCTTGTATGGGGCCGTAGCTAGCTACACGTATACTATATAGAAGAAATCCCAATGAGGAAGTTCTCTGATCAACCATGACATACCCATATCGTGCAATTTAGATCCAGGGGTCAGCTGTGTCGTTTAATAGTATAGCGTGGACGATCTGCTAGGATAGTACATGCAGAGTCAGCAATTCCGACCTCCCGCCCTGCAGCGGTGCGTTGCGCTCCGGATATCTATTGCCAAATCTGGGGCGAAAACGTGCTTATAGGTGTAATTGGCGTGCAGTTCCGATGCTACCCCGACGCCGACTGTAATGCTCAAGCTGCTATCACGACATATTTTTTTTTCCTTTTCCTCACATCTTTGTGAAGTGTTGACATACACTTGCGCTCGCTCACATTCGGTTGTTATGATGCTCTACTGTTGGTGGCATGACACCTACTGTAAGCTTTGCATCGTATACCTACACCTTGATACGCAAGTGGTTGGCATTAAGACTCTGGGACAATTTAATGGACGTTGTCTGTCTTTTTCCTCGTACAGCGTATAAAATTGGGGTCTTGTCTCAAGCAATAGCGCAATATCCCCTCTCATGCCCTGTATAGCGCCAAGCCATGGCGTTATTTTCTCCTATATGATGCCTTTTGGCTAATGTGTAAGTAAGCAGCAGGCCCGTCTATAAGAGACCCCTCGCTCCCCCGCACGAGGCGATCGCGTGCATATTGGGGTACCATGACGCGAAATTATACTGCAGAACGCGACGAGCAACAGCTTGCGCCGGGGCTTGGGAAGCTGTTGTGACTGTGACTAATATGTCATAAGCACGCACGCAATGTCTTGTCCATTCCATTGAGGAAGCTCGCTTGCCTCTTTTGTCAGGGGGCTTTGCTAGCCTGTGGGCGGACACCAAGGGAGGTAACAGGGTGTAGAAGAGGCAATAAATGCATACATAAAGCTCGCGTCACCCAGGCGCTTCCGCCTTGATCATGCTGGGCGCGCGCTCTCTTCGGTCCGTAGTATAATAACCGACTCACTCTTTCGCGATGAAGCTTCTCCCAATCTCGTCCGCGCTTCTCGCGGCCAGCTGCGCAAGTGCCACGGCCATTGAACGCCGTCAGAGCGGCGGTGGGTTCGAGGACGGCCAGCCTATAGATGGCAATGGCAAGGGGGCTCCGATCGTAGGTAAGTTTTCTCGCCATTGCCCTCTCTTATCTAGAGCCGAAGTCGTGAGGGTGGTGTTGACTAACTACCCTGTGTGCCGCAGGCGGTACGAATCACCAGATCGACCTGCAGAACCCCGACAACCTTGGGCGGCAGAGCACCGACGCCGGCGTGGTTCCGAACCTCAAATGGAGCTTCTCCGACTCCAAAACGAGGATCGTGAACGGCGGCTGGGTGCGTGAGTCCGTGATCACCGACTTACCTAGCAGTCACGATATCGCAGGCGCACAACAGCACCTGACCAAGGGCTCCATTCGCGAGCTTCACTGGCACCGCGTTGTACGTCTACAGCAGGCCGCTTATCCAAGTACCCGGTGCAATGCGCAATCGATTATGCTAACAGCAACACCACAGGCGGAATGGGGTTATTTGTACACGGGCTCGCTCATAATAACAGCGGTTAACCAGGACGGCGAATTTGAGCTCTCTAAGATCGAGGAAGGCGACATCTGGTATTTCCCCGTGGGTGTTGCCCACACGGTGCAGGGCCTCGAAGATAACAACGAGTTCCTCCTGATATTTGACGACGGGAACTTTGACGCTGTCGGGTGAGCTCTCGCTCCATCCCTATCCTACATGACCACATTGTGTCACTCTCGAAGGAAACGGGGTATTAACGCTCTTCACTCTCGAACACAGCACGACGTTCAACGTAGACGACTGGATCACGCACACCCCTAAGTCCGTTTTAGCGAAGAACTTCGGCCTTCCTGAGTCCGTCTTCAACTCCGTGCCAGCTAGCCCATACATTGTCAACGCGACGATCGACCCGCACGACGTGACGGGCGGCAATGGCCAGTTGAAAGGAAACGCGTCATTTGTGTATTATTCTAAAGATCACCCTCTCGAGGACGTGCCAGGTGGCGGCGGTACTTTGAGAATCGTGGACAGCACGACGTTCCCCGTGGCAAAGACCATTGCAGCAACGGTCGTCACGCTTTCGCCGGGTGCGCTGCGAGAGTTACATTGGCATCCTAATGTATGTAACCATGCCTGTCTTGCGCAGATATTTTCGCTCAGAAAAGCTTGGTGTGGCTAACCAGGGGTATCATATAGGCTGAGGAATGGCTGTACTTCCACAAGGGCCAAGGGCGCGCAACCGTCTTTATTGGCAGCGGCGCGGCGCGGACATTTGATTTCCGGGCCGGCGACACGGGCGTGTTCCCGACTAACAGCGGTAAGTCAAGTCAATTGCCTCCTCGCACGAGCTGCGCCTTCAACATATGCTTTGCTGTAATTATCCTGGCAATCAAACCGGCTCACTGACCTTCTTCTCCTTAGGCCACTATATCGAGAACACTTCGGAGACAGAAGATCTCGTGTGGATCGAGATCTATAAGAGCGACCGTGTGGAGGATATCTCGCTGACACAGTGGCTCGCTCTCACCCCGGCTGACATCGTCGCTAACGTACTCAAAATCCCGCTCAATATCGCCGAGAACCTAGTCAAGGAGAAGCAGCTTTTGATTAAGAACCGATGAGCATAGGTTGAGAAGGATACGGACAGATCGCCTTTGGTTTATACTGCATCTCCATATATTTGCGTTTGTTCGCTCCGAGAGTCACTCCTAATATCGCATAGCGTCCAGTCATCATGCCATGTACAAGTATATTGTTATGTCTTGACAGGTAGATACCTAAGCCGTCATTCGTGTTCTTCGACGGCACCTTCGACCTAGCACCTCCGCCCGATAATTTAATATTGATTCAAAACTTAAAATTCTACCAATTTCCTTGCCTGGTCAAATGTCAATAAAACGCCAACTTTAGTACATCCTTAGTCATTCGACAGGCATTAGATACGCTCTGCTTATAGTCCCGACCAGGCCCGACCGACACTAGAGTGATATAGAGTCTCCTTGTTTTCCGAACCACTTATAACCGTGTTACCATGTGATATGCTCCCCAGCTTCCAGGCCGAATATATCGAAAATGGGTAGGGGTAGGTTCATGGCTGTCCAGTCAATATCAATAGCATCTTGTAGTTGCAATCCTTGTATTTCTCCCATGGTGTCGTTGCCCATTGTAGTCTGCATAACAGCGGAAGGGCCGGCTGCAGCATCACTAGGTAATATTCGTGGTTCCGGAGGCGCCTGGTCCGATTGTTTACCAAGCCTTTCGCCGCGATGCTGATTGAGATGCACCATGGTGTCCCAGACTATGGAAGCACCGAGGCGGTTAATGGTAGTCAGCCCACCAATAGGTGAAGATACATATGGAGATTCGTCTAAATTCGCGAGGCAGATGAGATGTTGGATTACATCTAACCCGGTCTTCATTTCGGTGTGATGTGGGAAGAGCCTGTACATGTTATAGACCTCAACCAGCGCTTCGACGGTGGCCTCGCGACTTGTGGTTGGCCGCATATACGACGTCCGGAAAATGAAAATGGCCGCGAAGAACACTACCGCGAAGTAGAATCTCGGATAGCACATAGGCATGGTCACACCAGGCGCTTGCTTTTCGGGGTCTAGAGCATCGCGAATCATCGTCTTCACGTCACCGATCGCACGCCAGGCAGCTTCCGTGCCTTGAATAATGAGCGTCTGTGCCTCGGTAAACTGCAGACAAGATCCTTCCTCGTCTTCCTCCAACATTCGCACGAGGGCCGTTGCATTCAGAGTGAACTCCGCATATTGTGAGATCACGTCGACATCGGTGCTCCATTCCGTTGAGTAGGTCTGTCTGATCATATCGAGGGAGCGGCTAAATGTCTCCACGAGGGAAGGTTGCGCCGACGAGCCGTCAATCTCTTCCAGGGCTAGTGTGTAGTTACAAATAATCTCGTTTATGGCAAGCTTGGGCCTCGCGCCAGGTGGCAGGTGACCTTCCAGCGCGGCCACAGCCTTCCGGCTGCGTTTGAGATGGGGACGGCTAGACAGGGGCGGGAGAAGGCCCAGGAATGTAGCCTCTCTGTAGACTATTTCAGCATTGAACTAGTGAGTAGAGCGATACATGGTTATAGTCGTACAGTGAACTGATGGCAAGGCATGCTAACCATGTTAGTCTCCGTGTCTGTATGTTGACATCTTCGGGCCTGGTGCTCGATCGTGGCCAGATGGGAACTGGCGGCGCCGGCGCCGTTCTGTTCAAGTCCAACCGCATGCAGGCATTTACAGCAAGACCAATATGGTTCCAAGTGGGATTCGATTCCTCCACCCGCCTCGATATTGGCCAAATGCACAATAAAAGAAGCGCATGGATCTCATGAATTGACTGGACAGCGGTGTTTACGAACGGCCTCAGAAGTTTCTCGTGTGGCAAAAGTAATTTATCGTATAAGCTACTATGCTCTATATGGTAGTGCGATGCAATCAAGATAATAGTCCAGAAGAGCAGCGGGGATGAAGTGTAGAAGTGCGCCAGCGATTCGATGGGTTGAATGAATTGAGCATAAGGGTGATACTGGTCTCCGAAGCTTTATCGAGATCAGTAGTGGCGAATGAGGAGGAGTGAGAGCAAGAGCTGGTGGTATTATACCTACTTACTGTTGTATCAACTCAACTGCGGCTCTTGCGGGAACGGTGAGATTCTCTATGGAAAAGTCGGGCAGAGGTTCCGTGAGATTCGTGTATAGGAACGGGAGGTGGATTGATAAGCATGGTTCTGGCTGCGAGCGCTGCAATTGCATTTGCAATGGTGACCGTCGTCTCTGCCTCAACCCAGAGCTCTCTTGCGAGGTGCGCAATTGATGGAGCTCGTTCGTGAGGCTTGCGGTGAGCCTGGACCGGATTGTAAGGTGAGTGAGACATGTGAGATGAGGTGACCACGGAGTACAAGTATAGCAGACTCACTTGCGGGTAAGGATTCTCTTGAAGTTCTTGTCGAATCGGCATTCAAGCTGGTTCTTAGCGCAGCGTGTGCACGGCGCATCGCCAGTCTTCCTACGCGCATCGCAAGCTACCTTGGCCTGCCGGCAAGAGGTGCAAGACCTTGGAGTCCCAACCATATCGCGCAGTCAGACATACAGAGCGGAACTCTATGTACGTGTTGTCATGTCTCAAAGATTGCTGGATCATTCATAAACCTGTCAACTAACCTAGCGTCAGGTACGGCGAGCAAGCGTTCAACTATCTAGTCGCGTTCCGGTCTAGAGCTTTCACTAGCGGATAGCTCGGTAATTCCTAGGCGCTTGTTGGCCCGATCCAAAGCGGCCCGCCCTCGCGACTAGGGGTACCAGTCAAGTAGTGCCCTGTCGGTACGGAGTACACGCTTCAGAATAAACGGATTGGTAGGAATGGATAGCAGATTAAGCAGCCAGGTTAGATATCTCTTTCAGTTAACTTCAAAAGCACCGCGACTTCAGTGACTCCTATTTGTAATAATGACTGGGTTGGCAACTTGGCGTTAATGCACGTAACCTAAGACTATGAAGGCACCGGAGTTCCAGGTTTAGGGCCTAATGCCATAATTCAGATAGTGAATTTCCTCCTCAATTCGATAAGGAGCAGAGCGACTGCACGGAGATAAATACCTACAGTAGGTAGGGGAGATACTCATAAGCAGTTCCGAGATTGCATATTTACTCAAGTACCTAGGCTAGGCATCACCCTCAAAGAAAATTATCGACTTCTCACATCTTCTTCATTACCTTAATAATGACACTTGTTGAGTAGCTTCATACAAAGGTTTTCGTACATTCGAAGTAGTGGACATAGTCTTTTACTACGCCACGAGGAAAGAAAGGAAAGAAGGTTACGAAGGTCCGTAAGAAGCGAAGGCTTCCTTTCAAGTTCCAGTTAGTGTAAAGGCACGCGTGCTGCGCACATGCAAATGTAACCAACACGAATTTATATGGCGTTTGGTGTGTACGCGCGTAGGGTTGCAGCGTAACTGTTCCCTACACTCTGCATCGCAAAAACCACCTGTACGAACCCTGACAGACTGCCACACGGGCCACCTCCCCAGCCACGCAGGCTGTCAAAATGCAGACTCGAATTGTCAGGAAAATAAGCCGCATAGCTTACTGAAGGAAAAAAAAAAAAAAAAAAAAAAAAAAAAAAAAAAAAAGGCTGGTATAGTATACCTCCGGTCAATGCGTACTTAGGTAAATAAATCTTGGACCAGATTTTCATTAGAGAGATATGGTTAAATATGGTTAAATACATGCTGAGTTAAGCTATTCGCAGCCATAGGGGAGCAATTTAGCAGTACCTATCCCTTTGAATACCACGAACGCTCCAATCCTGCCAAGACTTTAGATGTCCAATCAGAATTTCTTGTACTTGTATCTCACTTAAATATATAATCACGGGTACGAATTAATACATCAGTTTTAGTGTCGTCTTAAGAGGGATTTAAGTATCAGTTATTTGATCCACTAATAGAGACTGCAAGAGACATAGCACGTGATAAGACTGGGTCAGCAATATATTGGAGCGTTCGTGGTATTCAAAGGGATAGGAAGCTGTTGTACCATGATGAGGATTCCGCTAACTTTAGTGAACTATGCGCTTGCTTCTACTATGCCATCCGAACCAGCAACATTAATACTGTAGCCACTAAGAAGGTGCGCCATTGAATACTTATAAATAAATCTTCCTTAATGGTTTGATTTCCGTAGATATGGAAACAAACCAAGGATGAAGTTAAGCAAAACCCCGGCTTCAAATTTACTATTGAACACGATCGTGTGCTGTGTCAAGCGGAAGAGCATGAGAGGTCACACACATGCCAATCAATTTGCATAATGTGTTTCTGCCTCTCTTCTCACAAGCCGGAAAATGGATATTTTCATCCAAACGGTGATATACCTCCTAATTTCTAGCTCAGAACTGATAAGACAATCCTATATTGCGATTCATTCCTATGATGTTATATTGAGCTCTGAACCAAACCATAGTCCATGTTAGTGAGGCCCGTCTTCGAGGGCCAGAAAACTGACGTCCTGATCAAAAGTTATAAAGACATAGTACAAGCTTATTGCAATGTTGCGAAACAAAGCCGTTGTGGGTGATAATACTATATCATTGTTTGTTAAAGTCTGGGGGATGGAACACGGGCCTAGTTTTGCGTACTCCGGACAACAACCACCGTTGTTCAATTGTCTATAAAGAGGAAGGCTTTATCTGACCTGGACTCTTGAAACCTTAGCTTCATATTCTATAAATATCATTACAGAGATTACCATTACAGAGTTCGCCCAACGCTAATAATTAACTACAGCAAGCATCGATATTACAATGTCAGGGTCTCGCGACGTACAATCCTTTCAGGAGATCCGTGACATTATTTCATCAACAAATCCGCCAAGAGCACCCGAGGCAAGATTCCTTCTTACACTAATTCAAACTGTTGCGTTGGCGTTTCGAACTCCAGACTCGCCTAGGCTAACAGAGCTTGTAGAATTCTTTCATCACTACGAGAATGTAGCTGGCAACTATCCCGAGAATGAGACAGACATGCCAATCCAATTAGTCAACCAGTGGTTTTCCCTTATCGACAAATGCTTTTTCTTCGGCGTTCTTACAAGTACATTGGACACACAACAGGGTCCGCGTCAGGTCGTAGAGCTCCACGTCGAGAACAACCCTTCCTGCTTTAAACGCCCAAATTGGCATGCGAATGGTTGTTACGACACTGTCAATCGTAGACTATGGATATGGCTGAAAGTAGTTGACCCTCTTGACGATAATACCGCTAAAATTGCTCGATTGCCAATCCTGAGACCGTTATATACAGTCATCCATGAGTCTATACATGCCTACCTCGACCTCTTCGCAGATAAGAATCATCCGCTGTATTTCGAAGAAGTAGGCAAGGATCGTGGCCATGGGCCAGTGTTCAAAGAAATACTTCATCTAGTTTCAGAGAAAGTTGAGGTACTAACAAGGTCCACAATGTTTGCCGGAGAGCGCTATATGGATCCCTCTGGCCCACCTGGCTCAGCAGCCCCTCGGCCTCCCCCTGCTAATAATTCTGGCACCCCTCATCCTGCCAATTCTGACAGCCCCCCTTCTTGTAATTATGATTGTATATATCATACACACATAGTTTAGACAATTCTCAAACAAGGTTAAAAACTTTGTGACGACCTTAATTGTTTATCCTACTTATGGTGGCTTTACCCCGGGATAGATAAGTAGTTAGATTCCCCGCTGAGGAGGGTTGACATACGATCAATTGCTACAGTTAACCTCGCTGTACAATTTGAATCTCATATCTATCTATTCCATGCTTGAAATCTCTACAGTTACATTTAATACTTCTGCTTACTAAGTTCTCATTTTCATATGAAGTCGACCATGGTGGTCATATACATGAATAATTGCAGCTCATATAAAAATACTACAGCTTAACTTATCTGATTAGCCTATCGTAAATTCTAGCCTGTCATTCTTTGTAGAAAGAGTGGACCAATAGAGGACTTCACCATCGATGACTGACTTGACCACGCCACATTCTACCTAGGTAATTATTAAAGGCCACGAACAATGTTAGAAACCATGAAGGGAGCCGAGTCACTCCTTTAGAATGTAAAATGTGATCTCATAGAGTTCATGAAAGCTGATCCAATCATATAAAGTCAAGGTCATCCATTCTGACCAAGGCAATGAAAGGGGCTAAATGGAATTAACGAACCTTAGCAGCCATAGTATATTATTGCGAAGATTTGACGCGACGCTCTATCGATTTTACTAGCTACCATATATTGAAGTTCCGCGCTTAACATCTAGATGTCCCTCCCCTATATTTGGCAACTGCAGGCCAGGCCCTCTAAAGTATTTCTTGTTTTCCCTCTTTTATGCTGCTTATGATTGTATCAACTTCTGCTCCTCAGGCAACCCTTTTCTTGTTATCTGTAAATAACCGAAATGGGTTTATGTTAGTTGTGAAGATATGCGACTTCAAATAGTGACCACTTGGGTAATATCGATACTTTTGGTCAGGCCATCAGAACTATCCATAGAACATTTTACCATTCAGTATTACAGTCGATTCTCTTTATTATCAATCAAGCAACCAGGTAACATGCGTGTGACCATCTTGGTTGGTAGGTCAAATGAGGTTGTGTTACCAACTTCCATTGCACCTCAGAAGGTTGTTAGACGTAGGTGGGGCTCACCTAGGGTGACCCCTGGTGATCTCATACGATCTTCAGCGGTCTGACCGCCAGGCTTCTGGCTATAAAGGAGCCTTCCAGACCTACTCGAGGAGATCTAGATAGTCAAGGCATATAGACCAATATAGAGCTTCGTTTCTGGCCCCGTAAGTGCCCCGCCAACGTCTGAGAAAGGTATAGGTATTAGATTAGGTAAGTAACCCCCGCGCCGGTGACAAATTGCTGCGAGGTCGATTATCGGCAGGATACGGCGGACTAATCTCGTCCTGTATCGTGTACCTACATGTAGCAGCCTTCCCATCCTGTTCAACTGTGCTAGCGTGATGCAGAGAACGATCCGTGACAGTAGAGATCATTGTTTTCAAGTGTATTTGAAAGGTGTGCTATCCTTGCTCAATGTTTCAACAATATGATGACTCAGATCTCGCTGGGGCCTCGCCCACGGAATCGGAATCATCTCAATCTCCGAGATCCCGATCGCATGCAGGGCAATTCAATGTTTAACTTCACCATTGCCGTACAGCATGCCCAGGACCTCTCACGTTAACTTTAGGCATCAGTATCAGCGAACCTTGTGCCCGCGCGTCGTTCCGAGATCGACTGCGGCTACACTGTGGACGCAGCCTGTCAGATTTGCAGCTGCCCTTTAAGACCACGCGACTAAGAGAATGACAGTCCATTACCTTCGGTGTCAAGTCAAATGACATATCGTGCACCACTATGCTACGCTCAAGTACCACTCAAATCACGACGTGTTCTACTAAACTAGCAAGCTACTACGCGAGATAATGACAAGGCGTCGACGGTCGACCCCGACGGATCCTATGTATTTCATTCTCGGTCCGCGCTCCGTCATTAGCGCAGCTTTGATATATCTCTCTTGAATAATCGACTAAATCAAGATTGAACAACAGCTGTGTAAAAGACAACTAGGAAATAACAGTATATCATTTAACATATATATCCTGGCGTCCACATCTATCAACCCATCCATCGCACGTCTCGCACTTCGTTCACCTACATGACCTTCAACAAAAAGATTCATTTTACCGGCGTAGCTATTTAACATCGGCTAAACTATCTGGTGGCGGACTGGGCCTGCCATCAGCATATATACTATTTATCTGCGCGCGACTAATCGCGCCCTGCTCTCTATGACATAAGACTATCCTATTTTAGCTACCAATCCTCTCATGAAAACCAACCATTTAGAACCTACTCCAAGTCTCTGGGTGTCTTGGCTTTTGGATCCAACGCATGAGGTCCGCGACCGTAATAAGAAAATGGAAGAACTGCAATACAAACACTTCCAGATCACAAACTGTTAGTTAAGCGCCGACTATCGTAACATCATGTAAAGATTTAAGAAGCACGTATGCATGTTAGGTGTTGGCATGACAGTAGCATATAATCTCAAAAATTGCTTACAGTCAATGAGATTGTATTTCCACCCTTCCATCAGAGTGAGGTGTTTCACAATGTCCTCTCTGTCACGCAGTAGCTGCAGTTCAAGGACGGCAGAGAACCAGCTCTGGGGGGTCCAAGTGCCTCGATTATACGGGCTGCCGTTGAGCTTAATCGCCAAGGCCGTGTCAATATGGTGTCCCGTCTCATGGCTGGCTTCGGTGAAAACACAGGCTAGCGCCGCAGTCGTAAGGACGAGAGAAGGGCCAACCATTATCACCCAAGTATAGTAAGAGTACCGACTGAACTTCGCAAACCATCCCGTGCGGTACTGTGTCAGGTTTCGAAGCCAGAGAGAAATAAAGCCTAGGACCCCGACGAAGAAAAACGCCGTGACGGAAGCGACGTTGCAGAGATACAGCTGGTAGCCTATGAAGTTGCGCGGTATCGCAGCAAGATGATGCTTCCCCCCAAAGGCCGTGAAATGGAAGGCCTTGTGGCCGCTGGCCAGTTTGCCCAGCCAGGTGAGGGAGCTCCCGGCGAAGGCTACCTCGACAACGGCATCCAAGAGGAGCAATGCCGTCGCTATTCGCAGGGCAATTGACGTGAAGGAGGGACTCAGTGGTGATCTCTCCCCGTAGAACACCATGATGCAATTGTCAGCTCGAGAGAAAGGAATACAGACCAAACTTATCTCAGTGATGGCTTGGTTGGGCACAGGCGCCCTGTTTTATGAGATTAGCAACCATGTTTTAACTTTTTTTAAAAGGCGCAGAGATGAAACTTAAATATGGGCCGCGTGAATCTAACATCTAGTCATATGCAAGGACAGAGGATTATAGTGTAGACGTGCTGTTGACGATACGTGACAGGCTCACTTCGCTTGATTTTGTGTCAACGTTCGAAGTTTGCTACCTTCTTGCGCATGGGAAGGCTAGGTTGTCACTTCTAGACAGCCATTTGCGAAATAAAAACCAACAGTCAGACGCCTCTACTGACGCAAGGTCCCGATTATTCAGCGCCATACCGCTCTTCGTTTTATGCTCGGCACCTCTCGGGAATAAGTTCGATGAGAACTTCCATATCCATTACGTTTGCGCGATTAGCACCGTCGACAATGTCCCTAAATTCCCACAAACCACGCTCTGTGCTTACTAAACGATGTCAGCTTCAGTGTGGCAAATGAGTGCAGCCATAATTCGATAGATTGCTACTTTATCATCTTATATGAAGAAGCCACCTTAGTTATAGTTTGAAGGACCCATGCATACATAGCAGGGTCAAGCAACGGGTGTAGCTAAGTATATATTTAATGAGTGAGTGAGTCAAGCTGCCATACTAGGACAGGGGACTCTCAAACTGAGAGTACCGTTCTGTCTCGACCAGACTTGCGTAGGTACCTTGGTATTTAAACGAACCTCAATTCTAGGAACTCCTATTTTGAACACCCGTACTATATTCATCCGCCAACCTCCAGCATCGCTTCAGCCATGGAAATTCGAAATATTCGATTAGCGTTGTTGAATATCCGGGGACAAGTGATGTGCTTGGCTTGGGTTCATGGGCATGAACGTTCTCGCTCCTTGTTGAAAGGATAGAAGGAATGTAAGACGGCGAATTGATGTTGGATGTAGATCTGGTGCGGCGAAAGCTGGGTCTTCTTCGTTCCTCATCTTTGTCGTTGCCTTCATCAATAACATGGAATTTATCTGAAGCATGGGATTGACTCACCAAAGACCTTGGAATCTCTTAGGGTTATCTTTGGCGTATTTCTTCTTTTTCTCTTGCAAAATTCCGCATGTTTACCAAGTTATGGAATTCAATCTATGCGTCTGCTGGCACATTCACACCTAGGATGTCAAGTCTACGCCGTGCGTAATTGAGAGCCTCAAACGCTCTGTAGCTGAACTGCATCACCGCGTCAAGCGTCCAATTCTGCCACTCGGCTTGAAATCTCAAGTAGAGAGGTTATGTCACGGAACGACATAAGGAGTGCAGTACCTATGCCACTACGCCACCAAAAGGTAACGACGAGTTATCAAGTCGAGGGCTTGGCGTCTCTGCACTCACTATATATATATAGTACTGTACTGTGACAGGTTCCAAGGTACTATATTCCCTGATAATTTCAGCGGCGGCACGGCTTCCGTCAGCCATTGTTCTGAATAGTGTTTGGTGGTAGTTGCTCGGGTACGATACAATGAGTAGAGGGTGCTGGGACTAGGAAATAAACAAGATAACTGGATAGATTCGGAAGATGAAGTAGAATACCAACTTGATATTCGCTCGATGGGACTGGCATATTTGTATTGGGAACGTCTACCTATCCTACATATGCAGTGAGTTATTGAAATAATGGGCAATGGAGAAAAGGAGAGTCAAATACCAATCAATCACACCGGGCTCAAGGGAAGCCAAAGTGGCATACAAGCTCTCTATGCTACTGGAATGAAAACGTTGAGGGTACGTGGGAGGCGCGAGGTTGTGGGGAAGATCAACAAGCAACTCTCTTATAACAACCAAAGGTTTGATGTCGTAGTGGAACGTGATGTACGCCACATCTATACTAAGTGTCGCCTTGTTTGCACTGGTCGTTGAACTTAACTCTTCCAACCCGTACTATCATGTTTGCATAAGCCTCTACCATCTCTAGCGATTATGCGCAAAAACAAAATCAATCGACATAGTGTATTGAGAAGTATGTAGTAACACCACGATCGAGCCACGAGTCAACGCTAGTGTAATATGAGGCAACTGATTGATATGTTTTTATATTGGCGGACCCTCCTCGGCCAACCCGGTGCACTCAAGGGATGAGCTTCTCATAACATGTGACGTGGAACGCAAGCCACTTTCTGAGAACCAAAATGACACCAGAATATCATCAGCCAACCAGTAACAAAGGGAACAACAAGCTGAAGTACCCTGTTCTGGCTCCTCAAAACTATCGAGATGTATCCATGAGTGTGCCTCAAGTGGAATATAGCAGTCTAATCAGACTACATGATTCTTAGCTGGGTCGATCACCTAACGTCGGGGCTACATCCCCTCTCGTGAGATTGTAGGGAGTCATAATAACGTAACTAACCGACGTCGTAACCAAATATCTTACTTCCAATTGCCGTTTTCTCGTCTGCAACTTTCGATTCGCAAGTTGAAGGTCCTGGTATAATTCTCCGCTGATTTCGCAGAGTTTGTTCGTCGCTGTAACATCCTCATCAGACGTCAGGTATGTACTCACGGCGAGCATGATGACTTTAATTTCATTGACGACTTTCTCTATTTCTTCAGGCCACATGACTGGCCAGTTCTCCAAGGATGGCACGTTGTCCCTCAAGGATTGGATATAAGCAACGGGATCTTTGTCAGTTGCCATTGTATGTGGTAATGTGTAGTGTTATGTTGTAGTATTTGGGCCAGTAGATGGGCGAAGTAGTATAGACTAGAGCCGAAGGTAAAGGCAAGACGATGAGTAGAGTTGGAGAATGATGGAAGCTGACTTGAATTTTCAGGTAACAGCGTATTATATGATTATTGTGCGCTGAATATCGAGAACAGCTGCTTGCCTAATGCACTCCCTTGTCCCTGGAATAACAGCCCAATGAAGTGAGCTAAGAAAACAATCACGTAGTGCTATGTTCAAGGGGGTGGAAAAGGGAGTGGACAAGGCGTCAGATGGTAGCATTGACGGGTATGGCAGTCATTTTCGTATACTTATGACGAAACCCCCTTTGAATCGGTATAACGAGGTGACAAGTCCGTAAACGATGCTAGCAAGCATTACTAGAATGAGAAACAGGTGTTTGTTAAAGGGAACGCAGCACGCTCCCTGCGTTGCTACATATAGTAAAGGGTGCGGCAAACCGGATATATACAGCATAGACAAGTAATTGGTCAAAAGCTTTCAGAACCTGTAATATATTGCTTGGTGATGGCCTCACCTACTGGCTCTGAAAGAACGAATCTTTGAATTGCCCTGACACTCTAGATTGCTATCTACCCGTCAATATATGGCCGGCTCGCAACTACTGAAGTCACAATTATCCACTTTCGTACTACCATACTCCTATGAGTCGCTAAGCCTTCTGAATTTATGTAGTATACAAGTACGCATTACTTGTCAAGCTTCTGTGTGCCCCCATCATTATAGATCCGTGTACATGGTATACATTAAGAAGGTTATCGCTGTGCGAAGTCTTGTAAGGCAGTTTTTCTTTACTTCTAATGCGTGTAGTCTTTAGTCACCTGCGATCTTGATCTATCCTAATACAATAAATGTGCTACGTGCTGCTTCTAACTTTTGGTCTATGGGGCTCTTCTGGTGGGGTCAGATTCCATACTACGCAAGAGGTTAATGATATAGTTGCCTTGTGCACTTTAGCACTGTTCTTTCTGAGGCTAAATCAAAACAAGTAGCAATGAACAATGAAATCAGCCTTGTCATATGGTGGCGACAAGACTGCCTGTCAGATACATGGATGATTGGGAAACTTGAACGGTATATCTTAGGTGAGTCTACCGTAATAAATGAAAGAAAAAGCAATAGGAATAAAAAAACGAGGAAATGAAAAGGGTAAAAAGAGAAAGAGAAATAAAACGTTAACGTACAACACAGAGGATTCGCTGGTCATCACCGGCCCAACTACTAATTCTGCGCTCATACCGGCTTATCTATGGGAGAGCGGACGGGATCCCGAGTTTTCCGATGGCTATGGTCGTACGTGACAACTCCCACCTGTAATACATTTCATATATCAAAATTACCTGGGCATGGCAACCTGCCGATATCCAGCTGAGATGCACTTAACCCATGTGAAAGCATGCTACTATACCTTGTTTGTCATGGGAATAGGCGATAGTCTTCGACTTCACCAGGTCCTCAACTCCTCAATGGAAAATACAGATCTTATACTGCGATGCCAATCATAAGGAACAGAACTAACTATGGCAATGAATAATATGAAGCAGGTTGTCGATTAACCCATGCTTTCTCTTCGAGGAAACGCCAAGACACGTTTCCACCCACTCGGGTATACAACCTTACCAGCTATGATGTTGACCAATTCGGACAAAATTTGTTGCCGTGTTGCAATCATAAAGGCTGAATAAACGCACCAGTGTACAAGTAAACATTGCTTGCAATGAACATGTATAAGCATAGAGTAGTCTATGATAAGTCCCTTGGAAAAGCTGCGATCGCGAAGTGAAGGGGAGCTTGGGGCTCCTTACTCCTCAGGCACCAATCATCCAGATGCCCCAGACCTGCAAACGGCATCGTTGACTGGCATCATAAATCGTCTCTAGTTAGCGAGGCAGTCCACAAGGAGACGACGGAAAGTTAGTAAGCTGTAGAGCCCCACGATTCCAATTCTATCTCGCTAATCTGCGCGCGCGATCTAGGGTACCGAGTATCTGGGGTAAACCGGGGCTCTCCCGCGAGAGAGGGTGACCGGGTCCATGCCATGGCATGACAACTTAGGAAGCTGTGCGGATGCAGTAGAATCTCTTATTGGCGCGCATTTACACTTTACAGCTAACTAGCTGGCCTTTGGTCCTCGACACGAAAAGCTAGCATTGGCACTTCCCACCGACAAGTCTCGACCACGTCAGTAGGTAGACAATCAGCCGGCCAAGGTGGTCAAGGGCCACACCAGCGCCGTTCTGTCTGCGCTCTTTTTATTCCGAGCGCTTTCTTTATTTCCAAGGACACAGCGCCGAGGAATGCTAAGAGCATTGCTATCACGCGCAGAAGACTTGCTGGCGAGCTAGCTACCATATAATTGAAACCGACTAATGCTCTGCGTATTTCCCCCTCGGCCGAACTGGTCGAGTCTTTTCCTCCAATCATGACGCTGGCGATGGAGCAAAATTGCCGGATTAGGAAACCATGCTACGGAGAGCTGGTGCCGACCAAATAGGGACACCCTCTGCATGAATCTGGCCGTCTCATCGTCAAGTATAAGATCGGCGAGGGCTGTCAGCGAGGAAAGCATTGAGTTACGGCGATGGGAACGGGCGATTCCTAGGATTTTTGTGCTGGAGAGATTAGCTTGGGTTGATTGACGCCATATAGAAGTTTCCTCGTTGTTAACATGGTGTTGCTCGGGACTTTGATCCTGGGCTTCATACCCCTGCTGGGATCAGTGCTAGGCTACGCCAACCCAAAGGCGTGCTCGGGAACTTGCACCAACTCGCACGATCCGGCCATCATCCGCCGCGCCGACGGCACCTACTTCCGGTTCTCGACGGGCGGGAAGATCGCCATCCACACGGCGCCAGACATCGCGGGTCCATGGACGTACCGGGGGGCGGCGATTCTATCCGGCTCCTCGATTAACCTTCCCGGCAACCAGGACCTCTGGGTAAGTGAATTTACAAGCTATCTTTCTACACGTGGAAAACGATAGTTAGTTAGATAGAACCCCCCGACTAAACACAGCACATCTCGTAGGCACCGGACGTGACCCTCGTTGGCAACACATACTACCTGTACTACTCGGTAAGCACATTCGGGGTGCAAAACAGCGCCATCGGCGTCGCGACATCTTCCACGATGGACGCGGGATCATGGACCGACCACGGCGCCACGGGCGTGCGCTCGGACTCCTCCAAGCCGTACAACGCCATCGACCCGAACCTGATCAACGTCGACGGCACGTACTATCTCACCTGGGGCTCGTTCTGGAAAGACATCTACCAGGCGCAGATGAAGGCGTCGCCGCTGACGCTCGCGAGCGGCGTGTCCTCGTACCAATTGGCGTACGACCCTGCGACGACGGCTGTCGAAGGCGCCTTCGTGTTCAAGTACGGCAATTACTACTACTTGTTCTACAGCCAGGGGAAGTGCTGCGGGTACGACGCTGGTTTGCCCAAGCCTGGGGAAGAGTACAAGATTAAAGTATGCCGGTCGACGACGGCGACAGGGGGCTTCGTGGATAAGAATGGTGTGGCGTGTACGCGTGGTGGCGGCACGGTTGTGCTTGAGTCGCATGGGAATGTGTACGGGCCTGGTGGGCAGGGTGTCTACCAGGATCCTAAGTATGGGCCGGTGAGTAATGCGAGCTCGTCTGTGGTGATTCTGCTATGATACTAATGTTGTTGTTCTGTGTGGATCCTTTACTACCATTATGTCGACAAGACTATCGGCTATAGAGACGGCGACAAGCGGTTCGGCTGGAATACGATTGACTTCTCCAGCGGCTGGCCTGTCGTGTGAGTTGAGTGATAGGAAGATGCATCTTGTTGAGCATCACAAGTAGAGCTCTGTATAGATGCTGTGCCTACTACGAGGATACAACCTACTTCATTAGATATACCGATCTTCGCAAGAGAGCATAACTTACGATTTGGCATAAGTGAATAATGGTAACTAAATGACAATAAGACATCAGTTACAATGTCCTAGTTGGAACAAGCAGTCCGTCCTGTGGCGGCAATCTGATGCCACATTGCATGTACAACCACCCCATAGAGCTTGATGAGACGGCTTCTAGTTTCGACAACTAGCTTCCAATCATAATAAGGGTCTAGATGTCCCGTCCTCGGAGCATGCTCAGCTCCATGTAGAATGATCGGGAATCTGGGGTACATACGAAGTAGGGTGGCAGCGTTGACGAGGGCCGAGACAGAGAACTGACAGCACTAGCGGCCTCTCATGTCTGCTGAAAAGGTAATCAAGTGTTCTCTGATTGGTCGACTTGTTGTCAATACAATCATACAGCCAATCAGCAAACAGGTGATGACCAACACTCCATGATGTCACGAGAGGGCATCGAGGTACAAGTGTACATGGTAGAGCTGTATAAAGCCCGTTGTTCTTCAGTTAGATGGTCAGTTATTGTGTCTGTCGATTATCAAACAGAATATCATCTACTTCTCCTCACTGCTATTCCACTCAACTACAATATAACTAAAGGGCCTCATCTTGTTTGACCGCCCAACTCACCTCACATTGCCTCACCACCTACCTACCAACTCACGCTCACCCTATACAACAATCACCATGGCCTCACAAGTCACTCAGGCAACTCCCACTTGCTGCGGCAAGAAGTCAGGAAACGAGTGCGTCTGCGGTAAGTAACCTCACCCACTCGGGATCATCACATCCACCAACCAACAGCCGTGAATACTAACATATATCCCAGCCAAGCAAGCAACCTGCTCCTGCGGCAACCAATCCGCCCTCCACTGCACATGTCAGAAAGCCGCCACAGAGAACGCCTTAAGCGGCGCGCGCTGCTCCTGCCGCGCGCGACCAGCGGGACACTGCACGTGCGACAACGCGGCGAAGGAGAACGCGACCGTCTCGGGCGACACGTGCGAGTGCGGTGCTCGGCCCGCGGGCTCGTGTACCTGCGAGCGGGCAGCTGGTTTGCCGAATCCGAATGAGATTGACTTTACGACTCGGAAGTAAGGCGTCACCACGACGCGGATAAATCTTGTTCACTGGGATTGAGGTCAGAGGATAGGGTGGGAGGTTAGAACGGGGCTATGTCTCTCGCTCTGACTCGGCCTGGTGCTGTTTGTACACTATTTGCGGGAGCACGGTTTGGGATTCTGTGAAACAAAGGGATCGGATAGGGTAGGATTGGATTGGACGGTATGGCATGGATGAGGCGGCGGCGGTTATACCACTGTGTTGTGTACATGATTCAGCAATTTTAGCTGAAAGTCATTTTCTCGGGCGAATCTATTTCTGCATCACATCTTGGTTTGGTCTTTGCCCCGTTTATGAGTGCCTGTGACCATGATAATGACTATGTTGAGATTGGGACGTGGAAGTCTCCCGATGGGTGGGAAGGACAGGACTGGTTGTTCACCGCCTTCCGTAGGTATCTATCCAGCACACCAAAACGCTAAATTTGGCTTACGAAGTACTATAACGAGACCTTGATCAATTGTTTCTTTTGGTAAATTCTGCCGGACAAATTCCCAAGCTAGCCTGGGCAGTACCTGGGCTACCCTTGCCAGCTGTGATTTGGCAGGTGCCCTCATAGGTATCTAGGAGTCTCTAGGAGTCTGAGTAGGTACTAATTGGCACGCGCGAATAGAGAGAGGCAATGAGCCATTCAAACACCATACCTACTGTTTCTTTATGTGATACAGGCCGTAATGACTGCCTTGAATCCCGTAGTTCTTTACCCGTATGTAACCATCACTGGCGCCCACGGGTAGTTACATGTAGGTATTTCCATGTATGTAGGGGAGTACAGATGCTAGGTATGCTCCCTTGGCGGGCGGTGAGCGAGCTTGTGTGGGCTGGTGGGCATCGTGGTTGGTTGCATGCAGCGCATCGGCGCTAAGTACTGGGTACTAGCCTGGCCGAGCAGGGAGACCCTGTTCGCTTGTCCAGGTACTTTGGATCATCTGTCTGATCGGGATGATATACTTGGCCAACATATGCTGACTATCAGCAATTCATAAGTATTGCAGACGCTGCTGTTCGTACCCATTCCAGCAAACTACATGCCAGGGCCAGGGTGATATTGTGTCATCTACCGTACCGGCCATTCATTGTCAGCTCTTTTTTTTTTGTTGGTTTTTTTGACAGACAGGGCGATAAGGCAAAAAATAACAGCGATCCACCGGCGCGTCTTTTTCTCTCTGCTGAGGCATTCAATCACTCCCGCTTGTCTGAGTCCGGCCGCGACCCTTTCTCTCCCATTCTCTCTACATACAAACAAATAACATCAAGCCAACAAAGGCATATCTACCACCCTCCCCTTTGGCCTGCCTTGCCCTGCGAGTCATTTCAAGTCCTTCAAGCTACCTATTTAGTCCCATCACCATCACCCCAGGTTGGGTCGATATCAGGCCATCAAGAAACTCGCCCTCATTCGCGTCTGTCCTACATTCTGCACTTCACCGCGCCATCCACCTTGACCTTCTGCTATCTGCCAAGTAACTCCTCTTCTTCCGCTGTCCTCCTACCGCCATCACAGACGAGCCGTCAAAGACTCTTCCCCCGCTTCCGTTGTTGCCTGTACCTCGATCTCGATCGGTCCATCCTCAACGAGTCGCGACCAGTGTTGGAGACAGCCCATACTCCGTCCCATCATATTGACACATCAATCGCTCTACACCCTCACATAACGCGTTCCACATATCATCATGGCGCCGCGAGCCAAGAAGCCCGCTGCTGCTGCTACAAAGAGCGCACCCGCCAAGGCCACAAAGTCTGCTACTGCGACGAGAGCCAAGGCCACCACCGCCAAAGCCACTTCTACCACTGCCAAAACATCTGCGACATCCAAATCTACCTCTAAAGCTGCGCCAAAGTCTGCGCCAAAGTCAACCGCCACTGCTGCTGCCAAGAAAGACACCGCCGCTGCGAAGAAGTCTACTACTACAACCAAGACAAAGACTGCCACTACAAAGAAGGCCACGGCTACCAAGTCCAAGTCTGCTGACAAGCCTGTTAAGAATACAAACGGAAAGCGACCAATCGACGATGATGAGGACGAGGATGAGGACGAGAAGCCCCAGGGCTCAGCTGAACCAAGCCAACCGAGACCCGTAAAGAAAGCTCGCGTTACAGCTCCTGCTGGTGCTCCCACCGGTTGGCAAAGGCAGGTCGCTTTGAGAAGGCGCAAGAGAAACCTTGTCAGCAATCCCGTCCCCACCGTTCCCCTTGACGTCTTTGTCTTCGGTGAAGGTAGCTCTGGTGAGCTTGGTTTGGGCAGTAAGAAATATGATGGCAAGAAGCCCATCGATGTCAAGCGACCTCGCATAAACCACAACCTCGATGCTACCAAGGTCGGTATTGTTGATATCGCCTGTGGTGGCATGCACACCATCGCTTTAACAAAGGATAACCGAGTCCTCACCTGGGGCGTCAATGATGACAAGGCTCTCGGTCGTGATACCACCTGGTCCGGTGGTGTGCGCGATGTTGACGATGAGGAGTCCGATGATGACGATGATGATGACACTGGAATCAATCCTCTTGAAAGCACCCCTACCGAGATTGAAAAAGGCGAGCTCGGAGACTTGGACATCATTTGCAAGGTCGTTGCCACCGATTCTGCTTCCTTCGTATTGACGGCAGATGGTTTTGTCTTTGGCTGGGGTACTTTCCGCGGCGCTGACGGAATTATCGGATTCGCCAAGGACATCAAAGTGCAACCTACTCCCATGCTGATTTCCCCCCTCCAAGACATCACCAACATCGCTTGTGGCTCTAACCACGTAGTAGCCATGGATGTCCATGGGAAAGTTTGGACATGGGGTAGCGGCGGCCAGTTCCAATTGGGCCGAAAGCCCCTGACGCGCCATGGCGGTCCTACGGCGACGCTTCAACCGGAACCATGCGGTATGTTTGGCAAGAGACACTACGCCGTGAGCATTGCTGCCGGCTCTTATCACAGCTTTTACATTGATAACCAGCAACGCGTGTGGTCTTGGGGTTTGAACAACTACTCGCAGACTGGCCAGTACGATGACACGGGCAAGGATGATGCTATGGTTCTCCAGCCAAAGCTTGTCGACTCTCTAAAGGATTTGAACATTGATATGATTGCCGGTGGCGAGCATCACACAGTGGCCCGTACCAAGGATGGCAAGCTCCTGACATGGGGCCGCGTTGATGGTCATCAAGTTGGCCAGCCATCCAGCCTATTCAACGAGGACAATGCCATGTTTGACGAGAATAAGCGACCTCGTATTCTTCTTAAACCTACTGCTGTTCCAGGTAAGTAAAGTCTATGGGACAACCTTAATCCCTCATTTCAGCGACTATGACTAACACTGTAGACAGATGTGGATGCTCGGTTTGTTACCGCTGGCGTTGATACGAGCTTCGCCATCGATGTCAAAGGCCGAGTGTACTCATGGGGTTTCTCTGCAAACTACCAGACTGGCCAGGGTACCACGGATGATATCGAGGTTCCAACTGTGATCGATAACTCTGCCATTCGCGACCGAGAAATTGTATGGGCAGGTGCCGGTGGACAGTACTCTATTGTTGCAGCGGAGCATGGCTCTAAGGGATCACCAGCCGTCAACGGCGTTAACGGTCATTAAGCAACAATTAACAATAACGGGGGAGCATGCGCGGTGTAATGGATCTTTTGCATTTTGGAGAGGGGGCTGTACTAGTATATAATGTTTGCATTTCACTTTGAGATTGGAGAGTTCCATGGGCAAGGGAAACTATGTTTTGGCAGTCAAGGGACGTTTTTTCCACTGCACCGGTTTAGATGTCCGATGTGTTAGATGAAGGACGAACAGGCAACATCGCTTTTACAGTTGCTATTGCGATAGGGGTATTAGGAAAGTTGGAAGATCGCCTACTCCTACTCATTTACGTTGGTTTTCGAAATACACGTTTCAGCGACTCTACTTTTCCAGTGTAGTGCACAATACAATTCTACGGAAGTCGATGCGTATGCAATCGAGATCAATTAATGCTTCGCGCGATAACCTTACATAATTGAAACGGAAAGAAGTCCGGTCCTGGTGTGAAGGTACAAGAGTTTGATCCATCTGCAGTTGGGGCAACCTGACCATATCTTTGAGAAATCGCATACCCGGTTTTTTATTTGCCTCATGTTCTCATAATTTAGAAAGCCTTGCGTCATCCAATATGCCTTGTCTATTGGCCTCCTTACCCGGTTGCACACCCATTGCCAACGAACCGGTTAACCGACCCTGTGTCTGTCTAAAATAGTATCGCAACCAGTTAGTGGTTAAATTGATTCAATCGATGCGAATTGAGTTGCGATGCGTGTCGTAATTGTATAGTGCCAAGCAAGGATGTCGGCCTTGGAGGTTCCGGGCCAGATCCCAAATCTGGGATCTGGAAATAGATATGCTGTGTGGTCTAGATGCTCGTGGTATAATGCATCACTACAGATGCTCCATATTAGTCGTGATTGTGAAGATCGATGGTCTGAAGGAAATGCCTAGGTAGGTAGGTATTGAGGAGTTTGAGCGGTGTTACTTGCCTAGCTAAACCAACCTTCAAGGAAGAGCTGGAATGGAAGTTTCGTGCCCGAGTTTAGAAGCCTACCTAGTCTTTTGATCAAAGCTATTATTATCCCGGCCGATCGCTGACGACCAGGGTCTCCGCGAAGTGTCAAAATCTAGTCGAGCGCTACCCTAACAAGCCAAAGCACTCTAGCTCCCAACGAACGGTTAATTAACCATATCTTAACCGGTTTACTCCAACTTTTGGGGAGAGATTTACATGCGTACCATCTGCGATGTCTATCTGGATGGTCTCTATCTACCTATTAGACAATGAAAGACACACCGAATATTGCAAAGATAACGCGATGTGTTCTATATTGTAATATCGCGGATGGGCCTGGGGACCTGGGATCTGGACTCGGGAGGAAAGACTGCTTAAACCCAGTCAAATATATCTTAAGTGCTTAATGCCCATGACGAGTCAAAGATGCCAAGGCACGCAATTTCTTTGCACCACTAGAGATTTCTGCTGTTTATTATCTTGTGTGACACAATGCTCAATCCATGCAGGTCCGCGGTGGTGTCTTGGCTGCTGGTCGTCGCAGCCACGAGCACAACCGCGAAGCTGAATTGTCCGCTCTACGGCCTGGGATACCCGAAACCCACCAACTTGCTCGCCAGTCAGGGGATCAAGGGCGCCGCGAGCGCCCTCGACTCCGTGTTCCCGCAGTTCATCGATAATGCGAACGGGACGGGCTCAGCGCGCTTCTCGTACAGCGTTGAAGTCTTCTCCGCGAGCGAGGACAATGCGCCGCTATGGAGCCATTACTGGACGGCCAAGAACCTCGCCATGATGAACACCACGGGCGTCAAGAAGATTGACGGCGATACGGTGTATCGGATCGGGAGTCTGACCAAGGTCTTCACGATGCTGACGTTCCTGGCTGAAGTCGGGGATTCCGTCTGGAACGACCCGATCGCCAAGTATATCCCCGAGGTCGCGGATATGGCGGCGAATAGTTCCGGGAGCTCGCATTCGCTGACGACCCCGGATTGGGGATCGATTACCATCGGCTCGCTGGCTAGTCAGATCTCTGGGTTGATGAGAGATTGTGAGTTAAATACTCCCTTATGGCCGGTAGGCATTCTGCAAGGGAGATGACGATGTTGATGCGTGAATGGATTTGTTAGATGCGATGCTCGGCGAACTCACGCAGACCCTCACCGTGCCGCAGGCCATGGCCATAGGCATGCCGAATCTGACGAGCGGCGATATCCCGCCTTGTGGGAGTAATCCGGTGTGCAGCAGATCGCGTAAGAGATCCCCATTCCATCCCATCCTTCCAAACACCTGCTGCATTCTCACTTGTCTCGCTATGATTCTCACATATTACTTAAAACCCCCCACCCCGAATTTTTCCACACTTACTTAATATTAACGACAAAAAATGCCCCGTAGAATTCTTCAACGGCCTGACGAAACTACCCCCTGCCTTCCAGCCCTTCGTCACGCCAGCGTATTCAGACGTCGGATACGTCCTGCTCGCCTACGCGCTGGAGAAAATGACCGGAAGATCGTTCCAGGAGTCCTTCGAGGAGAAGGTCATCAAGCCCCTGAATCTGACCCGCACGTTCTACAGGGCGCCTGCGGATTCCCTCGGCGTGATACCCGGCGACAGGTGGAAGACGACGTGGGCGTTTTTCATGGGGAATGAATCACCGTGAGCGCTGCTTTTCCTAATTCTGGCCAAACTTATGGTCGTTAGGTTGTTCAGACTAACGCCCCGAATTAGTACAGGGGGTCTGTATAGCTCGTCGACAGACATGGCGAAAGTGGGGAGAGCGATTTTGAAATCTACTTTGTTCCCTGGACCCGTCACGCGCCGCTGGTTGAGGCCCGTGACATTCAGTTCGGACCCTTCGTCCTCGGTGGGCAGTCCCTGGGGCGTCAGGAGATTAACGCTGATAGGGCAAAGTACGGCATTCTTTCCCTTGCGTCCCCCTATTCTATCTCCCCTATTAGGAGAAACTCTGATATTAACACGGAAAATACTAACATTCATAACTAGACTCAACCTACCAATTTGCCACAACTTTCAACAAACTAGGCAGCATAGGCACGTACTCGGCCCTGCTCGCCGTGATCCCGGACTTCGACATCGGCTTCAGCGTCGCCGCGGCGGGCGAAATCCCCGCGGCCCTAGTAACCAGCATCGCGGATACTCTGGCGAAGACATATCTCCCGACACTGCAGGGTGTCAGCCGTCTCCAAGCGAACGCGTCATACGCAGGATACTACAAAAGCGAAACAATCAACTCCTCTGTCACCATCTCCGTCGACGCCACCGCGCCAGGACTGGGCGTAGGGAACTGGATGAGCAACGGGACGAGCATGATGGGATTATCCGTGGCGCTGTCCTCGAACATCTCCCGCGACTACTGGGACGCCATGCAGCCTAGCGTCCGCTTATATCCCAGCGGGCTCTGGGACGCGCTGCCGAACGGCGGGAAGAAGGTCGGGTTCAAAGCTACCTTTGAGGACCTAGCGGGGCCGAGTGTGGCCGAGATGTATACCACGGATTGCTCGACGTGGATCGGGATGTCGGGCATCGTGTATGGATCGCAGCCGCTGGACGAGTTTGTCTTCGAGCTTGATAAGGACGGGGTTGCGGTCGCGGTGGAGAATGCTGCGCTTAGGAGTCGGATGGTCAAGGTTGTTTGATGGGTGAGGGGGTGCGTGTGTATTTACGGATTTGGAGTTTTTGATTTAGACGCTTAGTGTAGGTGTAGTCAATTCGAAGAAGTTGAGAAACTTTGAGGATATGTCTGATCGTTGGGAGTTTGTGTGTGATATGGAGCTTGCACGGCGACACGACTTATTTAGTGAATTAAACCCAAACTTATGCGTAGAGCGGGATGGTGAATAATAGGAGTTCAGTTGGAAGCGATGCAACTCGTAAGTAAAAAATGACAAAGAATGCGGACAAGATCCTCTGATGGTGAGGGACAGAGATAGTAGAATTCTTTCAGCAAAGCTCTATTTCAACTTGAGTAGAGCGCCAAAAACACCCGAGATTGGAACTCTGCAATTATTTCAATGGGGCATGCAAACCTCAGTGACGCTACATCGAGTGAAAATCTCATTGAATGAGCAGTATTCTCATGCGGTGGTTAGGTTGAATGTGGTGGAGGCATGGTTGCGGGAGTAGTGAATGTGGAAACGGTGAGGCTTGGCATGAGAGAGTAAGTTGGGGAAAAGGGGAACAAGAGGTTGTCCGAAAATCATGGCCATGAACTGGGAATAGTGAAACGACTATAAGAGATGACATCTCTTTTACTGACACGATATAATATACGCAACGAGCTGCCAACCATCATCATTGCGAGTTCAAGTTCGAACAAAGAACTGCATTATTTATAACCATATCGCCGACGGTGCACTTGTTACTCCGCCGCATCGAGCGTACCAACAGCTCGGAACGCATACTTACAGTACGGGCGGAATCAGGGTGAATCTCATCGGACATGCATAGTCTTGCGGCGCTCATATCAATATACCTTGGGCCCGATAGGCTGTGTCGCGACTAGTAAGTGCGATGAAAGGAATGAATGAGCACAAGACAGACGTAGGTGATGGATGAAGAGAGTGAATACAAGCAGCATACCGCGAAGCAAGCTAGGTGGCATCGCCTATTATTGGAATTAGGAAGACAGGGATGGATAATCCTGGTGGCTGGTACTTCGACCCACACACACTCTACTATATAAACAGATGTACCACCCTAACCTATAGTACCTAGACTTAGTTCCTTAGTGCAATATACAGTATTTCCTCACCTACAGTATTATTTACATTGTATTATTTTAACTGGTTATAAGCCCGGAAGTCTGCAATCCTAAAAAGAGAATAACTTTTAGCATTTTACCTTATTTAATCTATTCAATTATAAGTATATTGCATTAAATTAAATACTTTATTTATAGTAAAGATTGTTACCCTTTTATTGAGCTATAAGGGTAGAAAAATGCTGGAAATACTATAATAGTAGGAGCATTGTACTTTAATAGCGTACCCCTAACTGTATACCCTAATATATAATGTATCTATTAAGAATATAATACCTATTAAAATAATAGAAATTAAAATAACTATACTTCCTTTTAATATATTAACGAAAATATCAAAATTTTACCTTTGTTATTAATGGATATTATTATTTTATTATTAAAGAAAACGCTTTAAAGTAATAGATAATGCGTTATAAAAGTATAGACTATTAAAAGGAAATTAAAACACTATTTATTACTTTAATAACCGGAAATTAAACGGATTAAAAATAATTAAAATAACGAAAAGATAATACTAACCTTAGGATTTAAAATAAATTAATATTTAAAGGCTAAGTTAAATTCGTTTATAAAAATCTAAAAATTTGCAGTTAAATATAACCTTAAAATTCGACTATTTATCCTACCTATTTATTACCGTTTTTTAAACAAAGAGAATTTTCCCTTCCTTATATAAAAATTTAAAAACGAATAATGGTTAAAACTCTTTTATAAAGACCTTATTAATTATAATTATTAATTATAAATATTATTATTATTTACTTTATTATTATAATTTTTATTATTTCTTTTATTTAAAAAAGTATTATTAATCTTTATATTTAATAATATTAATAAAATTAACCTATTTAAATTAAAAGTTATTATTAGGTTCCCATTATTAAAAATATTTTTATTATTTTTAAAATAAGTAATATTTAAATATATTAATATTTTAAATAATAATAATTTTAACAAATTTATATTAAATCCGTTTACTTTAAAAAACAATACCCTAAATAATAATACTTTATATTATTTAATTTTTAAAATAAGTTAAAATAAATGAAGAAATTAAAACTAATTCTTTATCCTTTAATTAAATTATAATATTTAAATCTTCATTTAAATACTTTAAATTTAAAAAAGAAATAATTAATTATATTTATATAATAAAATATACTAATTATTTATTTAAAAAAGTTAAGGAAAAATAACCTATCGAAATTAAAAATATATTAACTAGAGCTACTTTATATAAGGCTTAAATAAATTAAAAGGTTATATAATAAAAGGTATTAGGCTATATTTAAAGTTACTATAAAAAAACGTATTTAAAGTTATTTTAAATTATAAAATATAAAAGAAGGATATAAGCTTAAAGATTATTATAATAAATGTTTAAAATTTAATTAAAGAAAAATTTAGGTTAATTAATAGTTTAACTTTTTAAAACCTATTAAATAAATAGTAAATTACTTTATTAATTATAAAAGGATTAATTTTAGCCTTTATAACGCATCTCCCACTTGACCTGGCCACCCAATTGACCTGGCCACCCCAATAACCTATATAAAACCCCATTATTTCAATCTTTAATAACTTTACAAATATTAATCGTACGATTTAATAATTAGTACCGTTGAATCCGTTAGGTAAATGGGAATCCAGAGGTATTTTTTACTATTTTTTATAAAATTTATTAAGCGAGATATTCAGCAATACGCTAAAGGGGCGCTAAGCAAGGATTAATTTAGCGCTTACTTTAGCGTATTGCTTAATAGCTCCGCGAATATAAGTCGTAAAAGTTAGTAAAGGGTACCGTTAAATAGCTCTTTTTATTACAAATCTAATGGTATATTTTATTATTTTATACAATTAGTATTCATAGAGTTATTAAATTATCACGTGATTAGCGCACCGACGTTATTTGTATGGGCTAGGGGGGTGGCCAGGTCAATTGGGTGGCCAGGTCAAGTGGGAGATGTGTTAGTTAAATTAAGGTTAATATAATTAAATTTTAAAGAATTAAATATAAAAACCTATACTTTAAGCAAGTTATTTCTTTTTATAAAGTTTTTATTTAGCTTTAATAATAAATATTTAATATTTATTTTTACCTTCCTTTAAATAAACTATATTATTACTATTTAAAAAGCATTAGGTAAAAAAATAGTAAAAGGAATTACCTTTTAATTAGCTTTAATAAAAGTATTATAAAAAGAATAAATAAAAAAGATAGCTATTTAAAATTCTATTAACATTTCTCTTTTCTTTTAATAATATAATTAAAATAGAAATAATAATAAAAGGAATAATTAAAATAATTGTTAAAAGAAGTAAAAGGTATTTAAGGTAGAATATTATTATTATATTATTATTAATAAAAAGAATATTAACTATAATAATAATGAATATTTTTTCGAATATTTAAAAAAAGCTTTAAAATGGTAAAATAGTAATAAGGGAAATAAAAGATTTAAATTAAATAAAAATAATAGTAATAATAATAACATAGCTATTAATAATAACGTTAACGTTATTATATTTATTATAATTAATTCATTATTACTAATTTAACCTTTAAATCTAATATTCCTTATTATTAAAGACGATATAGAACTAATAGAAAAGTTATTAAGTTAAAAGCTAGGTATCCTAAGTTGAATGTTTAACAATTTTAAATAAATAATAGAACTATACCTTAAACAAGCCTAATTTAAAGAAGATTAATTTGAAGGTAATTAATTTAAAAAAAATATTAATATTAATTAATATTATACCTTAAATATTAATAGTAATAATCCCTTTAAAATTAAATTTTAAGAAAGTTCTATTAGGAATTAATTTCTTAAATTTACTAAAGTTAAAGGTAAAAGAATTTATAAAGCAAATATTTAGCTATATTATTTTTAATAATAATTATAATTAAATAAACTTTAATAATAAAATATTATTTATAAAAATTTATTCCTATAATAAATTATCCATTTATAATATAAGAGGTATAATAATAATCCTTAAATAGATAAAAATTATAAAGTTTTTTATAATTATTAATAAATGAATTAAAATAGTTATTATTTATAATGCTATTTATTGCCCTAAAATGGGTACTAATTTAATCTTTATTACTTAATTAATAAAAAAGGAAGCTGAATTTCTATTCTATTAGAATAAGGTATAGGTAATAGTAAAAGAATATACCTTTATAATTATAAGGAAGTTTAAAGAACTATATATAATCGATTAACTAAATAAAAACCTTTAAATAGTTATTTTTAATATTACTTTTTATATATATTCCGTTAACCTTATTTTAAAAGTATAATATAAACGATTTAAATATATAAGTAATAAAGAAATTAGGGAATTAATAGAAATAATAAAAGAATTTACTTTTTAAATTAAATATTACTTTTATAAAGCTTATATAAATAATAAAATATAAGCTTTACCTTATTAAAGGAAGCTATTAAAGGGAACTTACCCTATTAAATTACTTTATTTTAATAAGATTAATATATTAATAAATATATTATAAGGTTATAAAGGTTTAATAGGGTAACTAGCTATTATTTATAACTTTATAAGAATAGTTTAAGCTTTAATATTATTTAAACTAAACAATTAGTTTATAAAATTTAAAAACTTTTTATAAAAATAAAAAAGGCTTAAAAAAAAATGTAAAATAATTACCTTAAATAAATTAAGCTTTTATATAAATAGAAATTTTATTAATTATTATATATTAAAAGGTATTATTATTTATTATATAGTAATAAATTAATATTAATAAAATGGAAAATTTAAACGAACTATATATACCTTAAAGAATTTAATAAAATTATTGTTAGCTATTGTTAAAGAAAAGGAAATACCTTTAAAATACTAGCCTATTTTTATTAAAATTATAACCTTTATTTAAAATAAAAGAAGATTTAAAAAATTAAGTATAACGCCTTATAAAAATTAATATAAAAAAAAACCTAATATATATAAAATAATAACCTTTAAAGTAAGGGGTAAATATAAGTTATAAATAAAATAAAGCATACTTAAGAATAAAATAATGGATTATTTTATATTAAAATATAAAAAAAAAGTATTATAATTAAAAAAGTCTTTTATTGAAATAATTATTTAGTTATAAATGTTTATAATATAATCTTTATAAAAAAATACCTATATATTTTAATAAAGGATATTAAAAGGATTATTATAATTATAGTTAAAAAAATAAGGAAAAGGTAAAGAATATTATTATTATTAAATTATTAAAAAAGATATAAAATAGTTAAAGAAGAAATAAAGGAACTTCCCTTTAATTTATTTCCAATTTAGCTTTTAAACGTTTATATATTATTAATATATATTAAAGTACTATTAGGTTTTAAATTAGAAGATAAATTTATAAAAGATAAAGAATAACGTTCCTTTATATTACATTTTGGACCATTAAATTTTAAATTAGGAAGTTTAATTAGAAAAATTCTAGGTAACTATTATAATTTATAGCTTTAAATATAAGTTTCCAATTAACTTTGCTATAATTTATAAGCTTTATTACCTTCCTTTAAATTTATTATTATAGCTTTATCGTTTATCTTTTTAATAATAAAAATAGAATTAAAAAGTTATAAATAAATAAAGGAAGATATTAAATAGTTTAAATAATATAAAGCTATAGGAATAAAATATTAATTTTTAATTAATAATTGAATTTGGAAATTTTATAAACTATTTATTAAAAGATTTTTAATAAATAAAAAATAGATATATAAGATTAAATAAAGTTTAAATAGCAGAATTATTAAATATAAAGTATAATAGGTTAACGCATCTCCCACTTGACCTGGCCACCCAATTGACCTGGCCACCCCCTTAACCCATACAAAACCCTATTATTTCAATCTTTAATAACTTTACGGACACTGGGTGTACGATTTAATAATTAGTACCTTTAAATCCGTTATTAAAAGGGAAATTCAACGGTATTTTTTACTATTTTTTATAAAATTTATTAAGCGAGATATTAAGCAATACGTTAAAGGGGCGCTAAGCAAGGATTAATTTAACGCTTACTTTAACGTATTGCTTAATAACTCCGCAAATATAAGTTGTAAAAGTTAGTAAGGGGTACCATTAAATAGCTCTTTCTATTACGAATCTAATGGTATATTTTATTATTCTATACGACTAATATTCGTAGAGTTATTAAATTATCACGTGATTAGCGCACCGACGATTTTTATATAGGCTAGGGGGGTGGCCAGGTCAAGTGGGAGATGCGTTATATAAAGCTTTAAATAAATATTTAAAGAAGATTATAATAAAATGTTTATATTTATAATAAAATTAATAAGTTATAAAGCTATTTTTACTATTATTATAACCTTTAATTTAAAAATTAAATAAATAGATATAAAAATAACTTTTCTTTATAGCGAAATAAAAGAAAACATTTATATTTAATAGCTATTTAAATTTAAAAATAAAATTAATAAGGTTTATAAGTTAAATAAAGTATTATATAGTTTAAAATAAATATTTTAAATTTAATATTAAACTTTAATTACGTTTTTAAAAACCTTTAACTTTGAATTATTAGATTTTAATATTAGCATTTTTATAAAAGGATATATTTATATTATTATTTATATAAATAATTTATAAATAATTAACCCTTTAAAAGAAAAAATTGTTAAAATTAAAAAAGTTCTATTTAATAAATTTAAAATATAAAACTTAAAGCTATATTTATTTTATTTAAATATAGCTATTATATAAAATAGGAAAAATAAAAGTATTAAATTAAGTTAAAAGGCTTATTTAAAAAAGATTATTAAAGAATTAGGTTAATAAAAAGTATATATTATTATTATACCTATAAATATTAATAAAATTCCTAAACCGGTAAATAATTATAAAGTATTAAAGGAAAATATATAATAGTATATAAAGGCTATTAATTACTTAATATATATTATATTTAATATTTAACTTAATATTATATATATTGTTTTATATTTAAATAAATATATAAAAAATTTTATTTTGATATATAATAAAGTTATTTAATAAGTTTTATAATACTTTTATAAAATAATTAATTATAAGCTATATTATTAGGGCGAATTATAAGATTTAATAAGTTGGATTAATATTAATTAAGCTAGCTATATATAAATTAAGCAATTAATTTTAAGGTATATTTTTAATATTAATAATAATATAATTAATTAAAGTTTAAAAAGGTAATAAAGTATAATATTATTTTTATATAAATTAAAATTAATAAATTAAATATAAGTTATAAAAGAAGTAATATAATTAAAATGTTTACTTTTAAAGTTAAATATTTATAAAGAATAAATAATAGTTATTATTATTTATAAAAATAATTAAGGGGTTATAGCTATAATAAAAAACCTTTAATTTTATAATAAAATAAAGTATATCTTTATTTAATAAATCTTTTATAGGGAAGCTTTTTAAAAAGGAAATATTAAATTTTAATAGATTTATATATTTAAATAAATAATTAACGGTTTAATTAAACTATTTTTAAAGGATAAATTTATTACCTTTTAAAATATATTAGGTTTTTAACTATAAGGTAAATAGGAAAATTATTAAATCTTACCCTTTATTAATTAAAAACCTTATAATAAATTAAAACTTTAGCTATATATATTAAAAAAAGTTAAAATAAAATAATCTTAAAAATAAATACCTTTAACTTTAATTTTATAAATATATACCTTTTTTAAAACTTATATAATTTATTTTAATAAGATTTTTATCCTTTAAGGCGTTTTATTTTAAAGGATTTAAAACATTTTAATACCCTATTAATTAATATTTAATTAACCTATATTCTAAATATTAATATTATTAGGTTCCCTACCTATTTATAAATTAATTAATATTAAAAATAATAAAAATAATTAATGTTATTATTTATAAAGTAGTTAAATGGGTTACCTTATAGAAAGATGCTTTAAAAGGGTAAAATAATTAATATTAAGGTCCTTCCCTTAAAAAAAATATATAAGGATAAAGATTATAAAAAGAATATATTTAATAATTTATTTATATATTTAAATATATTAAAATTTTTAAAAATATTAATAATATAATTATAAAAGTTATTAAGGTTACTTTAATTATAATTATTAAGTTTATTTAAATTATTAAACTTACCTTTATTTAAATTATTTAAGTTTTTAATAAATTTTAAAAATTTATTATTAAATTTAAAAATATTTAAAATGAATATTAAAATATTTTTATAATAGTTTTAACTATAAAAAGAATTACCTTTAATATTAAGCTACTTTAAACTTTATTAAAGGTAAGAAAAACTATTATATATTTATTTATAAATTATTTCCTTTTATAATAAATAAGATTAAATAAATTAATTTAATTATATATTAAATATAAATAGTAAAAATACTTTTAAATACTTTATAGAAATATTAAATATTAATAAAAATAACTTTAAAATTATAATATTTAATATTTCGAATAAATTTATTATAGAAAATTAATAGGTAAATAAATAATAATATATTTTTTTTATTATTATTATTAAGTTAAAGGAAGCAAAAGGAAAATATATTTTAATTTAGGATTATAATTTATTATTTATCTTACTTAAATTAAAACGATAAAAAAAAATACTTTTTAAAAAATAATAAATATTTATTAAATATTTTAAAACTAAACGAAAAATAATTATAATAAAGGTCTAATATAATATAAATTTAAATAAGGGAGGTAAGGATAAATATCTTCTAAAAATGCTATTAAAGTTATTTAAATGGGTTAAACTTAAGGACTTACCCTATTAAGGAAAGGAAGACGTACGCTTTAAAAACTACGTACGATTCTATATATAATAAGAAACAGTTATAAATTAAGGCTTACGATAGCCTTAAGAGTATATATGGTTTAAGTGGGAGTATTGGAATTAGGAAGATAGGAATGGATAATCCTGGTAGCTGGTATTTCGACCTACATACATTCTACTATATAAATAGATGTACCACCCTAACCTATAGTACCTAGACTTAGTTCCTTAGTGCAATATACAGTATTTCTTCACCTACAGTATTACTCACACTGTACTATTTCAACTCCTATTGAGTAGCGGCAATTATAAATAACGAAAAGAAAGTTGTTACTTGCAGAATTTGCTTGAGTTGTTCCAACAATGCATCAAATAATTCCGAGGCCGATGGATGGCGTACAAGCGATCTTCCTACTGGTTGTTTTCTACCATTCGAAATCCTTATTGTGACTGCCAAGGTCTTGGTCAGCTATTTACAGTCTGGTTTCTGGTCTGTATTCAAACATCTTCACACGACGTTTCGTCTACTTGACCTATAAAGTTTATCTGTATCCAAACCGCAAGCCTTGGTATATGCAGCCCATTGTCATGCATCGTTCGATGCTGCTACAAACTGCACCCATTCCCCATCTGTTAAAATCATAACCCCACCATCTCCCCCGCCCCCGCCTACGCCGCCTCACTCGGTTTGATCTCCTGGTGATTGATCTCAAACTACCAAAGTCCTGTATTCTCTATCCTATATTTAAGGAATCTCGCTTGAACTGAGCAGGATGAGGTTTGGATTTCTAAACAGGGATCGTCGTCCGCCACATACTCTGCCTCAGGCGAGTGACAGACGCGCGCTACGGTTCCTCGAAGATGGCACCTTTCAGATTACCGTATTCTCGGATCTTCACTTTGCTGAGGGTAAGTTGACACGTCCACAGCGGAAGAATGCACCTTCTGACTTGAAAACCACTCCAGATGAAGACACTATTCAAGGCCCAATGCAGGACAAGAGGACCGCGGAAGTTGTGAAGAAGGTGCTTGAACGCGAGAATTCGCAGTTGGTCGTGCTCAACGGCGATCTTATCTCGGGCTATGGCACAAGGGCCGATAACGCGACCCTTTACTTAGATCAAGTTGTCGCGCCAATCGTTGAATTGGACCTGCCATGGGCAACGACATATGGGAATCACGACAATGAAGCTTATGTCAGATCTCATGACCTTCTCATACGAGAGCAGGAGTATGAAAACAGCTTAACGAAGAATATGTTGCCAGGAAAGTCTCAAGCCGGGGTCTCCAACTACTTTCTGCAGGTATATCCGGCGTCCGAGGATCAGGATGTGCCAGAGCTCATTCTATGGTTCTTTGATAGCAGAGGAGGGGCTGAGCCACATGACTGGGTTGATGATTCGGTAAGCTTAGCTTTCGTCTCCCAGTCTAACTGACACCCTGACTTTGACTAGGTCGTCGACTGGTTCAAGGAAGCCAGCGCGAATCTTACCCAACAGTACAGCAAGACCATTCCGTCACTTGCTTTTTTTCATATACCTATCACTGCAATGTACGACTTCCAGGAGGACCCAGGCGTTGATCCTAGTAGAGAACCAGGGATCGACGGAGAAAAGGTTTGGTGGCAAGGCCGGGGGTATGATGGTAAGACCGGTCACGATGTGTCATTCATGAGCGCGTTAGCGAACACGGTTGGCCTATTAGCAACTTTCAGTGGTCACGACCATGACAATGACTGGTAGGAATAATTTCTCCTATTATGGGAAAGCTTTGGTCACTCATCTTCGTTTCAATAGGTGCTACAAGTGGAAACCCCCTACTGCCCAAGCTGGCGATGGCGTCAGTGTGTGTTATGGCCGCCATACAGGATATGGCGGTTATGGGAACTTGGCCCGGGGCGGAAGACAAATCTTGCTTAGACAAGAAACGGCAATGAAGGAAGTCATTACATGGATTCGACTAGAAGACGGGCTGGTTCCCGAGAATGTGACTTTAAACGCAACCTACGGCCAGGATGAGTATCACCCCTTGCGACAGAACGTTGAGTTGAGAGGAGGCTTTCTTCATAGTGCCGGAAATAGCTTACAAAGCGCCCCAGGATTGCTATCGGCGACGTTTTTCCTATCCCTGATTTTGTATTTCCCTCTTAGGCTATGGAGATGACCAACGTACAGGGAATCACAGACTATCACATTGAAGTATAGTTGGTATAACTGACTGCTCAATTGTCTTGGCCTACTCTAATCCATGCTAAAGGAAATAGTCATAGTACTGAGGTAAGGCAGTAGACGGCTTTCTCTACAAGAAGTGTCAAATAGGCTACTTTCCCATTAGTTCTCCATTATGCAACTACCGCTTCGGCCATTGATTCCACGCTCAAGCTAAGAGTAGCGCGACCGCTGTCAAAGGCAGCGCTACTTGTAGCTACCTGACCATTGCATTGTAGGAGAAACTTCCGGAGTCATTCTGACCATTTTGATACTTAATCGCGTCCGTACTGAAGAATGTCTTCTCCAGCCCAGTCAGCCAGTACCAAAGAAGCTTTCCGTTGAGTGTAAATTACTGAGACAAGCGTTGCTGGAAGGTAGTTAGATCAACGTGACTATAGTGACAATCCTCACTAGAATGGTTTCCTTCTCCATATTCTCTGCTCATTAACTTTGAAAGTGCTGTACAATCTGGAGAATTATTAGACTGGTAGTTTTTAAATTTTATACGCACCAGCTGCTTTCGGCCATCTGTGATCTTAAGCAGGGTAGATGCCCGTTGAACAAGATGGTCGATATCTGAGATGAATTCTTCAACCTGGTCCCTGAAGATTTCGATAGATTCAGCAACATCATGTCTCAGATGGAAATGTTCATTTTTCCTCAAACAAGAGTAGAATTTGTATAATGAGGCAAACACTCGCATGTTGGCCTCGAGAGCAGCAAGTGTCTCATGGACCATTTCTTCGTGTCTTTGTAGTGTTTGAAGGTCTCCGGGCTGATATTTCTGATCTTCACCTGTTTCACGGAGCCCTAGAACTGCCAAACCTGTCTTGAACATTTTTTAGCGTTAAAATCAAGTCATAGCCACTTGTTGATAACTTACTGCGTCCTCTAAACTGTTTTCAAGTGATTCGATGTACCATCTCCAATTTTCAACAGCCCAAGCACCAAATATACTATGAGGCGCCAAACTGGACCGAAAGCATTCAATTGGGGTCTTATATGATTTGCCCTCGGCCTTTGCACCCTCGCTCGTCAGATCTGGGAAGGTTGGGAGATACCCCACGAGAATTATATCACGATAATACTTACGTTTATATCTTTCCTGAAGATCTCGCCTCCCCGCTGTCACAATCCACAGGGCCTTTCCAGTGATAACATCAAACTTGTGGTGAAAGGCCGCCTGTCGGGCTAAAAATATACCATAGCAGGGATTCGCTGTTGTCCCCCAACTACAAAGATACCGCTTGTAAAAAAAGATGTAGGAGAGCGCTATCTAGCTTAGCTAAGCATGCGACTCTAAGTTCTTGAGGTCTCATGGCGGTACTTTATAAGGCACTTCTCTATATAGATTAATAAAGAAAGAAATTCGAAAGCAAAGCTATACTGTCGATATAAGCGAAGAAAACATCGAGTTGACCACCAAGGCCCTAAGTACCTACAGTAGGCGCTGGTTAGGCAGATGCTACAGTGGATACCCACTGAATATGTAACTATTAGAAGCACCTACAGCAGGTAGATTAGGGTACTAGTTGAACCCTGTAATCTATCTACCTAGGTCCATGTTAAGACCTTTAGTTATGTGCACCGCACCCAATGCTCATTCAACAACATCCAACATTAATGCGGTCAGCACAGCTGTGCAGATATTATACAGAGAGAGGGGGGAGGTCGGCACATCCCAGACTTTGTCACAAGGTTAGGCACCTTTGATATTGCTGCTAGATTGTTGTAGCTTGTTCTAGTTGATGATGGAGCCGCGTAGACCGAGGCTGCTAGGGAGACATAACCGCTTCTGTTGATCGAGGTGCAACATATACTTTTGGCGACAGAAGAACTATTAGATGTGATAGCCTAGAGAACCATGTGGCCACTATCTTACATGTTCTTCGGTGCACTCAGACTCGTCAGCGTCCATCAACTTGTATCATGCAGAATCCTAACTCACGGGGGCTCAAGATGACATGCCACTACTGAAATCCTCGACCTCATGCAATAATATATCTACGTATCCAAACACCTGTTAATAAGTGGTTCAAGAGCCCCGAACTTTCTGTAGATTCCTCGTCCTCAAGTTCTTTCTCCTTTTCTCTGCGTTCAAACCCCCCCGCGTCACACCCCTATTGCTTGACTCGTGACTATACTCCTCAGCCAGTAAAAGGAGCTGCTGTATACTATTTCCATATCGTACTCCATGATTGGCCTGATGACAAGGCAATTGAGATCCTGGAGGTCGTACGTGACGCGATGGAGCCAGAGTACTCGAAGATCCTGATCCACGAGGCACTAGTTGCGGCGAAAGAGCCTTCGCTGACTGCTTCTACGCTCGATATAACCATGATAGCCCTGTTTTCAGCATTGGAGCGAAGCTAGGGTCAATTGCACAAGTTGATTGGTAATGTCAAGGAGTTGCGGATCACCAAGATCTGGAAAGCAAGTCACTCGGTAGAGAGGATCATTGAGATTGAACGGGTGTAATTATTGAGATAAGGAATGAAAGGCAACATTGGGCCGATTGCTCATTATTGATTGTGTTTTCTTCGGACACGTTCTATTTATTAGTCTCAATCTCAAACTTAGCTTAGGTGCTTAACATTCCGCTCGTCCCCGGATGTTTCGTGCTATATTAGTGTTATGCATTCCGGAAGTAAACGCCGTCAGATCAACCATTCACAGGAGATAAGTAGTTAACTGATGAACCAATCCATTCTCGCTGAATAATTATGGGATGTGTTCAATATACTCAATGGGACCCCAAACGTGCCTCGCACTACACCGGGCTTATTCGTGCACCGTTAGAAGATCTTTCCAATGATCGCCTCGCGGTTGAAATGTCAGATCTGGACAATCATGCGAAGAGGTGAAAATATCAAGTAGCTTAAACTCGGCACTCATGTCTCCGTTCTTTCTCGTTCTACTGCTGCCCTCGATGGGAAATCAGAAGCAAGTTCGAAGTCGAAATACCACAGCGCTTTTGCCATTGCAAGGCTAATCTCCGCATACGCCATAGTCTTACCCGCACATCCACGTCCACCGAGAGAGAATGGCATGAAAGCGGGGTTATGCTTGAGACCGCTGTGCTGATCTTCTGGTCGAATGTCGATTTCGTCGCCCTTTGCAGGGATCCAACGATCTGGGTCGTACTGAAACGGATTGGGGAAGTATTCTGGATTACGATGGAGTGTATAGATATTCACACCAACTTGGACGCCTGAAGGAATTGTGTGACCGTCGACAATAAACGGCTTGCCCGTGCTAGATGGCATCTGTTCCCTCCACAGTGTTCCTGGGACGGGTGGTGACATCCGCAGTGCCTCGTAAATGCAAGCGCGAAGATATTGGCATCCTTGTAATCGCGAGACTTTTATCTCTGAACTACTAGAGAATTTTGATCGGATCTCTTGTGCAAGCCTGTCCCGACACTGTTTATTTCGAGCCAGATAGAATAATAAAGCGCTCAGTGCTGTAGAAGTCGTATCGCCGGCAGCTGGTAGGAAGAAGATGCCTTCATTCCATATTTCCTTAATGTTGATCTTGTCGCCTTCAGGGGTTTCCGGAGCACTCGCCATGAAGGCGTACAGATCATGCTCAGCATTTGTCTTTTTTGCGAGCCGTGATTGAATCATCTTTGACAGCACTTGAAGAAAACTCTTCCCTTGAATGATTGCTAGGGCATAAAAAAGAATTTCAAGACGTAATCTTCGTAGAGCTGGAAACTGCATGTACATATTGAGCCGCCAACTGCCGATCATCATCGCTTTGACAAGGAGTCAGTGAGTCGAATCTGTCTGAGTATTGAGCGCATACCCGAAGCCAAGGTATCCGGTGATATCCAAGCCGAGATACTTGCATCTTTCAGACATGTTGATGGGTGTTCTGGGTGTGTTTTGATACGTCAAAGGTATCTCCCTCAAAAACACATTGATTTGCTCACCCATCTTGGGTTCAAACGTTCGCACAGAACGATCTGTAAGGAGCTGGCCCACATGTCTTCTCTTAATACGGTGCACATGTTTGTCAATCGTGTTGAACACGTTAGTCATAGACGGATTGACATTTCCAGCCTGGTAACATTGGGCTTTAGAGACACTCTCGCTCATATAGATGTCTACAAATAATAAGCTTGAGAACAGCTACAGCGACAAATACGGCGTATCTTACCATGGACGGCGGCAACTGAGTTAAAAATCAGTTTATTTGGGCCTTGTCTGACAATGGGGCCTAGTGGCAGTTAACGCGATGCAAACACATAAATTTTTTTATTGTGATGTGGCCATTTGAAGTTTTACGTACCATACTGCTTATGATCTTTCCAGGTCTTAAAATGAAGAGTCCTCTGGAAGGAATATATGCCACCGTAGAAGTCGGTGAGATTACTCAGCAGTGGACCCGGGTAAGACTTAAGGAGGTGCAAGAGCAGCCTGTAACTAAGTACAGTGATATACTTATGACAATCAGCAGTGTGCCAAAGGACTGTGGAAACGAAAAAACTTACATATGACGCGATCAAAAGGATAACGTAATTTGCCATGCTGAAGGCAACAGTGAGAACAGCCATCATGATGACTCAGCTATTCTGTAGAAAGAGTTCAATAGCGAGATTTCGTTAATCCATCTTTGTTTCTAAGGGATCATAGTCGTATAGGCATGGCAAATGTCGTTGATCTACCGTATTCCGAGTGTCGATAGTTGTAGATAAATAGAGGATTTGGAAAATCAACACGCGGGGTTTCGATAGTAAAAAGCATTTGAAAACGGGATGCAGTTCGAGAGAACCAACAACATTCTCAGTCCCACTAGAATGGTGAACTATGGAACTTGCTACAACCCATCATTAGCTGCGTTCTCATAAGCAGACTAACGCTATGCAGATGACAGCCAACAATAACAGCAATACTATATATAGATGCACGGGATGCAGGCATTTTCTACTCACCACTACCATCTATCGATAAGGTGGGCAGCCAATCGCCATATGCAAATATTACGACGCTTCCATTCGGGTACGTGGCAAGATATACGTTAAGGTTTTGCAATACTATGAATGAAAATATGTCAAGGGACTATGATAGCGTTGTGAACAAGTAAGCGTAAGTCCCATCCACCTAACAGAAGCCGAGAAGCATTTTTGTATGTTCCTAGTGCACGAGGCCTCCAAAGAAATCCTGTACGTCTTTAATCCAGATTTCAGGCTCTGTCTGGGCCGGGAAATGTCCACCATGCTCATGTCTATTATAGAATGTGACGTTGGCCACGCGCTCTATGAACGAACGAGGCTACAAGATTCGTAAGCGTTGGCGAGATAAATTAAGAATTAATGCGGAGAGACTCTTACAGTTAATTGAAGGTAAGCAAACGTTGCGAGTGGACTATTAGACAAACCCCAAACACTACCAGCAGTGGGGACATTGACATATGGCAAGTTGGATAGTGACTATCGTGTTTGAAAAAGGTCTGTTAGCTATGCTGGAAGAGAGCATGGTCCACGTGATATGGCATCCTTACCGGAATTAATTCTCTGTAAGCTCTGATATTCCCAAATGGACCTGGGATCCACAACAGTAAGGTGTTAGTGATGAGTTCGTCGAGAGCATACTCGTACCCGTCGTTAAACCAGTGGACGATATGCCAAACCCAGCCTGCGAAGCCCACTGGCGTATCAGCAACAGCCTGACCTATGGCCAGGGGGGATTGTGAATGTAGCGCTAGATGGTTAGCGTGATTAGTGATGAAATCCTGGGCTGAGTCAATGTACAATGTCTCTTCCTCCGTAGTCTGATTTTGTGCACGTCGTTCGAGATCTGTGGCGTTTGGTAGGATAAGCCAGAAGTCGGAGAAGAACCCGATCACACTATCGGGCACTTGATGAGCCAGGGTATGACCGACTGTCCAGCCCAGATCGGTCCCAACGATACCATACTTGTCATAACCCAGCAAAATCATGAGCTGGTGCATGGCAGCTCCCATTTCGCGCGCGTTCAAGCCGGAATAAGTTGGGGATGGGCTAAATCCGAAGCCTGGTAGGTCCGGGGCAACGATATGGAAAGCTTGAGTACTCGAGTTGGTAGGTGACCGCAGCGGATCAATAACTTTAGACCACTCCCGATGGGTTGAGGGCCACCCGTGTAATAGCAGCAAGGGAATTGCTTCATCGGCATCGCTGCGTTCGTGAACAAAATGCAGCGAGACGGGATGTTTGTAACCGCTGGTACCAGGGATAGTAACCGCGAAGTGGGAAAACTCGCCGTTGATCTCATCTTGTGCTTTGTTCCAGTCGTAGTTCTTGCTCCAGTGTTTCGCAACGGCGGTCATATTTGCTCGAGGCGGGCCTTCACCCCATCCTGCGTCGCTTATATCTCCATCCAGCAAATCAATGGATGGGCGAAACAGGCTCGCTTTGAATCGGGCTTCTTCAATAATACTTGTCTCGACAGAAGCTTGAAATGGAACGGGGGTGGTGGAGTTGTAGGGAAAAGGAAAGTTTATGTTGCTTGCGCCGGCTATGGACGCCAATAAAGTTGGGAACGTGGCCCCCTTCATCTTTCAAAATGTGATAGAAGTTTTGGAGTTTATTGCTAGTAATGGGTTGATGAATGACACAGGAGGAGAACCATGCATTGAACAGGACCTGACGGCGCAATATATATATTATCGAACATTATTAAGACGTATCTCAACTTGGCTTCAAATCTTACATGCAGTGCACTCAACGTCTTGATTATAAATCCAGTTGGGGCGTAGGCGAGCTGATGAAGAGCTCTAGAAAATATCTTCAAAGCACGCTTCTGATTTCTCAGCATCTGGAGAAGATGATGGTTGGTTTCCCAAAGTAGTAATATCTCACTACCAGAAGGAGAAGCATACGACCCACATAGATTACCTCACACAGTGGAGCGTAAAATTCGTACTTGGCCCATATGCTTCATATTAAAACTTGAACCACAATGTGGTAACCCCTCAAAACTATTTCAACTATCGGGAGCACAGTCGGTCCTGCCCTGAATGCATGCCATTAGATCCCGCACATCTTTCAGTTTTATTTGTCCTATAATGGGGTGGTGTGAGATGACAAGTTAATCAGCAAAGTGGCTTCCGAGTTAATTTCGGGGTTAGCAAATCTATAGGGGCTGGAAAGGAGCTTGATAGCATAAAAACAAACGGTTTTCATTGCGTTTCTCCTTTCATTACCAGCACAGCTCCCAGAGTTGAGGCTATTCTAAATACCTATTGAAGTGTAGACCCAATTTTACTGAGCAATCAATTCATTCGTCCGTATCTGTAGGTACTTCGCTGTAACTATGAGAAACCTCTAGCGATTAACAATAAACTTATCGGAAGTACTATTCATAAGAGTCTCAGTTACCCTGAGATCACTTTCATAAGGGAAAAGAGGGATACAATCGTCTGTTATGGCTGCTAAGGTCGGGAATTCCGGTAAAAACCCTGCTACCTGCATGGCTGACCTCACCCTGCTTCCACATAAATAGAAAGACTGCCATTGCCAATCTTAGACACCGAGCCGCATCTATATGTCTCATATTCAACTAGGTCTCTTCTAGGCATATATACATGATTGATATCAGAGAAGAGATGAAGGCGATGCTAGTTTCTTCTCTTCAAGTTACGATCCGACGGTCCTAGGGCTACAAACAAAGAGACTCACTGTATATAGCCTCAGCCTGGTCACAAAGGCTTTTGAGACCCTCGAGCAATTACAAGTATCAGTGCAGTACCCCATGGTTGCAAATCTCACACTCAACCAAGTATCTGCTCAGGCCTCTGCAGAAGCTTAATTTGAAAAGACCTGTTCAAGCGGAACATTCTCTGTACTGTTTCTGTAAAGCCACCGATACGTTTATGAGTAGTCTGTCCAAAGCAAGCTGTATGTGACGAGGTAAAAACAGGCTAGCACTGGTCAGCTTTCAACACTTCCACCAGATTTTGTCTCACAGTTGCGCTGTTACAAGACTTGATAATAGCTGTGGGAAGCTTTGTTCGCCTGGGTAAAGAATGCCCACATTCAGTATCAGAAACTGAAACTCTGATGATCCGAGGTTAACATACTGATGGAAATCATTAATTAAGATTAGTATGGGACTTACTCCCCGCTCCTACCTACAAACGTGAAAAGCAAATAAGGTGAGATCAAACATTGCTAGAATGTTTAGAAACTGCAGGAGAGAATTTTCTTTGTTGGGAGCCTGATAATCTAATGGAATACTAACTGTAGGAGATACCAACAAACCCAAAGGGTACGTACCATCTGCCACAATTGACCTTGTCCTCAGGTTGCCATGGCACAAAGGCAAACAACAGAGACATTAGTAGAAATACCTCGCCCGCCCACGACTGATGATTGAAGTGGTTAGCAGATATTTCCCTAGCTGATGCAGGAAGTACAACTTATTTGTACTGATTCCCCAGAGCCCATCTTGCCAACTTCTTTGACCACCCTCTGCGTTGAACTTTACTCAAAAATCCCACCAAGTCACCGCACAGCATCATGTCTTCAGAAACACGTGTGCAAATCTCTCGCGAGAGCCTAGCAGCGCCAGGCTCTGAAGCGGCAAGAATTGAGAATGTCAAGCATCTTGCGTCTTACAGCTGGATCGAGTCGCCAGTTCCTACTATCGCTGTCCCTGGCATTCCGCCGCGTTGGGCACCTCCCACAGTTCCTTTCCGACTTCCAAAAGACTCTGGCCTTGTTTATATTGCTCAGAATGCTGCACGTCACCCGGAAAGTCCACTTGAGCCGCTGTTTCGTTCTCTCTATGTGACCAATCCTGGATTCGACATCCGCCCCGTTGACATCATCACCGACAGAAACAACATCCGCAAGCTTCTAAGCTTCATCAATCCTTCCTCTAGTCGAAACCGTCTCGAAGTATTTACCATCATCGCTGAGGTGGTTGATGGTACAATGCTCATGTGTCGAACTGAGACCAAGACCTCTGAGATCATAGCACCCCACGAGTTCAAAGGTTACGGCCATGAATTTGAAAAGGCTTACACTCGCCGCCAACTGAAGGGTAGCACAGGATACCACCGCATTATCTCGTATCACTTCGGAGGGCTCAATTTCGTCCTTCGTCACGAGGTTGATGGTTACGTATCGCAATCAGAGACTTCCAAAGTGATCCAGAAGGAAGCAGAGACCGACGGACTTTCCGGACTGCTAGGGTCACTATCACTTTCAGCAGTCAATACGACATCTCCTCAACCTCGTAGTTCGACTCCATCAGAATCGAAAATGATCATTCGAGAAGAAGGTATCGTGGTGCCAATCGATTCTACTTTAGAGATCAAAACATGCACCAGCCGCAGGCGACTACATATCCGAGAGATAGCTCCCCAGCTCTGGGTCTCGCAGACACCTAAACTCGTACGAGCATACCACAGTCGTGGTCTATTCCAAGATGCAAAGGTCGAGGATGTGGCAAAGGAAATAAAGACTTGGGAACTCGCCAATCAGGAAAATCTGAGAAAACTCGTTGCATTGGTCAAAGCAATCTTCGACGCGGTGAAAGCATGGGGTGGGAAGGCAATCATCAGATATGACGAAGGCTCTGACAGCATCATTGTCACATCGGAAGTCTCTGCAGAACGACTTCTGCCCGAGGATCTTTACCTCAAATGGGATGATAATGAAGAAAAGACGGCGGCAGACCAGACGGAAGTGTCTGCGTCTAGTTGAAACAAGATTGTGGGAGGAGCATCCGAGGCGATGATCGAGGCTAATACTGGCGAAGCCGAGAGTTGTCACCAACCACTTGTGATAATTCGGGTGCGCAATAGTCAAGAATGACGGAAATTTTAGCAGATCCCTCAAACTGACAAGACACTGTCATGATGCCAAAAGACGCAAGGACTACGATGAAGACACGTATGTATGTAGCCCTAGCTCAGTAACATGACCTGAACACAACTGAGCCAGACGAGATATGCTATGTGAATTCTCGTATCCCTAATGACATATATGTTCCAGGTCAACTCAAGGCTGTAGGAGTGCTTGACTAACCATTTTCTTCTTGGCGCTGGTAGCTTGACTTGACTCTATATGCAACTGGTTTACCAGTCAGGCATATTCGTCTCAAGGTGTGGTGTCAACTCTCTCACTAAACAAGCGATCCGGCTTATTTCTCGAGGCCTGATCTCTACTAGAACAAGGGATGGGAACTTGTATCAATTACACCTCACATCGCAAGTATTCTTCTACATAACTCAATGGGATAGTCGGCGTTGTGGGAGTGTCTTTGATACCTACATGGTACCAAAGTACCTAAAGATACGTATAGGCACTCCCTTAGGTACTCAGCTAGTGGGTACGGGTCGCGAGCCCCGCCCCCCTCCACTAGGTAGCCCGTTAGCGGGGTAGCTAAGGTACCTAGGATAGGTACCTATGTTGGTGGGGTAATGAGGCTATTTTCAAGGCTTTTTGCCCGCTTCCATCGGATTTGTTCCGTTTCACCAGCAAGAGGGTGGCATCATCTACATGACTGTTTGATCACTTCCTCCGATCGATTGGGTAACATGTAGTGTAGTGTTGGCAGGGAGACTTTCTAAGGATGGCACCGATCACAAGGGAGCGTGTGTTTGGCGGCAACAGCCATAGCCGCCGCGTAGCAATCAGCTTTCCTCAAGCTCAGCCATGATCCTTACGAGGCCCCTTACCTCGACCATGTGGGAATTAGCAGGTGTTTATATGAATGCAGTGGCGAGCAGCGCCCGTTTGCCAGGCAGCCTCTCGTTGTACCCGACGGTAGGCAAACATCTACGTGGTATGTTTCGCAAGGAACAACATAAGAGAAAATTGTACTTAACGTCCCCTCCCGTACCGAATTACACAGAACATAGATCTTCCCCATCTGTGCGCGTATCTTCCAAGCTTCGCTTTTCTCTCGGCTTTGTTGTCCTAACCTTTTCCTGTTGACACTCACTTGCAAGCTGGCCCCTTTGGGATAAGTCTCTTGCCACAGGTGTATGGCTGTTTGACAGTTTCCTCTGCCTTCGGTTTTCTACCAACGCTCTTCCGAACCTTTAACGTCATACTATACATTTTAGAACAATAAGCAGTACTTGCGAGTCGATCAACATGGGGATTGCAGAGCTTCCCACTGAGCTTCTAGATATGATAGTGGACCTGCTCGTTCCATATCGTTGGACCTGTCATCCAGTGTCGAATCGCGATGGATTCCTTGACCTAAGACTTGTTTGCAGTAAGACTATACTTTCCATTAATTGAAATAATGCGTCTAACATTCTGTTATCATCAAGGGCGGTTCGACTACTCCGTCTCGTACCAAGCTCTCCGAAAGTTCGAGCTGGGATCGATGCCTATTGATATAGAATTCTCGTGTATCAAGTGGCTCCTGGTTACCAAACTCCAGGCCAGTCGCGGTATTGAGACAGGGCTCCCGGCAGCTGTTTGGGGTGCTGTATTATCGATTGAATTTTGGAAAGCTCCCGGTTTCGAGGCATCAATAGAGAAGGAATATCTTGATTCTGCGTGTGGCTTGGTGATTGCAAGCCGGGGTACGAGGTGGGCAGGCGAGGAGATCGATGCCAAGTTGAAGAGTAGGCTTCATTCACCGCCTCCCACCATGAAGCCTTCTGGTGAAGAAACCGAACGACTGTCTCCAAGTCACGAGCGGGCATTAGAAGCTATGGACTGTTTCCGGAGTCTCCACGTAGCATCGTACCACGGTGATATTTCAGTCGTGCGCACATTGCTCGATAATAGCATTGACCCAAACCTGTCGAACGAATACTTTGGTTCTGCATTGTACGCCGCTTGTTACCGCGGCCATGCGGATATTGCACGTTTGTTGATCGAACATGGCGCCGCTCTGGATGGCGAAGGATCTCTTGGGACTCCACTAGAAGCAGCAACTCATCTAGGACACACAACAGTTGTAGGACTGCTTCTAGATAAGGGGGCTGCATTTTACCCCGGTAGAATCACAACCAAATGTCTACTCGACGCGTCTCGAGAGGGACACACAACAGTTGTAGGACTGCTTCTAGATAGGGGGGTTACATTTTACCCCGGTGGAATCACAACCAAATGTCTACTCGACGCGTCTCGAGAGGGACACACGGAAATCGTGAAGCTACTATTGGAACAAAACGACATTAAAGTCAATGCTATAGACCACGCCGGCGAACCTCCACTCATAATTGCAGCGAAAAGACGACACCACGGGGTAGCAAGACTACTATCTGCACGAGTTGATGTAAACCCAAATATTGAGGATAACAAGTGGAAAACGGCATTACATTATGCATGTCGTTACGGGTCAAACGACTTAGTACAGTGTCTTTTGTCACGGAAAGATATCAATCCGAACCCATCTTGGTCTGAGGCACCACTATTGGAAGCGATAAAGAAAAACCATAACAACGTTGTGCAGCTTCTTTTAGCATGTAGTCGTCTTGACCCGAACCACTCGGGCGAACCGAATAATACCCCACTAGGCTATGCCATTAACTTCGACAACAAAATCGTCGTTCAATTACTGCTAGAACGCCAGGACATTGATCCGAATAAACTTGACGACCAAAGGTCACCTCTTTGTATAGCGATACAACGCGAAAGTTTGGATATTATACGGCTTCTGTTGAAGAGGACTGACATTGATCTCAATAGCACAGCTTCAATCAGCACACCACTGTGGTGCGCAGTAAACAGCGGCAACGATGAAATAGTAGAATTACTACTATCGCAAGATGGTATAGACCCAAGCCTGCGTCCACATTCTTATAAGGCGGTACATGAATTTGGTTATACAGATACACTACTCCAGAGAGCGGCAAAGAAAGGATATGTGGCCATACTACAACGACTCTTGGGGTATAAGATCTTGGATCCTAATGAAAACAGCAAACAAGGGACACCGCTCGGCCAGGCAGCAAGGTATGGTCAAATTGAAGCCATGAGGTTATTGCTAAAAAGTCCCGAGGTGGATTTAAACATCTCATCACACTTTTACATTCCAAACCGTGAAGAGATTTCACTTGAGCACGAACGATTCAGTCAAACGGATTACGACGAGTCAAAAGCCGCTACGTATAAATTCTCTGTGCTTTCCGACGGACCCTTTGGCAAAGAAACTCCTCTCCTAGCCGCGGTTCGAGCTGGGGGGAAGTTGGAGACTCGACTCCTATTACAGCAACCCTGTATCGATACCAACCTGGTGGATGCCTCCGGACGGTCACCGCTCTGGTGGGCCACGTGCCACGGCCATAACCGCTTCGTAGAGAAGCTTCTGCACAACCCCAAGACATGCCCAAACATCAAGGATAGCAAGGGATGGGCACCCTTGCTTGTTGCCGTATATATCGGGGCAGACAGTATTGTACGCATCCTGTTGAAACATCCTAGCATCGACCCAAACACTGCTAGTGATGATGGCTGGACGCCGCTCCATATAGCCGCGAATGAGGGGCTTGAATTACTCGTACAGAATTTACTACAGCATCCCGATATTAAGCCAGATTTGGCATTGAGCGATGGGACGACAGCGCTGATACTAGCTGCGCGGAAGGGTTATAGTTCGATAGTTTCCTTGTTGGCGAAATATTAGCTGGTTCGACGGGTAATGGTCTTAGTCATTACCTATGGAGGCCTGCTAGTTTTCTATACGGTCTAATAGCAGCTCCGACTGCTCTATTTTTCATTGAGATTTGCATTAATTCCGGGTCGATGCACCACCCTTTCACGCGGACATCAGTCTCCTCATTGTGAGAATCATTGTCATTTTAGGGCCTTACACTATGGCTGCCAATGAACACCCCACGAATAGATGCATCGGAACGATCACAGTCCACTCATGTATTGAAAATGCGGCCATGGTGGTTTTCGTATGTCACACGGCCAAGCCTGCCAAGACCCCTTACGGCCAACAGTTTTCCTGGCGGAAGTGAGGCTTCAAGCGATTGGATATACAAGATCACAAGGTCAGACTGATAGCTGCAATGGAACCAACAGTTAAGGCAAAGCAGGTTGTATAGTAGCCCGAAGGGCATAAATAGCCCAGGAATTCTACCACTTTAGAGAAGGAGAGAACTCAAGGCCCTAGAGACCCCTAGTAGATTATTAGGAAATATGACTAAGTTCCAAGCCCTCTATAAGAGCCCTTGTCACATCGTAACACAATTGTTTGCCCCCCCCTGGGCTTGAGAGATAACAATAACAGACTACGACTCTTATGTCTTTGTTGTACCATGAGACCGACTTGATTGGAAAAATCAATATGATTTGGAATACTTGTAAGGTCGATTTGGTAGCAATTTACTGCGTCTACGCTGCCAGTAGCTCTATCATGATGTGTCAATTGTATGTATTTAAGGCCCGGAGCGGTAAGGTCGGGTTCAAGGCTTGCTCGCCGTTGGAATTTGTTTGAAGTGGATGATGTGACAGGGATGAATGGAGTGTTCGTGGCACTCCGGTCTCGTTTGTGATGGTTTCGCTCCCGTGGTGCTTGTGGTGAGGGAGATTTGGCCGTGTTGATGGTGTCACAGAGCTCCATACCCTCTACAACATCATTATTTCCCACATTGCTCAACATACGCTTCCACGTGTTTTGTTTGTAGGCTTTTATCATGAATGCTGAGGTTCAAATGAAGACGCTGATTAGTCTCGTCTAAAGACCACATCACCATAGCTGACGATCCCACGTTGGCCTACAAAAAGAATCACACACGACATTCCACTTGTGGCTATCATGAAATCAAAGCTTCGCCGCTTTGCAGTGTGTTCGTGGCTGGAAATTACGTAACCACATATGGAGGTAAGAATTAGAGGTATCTGCGTTGTTTCATCATACGACCTTCGATAATTATTGCGCATATGCAGTGTTACGATGAGGAAAACCACGCGGCTAAAAGCGACTAGGCAAAGTACATCAATATATGCAAGCGCGGAAATGAGTGAGACGCACACAGTGGAAGTAGCGTAATACCTGGTTACTCGGTCCGTCAATATAAGAACCTTCTTTATCGCACTGTCGCACGGCCTGCTACGTGTATCCAATTATGTGTTGTAGAAAGATCGCCCTTGTCGCTAAAGACCCGCTTGGGCTATTGGATATTGTTCATCACTTGTATGGCCTCCAGCTGCAAGAAGACCTAACAATACAGTACTTTCAGACGAAATGGCAGAAATCCACGGAATGAATGGGAATAACCAAGAGTTTGTATACATGCCGTTGGCCAAGATCAGGCTAGAGATTCCACCGACGAATGAAGGGAGAATATCATGGACCTTGAGAACCGTAGAGAATTATAAATTGATTAGACCAGTTTCAACCCCTCAATAAAAGCCCTTGACACATCTACCGTCAAAGATAGTCAAGCTAATAGAGTTCTTCGCCAAACTTCAGCATCAAGACTTTGCAACTCTTGTAACTCGCACCATAATTTCAAGAATAGATTCCCTACTTATACTCTGTTCTACATATTTGTCTTCCAATTATCGAAACCACTGAGCAGCAGCCATGACTAATCTATGTCCACGATGCAGCCAGCTTGGCCTTTCCCACGAGTGTTTCAAGATTAGCGCCAATCGCAACATGGCTCCTTATGACTTGGGCGTTCAGTCTGTACAAAAAACGCACGAGCGAATCGACTTTGGGACAATGACCCAAATCTGGGACTCAGCGCCAACCTGCAGTCTTTGTGATCTGATTCGCCTCAGCGTGAAGGATCTGCTCCCGGAAGATCGCCCGAGCGACGTGAGATGCTACCTTGATTGGCAGGTTGACGGACGAACTCTCGACAGGGCCGAGTCTCAAGTTAATTGTACTCGAAGGCTGCGAATTGGCTGGGAGGCGGAGTGGTCCAAGCAGTATGAAGCTCATATTATACTAGCTGCGCCAGAGAGCTACGATAAGTCTGATGTCGACTACTTAAGTCGTGTGGATGATACTTCCCAATTCCTCGGTCGACGTATAGGGTCTAAGGTCTGCAAAAAAAACCTTATTCTGCAATTTCTCCACCTGTGCGAAAGAGAGCACGAGCAATGCAAGGAGGTTCTTGGTATCAAGGACCCGTTTGCGGAGATTTTGCAAAGGTCATACTTTGGTGTCATTGACATCGAAAATGCAATGCTTGTCCCGTTAGATCATCAAAAGACCGAAGACGGTAGATTATCCTTTGCCCCCTATGCGGCAGTTAGTTATGTTTGGGGAACAACCAGCAACCCACTCCACTCGACGCGCAAGGCCAATATTAGTCATCGGCGTAAGTCAGGAGGCCTGGCAGATGTCATAAATTCTTTGCCAGTGGCCCTTAAGCAAAGCATAGATCTAGTTCATGCAATGGGAATCCGGTTTATCTGGATTGATAGCTTGTGTATCGTGCAAGACAGCGGACGCAATTTCAGCCTCAACGCCAAGGCAATGCACTCGATATATGGCAATTCCACTATTACAATATGTGCCGCCGAGGGCAAGGATGCAACAACTGGTCTCTTGGCCCTTGATGAGGATAAAACCGAGCAAGTGACTAAAACTATTGCCCAAGGGATCAATCTCATGCTTCATCGACCATGCGAAGTCAGTATTAACGCAACGCCATGGAACAGCCGAGGATGGACTTTCCAAGAGAGATTACTCTCCAGGAGGTGCCTCATATTTACCGATCATCGAATTTTTTTCCAGTGTCGTTCCACAACCATATCGGAAGACATATTTCCAGACAAACAGGGGAAGGGGTGGTCGTTGGAGTTAGTTAATGCGCCTCTTCGAATGCTTCCACAGCTCAAGACTCAAGCGTTATTGTTCTACATGAAATCTGTATCCCTATATACTAAACGGGTACTTTCTGAACCATTCGATAGATTAGCAGCGTTTAGCGGCATGTGCAGTCTTATGCAAGAAACCATGGGCGCACCCTTCACGTTCGGCCTTCCCATCTCTCATTTCGACTTCGCCATGTTGTGGCAACCAACCGGTAAATCGAGGACACTGACTAAGCCTCTGAATAAGGATGATGCGAGGTACGAAAACATAAGATTCCCGACATGGTCGTGGTCTGGTTGGGCAGGAGAAAGTGCAGAATATAACCGGGACATGGTCAAGGGGTGCTTGTCTGATGTACGGCGGTGGCTTATGAAGCATACCTGGATTGACTGGCATATTCGAAGTAAAGATGGTACTCTAAGGCGACTCTGGCAGAAGGAATGCAAGGAAGATAGGAGTGAAATTGCTGAATGGCGAGGTTACTGCCATCCGGCCACTACTGTCGCCATGGCAAACGCCATTCATACAATAGATGCTGCAAAAGAGGGGGGTGTGGACTCGGAATCCGTTGCTGTGAAGGCGAATGGGGTCTTACTAGCCCCAACTGGTCAAGGCCGGGGGGCTGCGAACATAGTCAACGGAGCAAAAGGATGGGGAAATGGGGCATCTTTACACCGGAGGCCAAGAGACCAACGATGCGTCGATCATTTTGGCCGCTCTATTCGAGACAACGTGTGGAACGTCTCTCACAATACCACGTTCTCACTGACACTCCCAGAGGACCCTTATCGCGTTTGTACAAGAGAGAACAACGAATCGCCGACCTCCACGCAAGATCAGCCACTTTTGCAGTTCTTCACTTGGCGCAAGGAATTTAGTCTCGTCCGGGACAATGCTGCGACAAATAATGCTGATTCCCAACAGTCTCACAGTCAACAAAGTACTGAATCTCGGCGTCGCAGCCCGATAAATAATGGCACCGGTACAGCAGAGCCCTTGAGCCAATGCCATATAGCGCACCGCACTGGCGACAAGTGCGGGTCGATTAAGGTTGATGCGGAGTGGCTTAGGAAGAATAAGCAGACAAGGTTTGAATTCATTGCCATTTCGGAAGCCAAGTCATTTACCGACGAGGAATTCCCTCACTGGACGTTCTACATACCCTGGGAGAAGAACGAATGTGACTGGGAGGTGTACTTTGTGTTGTTGGTGGAATACGACGAAACAGAAGGCATTTACCGACGCGTTGCTCTGGGTAAGGTTTTCAAAGCTGCATTTAGACACACGCAAGATGAGTGGAAGGAGATCATTCTGGGATAGGTCATGATCATATATCTGTCATCCAGGAATTGATACATGTTATGCATTACGACCTAGCTTTACTCCGCGGGCACCCACTCCTGACAGATTGCTTGGGGAGGAGAGAGTCATAGTCAGCACGACTCATCGAAACTGTTGATTAGAAACAAATTCAATGTCTCTTTGAGGTTGTAATGAAAGCCCATTCTAGAACATTCAGAGTTGTGTCAGATTGAAACATTTATATTTGTCTTTTGAAAATAAGTGTTGAAAGAATTTCCGCCCCCTATCTCCAACCTACCAGGCACAACGGCATAAGAGAGATATGCAAAAGTCTTTCAATCTCTTTGTCACTTACCAAACCCCTTTTCCAGAATTACATGGTGGTCTGTAGACACTTTTTTACGGTAGTGTAAGATGAGGCATCGTAATAACTTGACCACCACAGCTGAAGTTATCTCCTCGCTACTGAGGCACATTCGCACCATCTAAAAAAGCAGGAGAACCTTCTCACTGAGTTGATCGTTTCTATCCTTCACGAGGAGCAACATCGTTGCCTGGGTACCTCGCGCTCAGGCCTTTATAACCGTTTTGCCTACTCAACCACTTCTACTTCTGGTGTTGAAATCTTCCTTTTCCATTTATCAACAGCTTGCACTTAGATAGATGGAACGTCTGAGAAATACGATACAAACATCAATCTCACACACTTTGCACAAAATATTCGCTATGTCGGAACAAACATTCGTACGATTCAACCAACTCCCCACAGAGGTCCGCTGGCTTGTCTGGGCCGAGTATGCGCTGCCTCGAGGCCCTATGCTCCACGAACTGTCCTACGTGAGTGGCTCCCCCGGGCAAGTCTTGGTAACTTCGGTTCACAGAGATTTTCCGTCCGCGGAGAACTTATCTACCATCAGACCTCTCATGAAGGTAAATTGGGAGTCGCGAGAACGAGTTCTCGCGGGGCGCCAGGTACAAATAAGGGTTGATGGCAGCGATGATTTAATCAAGATCACATATAAGAACGATGTGTCTGGCCGTTCCTACTTTGAGATGTTCAGACCTAATGGGCTGCATGGATTTTTCTTTGTGAAGTGGGACATTGACGTATTCCTTTGGCAAAACAACTTCCAGGCTTCCACGGACAACATCCTCAAGAGCAGCTGTCTTTAGAAAATGCAGCGAATCGTTGTTAACTTCGATGTGACTCGCTGGTTATATGGTAATATCTTATATGACCAGAATCATAGTAGATCGTTCCTTTCAACTGTCGTCACCCTGGATGTGATCAATTCGCTTCCTGTAATACTGACCAGCGAACATCCTCAACGCGAGAAACAAGGATCAACTCTGAAATGCTTCTGCGACAACCCACCGTCGCTGGCTGGCATATCTTTCAACATCGAATATAAGGATTTTGAATATCTATACAAGGCATGGGCATTTTGGGCCGTTGACGCAGGAAATAGTGACTATGACCAAGCAATTCAAGGCTTAAGCCTCGCCCCGTCAGCAGATATCGATGCCAAGCTTAGTGCCCGTTGCACAGAGGAGGGAGATACAACGAGACAATTCCGTGATACACTGCTGGGGGATGGACCGGGCGCATTACAACTCAATTGTTGTTCGAAGGAACATTGTCCAATCTTCCCGTAGATGTCTTTGGATTTCGCCTACTTACGCCCCATCTGACAGAATATGCTCGGAAGTGGCGAAGAGCGTCTCAGGGTGAGTGTGTCCGAGATAACACAGTTTTCTTCCAGCCCTGGATGATGCGAATGATGAGAAAAGCCAAAATTGATGCCATACACTTCTATGGGCGGCACATTTATCTTGAAGTCCTCATTTCCGGAGAACCTTTCTCGCTTAGTATCAATTCTAGTTCGACTTCATCCTTGGAACGCCAAATAATCTGAATGAGAAATCAAATCGCCAGAAAAGCCACAAAGCCAATAACTCAAGTTATGACGTTCTCCCGAAGCTGAAAGTCCAAAGCAATGACAGAATACGTTGCTTATACTCTGGCATTGTTGGTAGTGAAGGGGTCCAAAGGGCTTGGCGCGACTCTTTCTCTTCATAGTATTCTTCTCAGACCACGAAGATCTTGGAAGATTCGGTTTCCTTTCTGTCGCAAGGTCGCTATAGCCACGCACGGTGGGCTTGAGAGTCTTCTTTGACTGTCTCTGGCACTTTCTGATATCTCAATATTAAGTATCACGCGAGCTGAATTATGTACACGAGGATAACAGTGTAAATTCTATAATCTGCAGCCCCTCCCGTAACTATAAACACGAGATTCTCCGAGTTACAGTAACGCGAGTTATGTGTAATGAGTTCACTAACAAGTGAGATCCATGAATAGCTCATAGCTCTCAGCCGGGTTTCTTAGAACGCTGTGAAATTGTAGTCATTACTCCTGAGAACGTGAAGTCGGATTCTAACGTCGACTGTGTAATACGAGATTAGCACATAGGTGACGTTCATCGGCTAGCGAATACATAACACGATGGATTATTAATAGGGAGTTCATCCGGTGAATAGCTACTCAGAATATCACTAGACTATGTTCGTTTGTGTTGTCAAATGCCGCTAGTTGTAGGTTTTCACCTTGGAGAAGTATGGTGCTCGGCGTGCATCTTCAGGTCAACGTTACCTACAGCCAAGCGCTCTAAACCGAAGCGGGGATAGTGATGATGGTTGAAGATCGCTGAAAATTACTCTCCACGGGCGGTATTAAACAGGAAGATACGAGTAGACCAGGGTCTTGACCAGGCCCCCAGAGTATAGTAGCGTGATGTAGGATGACTTGAGGTGGTAATCACAACCATCCCCCGTTACACGCCAGTCACACGGAGTTAAAGGCTCTATCTAACCATTAGTAATACAGCTTGACTTGGTTTAGCGATACAGCATCTGAAGTATTACTCGTGGATACCATCCCCTAGTTGCAGATCCTGGGGTAGCGAGGGGCGAATCGGCGGTCAGCAGGTTTCACCTATCAGTCGGACGGTCGGACGATTGACATACTCGAATATGCATCAGAGCGGGTGTCGAGCACAACGAATAGATGAGGGAGGCCGCGAGTAAGCTTGACGTTGACGTCGACGAAATCCGGCCTAGGAACCCTATAAGTTATACCCGTTAAGCTGGGACGGCTTAAGTACATCTCCTCTTGGTATAATATGGCGACTGAGTGGACTCCTGCGAGTTATTCCCATGTGAGCTGATGCGACAGAACCCACACACATGCACTCGGAGGTATTCAAACGGACAGCGATGTCCACCAATTCTGCGCTGTCGTTGCAGTGTAGGGTTGCTTAGTACCAATGCAAAACCCTTGAAGAAGCGGAGCGAATACCGGGATATAGGCACACTAAGCCGGAAACTCGCGATGTCGGTGGAGCGCCGAGGGCCGACACAACTGGGCATCGTTGAATACATAGGGAGTGGGAGAGAACGGACAATGAGTTCGTCTTCCTCGCCTTGCAACAAGCTCCCCGACCATGTTCCAAATTGCAGGTGTACAGGTCGTAACGCCAGTAGCCGGCGCTCTGGCTGCCGCTCTGAGCGTAAGTGTTGATCAACTGGATATAATAATATAAGTAATCAATGAACCAGCCTGGTACTGACTCGCCTTTCTAGATTATTGTCTATCATATAGCGCAAGTGATCTATCTCTTGTTCTTCCACCCTCTCGCAAAATATCCGGGGCCCAAGATCGCCGCAATCTCAGATGTGAGCTTCAGAGGCCCTCTATTACTATACACGTAGAATATAGAAGCGCTAACAGCCAAATAGCTCTGGTGGGTGTGGGAATTGAGCAGCGGACGTCTCCCCTTCACCATAGCTGACTTGCATAAGAAATATGGTTAGTTCAGCAGCTGTATCTCTCGTATCTAGAGGACCTTTAGCTAACACCCATGGAAGGTGATGTGGTCCGCATCCGACCTAATGAACTGTCTTTTGCTACGGCAGAGGCGTTCCAAGATATTCATGGTCATGTCTCACAGGGCAAGCCGAGGTTTTTGAAGACGGAGTTTTACGACAATGATGACCCCACGCCGCGTATCACGGGCGCAAGGGACCCTGAAGTCCACGCACGGCAGCGCAAGTCGCTCTCGCATGCCTTCAGCGCAAAGTCTCTGCGTGAGCAGGAGGAGATCGTGCAGAAGTACATAGATGGGTTCCTACGACAATTGAACAAGCTCGGTAAGAATGGGGAGAAGGCGCTCAATATGTCGGAAACCTTCAACTGGTTAACCTTCGATGTGATCGGTTAGTAACGCGTCCTCAAGTACCTAGCTTGATCACTCACTCATGTCATATATAGGCGATCTGTCATTTGGGGAGCCCTTCGGCGGAGTTGAGAAGGGCGAGACCCATATCTGGATCAAGGTAATCCTGGACTCAGTTCTGAATGCTCAAACGACCTTCCTACGACAGAAATCATCCTTCTACAATATCATTTTGCCCTTCCTCCTACCGGAAGGAGCGAACAAGAAGCTCAAGATCCACCGGACGTTCAGCAGGGAAAAGTCGCGGAAGCGCATCCAGCTTGGAGATACCGGACGTGCGGACTTTTTCTCACACATGCTGAAACGGGCTACGATGAGCGAGGCGGAGATGATGAGCCAGACAGCATCGCTAATTATCGCAGGGTCGGAGACGACGGCCACCTCGCTATCTGGTACCACGTTCTTCCTCCTCAAGAACCCCGACTGCATGGCGAAGCTTCAGAGCGAGGTCCGCGGCGCTTTCACCTCCGTAGAGGAGATCACAGGCGACTCGACGGCCGGCCTCCCGTATCTCCATGGTGTTGTCGAAGAAAGTCTGCGATTATTTCCTCCTGTTCCATTCTCCATGCCGCGGTACTCCCCAGGAGGCATGGTCGACGGACACTACATTCCCAAGGGCGCGGTGGTCTCGGTGTCGGCATTGAACATGCCGCGCGATGAGCGATACTGGCACGATGGTGAATCCTTCCGTCCCGAACGATGGATAGGTAAGGGGTTCAACGACCACAAGAAGGCGAGTCAGCCCTTCTCCGCGGGCGCCCGTGCTTGTCTGGGGATCAACCTCGCGTACCTCGAGATGAGAATCGTGCTGGCGAAGTTGGTCTGGCTTTACGACTGGGAACTTGCTGTGCCCCGAGATGAATGGGTACGCGATTGTAAAATGAGGATCCTCTGGAAGAAGCCCGATTTATGGGTGAAGTATCAACCCCGGGCTGGTGCATGAGATAGGGACATAGTGAAAGGTACTTGACATTCCGTAAGGTGATACGTCTATAAAAATGCACCGCAACTCTCTCTTGCAATTACCCTCTGATTCTGGTTGTTTTGAAGGAAGGTCATGCATAGGCATCCCTCACTATTTCGATTTTAGTGCAGTGAACGCTCGGCACGAGATAGCGAATACTCAAGGAACCAACCAATCATCGTCCCAAGATCGAAACCCCTCCCTTGTACAAGCCAGCCAGCTGGGTTGGCTATAGTGACTAGGTTAGACGGATTCGCAATACCTCTATACCTAGTAGGTTAGATTCGAAGTTACAGACTTGGATACCAGCACTTCCAACCTATGTAGGTAGTCATGATGACTGATTGGTGCGCATAGATAGTGCGAGGCTCCGTCTTCCTTTCATTATTATATTATACTAACTATTATTTACTTTCAAGGTTTTATAAAGTAGTTGTTTTATAAATAAGTCTATAGCCTTATTAAGCTATTAGTCCAGCTACACCTTAGGCACATCTATGCTTATTTCGATAAGCAAGCATGTCCCATAGTGATAGGTGCTGGTTTTACACCTGATATCTACCCCACTTAGTCCAACACATACTTTTGCCAGCATTTGTACCATCTACATTTAGATAGGGGCAAGAGGCTCGCCGTCCCTAATCTTGCGGGCACCATATTTCTCCAGACGGATAGCCTGAATAGCAATGAAGCCACTCGTGTCCTTCATCATATTATTAGCTCCAGTTCACGTCTAAAAGCTCTTTTTCAGAAAGCTACTTACCATTGGGGAGAAGCCCTCGAGAGTATCCATAGACGACTCAGTCTCGGAATAGAGGTTAGAGGTCTCGCTGGAGCGTCCGACAACGAATGCGTTGCCTTTATAGGCGACCATATTGACCTTGCCCTCAACGTGCCTCTGGCTAAAGACGATGGAGTTGTGGAGAAACTCTCGCTCTGGGCTGAAGTACATTCCATTGTAGAGACAGGCGGTCCAGTTCGAGGTGACCATCTGATCACGGATGGCACGGACCTTGGAGTCCATGACAAGGCCCTCGAGATCTCGGTGGGCGGTGCGCAGGATCGTCAAGCCGGGGGTGTCATAACAGCCACGGCTCTTGAGACCAATGAACCTTGATTCGACAATGTCGACACGGCCAACTCCATTAGCTCGGCCAATTTCGTTAGCGGCCTTGAAGATTTCGAGTGAGCCGGTGATGACCTTGCCACCGACCTCAAGCTTGATTGGGATGCCCTTCTCGAAGTGGACAGTGAACCTGGTTGGCTCGTCAGGAGCCTTCATGGGATCTTTCCAAGTTAGCTCCCACGTCACGGAACTGATTCAAGACTGAACGAACTTACCCACGGTCATTGTCCACATGTCGGCTGGCGGCTCGAGCTCGGGTTGCTCGAGTAGACCTGCCTCGTAAGAGCAACTATTTTCAGATGGAAGGGTTAGCGACGATTCTATGTTCGACCGGGAGAAGGAGATCAAATGGAAACCTTATAGCATGGTAGAAGCACGCTTGAAGGTCTCGATGGGATGAAGTAGAGGGCTTTTGCTCACTGGATCAGGTTGGCATCCATTGAAAATGGCTTTTGCTTAGTCGACGTCACAGGAACACCCTTTGATTCAGCAAAGTCCAAGAGTGCTTGACGCCCGCTGTCTGTACGTTAGTATCTCCGAGAGAGAGAGAGGGGGGCCGGCAGGGGTACGGACGCGAATCGCTCGCAAAACTCCGGTATGCGCCACGGGATGATCGTCTTTGTCTTCTGATCGAGAGCCCTCCATGCCAACTCGAATCTGACCTGGCTTATAAGAAGGTGAGTATGTGACATTGATATCCGGACACCTAAACATACTCATTCTAAGCAAGTTAGCATCCAGAACATCATATACACGGAGGGAAGAAGAACGTACCCCTTTACCTGTGCCTATTTAGGTAGGAGAGACGGCAGTCAGTATAGCACGACAGTAAGTAGATCCTGAAAGGCGACCTCGATTACTTACATCCATGACTCAAGAATTCACAGTTATACTGCTTGGCCACTTTCATCATAGCCCTCGCGATGACAGGCCTGGCCAACGACGTCCCCAAGAGGTAAGCGTCTTCGTATAACGCGTTGCCTAATAGCGTGGCATGTTAGCATAGCAGTAGATGGAAGTTGTGCACTTCGCACGGGGGATCGGCCGAACGCACATTGCACAGCTGGCCAAACAAGTTCGTCCACTAGCTCCTGCTGAAGATCCTGGATGATCATGCGTTCGGCACCGATCTTCTCGGCCTTCGCTTTGACTGCGTCGTAGTCCTCATTTTGTCCCTGTCATTATGTCAGCACAGGGATAAGCCAATTGAAGCCGCTATGCGTAGCGAGCTGGCCCTGAGAATAACAGTCCATCTCTTTCTATCCTCCGGGTCGCCTCTCTTTATATCCTCCCCACGAACAGGGCACGGGCCAGAATGCGAGAGCCAATATCGAGGAACGGCCTGTACGTACCACATCTGCTAGGAACGCCTGTTCTCGGTCAGCTTAGCGTAGGTACATCGACTGGGTTAGACGTACAACAACAGTATAGCCCTGCTCAATGAGCCAAGCCAGGATAACCGAAGTATCCAAACCTGGAATTTACGTTAGAATGGCTATCATGGTCATGTAGCACAGCACTGTTGTGTAGAAAAACGCACCGCCGGAGTATGCCCTGATTCACGGGGATCGCCAAGTCAGCCTTACAGCGCGGTGGAAAGCAAGAGTGGTTCTTTCTAACTCACAGACAAACGCGCTTGGCAGCCATTGTGATAGTTGATTGAGGTGGAAAAGGTAAGTAGGAAACGGAAATGGAAACGGAAACGAATCAAGTTGATGATGACCGTCCGTGGTGTTTGTTGTGTTGCTGCTCCTCAAGGCTTTCATCCCGCCGCCGAGGCCGGAGTCGACATGAGATCTACAAGATGTCTCTTGTGGGGACACTACCTAGGTAGGCTAGGCTGGTTGTGGCAAGACGCCTGATAAGGGCTGGGGCCCTAGCCCCACAATACGTGACTCTGAGTACCTAGGTACCTTACCTTACCTACCCCAGCTTAGGTAAGCTGCGGTAACGGAGAAATCGAGTCAAACCTCCCAGACTTCAACGTCAGGATGGGAAAAGTCCAACAAGCTTTGACTCATCCACGTCAGAGCCGCAAGAAACCAAGGCATATCCAAAGCCGGTCCTTGCTCTCCAAACCGATGTGTGGCATTGGGTCGTTTCCGCTACCGCGGTAGAGGAAGACATTGACACCATGGGCGATGACTCGACGGATTCGTAATACATAGATCAGAATCTACTAGGTAATAGGTTTGATTCGAAGTTACAGACTTGGATACCAGCACTTCCGACCTAAATAGTCGTCATGATTGATTGATCTTCCTTTCATTATGAGTGACAGTACCTTCCAGTAGGCCGCGCCCATTCAGGGTGCTTATTTGGTTGCCTCGTTTCCTAGTTGCCTGACTGCCTGCCTCGAATTGACCAAGTCGCGGGGAAATAAGCGATCTATAATTGAATTTCATCTATTGACCGTTTTATAGGAATAAGCCGTTCGCAACATGCGTCTCTTGTGTCGCGATAACGCTACCGGGATCATTCGCTTGACCGAAGATATCCACTCAGACATTCCGCCAGATGCGATCCTTTCCCACAGATGGTGCCACGACGAGGTCACTTTACAAGAGCTCTCCGATGGCACCGGGTTAACCAAACATGGCTATGACAAGATCCGCTTTTGCGGCGAGCAAGCCTGGCGCTATGGATTATCCCATTTCTAGGTTGATACTTGTTGTATTGACAAGAAAAACGCCGTTGAGCTGCAATCCGCTGTCATTAGCATGTTCCGCTGGTACCAAAATGCAAACCGATGCTATGTCTATCTTGACGACGTATCTCATTCACCGACTCGGTCTGCAGAACCACCGGAACGACCTCCTCAGAAGCGGCGAAAGCGGATGGACACGATTATCCCTACTGAGCCGCCCTAGCATTCGGCATTTCGAATGAGCCTTTGGTTTACCTGTGGATGGACACTTCAAGAACTCCTTGCGCCAAAATCTGTTGAGTTTTTCTCAAGAGAGCATACGCTGCTTGGCGACAGGAGCCAGGTTGATAGCCAAATCATAAATAGGTGTCTCCCTTCCGAGGTCCAGTACGCTTGTCTATACTAGGTTCACCATTTGGAGCTCAGCGGTACATCTGTGCAAGATAACGACCAAACATACGCATTTTTACACACCCATTTCCTTCATTGGCTTGAAGCTCTATGCCTTACGGGCAATGTACATAAAAGCTTCGGTATGATACAGATCTTGCGCAGATGCTGCCAGGTAAGCAGACGCCAGAACAACAACGCTAGACATATGTGCTGACTTGTTAGCCCGGCATATACATCGACAACTTTCTCTCGGACTCTGATCGATTCATCAGGAATTGTAGCCATGTTATAGAACAACACCCATTACGACTCTACTGCTCCGCTATCGCTTTTGCTCCACATGAGAGCGTGATTCGACGTGGATTTCGGAAGGAGATGTCGGCTTGGATTGTCAAACCTCCAGCTGTGGCAGACGCTTGGAGTGCTTGCACACAGACACTCGAAGGTCATGAAGATAGGGTCCATTTGGTCGTCATAGCGCCAGATGGCTGTTGGCTTGCATCAGCATCATTCGACAAAACTGTTAAGATCTGGAGTGTGGCGATGGGAATCTGCATACAGACCCTTGAAGGTCATAGCAACCGAGTCATTTCGCTCGCCAAATCTCCCAATGGACGCTGGCTCATATCAGGATCGGAAGATAGAACTATCAAGATCTGGGATGTTGCGATAGGAGCGTGCGAACAGACATTCGAAGAAGCCCATGAACGTCGGGTCCAATCTATTGTCATATCTCTTGATGGCGACTGGTTTGCATCAACATCGTCTGTATAGGGACGATTGGAGGTTTCAATGATGAGAGCACTCAACTCGTCATATCGCCTGATGGTCGACGGCTTATATCAGCATCACGTTACGTAAATACTATTAAGGTCTGGGACGCGACGACGGGAACTTGTTAAAAGACTATAAAAAACTGCGATGGGGTCAAGAACTTTGCCATAACTCAGTTTTGACCTTCCAACCCTTTACCAACTGTCATGCATACATGCCAGGCCTTACCTGTTCAAGAGATACACATCACCCACCTCTTGACAAAGTCTAAGACTGTCTATGCGGAATTCGCTGCGTGGATGATGAGACGTGGGAGAGTCTGGGTTTCATTGCGAATTATCAAAGCTTCTATCCATGCAATATTGGGGCGCTAGCAAGCTAACGGTGGGCGGCGATCCCAACACTATCCTATCTTTCACACCAGCATTCGCACAACTCGAATGCAAGATTGACGCGACGCGAGTCACATTGATGAAATGCTCTAACCAAGTAGATGTACCGAATCTAAAAAAGCAGCGAACGTAGAGCGCCATCATCGGCTGCATTAAGGGCAACAAGCAGTACCCATCCGATTTCGGGGCTGTTATCTCAATTTCTCGCGTGTTATACAAGCCATCTAAAAGAATGAATTGACTGCTATGGAACACATCTAGCTTATATACGAAGTCTAATCGGACACTTTGACGCGCATCTGCTGCATGATAATCGCGTCGGACGGACGGACGCGTCCGCCACTGGCTGGTCGTGGATGTTTCTTGTACCCGCGCAATCTCGACGCAGAATACTGAGGTCGCTTCACCGGCTGCGCAATGCCTCCTGCCGCGCACTTCCCCCCCTTGAAAGCCGCTTGAGCCGCGGCCTTCCAGATCTCCCCTGGACTCTGTATCATGGCCTCTGTCCAGTACAGCCGGCAATCAGCAAGTTCGGTAATGAACTGCGTAGGGACACCGCTCTCAATCTCACTAGGTAGAACCGCGTCCCGAACGTTGACGACAGGGAGCTGGTATGGGCTTCGGCCGCTGACGTATGTGTCGTCAAGGCGCTGCAGCTCTTTGATTAGAGCTTCATCTTCAGTGTATTCGAGTGCTAAATCGGCGAGGTTTTTCATCTGCCTCGTAGGGTAGACTTGGGGTCCTTTCACGCCGCCCACACCTTGGGTCAGCCCCTCGCGCGGCCTACCGCCCATGGCGATGCTCTTGACGCCAGCGCCGTGCTTCATGAACTGCGAGAAGATGCTGCATGTCGAAGCGCAATACCCGTCGTACAGTAACACGATGTTCTCTGGACCGCCGAATGGTCGCGTGAAATTCTTGCGAGTCCCATAGCCCGTGACATCGGTTTCAAAGTTTTGGCGTACCAAGGTGGGATTCGCGGGGTCCCATTCCATGTAATTGGTATACTCGTCGTCGTTCACCGCGAAAGGGCCGAACTTATCGGAATACGAGGTGAAGCGGCCGTTCGTATCGTTGAGATCGTTGCGCCAGTTGTGCACGGTGTTGCAGGCTCTATCTAGGTCTTGATAGTCTACCGTGGGTGTGTAATTCGCGCACAAGGGTGAGAATACCTGAGATATAGCATTGAAGGTCGACGTCGCTCGCCACCTACTGGGACCATCCTGGATAATGTCCGGGAAGATCTGGCGGAAGGTGTCGTAGCCTTGAAGGATTAGGCCGCCGCCATTTGCTTGGAGATCAATGACGAGTTTGGTCTTGCCTGCTTCGACGGCTACGGCGAAGAAGTCCTGGACAGCGGTTTGAAATTCATTAAACGAGGAGTCGAAAGAGAGTATGGCAAGAACCGCGACATCTTCGAAACCAGGCTCGTCAATGAAATAACCGGATACCGCCTGATAGGAGTCAATGACGATAGGCTCCGGATAGCCGTCGATGGGATTTGTCTCGCCTTCTTGTCGGCGAGAGAGCGAAGCTGCGGGTTGGGGGTAGTTATAGATGCTACTCGGTGCAGCGCTGAGTTGATGTGAGTTTGTATCACGAGCAGACCGGCCGGATGATGCGGTGGTGTATGCTCCGCGGCAAAACTCCTTGTGCATGGTTTCAGCATCCTTAACATTTTCCCAGTCGTAAGGACCGTAGTGGAATCTGGCAATGTTGGGTTTCTGAACCGTAGTTCCGTTTGCGAAAGTCAAACTAGTCGCATTCCCGGGATAGAAGAACCTTTAACAAGTCAGCTCCTGTGATTATGAATTCGAATTACAGCATACCTTTCACGACCCCCACCCTCAAAATAACCAACAGACTTTAACTGAGCTCTGTTAGCTTGGCTGAAGAACATAGCATTGTATCCCGCATCAGGATCTTGTGAGTTCGACGACTGGGTTACGCGTCCCTCGATGAACGTAGCAGCATCAACTCCGTTGATCTCTACAACGTGCGATGACTTCTCACTAGGCGATAGCACGTCCTGCAACACCTTGATCACAGGGAGTGAAGCGCCGTCCTCGCTAACTGACACGAGCGACCAAGGACGAACCCATTCGAAAGGCACGGTCAACAGATCCGGGTGGATGGCCAAGTGGCCGTTGTGCGGCTTTCCCGCAATGGCCCAGTATAAATCCTCTTGCCATTCTACCTCGCTGCTGTACTTGTCCGCCTCCAGGTTCGAACGGATTGTTTCCAACTCGGCAAATATGTCAACTGGGGGGTAAGGGTAGTCCGCTGGAGGGTCCTTCAAATAAACCTGGTCGGACTGCCACTCAAGAAAGGGCTTCATCTCGTCTAGCAAACGAATGGCGGGTTCCTTATGGACACGAACCGACGTCAAGCATTGACGGGCTGTAGACGCATCCATTGTCGGCATCGTATCCAACGAAGATGAGAGCTGTGAAAGGTATGTTTCTCTCGCTACCACGCAGGGGTCACTCGCCGTAGGCGTAGGGACTGCTGTTGTGGTGCCATTGGTAGGTTTCGAGCCGCCGCAAGATGTTCCATTGTTGCGGCTCGAAAGTGTGGCAGACGCTGGGGCAGAAACCGACAGCAGAGCTGCTAGTGCCGCCGCGTTGAGGGCGACCGGCTTCATGGCGAAAACGAGTGGCTCTGAAAAGAATGACAGAGAGTTGGTTGATCGAGACCATCTTCATTCTTGCAATTATTCACGTCAGGACGTTTAAATATGTCTGGATATAAAAATAGTCATCGTTTCATGCGTTGCCGATTGAAATCCTCCTATGTGGAGCTCTTCCAGCGGGCCTCTACATTGAGCTCGTACACTAGCTGCTGTGTGCTAGATATCTGCACTTCGCAGAGGCAGTGTACGAAGGATGGTCTTGCTAGGATGGTGCACCGACTTATCACGGCTCCGCATCGGCGGGATGGGAATCGATTAACTGTGGTATCTTGTCGTGATGTTTCCTATTGTAACAACAAATTCCCCAGTTTTCAGCAGAGCAAAGGTTCCTTCTTTAATATCAATACGAGGCCAAGAATCTTTGCCGGTCCGGCGCCGGGATATTTCCCAAGCTATACCAAGGAAAGAAAGTGAAGATGCTGTTCCTGTCAGATTAAAGTGGAACAGCACATGGTTTGTAAATTAGCTATGAACACTCGACACTCACTAGAGCTTGATTACAAATACAATGCCTAGGAAGGGATTTGGTCAAGAACTTGACTATCAACACCAAAATTAGATCATCGAGATGGGAAACGATAACCAAACAAGAACGAATCGAAAGACAAGAATCGATTATGCTGTAGTAGATCTGATCAACACGCCCCGAATTCTCAAAAAAAAAAAAAAAAAAAAAAAAAATTCTTGTCGTCTACGTTACACACTTCTAGTCGTTGTGCCGACGCTGAGCAGGTCTCCACGAAACTCGGAGGTTTCTGCATCCGATACGATGTTAGGAAACCGAACAATATCAATTTTGGATAGGATGAAATGGACTAAATTGAAGGACGTGTGATTTAATCAAAAGGGCGGTAACACGGGCATGGGGCAGATGCAGTTGGTTTCGACTGCATTGATGAATCCGAAACAGGATAAGTTGTGTGCCTTATGACTTGCAACTTATGCTAAGGGGCATGATCAGTGTCTCCGCAGACTTTTCCATCAATCTCACCAGCTTGTATGCCATTCTAAACAAGACCACTTACACTTTTGTCGCCTTCATTTCAACTTTGATCGCAGCCGTCAGCATTCTGTACTACCTTCGGGGAAGTTCCACGCTCCGACGGGGGCTGGCCAAGGATATCGCCTACTACGATTTCGCGAGTACGATCATAAGCGGCGGACTGTCGGTGAGCGCTTTACGCTCAGTACCTGTCAACTCACAGACGCAACACTGCCGGCTTTTGGGGCAGGGCGCGAATAGAATATTGATATCGATACAAAGTTTCTGAGGGTCCCTCCCCTGGTTTGGACTGCAGACCCAACAAACGCCAAGCTGCATTTGCCCAACTCTAAGTTTGACAAGCATCGATATGCCCTGGCAAGAATTATTCGAGCCCGGGTTTAATTTGGAAGGCGTTATCCTCCCTGATGTTTTCCTATTGTGATGAATACGACTTACCTGCATTGGCTAGCTACTGACTGAATCAAGAAGTAAGAGCACCTCTGTGTCTGCTTAGGCAAGCGCTACTCCATCCAGTATGATCATCATCTATGGAGGGCCGCTGATATCACAGATCTCTTCAACTGACTACAATCCTATCTAAGTATATTCCACAAGAGTCGGAAGTTCCGTGTAGAGTTTGTCCGAATGCTACCTGATAACTTACGACATCGACTAAACGATGTGGGAATGCGTGTCATACTCCGCTCCCAAGGTGCTTCAGACAAGAATTTACATGCATGTCGCAGATGTGGAAAGCATCAACAACTCCTAGATGTATAGGCTGCTTTCTCAAAAGAATGGTATGTCGCCAACGTTTTTCCATGCCTGGTCAAACACAAGGATGCTTTCCGTGCGTTCAACGAGCCACCAGGGCTTGATTCGAAAAAGGTGCTCCCTGTTCGGAGCATATCACTTCTTCCCGAGGTTTTACTCATCCAGTATTCTCTCGCATACGATGATCACTCTCCATAGCAGCCCCCGCTGATCTCATAATGTTACGGGACGCAGCATCGTGCTCGATCGTTCGACGCTTTTTATGATGTCCATCTTGCAGTACCTCGCCTGCCTCACCAAGAGGCAAAGCATATCTCTGGGTAATACTCTCTTGAGGTGGGCTATATGGTCCACGTATCATGTCGCTTAAAGGGCCCTGTTGACCATATGGCATAAGAGTAGCCATTTCTTGCGGCTGCTGCTGCTGTATCTGGTCAAACGTGTGCGTTCTCGGCAGCGGCATTGCAATGGTCGTTGGTACATCAGGACTCCAACTTGAACAGGAACTCATCTGGGCGTCCCTAGTGTCAGTGCCATAACCACTATCGCTTGTCAATCTTTCCGCGTCTTTCATCAAGCTAGAGTCCACGAAGTCCTCAGAGTAAGGGCGAAACTCAGGGCTATGCCGAATACCTTCCATTACAAATGTCTTATCGATCGATTGATCTACCGGCAGCCCGACTCCGCCATGGCTAGGCCATGGCTGAGAACCAGTTACGTTCCGACCGGGGCGTTCCCGATTGCATTTATCACGCAGTAGATGACTGTTCCGCGCCTACCTTCCTTATTAGTCTTCAGGCACAACCTCTAATTGCCTAGTACCAGAACTTACAGTAGTCCTCGTGAACTCAGCACCACAGTTAGGACAACTGGCTTTCACTGCTTGCCCAGATTTTTCTCGCTGGTGTCTTAGAAGGTTGCTGAAGGTCGAAAATTGTCTCCCATTGCACCCATGTTCCCAACATTGCGGCTTAGGTCTGCTCGTCTCGATTGCCGGCTGTTTTGCGACTTCGGGCAGGCCAACAAAGTCGGCCTGAAGATGGGCTTGGATGTCACGTAGTGTATGGTCAAAGGGCATAACATTCGCCTCCCCGAACATGTCAATCGATACAACATGGCCATATACTTTGCCCGTTGCCTCTCCGATCACCCAGGACCCTGAATCCCCAGGCTGGAAAGCTGCAGATAAGTTAGCGTTGACATAAACAGGACCGGTTTAGCTGCGGAATCAACACCTACAGCATCCATCGTCTAGCACGACGTCGTGAGTCTCAACAAATTGGCGGCCTGGAGCTACCAGAAGACCGGATGTGCCTGGGGTAAGTGTCCCTCTTTGGTTTCCTCTTGAAGTCGGAGTGATAACCTTGACTGATGATTGAGTCGAAATAGATGTGGCTGTGTTGAATTTCATAGTCATGAAATGAGCTTCATCTGACTTGTAAGGAGGTGGCATTTGGTTGAGATTAGAGATGGAATGTCTAGGGTACAAGGTTATAAGAGCCCAGTCATGATTCGTTGATGAAGACGGTGACTGAAGCGAGTGCTCTGTGATAACGCCAAGGTCTAATAATGGTTGCCAAGAAGGCCCGGGGAGTACCTCAGATTGATCATCGCCAGATAAATAAGAGGATTCATCACTGTCATATGACGTGTCTGAGTCGCTCCCTGAGTCACTACGAGGGCAAGGCCATTGTTTTGTCGATTCGTCAATCAATCGACGCAAAATATGGCCGGCGGTCATGCCATACAGTGTCTCCTGGCCATTCTTCACGACAGATATTACGCCCCCAACAGTTGCTGTAGTCGACCTGTTTGCACCACTGATCTTGACCATAGTCCCGCTGGTAACTCCTCCGGGAGCCCTTTTGTACACCTTGAGCTCTTGTGTCGAGAGCTGCCGAAGCCCAGTGGTCACATGGATGTTAATATCATCTCCAATTGTCTCTTTCACGTGACTCTGGGCGAAGAATTTCCGCATTCTTTTCGCATCACGCTTATCGCATTGGATTACGAGGTAGATACTGTCATCGTGATCGGCGTACTTCAGTTTCATTGATGCGCCTTTCGTTGGCCTCTGTTTCGTAGACATGGTATCGAGAAGGGACTCGGTAAATAGTGCTCGTATGTCAAAGAGACGATCTAGGTATTGCTGTGGTATGGGTTTTCTAGAGAAGGTGAGAGTCGCCCTAGCTGGTACGGCTGCATCACCGTCAACAGACGTCGTTCCATAACCCGAATCAGTCTCAGTTTGGGTAGGGGTACACGTTGTAGCAACTTCAGCTGCCAGCCCGCTTGCATCGCCTGAATTCGCAGCTTCTGATGCTTCGCCAACCTGGGACACATGGTGCTCTCTTGCTCCTTTGTAGCTTGTCGCGAGCTTTGATCCAAACTTGAGTAGCCCCTCTAGAGGGGGGACGCGCAAGTTAGAGCGGAGGGATGTAGTGACTGAAGCTGACTCTGAACGCTTGGTTCTAGTCTCGGTCATCGTCAAAGAGACGGGATGATATTGATTGCAACAGAGTTGTAGGTGATAGGCATGTGTGATGGTATGAATTCAGATGCTAAAAGAAGAAATTAGAGCAATACCAGCTCAATTGTCCTTGCCAAGAACCGGGGTATCATGTGCACACAGTCGGTTATTGGGGATGCCGCGAGCCTATCAGGCAGATTGGTAGGCGTTTTTAAGCTGACAGCATATGCAGCTGAGCCACCGCCATCAAAGGGTTTTAAATAATAATGACGCATGTCACTTAAGTGCCTTAGTTCATTCTTCATTGAAAGTTTCGAATTGCAAAGCTCAATAGTCTATACTTATGGCAGATGTTCTTATCAACAAGTTCAATGACAGAGTCGCTATCGGTTTGGGTGAGGTTTTATGGTCTTGGCAACGCTGCGACGGCTGCCAGGCAAATATGAAATGTCAAACAACTGTTTGCTCATCCTACATTTCTCGAGCAAAGCGGTACATGAAGTACTACGAGGCACTCGTATTGGACTATCACGATGAACTGCCTCTTGAAGGGCAGCCTTTCAAGACTCACGGCGATATTTGGAAAGCCATTTTGCTGCTTACAACTCATCCAGAACTTACACGCGCTGAATTCTCTAGGCTCATCTCGGCCCCTTCGGTGGCACCTGTGAATCACAACTTGCTGATAGATGCAACAACTCTGGTTGTAAAGATTGTCTGCATGACAGACTGTTCCAGTTTATACTATTCGCCCAGACGGTTGGAAGAGGGAAATATGGGCTTGGTCTGGGGCGATCAGACCCCCTTCGAGAAATATCTGCAAGACTTATTCGCTACACAAAGTCACCCGGTTTGGTCAAGCCAACATGGCCAAAACGAGGTCTTGTGCACAAGAAGGTCTCGAATGAGGGCCACAAAGCTCAGAAAACACTTGGGCTTGACAGTATGTCCAACACACGAGATCAGGGATCATTTACGTCTTGATACCCGACGCAATGAGATCAAGATATTTCATTATACCTCCTTTATCAAGGAAAATCTGAAAGCAAAGAGAAACTCCTCGGTTATGTATGTATACAAACTCTTGAATAAGAAAAACCGACAACTAACTTGTCCAGAAATCTGTTACCCAGGCAGCTATTACTCGAAATACTAGATTCTACCCAGCGCATTCTATTCCCCTTGAGCGATGCCAAGTCTAGGAAGCTGTTAAGACACCTGATTTCCAACAGCGACTATGCCTTTGACCCTGAAATCGAGAAATTCGAGCTGAGTATATTCTCCAACCCTGGAGAAGAAAATATACCGTATGTATACCTTGCAGAACGACTGGAAGAACTGTTTCAAGAGTTACAAAGTCCTAAGCCGCGAACATGGTTGGATAAACAGATGCAAAGGCGAAGTGGCGCAAGGTACAGTGAGTTTCCCAACCACGTGCGATCAAAATCCCCAGACATATTTGCAAAACAAGTATCCATTACCCAAATTTCTATCCGATAGTTTAATAAGATAAGTCCTAATACTGATATTGATGTATAGTGATGTTGGCAACATTGATTGGTGTGGCATTTGCGATTGTATTAGGTGTTCTCTCCTTGATCTTGAGCTCAGTCCAAACCTGGATTACGTATCAAGCATGGAAACACCCAATATAGTTGTCAGTCGTTGGTTAATATAATAATTACTACGAAGTCTCTCATCGTATCCAGTGCTGTGTACGTGAGCGCATGATACTAGGCGTTATTATCGAGAGGAGTTATTTCATTGCTTTATCACAACCCATATGTCTCCTATATTCACATCTAGTCCCTAAAGGTAGTATGTTCAAGCTGGTTTACATCTACAACTAGGTGGTCATGTTCATTTTGAAAAAAAAAAAAAAATAAAATAAAATAAAATTTCAATGGACGATCTGAGTAAAATGGCGCCTTCTAGTACGCAATATGGTATCTCTTTATATACAGACAAAAACAAAGTAAAGTAACGCTACTTTAAGCTAAAACTTCCCTTTTCTTAATGCGGAAGGGAATAGGTTTACTAACATCATCTACCCCCATCCCATATCTATAACTGGATATCTCAAGCAAATCATTATGAAAGTCGACCTCGTACTCGTCCGCCAAAAGACTTGCAGAAAAGACGAAGAAAGCCTTGGCGATAAAGCGACCGGGGCACATAGAAAAACCACCTAAAGAGAAAAGGAAAGAAGATCAGTCATCTGTCCCTAGTTAGGTTACGATTTAGACGAAGTAGCTTACCGCCGTAGGGAATCCAAACACCCTCACAGCCATCCAAAGAAAAGTATGGCTTCATATTATCCCGCTTCTTCTCGGGGATGTTCAGGGTTTTACGATACTCGGGATCAATTGGTCCACTCTGGGGATCAGCCGGGTCAACGATAAAACGTTCGGCCCAAAATGTCTCTACAGGATATTGACCATTTTTGGTGTTCCAGAACGTCTTGTCCATGTGAGAGGGTGCCGAGTTCACTAAAGCGAGGGCTCCTTTGGGAAGCGTCCATCGGCCCAGGTCAACGTCTTCATGTGGAGAGCTATATGCCGAGTAAATTTTGATGTGAACGCGCATCGTCTCCGCATAAATAGAGGCAAGGAGTGGTATCTCTCTGCCCATCTGGTGAGGATCAACTTCGTGCACAGACCGACCATCAAGATATTCTCGTAATTCATGTCGAACTTGTTTTAGGAGATTTTTGTCCTGCAAGATGTGGTAGGCCCCAAACATGCAGGAGATGACCAGATTACCTATTGTACTATAAACGCCAATGTTAGCTATGTTCAATGAGGTAGAACAGCTCAAACGGAAACTTACGCCCAGGCCAATCCTAGGTCAAGATGGGCCAGTACGTCGTCATCGTGTTTTTCAGCTTTCAGAAGATGTTCTTGACGGTTCCGAATCATGGCAGATCCCCAAATCGGGTCTCCATCTCCATCGGCCTCGATCATCGACGGGTCGAAATGTTCCCGCGCGTACTTGTACCAACTCTTGATCTTCTCAGCGATCGAATCCCTGAAGCGGTGCTGCTCAGGCAACATAAATCTTGGGAACCCCGGCGTAAACTTAGGCATTATCTTGTCAAACTTGAAAATATCCTCAACAAAAGTTGGATGTAAACGCAGTAGCGTAGGGCCAAAAATGCATTGGATAGATGAGGGACCGATGCTATCCTTGAAGAACTGAGCAAAGTCGGGCATCTCTTTCCACTCTGTAGAGATTCCTTGAGCTTCAAGTCTCAAAGGTACATCCCTTGTAAACCTCCGAGTTGCCGGCTGCATTCCAGGGCCGGTAAAGCCGCGGAATGCGAGAGAGTGGGTAATAGAGTCAACACGATTTTCAGGAAGAATGTTGCTCTTTGGGTGGGGTTGCGGAAACGGGCCCGAGTTATCAGCACGATAGACTTTTGAGGACTCTTTAGAGCAACCAAGGATATTGTTATTGCTATATCCATACATGTCGATCGCACTAGCAAGAGCCTTGTGCTTGAACAGCTTTATAAGGGTCTCTCGATCTTGGAAAATGTAGCATGTGAACCCCATAACTGTTATTCTGTTTGAGGTTAATTTGCCCTTATACCACCTATATACACCAAATATTAGAAATGGAAACCTTATTTTATATCATATTCTTCCTGGGAGAACATACGAGATCTGGTCGGTGAGACGTTTGTGATTCAAACCAAGCTGAAAAATAGACCCTAAATAAGGAGCGAAAGCGGGAAACTGCGGTGGGAGCTTGCCCTTAGTATTCCTAGAAGATGACTGGTCATAGTGGTATTGTATAACACTAATGATGTATCTGACGACAATGATAGAGAGAAAGAATGATCCCACTATGCCAACGTTATAGGCGACTGGAGACAACCTCAGGAAAGAAGCCCATAGGGCCAGAAACGGAGCTGCTGTCATTTCAACAAGCTTGCGTGATCTCGCACGGCCCTCACAGAGAATGAAAATTAGAAGAAGAGGAAAGGAGAGAAGAAAAGAGACCTTCAAGAATCGGCCCTAGGGAAGCAAAAGAGATCTGTCGAGGTCTTTAACAAGCTGTGCAAGACACTAGCCGTTCTTATAAAACCCGAGCCGGTGAGTGAATCTAGCTTTCGTGCAAGGTTATACCCATGCAAGCCCTCACGCCCACACTAAGTACACGGCCTTCGAGGCAGTCAATACATATTATTGCACGATCCATGAGTGAATTCCGCTGATGCCCCAAGATATTTAGCCCACTCACAGTGGCCACCCAAGGCTTCCTACGTGGGCGCCCAGCCGCTTAGTGTTATGGCAAGATCCACCCTATCTATTGGCGAAGAGATACACCAACACTAAAGGAAAGAAGACCGTTAAGTCTAACTGCCGGAGCCTAGAGCAAAGAGAGTTTCCAAGGCTCTTGCTCTTAGCTTCAACAAATAAGGCGAAGTCTATCTATCTAATCGTCCATGGTCACTGTAATGCAATAAAAGCATTGAGCGAATACATTGAGCACAGTTATCATAATCACGTGAAAATTTACATTCAAAACTTAGATGTCAATACAAAGGTACCATATAAGGTAAGCATAACCCTAGTACTTAGTATATAGCTATATTTAGTCACGGCGATTTCCATGCGTGACTAATAAGAGAACTAAGCATGGCGCCTCACTCTGAATTGAATTCTGGATGCACATTCCAAAACTAGATCCCAATCGTCCGACCTAATGTTGTAAGAATAGAGTTGTCCACTTCAATGAGCCCTGTTCACTCTAGAAGCGCTGGAGTTCTAGGCGCCTCAATGGCCTGTATCGGAAGAAATGCACCTTTGGCGGAGAATCAGTAGCACCATACTTCAAGGAATATAGTTACTCCTCTTTGTCCCAAATCGCCCTGGCGCCAAGGTCTTGTAGGCATGAATTCATCCGTAGACATAAACCTACAGTAAATAGTACACCCTTATAAGCAGTACTACATGATCTCTTGCAGGGCAGAGGCCACTGATCTCCACATAGATATCTATCACATGCGAGATGTAGTGTATCTGCTGGTGCCATCGGAAATTGCCGCTTGAGGAATACGCAGTATATGCATGTTTACTAGATATCAGACCCCTAGCACCGCTTAAGCAAGTACACTAGATGATAAGTATTTCTGGAACCAGATGCGTTTGGGACATGGATAGTAAATCCACAAGCAAGTCCGTGCGTTGGCGACTGTAAACGAAAAATGGTGCAATCCGAGTGTCAAAAATCCAAGATACCTATGCAGGCAGTGAATGGCCAACTCTTCCTCCAGTTGACACCAAGCTCTCGGCTAGCTAGAGAACTTTATCGCTCTCTACTGTAGTGTAGTCCTCAACGACCTTCTCCATGCATACTAGAAGCTGCGACATTAAGCATGAGAGAGTATTTCGTGGTCTGTCGGCTGGACAGGGTCTTTGTCTATTACAGGAAATAAAGAACTTAGCGCAAAAGCCTAGACTATCTCCGATGATCCTATTGTAGGGCTAGTGGGGTGGGCAGGCAAGTAGCGGATGTTACGAGACTGCCCTGTGCTCCTCTCGGTACGATCTTGTCAGCCATGTGGATGCTAGACTTCTAATCTGACTGCACAACTTCGCAGGATGACGGCGCGTGTGCGGCACAGCGAGGGGTCATACTGATGTGATTTCATTTTAATTTCACTAGCGTGTAACGCCGAAAAAGCCAAGCTGAATATGCCTTCCAACGGTTATTCTTCACAGATGCTCTAGTTCTCTTCTGGCCAACTGTCTCGCGGTTCCAGAGACTAGTTTATACGATATGTGCGTAGCAGAGATCGATCCTTGGAGGTTCACATGGGAAAGGCAGGGACCTTCTAGCCCGGAAAGTGTTGTCTGTGGAGTGTAAGAAAGAGGGTCTACGGCCCGACATCTAGCTCGATACGGAGTATTGGAAGTCTTCATGTGGTGTCTTTTACGGCCCTAGTATCTTGGCGGCAATGGTGAGAAAATGAATGGGTTAATGATCTCGGGGAGACGTTGGCTAATTAAGACTTGCGTGCGCTTGATGCCGCATCTCACGCAGCCCACGTACCGAAAAAGATGCCAGTTGCGTCCAAAGCAGTTCTGGTATCAAGAAGTAGCATAAGGCCTAGTATAGACATACCTAGGGAAAAGTGAGAGACTCAGGTCTGGGCCAAATCAGCGACCTTGGGGGGCTATTAGGCTCCTCCCAATCAATTGTACTAAGTGCATGGTCAGGCCGGGATGTCTGTCACCTTCTCACATCTTTAGCACCGCGCTTGTGGATCAGCGACCATTGTCTTGGTCTAGGCTTGCCTATCATTACTGTTTATTGCTTCCACGCGACGCGGATTGCGCATCCTCAACATGTGCTGCCAAACCTGGGGAACGAGCAGTGGTGAATCATCAGAGCAACGTGCATGTCCCGGGGACTCGGAACCAATACCACACACCTACATCGTAAATACCAAGGGGTACCCCGCGACCACGAATAAGCGTATCTGGGATACCTATAAATTGAGTACAGCGCCATCAACTCTGTAGTGGATTGATAGTAACATCGCAGTAGCTTGTTCTCCTTTGGAAGGATATACATAGGTTAGTTGATTGCTCACAGCTTTAGTGATAATACATCAACAGCCAACACTAGAAAGTCTATGATTGAAAATAATTTTTAACACTTGCTACCTCCATACCCATGCATAGTAGTATAGCTACTACCGAAACCCCATCGCCCCAAGTGGCTCGGTCCTAACAACTAGCCATTGATATTATTTGGACATGCCTATTCTAGCGACAAGAGCATCAAAATCATTTTCGTTGCATCCCTCACATTGCGCGACTCCTTCGACTTCGACGAGTCGCGTTTCGTATGCTTGTGTCTCCCGAACATCTGATTGTCCTTCGCGCGTGTGTACATACTGAGTACTAGAGCCCAAATTTCGATATGCATGAATATAGGAGAGCAGATTAATAGATCTAATAATGTTACACGCTCGTAACGCCAAACATTGAGTTCGCATACAACTACAGGCGTAAAGTCGTCTATTCATAATCTTCAAGAGATATACGAGCAGCATTAAAAGTGACTTCCCACGGGCCGCACTCCACGCAAATCAAAGACACCTAAGGGGGTTGAATTGCATATAGAGTCAAAGTTAGGTCACCAAGGCCAAGGCTAATAGTTTTCTAGCCCCACCAGATCATTGTATGGGAATGGCTTCAATCCCAAGGCCAGCCATCTGCCCTAATTATAGCTCTTCCAACGCTATTATTTTGCGGAACTCTTCAAAAGTTCGGGTGCGTAGCCCTACGTCTATAGATAAATGTATATAGGAAAGCCGCAGACTTACAAATATTGATGTTAAAAAAGACAACAATGTATTGAAACGATGAGCAGCTCATCCAATTTATTGATTAGGATGTAGCACCCGACCTCGTAAACAAGGGAAATAAAGGTTTGGAGATAAGATCCAGATTACCTTGGGAATTGTAGAGGTTTTTGGGTTCAAAGATCGACTAACACAACGTTCCGAGGAAGTACACAGCTGTACTCTATTTCGATCAACCCATAAGTATATTCCATGCAATCTATATGTTCGGCACAAGACATACTCGATAACCTTTTACCAATGTATGAGAACGTTATCGGAACATAATGGGTCAAGAACCAATTCAAACAATAAATGTAAACGGCAAGTAACAATCAAACAAGGGTCAAAATGATATGGTCTAAGATATTTAATTTTAACGAAAGTAAAAGTATATACATCGGCGCCAGAAGCGTTGACACCCGGATTTTTTACACATTAAGCATCCCGTCGCCTTCTATCCCATTATAATTGATACAGAGTCCACTTAAAGGTGAGACTCAAAGGTGGAGTTAGGGTGGTTCTCGATCTCACCAGCGATGGCACCGGTGATGAGGTCGAAGGCGACGTGGCTGAGCTCGCCGTAGCCGGGGACGTAAGCAACGCCAAATTGGTCGATGAAGGTGCCTCGGGTTCCGTCAGGCTTGGTGAGGGCGAGGTAGGTGAAGGTCTCGTTGCTACCACGGAAGACGGTGTCGTTGGGGAAGGCCTCGAGGATGGAGTCGTAGTCCTCGTCCTTGATTAGAGGAGAGCGGGGACCGGGGAACTCGAACTCAACGCTCTTGACGATCCAGAGGGTGTCCTTGTTCTTGCCGGGAAGGTAGGTACCCATACCCTGGAGGACGATACCGTCGTACATCTTCTCAAGACGGGCATCACTCCAGCCGCTGCGGCAGTGCTGCTTGACGAAGTCAACGGCACCGAGACCGCTGTCGACCTCAAAGGGTCGGTTCTCGCTGTGCCATGCGCTGTTCTCGCGCACTAGTAGGATGTTAGCATAAAGATGTTGGCCTAGATCTTTCAATACAACTTACTGTCCCAGCCCAAGTCGTGAAGCATGGCACCGAGAGCGTGAAGCTCAAGGTCGATCTCACCCTTGAGGGTCTCGTTGTTGTTGAAAGCGGCAGCACCGAACAACCAGGAGCGCATCAAGTGGTTGTACAGGTAAGGCTGAAGGGGCTTGAAGCCCTCGATGAGCTTGACAGCTTCCTGGACAAGCGGGGTGTTGACGACCTCGATGTTGGCGATCTTGGTGGTGGGAAGAGCACGCTTCACCTTAGGGATCTTAGCAGCGGTGGCGGCGCCGGCAACAGCCAGGCAAGAAACGAGACCTGAGAACTTCATTTTGACTGAATGAGGGAATGACCTGGTAAAACCGGAGTTGGATGTCTTGATGCGATGAGATGAGGGTTGAAAGAGTGAAGAGGGGTGGTGAGACTAAGAATAAGACCGGTGACACGAAGCTGGAGGCTCTCTAGATATAGTCGTTTTCAGATCTATGTCCATAGGCACGCCACCAAGTACGAGCACCCGCATCCAGGGGAGGCATCTGCGTACCAAAAGCCAACAGTAATCAAGACAGTCATGCTCCTTACACTCAAACCGCACGCATATGCACACGCGACAGGCTTGTCATCACCATAGCCTCGAGCCAAAACACGTGTAGACAGGGGTGAGATTAATTACTTAAGGCTCTTTCATGAAAAAGGACCATGCAATCAAGGGCTACTGGTGGACACCCAGTACCCCAGATGTTGACCGTAAGCGTATGTACAAGGTAGGGACCCGGAAAATACCATACGGCAGTATTCTATGTATAGCGACAGGATTATACGGAATGGCGGCATTAGCCTATCATGAAATGTCGCTAGCAAATCGCTAATAGCACCATGTACTACTATTGAAGTGCCCCGAAAAATTAATCGAACAATCGTCTAGAATATTTTCAATTGGATGAGACAGTTTATTCTCTTTATCCTTGACCAGCTCTCTGAGCTGTCTGTAACTACACTGGTTAATGGCTTCAAGTTTACGATCTTGTTAAACTATCAGCAGCCTGTGGCTAGTGAAGTTTAAAGTGGCTGAATGCAAAGCACAAAGCTGACGTCGCTGAAAAGGGATCGTGAATGCTTAGCTGACCCTCGGAATGTTCTACGCTACACTGCTCTGGTCTTAGGGACGCCAAATCGGGTATCTATCAGTCTATAAATAGGGCAAGGGTGAATGTGTGTGGGCTTACATACGAACTTGAAATAAATATAATGTAAGATCACACAGCGTCAGCCCACAAAAGTGATTTACTGTTCGTGCTGTGCCGCACGCGAGGGGTGTTGGCGGAGCTGGATGCGACGCCAAGAATGGTTTCTCCCACCCATTCGAGACAGGCCTTCCTCTCTCGCCCAAGTTCCGGGTTAGACGCTTGACTGGGCATCGAATGTCACCTCGCTTCCATTCTCGCTTGCGTTCACTCCGCCAAGCTCTATCAAACACCAAGCAATCAGGCTGCCCGCTGACGAGAGCCAGGGACTCTGACCACCTGTGAAGTAAAAATGGCGTGTAGGTGTACATGGAATGCAACTCAGTGTAGTACTGTAAGTCAGGGAGCACGACCTTCTGCATGGTTATCTTAGTGTAGGTACCTAGTTGAATAAGCTTCTTCAGCTCTGCATGTTGGTTCGTCGGAATTGACTACCTGAAGCTTGAACTGACTGCTGATGACCATAGCAAAGCATGCGAGTTTGTCGGGCTGACTTAGCACAGCGCTGACTGCAGCTGTGAGATTAGGCTGCTCAACTATTACAACAATTATTCTCTACGAAGCCCGCCGTAAATCCCCTGACTTTGTCGCGTCGCAAACGTGACCGCCACTTCGTCTATCTTGATGGGTAGAATCGGATTTCAGTGCGACTAACGTCCTGTAGATCCGCATTCTCGGCTTCCACCTGCTGCGCCGCAACTTTATGTTCTTGGCTGAAAACACTGAATGTTAATCTCGGTTAGGATCGAAAGCCTTCTTCAAAATAATGCAAGGTGATCCTATTGAACTGCTGTGCCGCAGACCATCCTTGGCTTATCACACGCCATAATTCAGCCCTACTTCGTACAGTATAAGGCGGTGATGTGGTACTGTTAGCTGTTCGGACTTTTTCTTCAGCTGCGACATGGTACACAGATCTACGTAGGTAGCATCTCGACAATGCTAACTGACCAATTTTTGACAATCACACAACGATTCAACGGTGTTTTCTAGAATTAACCATCTAGAATTATAGAGTTTCGCGCACTCAGGTACAGTACAGTGCGGTGTTGAGTTTCTTCCGCGAGTTATGGCTATGATTGCTTCGACTCCATGATGATAAAACGCTAGGGTTCTTGCGATAGTGCAGTATCTTTCGACGGGTGTCTAATGTAGCAGAACCTGCATATTGCAGTATCCTTAGTCGTTGACAGATAAGAAGCATTTCATTGCACCCTAATTAAAAGTTGAGCCGCCTTCTCATACATTGGCTACAATACCCCTATAATGGTTCACGACTCTACTCTTATGTAGATATCCCCAATATTCTTTTACCTTGTTGATAGCATGTCGAAAGACTTTCATGGCATGCACTCCCGGAGCCAGCATGTGTAGATTATAAGAATGCCCATCCTCATATATTTGCACGCCACAAAATCTAGTCTTAGATCTAAAGCAATCCTCCCGAATACAGCCCATCATCTTCCCCTGAACTTTAACCCTACCGGCAGGCAAACTCTGACAAAGTCCTACTCACAACAATGGGAAGCCAAAGCCATCCTGGCCCTTGATCTCGACATGTTCTTCGTCCATAACAAGCGAGAACTGCAGTGCGCAATTTACTGTACACTCACATAATGTAACCCCCAAGTTTATGCTCAACCTCCACGTTGCAACCCCCATGTCTCCATACCTGTAGTGTATACGTAGTATGCGAGCATTGTAGCACACCTGGGAGCTTGTTCTCGTGGCTGTTTCAACTACCTAGCCATGCACCACTGCCTGCTATAGCGTCTCAGCTACGTGAGTCGGCACGTTCCTCCAACAGTTGTCAATAGATTCATTCATCTCTACATGAATTAGAAGCAGATATTCATTCCCGATAATGGCCAATCTAGACAACAGTAATTGGTCGTATAAGGAAAGTTAGCAGCTGCTTCTTTGGATGCATTATAGAGTAGCAACCGTTGGGGTTATGGTGGGGTTTCTTAGACATGCTAGTGAGTATACACGATCTTGCGCTTTTCGTAATTGAGAGGATGTGTTGTTCGCATCTGCAAATTACGAAGAAATTTTACGTTCAGTGCTATATTTGGTTGCGATTCTACTAGACGAATACTTCTTCTAGAACGGAGAGCGGACCCATTTGCTTAATTCTATATAGCTTTATCCGCCCACATGTGCCCGGGTACTCAAAAGGGATGTAGTCAAGCCAACATACATAATGGAGGTACCGTGACCGTGAAGATTACTGTGCATATTACTGAGTACTAGGACATTGCTATTATTTCTGATCCTACCTCGATAGTCAATTGATTATGGTAGGTATGATTGAATCACCTATAAGATATGCGACTTACACTACATATGCCATGGTAATGCATAACTAGATGCTACTCCAACAAAGCTAATAATTCTGTATGACATTCATCGTGTGCTTCTGCCTTACCAAACTATTATTGCTCCTAGAGGACTTTCTTGTCAGACGGTTTATGTTAGCGGGTCTCTAGTTGAAGATCACTATACTTGTCGCTCTATTCCAACTTTCTGACAACCCGACCCGAAGAAGCAAAACGCTCAGGTCTCTAGGTAGGGCACATCCCATGGCCATAATAACTATTGGCGGCTATAATAGGCTATTCCTGCGCCTGCATGTTATTGGCACAGCATCAGAGTAGTAATCAAGAGTACATAGTCAGATTCGCCATATGGTAGCGCCAATCTGAGGCAAACTGTGCGCAAAATCAGGCATGCCTCTGTTTATCTATTGAGGATATGTTAGCTGGTCAATTATTATTTCACGCAAGGGTCTTACACATTAGACACGAGTTGAAGATGATCGTGCACAATATCATATGCACCTTTGAGGGCGTTGATTCTCTGCCTAGTAACCCAAGATACATTGACGGTTGCCATCAAGATGTATGTGCCACTGTAGGGGTTCAGTCGTGTCAACAGAAGGGTTCCCCAAAGGACTTGCGGACTTGGCATCACGGAGTCTTACGCTTAATATAGTTACCACTGTGAGTCATGAGTTGCCGTCTAGGACCTTACATACCTACCTACATAGACCCTCACCACGCCTCGAACCCCCGCTCTGTATAGATCATCAAGCGTTTATATCAACAAGTATCTTTACCTGGTTTTCTTTATCTGAGATGAGCCTTTTGATACCATCCTCGACAACATTATTGAATTTGATTTTTGCTGTGATCATGCCGTTTGGTTTGATAGCCCCTTAAACGACGTTAGTAGCTAACCACAGAAAAGCGATCATGGGCTCTTTTACCTGTTCTTAAATTCTCGATGACAGCTTCGAAGTCCTCTCTTTTATATCCGAGAACAGACCTGAAGGTGCACTCCTTCCACGTCACCCAATTCGGGTTGAAGGGAATTTCCTTTTCCCAGATAGCGACGTTGACCACGCTTCCCTTAGCCTTGACACATGTACAAGCGCTCTTGATACTATGACAACATAAGATAAATCACCCTGATGAGACATGCATTGAACTTGAACTCACCTGGCAGGAACCCCAGCGCAGTCGAAAGCCACATCAACACCTATCCCGTTGCTAATAGCTAGCACTGCCTTCGTGACGTCTTCATTCACAGGATTGACAACTTGTGTCGCGCCAAACTGCCTCGCGAAATTTTGGCGAGAAGCGGCAACCTCCGAGACAACAATCTTCTCGACGCCCTTCGCTTTCAGACAGAGGACCATGGCTAGGCCGATTGGGCCACCTCCGATGACCAAAACGATAGATGCAGGGTTAATCTCCGGAGCTGCAGAAAGTGCGTGCCAGGCTACGGAGAGAGGCTCGACAAGCGCGCCGGTCTCGAGTTCAAGGCCTTCAGGGAGAGCGAACACATGAGTCGCGTTGACACAGATGGCTTGACTCAAACCTCCACCTCCCCCGCTAAGGCCGACGAAGCCGCCGGTATGGCAAACGTTCTCAGCGCCATGCTTACACGCTGCACAATGCCCACAGAAGAGAGTAGGCTGGACGGCACATGCTTGGCCGACCTCGAAGCCTGTGACTCCAGGCCCAATTTCCGTTATGACGCCGGAGAACTCGTGGCCGAGGGTGACGGGGATAGTCTCGCCGGTGATAGGATGATGATTGACGGGGCAGAAATTCGGCCCACCGAGATATTCATGTAGATCTGTTCCACACAGACCCACGAAGGCGGGAGCTATCTGAGAACTAATTGAGCAAAGAGCGGATCATAACTCTCGACTTGCCGACTTACCTTGACCTGACCTGGGCGGACACTTGGTTCGGGAATTTGCTCAATGCGAATGTCTTCCTTGCCATAGTATCTTGCAGCCTTCATAGTGGCGATGTCAGAGTCCAAATCCGAGGGATACACACCAGCGACCGGTCAATACTTGAAGCGTTGGTCTTGAAAAGGTGAGAGGATTATTGTTCGTCAAATCTCTATTCTGAGCGATTGGGACTCATTGAGTATTACTTATGTATTACGCAGATGGCTTGAGGTGCCGAGGTGCCAATCTGGATTTGTGATGGCGGCTAGGGAACCAATCGAGGGTCACACACATTGTAATATCACGCAACCATGGCTTGTCCTTTATTACTGTCACCTCATTCATTCATCGCCTGCTCCACCAGCCAATCCATACTGTAGTCGCAGACGATAACCCCACGTTCCCCAGATACTGAATGCGGGGGAATAGCTGTAGGGTTCTAAATCCCCGCGCGCGGACCCGATCATTGGAGCGGAGCCGCTCGGTGGCACTGGCCCGCGTTTCTCCTTTGAGCCCTGATGCCCAGATGTAAAGCAGCAGGCCACGCTAGAATTTGGAGAAACAAGAGGGGGATCTGGCATGTGGCACCTTCAAAGTTGTAGGAGAGCGTTTGAGGCGCTCAATTGCTGAGCTGATTAAGGAGGGTAGTGAGTGGTTAAGGTCAGACCTGGTCACGCACAAACTGAGGCGAATTCTGATTTCAAAAATTGAGGTTTGCTAGACCTGTCTCCAGGGACCATAGGCTATACCCAGAAGGATCTGCTGCTGCAGCGCGAAGATAATCGAGCCTGAGAAATGAGAACCGAGATTTCCACATTTGCCTACTGATGTCTTGGTGTGTACTAGTTGAACGGCCGGTCGCCGCCACCACGCACCGTCCCGATAACCTGAGCTGAACAAACAACCTGGACAGATATGTTTGTACACTGCAAGCATACTGTTGAGCAGATTGAGGGAGTCCTCATCAAGTGCCCCAGTAAGTCTGGGCCACTACATTGGACCTTGTATGAGAATAAAAGTGACCTCGCTCAATTCCTCGCTTGAAGTAACCAAGAACAGTCTTAAAGTCACGCTTGAAGTGGTTGTTATGTTTGTTAAAGCCCTCATTCAACAGTTTCTAGTTGTCGAGCCCCTAGGTCACGACTGACATTGGCTCCGCAAATCTGCTATCCAAGATTGCCAAGACTGCCTATGCTGTTTTATTCCTTTGATACAGCTTTATCGATAAGAATAACCTAGGCTACGTAAATGGATTTCGCCCAAAGAGACCTAATTATCGACTACGTCCTTTGCCTTGCTTGCCTTAATTTCCAGCTACTAGGCGAACTGAATGAGTGGGATGAAAGGGTTTCTTGCTGCTTCAAATTAAGACATGGAAAGTTTCTCAGAGCTCTCAACACGGACCCCCCCTGGATATCGGGCAGCTCGATTACCAATGCTTTTCACGTCATTGGACACAGCAGAGCATCCCTGTGATCAATGTTAGTCGCGTTGAACTGTATGACTGGACGAGCCCGTGAACTTACCAGCTGTGATGCATGTACCAACTGTTGTATACTGCTTAGCCGAATCGATCTTGAATGAGGGACACACGAAAGCAACATACCTATCCCGATTCCTCCCGTCACGACGCCCTGAATCAGGGGTCCGACCCATTCAATCTTGGCCTTCTCGGTGGTATTCAAGTTGGATTGGGTCTCTCTCCTGAGTTTTTTCAGATCCGACCTCATCCTTTCCAGCTCTTCATACAAAACCCGGTCGCGTCGCTTGGCTTTCATTAATTCATCATGCTGCTGCCGATTGACATGCTGAAGCTCAGCTAGCTGTCGGTGGCCTTGTCTAGCTAGTTCGCTGAATGCTTCTCTTTCGTATGCGAGAGCATTCTCTGCAGCTACTAGTCTTCTTGTGTTCACCTGGTTTTCTTGTACCTCCCTCTTGCTTCCGTTCATCTCTTCTTCTTGTCTGCAGAGGCTGAGATTACGATACTCGAGTTCTTTGAGACGGCACTCTTCCTCCTTTTCTTTTAGTGTATCTCTCCACTTTTTTTGCATCATGGAGACTTGTTCAATGAACCGTTGTTCTTGCTTCTTGTGAATCTCAAGTAAAGACAATCTCATGGCATCTAGAGCCTGGTTGTTTTCGGCGAGCATCTTTCGAATCTCTGAATCTCGGCTTCTTAGCAAAGTATCAGCTGTTCTATGCCCCTGTGGATCAAATCTCTCTCCAGAAACCCTTAGAGTTTCTAACTCGCTTGTAAATGAACTCTGGTGCCGCTTTATGTCTTCTTCGAGGACTTTCCCCGCCGAACTCTCTTTTAGGATCAAGTTGAGATTTACCATCTCATGTTGGATTTGTAACGTGACCTTCGTATCCTTCCATGAGTCTACCATCATGGTAAGAATTTCCTTCGCAGATGAACATCTCTGTGATGGTCTTTGGTACCGGTTATGATTGACAACCTGTGAACCTCTTTCCAGCATGTCAAAGAGGTGAGTGTCTCGAAGTTCTCTTTCTCTGCTGCACTGTTTGGCGTATTCAGCATCACAATGATTAGAGGACCACATAGTGGTAACAATTGCAACGTTCTCGAATGCATCTTCCCCACAAAGAGCTTTCATCATCTCTAGACTACGTCTGGTTGAAGATCCAATTCTCGTATCGGAGATCCGATGAAGATACAGAACGCCATTAATTGACACATTGTTGGCGTATGATACTGAAAGATAATGTGCCACTGCCGTGAGAATCTGGACGTCTTCTCGATTCGTATCCTTGGCATCTCAATTAGCGAGAGTCGCTAGATAGAACTTTATAGATGAGCAGGAATTTGGTAAAGAGGATCAACATTTACATCAAATCCAGGGGTGTCGATGAGATAAACATCGCGATCGTGCAGCTCAGCACGAAATATCGCCACGGAGTTGGTGCCAGTCCGACAGTTAGTCTCATCTTTCTCATATCTGTTTTAATTTGCTGGGCTCTCTCAACTCACAAGAAGCTAGGTCGTGTCCAACGCATACATCATTTCGCCCGGTGCAGTCAGCAATGAACGAGCTCTTTCCTGACCCTGTCACTCCTGCAACAGCTTCAAGTTAGTTCACAGGATGTTTTTCGACTACGCTCTCAAATGACTAACCCATGACGAGTAGAAACACTGAATCTGGCCTACGATGCAATTAGCAGATAAGAAATGCGTATCTGACCGGGGGCGTTGACTTGGGTCTTTGAGCTCCCAGAAACGCCAAAAAGTTCGCCATCTCAACTTCGAGGAGATTTGACATTTCAACAGTACAATTACCAAAAGGATACTAGGACTATTTCGGTGTACACTCGAATAAGCTTGAACCGGGTCTATGAACGTTGCTGTCTGCTCAGAGAGCTGGCCTAGTAATGATGTTTACCAATGCACGGTATCAGCGTCGCCCCTCCCCGCATGATTCTTTATACCTACCTAGTCAGCAAAAAGCAAAATCCACAATTTGCGGCAAGTGGCTAACCCCTCTCGACCATAAGAGCCGCTGATTGGAGGGATGAGGCGTCAGATAATCTCTAACACAGCCTCAGGAGCCGGGCTTCTAGAAACCTATGGCATGTTTTCACCTAGAGGCAGTATTAGGACTTCAACTTGACAATCTATCTACGCACATATGCCTTCAGGCTAAGACTTATTCCTGGCTTCGCTCTTCTCTGGTTGCTAAAGGAAGATGTCATCGGAACTGTCAACAGCGTTTTCTAATGGGGATATTCCTGGGTGAGTGAACTATCTGATCGGGCCACCCCCACTCGTTGCGTCAATTCTTACAGCCGTAGTGCAAATGACATAGTGATTGCTGTGATGGGCATGACGGGCTCGGGGAAAAGTTCCCTGGTCGCTCTTTGCACTGATGAACAGGTGGGAATTGGTCACGATCTGCATGCTTGTAGGTCCTAGCTAACCCCGAATCCGTTCCCCAGAGTTGAAGGTCATGATCTAATCAAATGCTGGTTGTAGGCACACAAGACGTACGAACCTATTCCTTTCGTCACCCAAAACTAAGGTCCGGTCGGATTCACCTCGTTGATACCCCAGGCTTCGACGATACAAACAGAAGTGATACTGAGATCCTCCGAATTCTAGCTGCATGGCTAACGAGAACTTACTCCAACGGTGTCCAACTGTCCGGGATTCTATACTTGCACAGAATTAACCAACCACGAATGCAAGGCTCCGCATTGAAGAATATCTCGCTATTTAGATCTCTTTGCGGCAATGATGCTTTGAAGAAAGTTGTCCTGGTCACGACAATGTGGGACATAACAGAAAAAGATATTGCGGAAAGTCGAGAGAAGCAGCTCAAAGATACGACGAAATATTGGGGTGGGATGGTCGCTAAAGTAAGACGCGCTTAAGTCTATCTCTCACTGGGATATCCATTTAAAAGATTTGTAGGGAAGCCAAGTCATCCGTCACGATAATACACAAAATTCAGCGCTCGCACTGTTCAACGCCTTCATGAAAGAGGATGAAAAAATCACTTTGCAGATTCAGAGTGAGATGGTGGATGGCCATCAGCCGCTACAAGGAACGGATGCAGGCAATGATATAAAAGAGATGCTAGCCGAACAGCATGAGAAGTTCAAGAGAGAACGTCAAGATCTCGAGATTGAGTTCAGAGAAGCTCTCAGGAAAAAGGACGAAGAACTCGCCGACGCATTGGAAGAGCTAAAGTGCGAGAATCAGAAAGCTTTACAACAGGTTTGTAGTATCTTCGGTTTAGTCATACTCTGGAAAGTGCCCATCTTTTACCCATCTGGCGACAACTATGCAGCCAATAATACATTTCTTTCCACGTGATACTTCTATCCTTAATCTAGCTACTAATACTATTTCATAGGTACTTGACAGCCAACAACGGCTACAAGTAACAGTACAACAACTACAGGAATCAGAAGCTTCAAAGTTAAAAGGGCGATCGAAGAATACACAGCACCCCTATTTTCCGGATGATCGGCTTCTTTCGTCTATCAGTAGTGCAGCCGCGCCGTCTCCGACACAACCGCTTAAAGCCTGGGTGAAAATACTGTACAGCAAAGACATTCAAACACAATCTGATGATTCTTTGCACTTATATTATTTTGATATATCCCCAGATGAAACATGTATGGGAATCATGTGTACAGATGATGATATTTCTATGAAATTTGGAGCGCTTATCTCGATAGCAACAGGTATAGAAATTCTGCGGTATTCTTTCAAGGGGGGACACCGCGGGCTGAGACCACTATATTCTTTGGAGGGGGGTCACCGCAGTCTGGGACCAATAACCTTCTCATCTGACGGGCAGACGATGGCTATGCGAACCAATAGAGGGTTTCACAAATGGCACAGACTCTCCTCGTACCTAGAAGAATGGCGAGAAGCTACTGAGTTTTTGGGCTACAATGAAGAGGCGCGTGTCTCTTTCTCTACTAACCTCGAGCTAATTGCTCAGCAGAGGCGTGATTCAATCCGCCTGGTCTTGGGATCTTCAATGTCTGTTCTGATGGAGAGAGTTGTGCACTTTGACTTTGAGACCCATCATGGACCCATTTTTGGGAAGAAAGATGAAACACTGATATCCTGGTCTCATGAACGTCTTCTGTTTTGGGACATACAAAGAAGTGGACAAAGTTGGAAAGTAGTAGATTATCCTGACCACTACTTGCCGGGGTTATGGTGTTGCACCGCATCAGGCAACTCTCTATGGCTGGCGGCTACAAATATACCAGAGGAGGGCAAGGTGGAAACATCAATCTTTCGACTGTCGGGCCAGTGTCCAGAATTCGTCACTAAAATCGACACTAGCTTGAGAGGTGGTTCTGCAAATAACCTCTCCATGTCATTTGACGGGGCCTACATCTTATTTACAAACTCACGGGAGGCTACTATCTTTAATGTCATGACCGGCAAGCCAGTGTGGAGTGTAGAGATCGGTCAGGACACAGAGATGAAATTTTTTCCGTCGAGCAATCGCCTCCTGAGCTACTCGGCTGAAGGGGAGTCGTATAGCGTTAGCGAACTGGTCTTTGAATAAGCAGGGTCAAATCCATAATCGTTATGTATTAATGTATAAGATCCAGGTGACAATTTTCCTAATACCCGGCCGACTCATCGCTTATCATGGTCGACGAAGCACCCAAGTTAGAATTGCACGCGCGTTTCCAATTTCTAGGGGTGAATTTATCTACAATAGACTTGAATGATGACTGGTATTTATGAATTTAATGTCAGTGGAAGATGCTACCTTGATCAGTATCTCGGTTAGATGTGCAGATCTTACCAGCGAGCAGAGACTTGCGTCCCCGTCAAAGTGCTTCCCTTCCGCTCGGCATCCAGGGACCGTCATGATGCGGTCATTATATCTGACCCTTACGAAGTATTCGTCAAGTTCGTGTATCTCGTCCGTCGTGGGTTCCTTGACATGTAGTCGTCTGATGGCTCGCGGTTCGCCTGTGTCTGCCCGATTGGTGATTGGATTCACGCTAGTAGTAGCATCTCTCCATATAGACTGCTTTTCATCTTCTTTCATGCTCGGGGAAGGCGTTCGTCGCTTGCGAAACAGCTCCAAGGTGATGTGGCTGGTAAAAGGCGGCCATTTCTCGTTACTATCAAGACAGCCAAGGCTTGCTAGCACTATGCCGATCGTGCGATCGTGACAACCTAATAGAGATAGCCTGGGTGGTGCTCTTGATTGCAAGACAGGGTCTCGCACGTCGTATCTTCGATTCCACTCTACTTGGTCAAGCATTTTCAGGACCATGTCTCCCATTAACTGACCTACACCAAGCATTCGTAGTTCGCGAGAAACACCATAGCCGCGAAACATCTGGTCGACTACTATTTGGTCGATAACTCTGCGCACTCGTTCGTCGTAAAATTCGTCGGGGAGCCGAGTCTCGGGCCCATGGGCAAGTGTTGCATTGATGGTGTCCATGATGGCGAACAATCTGGGCCGAGAGTCCACGGCCACGGCTTTGTTGCCAGGCATCCATTTACCCAGCTTTTCAGACAGGTACCTCATGTCGTCGCTTCCGTTCCACTTCTCTGCAGCTGCCTGAGAAAATGCTCTAGTAAGCTCTGCGAGTCTAGCACACGACTGGGTCCTGGGGAGTAGCGTTTCCTCCGCCCGCGAGCGCATGGCAATATCCCAAGGAGCCGAGGTTCGGTTCGTACCCAAAGGGTAAAGGCCATGTAAGACCTGCTGCACCGACTCGATGACCCGCGGCACCTCCGTTGTCCGAATATAGAGCATTTCGGCATCTGGTAGATGTTTTGGCAACTTCTGAACGTTAATTGGGTCACCATTGCGCGGCAGGGTCATGCTAGGACGTTACCAAGCTTAGTTGATCGACGTAGAGCCGACGCAACGACTTGCCGAAGGCGAGGGAGGTTTCCCGTCCTCTGTCAGTGAGCTCTCCGGGCATACTATAGAATGCTATTAGGAGATGCGCCTCGGAATTTCGCCGGGATTTGGGTGAGCCCTACATACCAGATGCTGGTGGTCTCACCACCTGCGCCCTTTGCGGGAGTAGATCGCCCGTCCGGCCCAGATGTCTCTAGGCATCTCTTCCAAATCATAGATTCCCATCTGGAGCCATCCTGGGTAGCCATGACAACCTGGGTGAATCGCTGCGCCGCACTGCAATACGGCCAATCTGTGACAGTTAGCGACTAAGTGCCTAGCTGCTTCGGCTCTCCTCACTCACAGGGAGACAACCCAGTCTGAGAAGTCAGCGCAGCATGAAGGCATTAGGAGCCGCGCCGACTTACATTCTGAAAGCGAGCCGATATTGGGCTTCGCTCGCCATGACGGACGAACTAACTCCTCAAGGCGATTAGTGACCAGCGCCTGGCAACCGACGTATATTGTGAAGGGGACGAACAATCTGGACTTGCTCAATACTTAGCCCGCCTGGACAAGCTGGAGCTATCGGTGGGCTAGCGACGGACGTCATGGATGTCGGCGGTGAGGCAGTCAGGTTGGCGGTTTGATGAATTAGGTATCTGGTCGAGTGGGTAACGAACTGGGGAGAGTGAAGTTTTATACCTAGATGGCGCCTTGCTGGACCTTCATGACCCTGGCTGAATCGGTGGCTTCTGTTGGCGAATTGCATTGTCCCACTAGATACCTACAGATACCTATTAGGTGCCTAGGAGATAGATTAGGTAAGGTGGCTAGGTGGGATAGAATGGTCTCCAAATTCCCTGCCTCGCCTCGCCTATCCCACCTTTCTATTATCGGAAATCGCGACAATATTTATCATTGGCTCCCGCCTTTGCGTCTACCATGACCACCTCACGTTGATTACGGCTCGTTGACGAATTTCCCGAAGTCCGATTTCCATTATTTCCCATGCGAAAACAAGTGTTTACGGCTTGGCCACGAAGTCGGAGGAGATTCCGGCTTGCCACCCGGGCCGCGCTTGCGATAATGGTAATTCATCTAGCCGGCATCAAGGCAACGTTTCGGTAATCTATCTACCTACCTACCTACCTACCTACCTACCTGCCCAACCAAAGCTTGCCGTTAATCCACTTCGTGGACATTTACGGCTACGCCGCGGCAAACATACTGGTAGACCACCATGACCGTCGTGTTTGTGACAATATGAAGCACTTGATCGACATCTGCGGCTCAGCTACTAGGCAGACGCTCCGGGAAGCCCTCTGGTCGAGGCGTTGTAGCTACAACGCCTTGTTGGCATTGTGTTGAAGTCATTTACCTGTTGGTGCTTGTAATCAAGATACGGCCAACATACTGGTAGACCACCAGGGTCATGTTTATGACAATATGAGGCACTTGATCGACATCTGCGGCTCAGCTGCTAGGCAGACGCTCCGGTAGGTTTCGAGTCAGACTTGATCGCTACGACGATTTGCTGGCATTGCGTTAAAGCCATTTACCCGTTGGTGCTTGCAACCAAGCCACGGCCGATAATCCGGTAGACCACCAGGGCCGTGTTTACGACAATATAAAGCACCTGATCGGCACTTGCGGCTCAGCTATTAAGCGGATGTTCCGGGAGGCCCTCCGGTCGAGGTGTATAATTAGACTACCTACGCTCGCAGAGGTAGTATGCCAAGTTCAAAGTTCGTGTGAAAGACAATTAACAAGGTCACCACCTGCTCAGTCTCTTATCGTCTTCTGTATTCTGCTCTCCAATACAGTGACATTCCGGAGTGTTTAACTCAAGTTGTCAACTATTATCTTCGCAGAGTTCTACAACAGTCTCAGGCTTCCACAGCAATGTTTGCTACAATCCTCGTCCCCAATCAGCCCTCGACCGGCTTCCGTGAGAAACTGGGGCCCGCACTCGACAATCAAGTTGCAGCAGGCAGCATAGATCGTCTTCCCAGCATGTCCGAATGCGCGGTGCATCTCGAGCTACTTGATGCTATTGTACGCATTGAAGCGGAGGTCGCTGCATGGGGCAAGGAGAAGGGCCTTGCCGAGGGAGTAGCATGGAATGCGTATTGCTCCGCTGCTGCACAGAGATTTTTGAAGTGGTCTCACCTAGCCGAAACCCATAAGGGGAATACTCCGCCACTGGACGTCTTAATCGTCTGGCACGCCTACATGCTGAACACGGCCGCATATAGGCAATACGAGACCCAGGTACTAAAGGGTCGCATGGGTCTCAAGGGCATCAACTGGACTGCGGTGGTAAGTGGCTCTCTCCAATTGCATTTATATCACATCTATAACGCAGTCTCTAATATTGGCTTGTGGAAACAGCACCGTCGGATTGGTGAGGACAACAAATTTAACATATCTGCGGAGGAGGCGGCTGCCATGAGCCACCTCCCATTCCTAGTAGACCTTCTTGGTGCACTCAAGAATGAAGAGGTCAAGATTGACAGCACCAGCTCCTCTCCATCTACCAATTTCGACATGGTCGCCGCGGTGCAGCGGCAACTCAAATTTGCCCATAAGATGCACGATGCCAAATGGCTGCGTAGCCCGTTCGCTGTCCAGATCCTTGAGAGCGCTATCCGCCGCTACGAGATGTTCTTTACTCTCATTGCCGAACACCCAGGTATCTCCCTGTCGCCAACACCAGATATCGACATTGTCTGGCACACGCACCAGCTGTCGCCAAAGTGCTATGGCTTGTACTCAGCCATGAAGGCCAACGGGAAATTCATCAATCACAACGACAACGTGGGCAAGCCCGTCCTTGCCGGGGCATTCGATTCTGCAAAGAAGCTCTTTCGCGAGCGCTTCGGCAGTAATTACCAGGTCTGCTACTGTGAGCGCTGCATAGTCTCGCGTGCCCCTGGTGGTCATACCCACAATGACGAATCTTCAGACTGCAGTGGGGATTCTTGTATCCCCCAAACCTGTTCAAACAGCTGCAAAGCCGACTGCAGTGGCGATAGCTGCCAAAACGACATGAATGTGGCCATTGGCAGAGCCCTTGCTCCCAATGGCCATGGCCGCGGCGACGAGTCCTCTGACTGCAGTGGGGATTCCTGTATCCCCCAAACCTGTTCAAACAGCTGCAAAGCCGACTGCAGCGGCGACAGCTGCCAAAGCGAGAACATTTGAGGGCGCGCACGATACCCGCTCTGCGCTTTTCTATCTTGTGTTTGTTTATTTGGTGCCTTTGTTCACTGCTCATTTGTTTTTCTCTTAACGGGGCTTTCTCTGCTATCCGACGCAGTGGTTTTGATGTCTACGAAGACGAATCGATGAAGCTCACCGATGTGATATACTACGAAGTAAGAAAAAAAAAATTAACGCTTTTGTTGAGGCTAATCCCAGAATGAACCCCCCCTTTCCTTTGAACCTTTGGTTGAATCGGACTATCTAGATGTCTCATATCCCTCCGGCCCAGCTTGTGACTGAAGCCGAGCTCTCTTTATATGGTTTTCTTAGCCTAGGTAGTCAATCCACTCATTTTGCCCGTCATATTTGCAGCTGCACTTATTATACATCACTCGATAAACGATCGCTTTGCTTGGCATCTAGAGTGATCTCACGAAAAACTTACATTCAAATGCAAACTCAATCTATATACGAACGATATATTAATATATATAAGTGTTATTTGAAAATAGGATATTTCAGATTTCATAAAATGACCGATATATATTAGCTAGTTAATAATAAGGTATCAAACAATAACTAGAGCCTGTGTTCAGAGCGTTGGTGTTATGGTCTTGTCAACGAACAGAAACAGAAACCTCCCGATTGACCTTCGGGGCAATGGTTCCGATCTTAGATAGCTTGACCGCTTCGAACTGGTACCTAAAGCGCCCACTTAATCTGTAGAATGGAGGACTCGCTCACAGGAATTGCACCACTTGCAACAGTTCTCACAACAGACTTCCTCAGCGCGCGAGCAATGCCTCACGTTACCACTTCAAAATGGTAATTGAGCTTGACATAACATATCAACACTTTCTGACCCTCTGCCTCTTTCGACCTATAGCCTTGTCTCCTCGCGTTAATACAGCAGCAGTGTAGTTAGTGCACTTTTCTCTCTACCAATTTGACACCAAGATCTTACTCCGTATCCTACTCCGTACACCAACAACTCCAGCACATACGACATAGAATATGATGAAGCTTATAGCTAGGTACTCAGAGAACAAATTTCACTCAACGTAACGAATCGGCGCGATGGTCAAAATGTATGTTGATAGGCAATGTAGGCAGACGGCGTAAGGAACCCTGTTCGCGTCGCGTCGCGGTCGACCCTGGTACGCGATGCCTCCACCCACCAAGCCCAGATTAGCACTCCCGCCTTGATTGAATTATATTCGTGTATATCTAATCGTATACATGTAAGACCGCAGCGATTAATCAATTCTGATCACATGAATGAGTCCAAATTATGAAAATAGTTGCGGAGGTGTTGAGACCTTGCAGCACATGAGCTGCAAAGATCTTATGGTAATAACATCGGTTTGAATCGAAAATTTCCATCAGTTGGCAACCGCGCCGGGCACAAGTGGTGAGATGACCGAGTGGTTAAGGTGGTAGACTCAAGCTAAGTTCTTGCACTGCAAAGCAGTGTTGTATTCTACTGGAGCAATCCGCAGGGGTTCGAATCCCCTTCTCATCATCATTTTGGCATTTGGCCATTCTAATAAATTCTTTTTCTTTCGATTTTGGAAGTGTTTAACTAATCATCGCTTATAAGGTGATGTTTCGCGACTCTTCCTATCTGCTCTTTTGTCCTAATACATAAGGCGCAGTTGCTCTATACATGCCTGTATACTCCGTATATAGTGCCTGTTATAGTAAACCTTGTATGGAGGCTTGTCTCCCAGCCTTAGTCAATTACTGCGCTAAGATTACTATCATTATGACCATCATGGGTGTGTACTATTACTCGGCATATCGCGAACATACTCGCCGATTTGCCGCGAATATTCTAGCACAATCCATATCGCTAGGCGAAGCCCGCGTGCATAATCTACAGGTACAGGCGACGACGTGCCAAGGCCGCCCCAGAGACCTACGAATAATGAGATGAGCATGCTATGAAGATGCTGGTAAGCCAGCAGGAGGCTTGGATGGAACGTCAGCCGCAGAGAAACCCCTCCCCATCGGCAACTACTCCTCCGGTAGCCTGCTTGATGGCAATGCGTAAAAAGTCCTGACCCTAAGCCAGGCTAAATGACTCTTCTTTCGTAGACAAGTTTATGTTAATTAGTGGGAAAAAGTCATCTCAGTCGAAGCCATGCCTGACCTAGATCCAGCTCTGTACACAGTAGTATGGATTGCTCCTTTACCGATTGAGGCTGAGGTGGCGCTCCGTATGATGGATAATAGACACACAGGCCGATTTCCAATGAGCCGAGGCGACGACTATGTTTTCCGGGCCGGCGATATCAACGGGCACAACATAGTCGTTGCGACTCTTCCCGTTGGCCAGGAATACGGGACGGGCTCGGCGGCAGCTTTGGCGAGCCAGGCTAAGAAGTTCTTCCCTAATCTCTGGTTTGGGCTACTTGTGGGTGTTGCCGCGGGCCTTCCGAGCTGTAAGTAGTTCTTCGATCTTTCGTTCTCGTTTATACAGCAATTAGCCATTGTTTCAAGACGACCACGGATCGTGCCCAGAATAGCAATAACCAGTTGCGAATATTGTAGTATCTCGAGAGCCCCCCCGCGACATCCGACTTGGCGATATTCTGGTAGCGCTCCGCGAAGGCGATGTCGCGGCCTTAGTAGCATATGACTTAGGCAAAGAGATGACACACAATGGATTCGAGCTCCTGCGTCTTGGTCACGCCTTGGCCAATCCTGACCCCGTTGTCATGTCTGCTATTGGCAGTATCCAGCTTGACGTCAAGCTCAACAAGAGCGCACAGCTCTTCCTCCAATACTACGAGTCAATGAAGAATGAGGATAAAGACGGCACCTTTCTGGACCCTGGGCAGGAACACGACATGCTATACGAGACGGCGGACGACGGAACAGAGAAGCTCGTAACCCGACTGCCGCGCTCGGCCTCTCAGCGAACTAGAGTATGGTATGGCCCGATAGGGTCCGGGGACAAGCTTTTAAAGAATGCCAGCAAGAGAGATGATTTGAGGGACAAATACAATATCATCGGTCTTGAGATGGAGGCAGCGGGGACTATGAATCGCATCCCCGTCGGCGTCATCCGTGGCGTATGCGACTATGGGGATATGCACAAGAACAAGAGATGGCAGCCATATGCCGCCGCAATGGCCGCTGCATATGCTAAAGCTGTATTGAATGAAGTTCGGCCTCGGTCAACGCTGGCAGCTGGCGATGCGACGCGAACAGCCGAGGTGGGAGCTTCACGATCAGGCGAACACCTAGGGCAAGCAGGTGAAGCGGGAGGGATACGATCAGTCTTCAATGGCCCAATCAGTGGTCGGAACGTCTTTGCCGGAAACTCAATGACAGGAACAACAATGAACTTCTCATAAGTGACGAGGGAAATTTGATAAGACCGGCTTATATAGATCGATTAGAACTACCTACCGTATTGAAGATCAGGATCAAGGTACTACTACAACTACTATTACTATGAGAATAACCACCAAAACAAGCATTTTAAAAAACCCAGTATATTAACAATACCGTTGATTATATCTAACAGCTTTAAAGTAGTTATCGTAGTAGTTAATCTAGTGGCTTCTTTGGTGGTAGTGGTAGTTGTTATAGGAACCCACGCTACCCAAGTACGAGATAGGTGTCCACGGCAAGACGGGCCAAGCCGCTGTAGATTCAAGCGTTGGCGTTTATGAAATAGACGCCAGTCCTGCACTAGGTACTGTGTTCTAAGGTTATATTATGACCTCACAAAAAAGAAACTCATGATCCTTCACACTCCCTTATCATATCCTTGCTTGTGTGACAGTCGGTAGCAATGTTGAGTTTCTTGCGGAGATCGTAGATCCAATAGTAATGGTTTATGAACAGGATGGAAGTCTTTTGGGGAGGGAAAGCCCTGAAGCTCAAATATGTAGGAAGAAATGCTGACACCAACCGCCTCAACTCTGGGCTGTGCTGAAACTGTGCCGATAAGGCATACTGGTACGGAAGCAACCTCATTGGGCATATCTCGTCCAATTGAGTGAGCAGTATTTGGGCACGTGATGTGGCTGCGTAATCTATAATACGAATGCGGTTCAGAGGTGTGTTACTCCTCCTACATCCGAACCATCAGCACCCCCTTCTCACGTGTCAATCAACCAACAGATCGCTCACTAGTTGGTAATGTCTACCTTGTCGAATTCATTCGAAGGAATTGGGGGCCGAGACGTCTTCGCTGGAAACCACTTCTCTGGGCCGACTTCCATCGCAATCCATCAATCACAAGATGAAGAGTTACCAGATCATAGGAGATCCAAAAGACGCGGGATTGACACCGTACAGGATCAGCCTCAACCGTGTCCCCCGACAGTTTGCCGCTACATCCCGTTCCTGCGTAACGAAGGCCTAGTACCCCGAGATGCCCTGACGACCCAGCTCAATCAACTTCTTCCTAGTACGCCTGGATACCGAGCCGCCGCTCTCTGGGGCTTAGGTGGATCCGGGTCAGTCGTGATCTACTACTACTTCCGATCTAGCTGCTGACCGGTGCAGAAAAACACAGGTTGCCCTTAATTACGTTTATGAACGATATCGCGACCCTCTATGCTCCGTCTTTTGGGTACACGCCGACAGCGAGGCGTCTTTTACGCAAGACTACGAAACGATCGCGAGAAAGCTTAAACTTGGAAACCATCTCACTGGGAAAGACTTGCTTCATGCCGTTTGTGACAACATCGAGTGCAATCCAAACTGGGTTCTTGTGCTCGACGAGGTAGATAACTTGACCTTGTTTGGCGTGGGTCAACTGCAAGAAACCAATTCGTCCGAGTCTAGACCGAACTTTTATGATTTCATACCGAAATTGACCACATCTGGAACCGGGACAGTATTGTGGACGAGTCGGGATCAACACATTGCGGGGAGTCTCGTGCTAGCTCAACAAGCAATCCATGTCGTACAGATGACGGCTGAAGAAGGAATATCGCTGTTAAGCACTGTCCGGAACCAGAAAACTGAAGAAGACGAAATTGCCAACGTAAGAGAGCTACTATCCGAGCTAGACCACCTCCCATTGGCCATCTCCCAAGCAGCAGCATACATACGAAGAACGTCAACACCAGTTGGAGATTATCTTGCAGATATCCGGGGACGGGTGAAGAAGAGGTGGAAGATACTAGGCAGATCAGAATACGATCAACACCGACGGGAACATGGATCAAACAGTTTCCTGGAGACTTGGAGCATCTCGATCGAGTATTTACGAAGGGAGAATGGGCTGATTTACGATATTATGCACTGTTTGGCTTTTGTTGATAATCAGAACATCCCTTACGAGCTCATCAGTGAAATAGCCCGGATATCAACCCAGTTCAGCGGAGTCGAAGGAAACGATAAGGACAGCGAAGATTCTTCAGACGATGAGAGCAGTGAGCATAGTTCAGACGAACTCGATGTTAGAGACGCCATTGCCCGGCTCTGCGAATTTGAATTTCTCAAAATTCGGCCTTCTCTCCCTGGGGTTCGAGTAAGGGTCTACGACATGCACAAGCTAGTCCAGGAAGCTGCCCGATATCTCCTGAAAAGGAAAAAAGACCGGGCCAAAGATGAAGCCTACTTTGCAAAGACGGCGTTTAAGATCACGGACAATCTTTTTCCGGTCTACCGAAGTGATGATTGGGACCGATGCGAGCAGTATCAGGCACATGCACAACAGGCTGGCATGTGGGCAGAGCTGCATGATGGTCAACTGGAAGTGGTATCATTGTTGAAAAGAGTGAGCGACTATTTAGTAACACGAGGCAGAGATAGAGAGGCAGAGGTGATACTCAACAAGGCTCTCATTCTCTGTCAAAAGACACTAGGAGACAGACATGAGCGAACATTACTGGCCATGATACAACTCGGCCATCTGCAAACTAGGCATGAGAATCTTGCAATTGTTGAAAAGCTCTTCTTGTGTGCAAGACAAAGGGGCGAGGAGGCCCTAGGTGCAAACCATCATATCACACTGGTGGCCATAATCTTTCATGCTGATGCCTTTATACTCTCCGTGTACAAGGAGAAATGGCAGGCGGCTGAGGTGATGCTGCAACACATCTTAACCGTGGTAGGGGCGAGTTTTGACATAGAGAATCCAACGACAGTCGAAAACATGTTCCGCCTTGCTAAAGCCATAATAGATAAAGAGAAGCATGGAGACACTGTCAATATTTGGCGGACACGATGTGGCCCTGTACTGCACACTATTCAACTAACAGGCAAAGCACTTCTGGTTCAAAAGAAATACAAAGAGGCTGAAGATATATTTCAGCCGCTACTAGCTCTATGCCAAGAAATGCTGGGCATGGTGCACTCTTTTTCATCAAGTGTTGTACGTGGCCTTGGTATGGCACTTTCGGGTCAAAAGAAGTTCAAGGAGGCTGAAGAACTATACTCGATACACCTGACTGTATCCGAAGAAGCGTTCGGCGGGAAGGATCGGCGTACAATGAATGCTAGGTACAACCTTGGTCTGGTGCTTGACCAGCAAGAAAAGTTCAAAGAGGCCGAAGACATGTTCCGACAGGTGGTAGGACTGCTAACAGAAGCACTAGGCAGAAACCACCCCCATACACTCGAAAGCGTGAGAGTACTTGCTTGTGTGCTTTGGAAGCAAAGGAAATACAAAGAGGCCGAAGATATGTTCCGACAGGTGGTAGGACTGCAAACAGAAGTACTCGGCAGAAACCATCCCGATACACTCCAAAGCGTAAAAGAACTTGCTTGGGTGCTTTGGAAGCAAGGGAAATATGAAGAGGCTGAAGAATTAGCCCGGGATTATCCACAGCAAGATCAAAGAGACTCATGTTAGAGAGTGACATTGATTGCCACCCTTGATTAGGCTGTCAGTCGTATATCGTTACAGAACTATTGCTATGAGACAATGAAGGCTGATATGGCTACGGTGATGCAATCAAGTTGTGATAAGTGCAAATGAGTAATAGGCTAGTGGTTTATGACTGAGAAATACTGATTTGACTATGATGATATGTGTACAAGGTTAGTATTACCCTTGTTAAACACGTACGTAGAGAGGGGCCCCGTTGGTAAAGAGCAGGATGCAGGCAATGACAGCAGCAGTTGGTGAAAGAGCAGTTGCGATTGGTAATGCTGTCACCCTGTGAGCGAAGGCCACGGCTCATGACCTTTCTCTATGTCTTCCAAAGTGAAATGTGATTGCATAACCTCGCTTCTTCGAATCACTCTAGATACTGTTCGGAACGACTCCGCTTCTCCAACAGTCAGAGGATTTACACTAACCACGTACCATTTATACACAAGAATTATATACCTCATGACACATCATATAATCCATATTCCTCAAAGAAAGCTTGCATAACATTCTCTCCATTACTCTTGTTCATACTCTTCGGATGCCTATATCCGTTCATAAGTTCGCCTCCGCGCCGTACATACTATAAGTCGAAAACATCTACATTAATATGCCTCAGGTTGTTTCTCATCACCCACATCCAAATGGTGAGCATGAGCCTCAGATTTCTCATCTCCGTCCGCAGTAGTACCTGACCCGACAGCCGTCGACGTAGTAGCACTCCCATCACGATGAGGAGCAGACACTTTGACATTCCCAAGCTCAATATCCCGCGCCAGCTGATCCAATCTACTCGTCTTCTTATGTGTCTTCCACGCAGGTCGTCCAGAGTCAAATACTTCGTCCATTTCCTCCAGTGTGTAGCCCTTGGTTTCGGGCGCCATAAGACTCATGTGAATAAACGCAGCACCGTTGAACGCCGCGAAGATCATGTACATCTTCCAGTTGATGGACCACAGTAGTGGTGGGACGGCGAAGGCGAGAATCATGTTCCAGAACCAGTTGGATGCCGTGGACAGCGAGACGGCTTTGGCGCGGACCTTGCTAGGGAAAATCTCAGCAGGGTATGTCCATGATGTCGGACCCCATGTGGTGGCGAACGTGGCGACGAAGAGATAGGAGGCTGCTACGATCCCCTTTGACACGGCAGGCTTGTCTTTGACTATCCAGGTTATGTCCTTAGATCCTGTGCCATCGTTGGGCTGACCGTACACTGCTTGAAGCGCACCTTCACGAAGCATGTTAATATCGCAATTGACACATGATCAGTATGCAATGAAACTCACCTGAAGTGAACAAGAAAATCATCATAAAAAATGCACCAATAATCAAAGCAGGTCGTCGACCGAACTTGTCAAGATACAAGATAGCCGGCAGAGTCAACACAACATTGATAACATATTGAATCGACGCCGTCGTGAGCGGCGATGCGATCTGCGCGCCCTCCATGATATACACGATGTAGTACATCATGATGTTCATCCCACACAACTGAATCCAGCGCATCAGTCATTCGTCACAATTGAATGCCTTCTTTTTTCGCGACATTCCTTTAGGGATATTAATACTCACCTGCGACCACATCTGAATACTCATTCCAAGAATAACACGTCTAAAAATACGCGGCTGGACAAGCGACTTGAAGCTCGAAGAAGCCTCTTCCCGCTCAAACCGCAATGCCTCTTCAATCTCCTTATATTCCGCCAAGACCTTCGGATGACCCCCATCGCCGCCCCCATGCAGCGCAGCCAGGACGCGAATAGCTTCTTCCCAGCGGTCCTTAGACGCCAGCCAGCGCGGGCTGTATGGGAAGAAGAAGAGACCGACGAAGAGTATGACAGCGGGAATCATTTGGATGCCCCAAGGAATGCGAAAAGCGGCGGCGGGTTGCAATGGGTCCTCGGCGCCGCCTCCGACCTGCGCCGCACCGTACTGGATAAAATATTGGATTAGGATTCCCCATGTAATGGCCCATTGCTGAAGCGAGACGACGCGGCCGCGAATCTCCTTGGGAGCGATCTCGGATTGGTATACGGGGACTATAGAAGAGGCGATGCCGACGCAGAGACCGGAGATGGCGCGTCCGGCGCAGAGCATCCCAACATTCTGGGCTGCGCATTGGATTCTGGGGCCGCGAACCGTCAGTGGCTACCGCTCAAAGAATATTCCCAACCCATCGCACCACATAAAATTATGAAGTTCAAGAGAAATTTCCATGCGTGGTGAAAGTGGCGGCTTACATAGACCCGATGATCCAGAGCACGCACGAGACCTGTAGCGCGACTTTGCGGGAATATCGGTCGGCGATGAAAGAGCTTACGAGCGAGCCTGGACACCATATCTATTAGTCGCCCAGAATCCAAATCCAAGGTCGGCGCCATCCCATACAGCACTTCAAGCACTCTTTTACTCACCTACCAGCGACCCAGCGGGCATTGAGGCCGTGATACCTCCCTGTCGGTATGAGACGGGATTGTCGAAGTAATTCTTATACGCTTCGGTGCCCAGGACACCGCTCATAGAGCTGATGTCGAAGCCGAATAGGCCGCCACCTAGTAAGACAAGTGATCAGTCTCAGCCGTCTTCCTTCACTATTCAACTTTCGTCCTTTCTCTTTACTTTCGTCAATCTAGGCGCTGTAGCGCGGGTATTCTACGGTGAAAGCTCCCTATCGGCAAATCTTCGAGCGCGCAGAGTAGAATGGGCACTTACCGATGGCGGCAAAGCCACAGATGAAGTAGACATTACTAGCCTGATACATTGCGATGAGCGAAGACCAATTAGTTCGTAAATAATATCTGAAGTCAAAAGAATCAATCAAGTAATCTTCGGCAGCCGATCAGGTTGACTAGCAACCAATTTCAAGCTCCCTAGATCACTCGAGTCTTAAACCAGAAGACAAGGGTGAAGGACGAGAAATTAAACCGTGTAAAAAACAAGAATTTCAAAAGAGAAGACAAGCTTGGTAGGTTATGCACGAGGGCTATATACGAAATAGCCCACATCGCAGGGAAAAGCTCACGCACGTCGACACGCAAATCATCTATCCGCATTGTCCTGTACACATGCGCTCATCCCGACCCGACACATGCAGCACAGCAACGCAACACACCCGGCGGGAGGAGAAAAAGGAAAGCCAGCCGGCCGAAAGTGAGCAAACACTGTGTCACGAAGATCAGGTTATTCCCTGCCTGCCTCCATCAATCAATCACCAATTCAAACCTACCTATATACACCAAACCACTACTACGTATGAACACCAAGAGGGAGGTCAGAGAAAGAGGGGGAGGCACGTCAGAACCGCCGTCCTCCCCTCCACCTCGTATAGTGCAGTGGTAGCAGCGATGTGCAGGACGAAGAATCCAATCCAGCCCTTGCTTCTCGCCAGCAAGTTACGCCACGGGAGGGTAGCACAACAGACGGCCGTATGCATGTGGCGGCGGAGATTGTTTCTCTGTGTGCAAGACACATATAGTATGCCATGTGGACAGGAGTCAAGTAAAGTAAGGAAGAAAAGGTGTACTACTGCGGTCGGTTTCGGGAGGAGAAAAAGAAGAGGTGATTCAGATTGATCAACGTAGGTAGGTATACGAACGCGGATAGACAGCTGGGGCGCTGAATGAGGTGTGAAGGTATATATCTCTTGCCTTGATATAGATAGTATATGCCGCTATCGTGATCATCTGGGTGAGAAGGCTGAGGATCTCATTAAGCGTACACTAGTCCCAGCACTGTCGAGATAGTGCACATACCTACATCATCACAGTTTGCTGGGTTACCGGTAGACATGGCGACACAGATGTAGTGTAGGCAGGGCATGCATACATTAGGTACATAGAGAATACCGCAGCGCGCCACGATCCCAGAACATAGATATTGTGATTGTTCAGCCTCACACAGACGAATGCAGCAATATCCTTAACGCCCTTGGCCGTACTAGGATATTCACTTCTCCAGCGGTGTATATGCCAGACACGACGACATCTCAGCGCAGGTATGAATCACGTACTTCACCTTTATCAACCCCTCCAGGGCTCAAGATTAGAAGCAGCAAGAGCAAGAACAGTCCAATCCCATCGTTGCATCGCGCCAAAGCACTCAATCACCGACAATCGCGATGGTGGGATTCACAGAGCCAGGATCATATCATGCACGACAAAACACGGCGTCTCGATCCCGCCACCATCAGAAGATCAACATTGGTGGCAAGGGCTTCTCTGCAATCCAAGATGAGCAAAAACGTCCTGTTAAAAAGGAAAGAACCTGCATACTATCAGCACCACACAGCCCGTAGAGGAAGAGTATAAGATTAAAAACAGTTTGCTATACAACCAGGCTGCGAACAGCAAACGAGTGCGTAACCCGAGACCACGTAGTCCTGGTAGTATATATCATACCAATATCCTTGGTATCAAGAATCCAGCAACTAATCCGCTCGTAGAAGACGTTATTCAATATTCAATGCTCCCCACCGTCTGCACGGCATCAGACAGAGTAGTTGTCTGATACCCCAAATACGAGAGTAGTAGATGGACAGATAGCAAGCTTGTGTCACTCACCATCTACTAGCCCGACTCGATGGTTTGGGACACGCTCTGTAACGTGACCTCAATCGTCTTGACTGACTGGCTGGACGCCATACCAACCACTTGATACCTACCACAGCCAGAAGCTTGAATGATCAAGCAGGCTCGGCAGGTAGGCGCAGCCAGTATATAAAAGCCCCCCTTCACTGTCCCATCTCGGCGCAATACCGGTATGCAATGCAGAATACTTCCCAAACACACACGCATATACCACTCTACGAAAAGCCTTCCAGCGCAGCGCAGCGAATCAATCCAACCCGGGAACAAGACCACGAGATCGAAATAAAACCGGGATCATCCACACTTCGTTAGGTCTCGCCAATAACAGCCTTCTTCCCCGCACTTCCAGCTTGACTGGCTGGCCTATAGTAAGTGGCGCGCAGCTAGCGAAAGGGTTTATTTCCATCCTGTCGGCCCATCTTATCATGATAGGAAGATAGAACAAGTATGGTCAGGCAGGCTGGCGGTAACGGCGCCGTTCGTTGTGTTTTTCCTAAGACATGCGCTAAGTACCGTTGACTACTCGAGGAGCGAAGAGTCAAATGAGAATTGATATATATGCGCAGTAAAAGACAATAAAAGCGTTCAGTTCCGGCATTCGCGACAATCGATACTAATCGCATTAGGAGATAGTAGGCAATCAACCCTTGATACCCTGCGATGTCGGAGTCTAAAACACCTGTAGCCGAGAGAAGTCATGCTCACCAAGTAGTTTGTGCTAATATACTTTGCGCTTACCAGTATGAAGATGGCAGCCACCATGCAAACAAAAGTATAACCATGTCCCCAATTGCAGCATGAGTAAAAGACCCACCATTCATCAAGCGACGAACGTAGATTTCCTCTCCGGTGCCAGACACGCAGTCAAGCAACCGGTGAGAAAATGGGGGGTGCCAAGCACCCAGTTCAGTTTCTCAAGAGGCGAGAGCAAGCAGTCAAATTCATGACGTCCGCAAATCAAGTAATCTCGCCTTGAAATTGTAAACCTCACTGCCTGTGACATATTAGCAAGCAGTTTCTACCCTGCGCTGTGTAATACAGCGTTGATAGTCTCTGCGCCCTAAACCAAAGATTTATATAAGATGATCGGTCACAACATAGGTAGTTATGACATGAGACGAGGTGAATATAAAAGGAAGAGCCATGAAGATAAAAGGCCAATCGTATTCTCTCCCCTGCCACTTGGCTATGGATCTGCACCAGTTGGATGGATGTCAGTGATTGATGGCGAGGGGGTATCAAGAGATAAGATAGAGTGGGGACAACGACACTGTGAACGTCGAGCCCGACACCCATTGTACTATGCTACATATCGCCATAACTTAGGCTCAAACAGTGAAAATATGGAATCAACAAAGAAGGGTATCTCAATGTATGTTAGTTTGAAAAACACCTGGATCCGCGATTCGATCGTCTTTTCGGTATCTGTCCGAACCTCATATATTATATATCCCCCCCGGTCTTCGTTCTTTGTACTCCTGTCGCCCTTAACGCCGTATCGTCGTCTCGTGCCCTTTATCATGCATGTTGGATTGATAAATGTCAAATCCAGTATTTTCTTGGATGGAATCGGTTGTCTGTCCTGGGCAAGACGCCTAATGATCTCATGTGTGCGTGTGAAACTAGAATTAGTAGTCGAGTGTTACCACTGACTGCGCTTGGTGCTGTTTTTGGACTCCGCCAAGTCTTCTTCGCGTATCTCCCCCAGCTCTAGCTTTCGCAGCCAGTTCCGCTGATCCTCGAAGTGAGAATAGTTTCCGGCAAAGACTGGATATAACAATGTATCCTTGATAGGATCTGACGTGGCTGAATGGCCCTCTTGGGAGAACTCGAACATCCTCTTTTGGATAGCTTCGTATGCCTTTGCAAAACAGTCTTTGATCGCGAAATAATTTGAGGAGCCACCCGCGATATCATTCTCAGGGTTATTAGGGTCAATTATTGAAAGCCTATCGAGGCTACGGTAGACTAGGGTGCTCGCCTTGGCCTAGATACTGACATCAGCACATTAACATGATAATTACCTTAAAAAGCTCACCTTGTTGATAATTCCAGGCGGGTTCATACGGATCGCGACGGTCTGATATTGGAAGAGGAAGCCATAGTACTTCAAGAATTCCATAAGGAGCTGGCCTAGGTGGTCGTCCGTCATTGAACCGCTCTGAATTTGAGGCATATTCTGTAGTACATGGACTACCATGCATATAACGGTGAAACCACCGATCCCACCATTGACAGGCTCATTGAGGCCGCGCATAAGCAGGAAGTGCTTGATGACTGAGACCAAGGGAGGCATGGCGGGGTACTGCTTCTTCCACTCACGAAAGGTGTCAATGGCTTTGAAGCCATCTAGTTTCTCGAATGAGATATCCACCTTCAGACCGGTTAACTTATCAGTGTACTTGACAAGAGGTACCTTTGCCCTAGAAATGACCTCGACCGCATTCTGAAAAGCAACCCTGTGAAACTCAAGGTGAGATTTCATATGGAAGAGAAATTTCTTCTTGTCATATAGAGGATATTTTCCATCAATGAAATCTTGAGAACAGATGGCGATATCCATGTCGGCAGTAGGCAAGTAAAGACCAGACATGAATGAGCCGAAAGGCAAGATCCTCGCAATTCGCCATTTCTTCTGAACAATAGATTCAAGCTTTGATATCAGTCGTTGGCGGAGCTTCTCTTCGAAATCACGGGGACTGACGTAGGCGTAGAAGTCCTTGATCTCGTGGTGTAACCTAGGACGATTAGGATTGGACAGACATGATTGGGTCAGGTAAACCTACCGGGTGCCCATGTCAAGTACAGCGGAATGATCGCTAACAGCCCAAGGACATGGGTTTTGGCCAGGTTCGGGTCGCCAAACAGGCACAATCGAACCAGACGGCATCTTGTTTCCCTTTTTCACATTCTGCAAGGTATGTGGTGGTTTAATTTCATCGTCAATGTTGCGTTTGCGACTTCCTAGAGAGGCAGAGGCGGTTAAGTCCGCAGGCGCAGGAGGTTTTTGGTCGTGTTTAGTAAAGTTAGAAGATGGGGAAGGAGCTTGCGAGGGGGGCACCTTCTCTTGACGTTGAGAGGAAAGCTGCGAGGCAACGGGTGGTGGCTTAGGTGGGAGTGTTGATGCTGCGGGTGCACTGCGAGGCCCCGTAGGAGCGTCAGGCCGTTGATTTTCTAACGCGCCGTTCAATTGCTGATCTGCAGTATCGTCATCGGAGAAGTCGCATGAAATAAAGTCGGCTGCTTCGGTCGACACAGCCGTCTTTTTCGCTTCAGCCTCGACGCGTGCCTTGCGGATTAGCTGCACAACGTCCTTCTTACGAGTGGTTTCGGGGGGTGGTAGGGCTGTGTAAGGGTCTGGGTTAGACCATTTCGGTGCATCGGATGCCGTGTCTCGGGTAGTGGCGGGTGCATCTGTGCGTGTCCGTTTGGCAGGACGATCTGCCGCGTTCGAGTCCGAGTCGCCGTTGTCCGAGATATCCATGTCAACCTCGTCACTATCGGAGAGCTCATCGATATCTCGGTACGTCGGGCGGACAGCCGTGTCGCCTAGCATGAGTTCACCTTGGTCATCGAATCGTTTGGAGAGCAGTAAGCGATCGGCGGCTTTCTCCTTCTCGCGACGCTGGTAAGGGCCGGTACGACGCGGCTGGTTTCGGTTGCGACGGGAGTCATTATAGCGAGGCGCGTAGGAATCGGGACCTCTGTCGTCGCGACTGTAATCAGCCCATATTAGCTAGTATTCTCGATTGAATAGAACAGTCCATAACGTACCGTGGATAATAGGGCGCCCCATTAGTTGTGATGCCAGCCGGGGCGTCTTGGCGGAAGGTGAATTCGGAACTCGGTGGGCGGTACTCGTCGCGAGAGTTGCGATAATCGCGGGAATCTCGCGAGTCTCTCGAATCTCTGTAGGGCCCGCGGTGTTGGCGTAGGTCGGAATAAGGACCACGAAATCTGTGGCCATCGTTTCGATCGCGAGGGTAGTAGCTGTCACGGCCATCGCGACCATCTCTATCTCGACTATCGCGTCTATCCCACTGTTGATAAGACGGCGGAGGAGGAGGGGGGGGAGGAGGGAGATTAGAGGGCGGCGGCGGCGGTGGATATGGATCGTATCGATCATAGCCTGGAGGTGGAGGATGCCGATGTAAGGGAGGAGGTGGCGGAGGAGGGCCGGCAGATGAAGAATAGCGATCATCCCTATTATACATGGCGTATGATGTAACACGGCGACAGCGGGCGCGACACTAGACAGTTTGCTATCTACCAAGGGATTGAGAGTCAAGATGAGACGAACTTGAGACGAAGTTGGATCCAATTACTGTCACACAGGATGGCGGGGACCAAGACCAAAGAAATCAGAGCGCGCCAACCAAAAATGCTGGATGGAAGAAAATGTGATGTGTCAGTTGGATTGGCCGGATTTTGTGCTGGGTTCGGTCGCGCTGTGGAAAATAAAATGGGAGCGACCGAGCGACCGCCGGCACGCCGCAGGTACCACCGTACCACCTGCCACCCATTCCTAAGATTTGGATAGGCATGTACGCTAATCCTGAATGGAAATTATATAAGCACCTACTTACGTCACCGTTTGGATGAGTGAGGTGAGATGAGATGAGGTGAGATAAGTATGATGAGATAAGGGTATGCAGATGATCACAAGCAGTTTCTGGTAAGCCATGAGAGACTACAAACCTGTACCATCACACAATGATTGTGCTCAAATGGTACCTTCATCAAAGTATCAGACTTCAGGGATAGGATACACCGGGCAATAGGGGTAAGCGAAGAGAGACACTTCTGATCTTGTAGCCATAGAGACAGCTGAAAGGGCTTCATATTCCGCGAACGCGTAAGGGATGCGTCATGGGCAACGGCGCCCTCAGCAACTGTCCACGATGCATGGGGAGAAACGGCTCTCTAGCAACAACGACACCTCCTTCTGAAAATCCATTTAAAACACAGAGGACGTTATAGAACCGACCGAACAACCCAGCTTCTCTTCTCTCCATCCACGAGTCTTACTTCCTGCATCTCAATCCTCAGACCCCAAAGCCCAAGACACTATCTTGGTTACACCTGAGAAGCTCATCATGACAGTGCAATCCCAACTGGAGATGGGGAAACAGCAAATAGCTTCGTCTTAGCTATCATGTCTCAGCATATCACTCCTAGCTTTCAGTCACCTCCAGCAATAGGGCAACAACAACTCGCCACTCTATCCGACACCAGCTCGGACACCTATCCTCTGTGAGTTGATTCTAGGAGCCACCATGACGCTAGTATCCAAGAGCCATTCGACAAACCATAACCGTGATCCGCGAGACACTATTTCCTGCCCTGTCTGCCACGGAGAAGAACATGATAGATGCAACAATTCACGCTGTGCTTGCAGCTTGGGCAGTAGCATTCCGCAAAACCATCCGGGAGCTTCTTGTGCGCGCAGGGCAAGATCTCGTGGTGGAAGCCAGTCAACGAGGTGAATCGATCAAGCAGGGAATTCTAGACACAGCCCGGTTGGCGATTCACACTTTTAAAATACGTGACCCGAACCCCCAGGTCCAGTCAGCTTCCACATCACCACCGCCGCCGCTGGAAAGACCTCAGAGTCCAAGGGTTCCACGTGTTCCGAGAGTCTCGAGGTCTTATCAGCCTCGCAGCGGCCCGGGTAATTATAGTTGTACGAGGTCTTCTCACAATACGCCTAATCGAGGGGCACCTACGGTAATCCCTTCCACGCCTGCGAGATCGGATAGACAGCGCGGCAGACCAGCCAGTGAAAAGCCTCAGAGACTAGGGCAACACAATGCCACTGATTCCTCTATGCCGCCACCCCAATTCAAGATAAAGCGCGAGATCCCTTGAGACAACGCGATCATTTAACCGGCGGGTGGAATGCTGCGCGAATCACATTGTCTTGATGGTTACTAATCAGTGACTAGCGACGATGTCATTCGGTGTTGATAGAGTACATCATTCGCTATTTAGAGCTGTCAATGGAGTAATATATGAATACATAAGTCGGATAATTTGTGGTCCAAAGGGAAGTCTATCTGGCCGATACCTGCTGATATCCAGACATTCGTCTGAGTGGTTGATATTCTGGCATGTTGGGGTTGAGTAGCCGAGGTGCAGGATAGCGCCTGTATAGGTCCTTATTATCTTGTAAAGGTGATAGATAGCGGTAGACATGTTCTCCTAAATGCAACAGTCAATTGCATCATCTCAAGCTTCTTGAGACAAAAAGACTTCGTGATCAATTTGATATTCACTAGACGTAATGACCCTTACAACATGGCACTGTGAATCATTATACAATATTAGACCATCGTATCATTTCACTTCCATCGCCCAGATGCGATTATAGCTCATCGTGTTTCTTTCCCGACGCCGCTTTCGCAGATGATTTATCGCTAGTGTCGCTATCACCAGTCAGCACAAGCAGAGCACCAACAATCAACCAACCCCCTCAGCAAGTAACTAGAATCAAACGCTCAACACATATCAAAGAAGGCAAACTCACCGGAAAAGCGGCCCATACCCAGTGCCCTCACCCCTCACAACATCAACCTGCTCAGCATCCGCATAAAAGCACCGTCCTTCAGCCCCAAAGAACGTCCCCGTGAGCACGGGCTCCGGGCGTTCCAACGCCTTCGCTCGAATCCTCTCGGCGCTCTTCAAAAAGCTCTCCACGAGCTCGGGATACTTCTCATACGTGAGTTTCCCATCGCGCTTGACGAACTTTCCGTCGACGAGGACATGTTCGATATCGCCGACGTTCGCATGCAGGATGACGGCCGCGACGGGATCCGCCCAGCCGAGAAGACTTGGGGAACGTCCGTTGAAGATGACGAGGTCGGCTTTGGCGCCCGGGCGGATCACGCCTAGATCTGGGCGTCGGAGCGCGAGCCCGCCTTGGCGGGTTGCGAGGAGGAAGGCTTGGTTTACGGACACTAGGGAGGTTAGTGTTGCTCATGCATCGCTTTTGCCATGTCCTTCTCATCATATCCTATCTAAGCCGGGACGGGAGATAGCCCGGCTGGGAGGCAAGGCCAGAAAATGAAGGGAGGGGGAAGGAAACGAAGAGAGAAAGCTGCTCACTAGGATTCTTAGCAGGAATATGCCAATGATCCAGCACCTCATCGAACAACCTCGACCTCGTGCGCTGCAGCCACAGCCGCGCCTGCGTGATGATATCCGTCGAGAACGCAAGATGCGTGTCGACGCCGAGGGCAGCCTGCTCATGGATATGATGCGAGTAAGTATGTCCGTGGCCGCAGTGCATTTCCGACTCGGGGGTGATGGAGAGGAATTGGTTGGTTGAGCGCAAGAGGTCTGCCGACGCCGCTGTTATGCCCACGCCGTGCGAGAACACGACGGCCGTGGATGTGTTCAGGACCCCGAAGGAGTGGACTAGTGCTGGGGAGCTGTCGACTATGGGATTGTCCGCCTATCAGCCATTTTCACTCCGTCTCTTGGGGAAAGGGAGGAAGAGGATTGTTGAGAGGATGAATGAGAAGCTTACTTGGCCAGGCACCACCAAGCCAATGGATCGTCAAGACGGGTGGTTTCGCGTCTCTATGAAATCCAATCAGCCGAAGGAACAGCGAAAGAAACCATGCTCAGAGCATGAGATCGATCCGTCGACATACTTAATCAATTTAGCCAAAGCCAGCGTATTCTCCGGTACGCCAATATCCCAGCCATCATATGCAATACCAAGCGTGACCAGATCATTCGGAAAAGACCTCCTATTCCACCTCTTCCAGTCCTTGATCTGGTCCGCAAACGGGTAATTCGGCGTGGGGTCAATCGCGGGGGCCCAGATGACGCGCGCACCGCTCTCAATTGACGCTTCGAGCCCAGCTTCGGCTCGATCTGTCGACCACATGCTATGAGCGTGGTCCAGCGTTGTCGTCACACCGGCATTGATAGCTTCGAGGAGTCCAGTGAGTTGGCCGTCGTATACATCCTCAGCAGTGAAGAGGTGGTTAGCAGCAGGGCTGGACCAGGTCAGGAAGTAGTCTGCCAGCGTCGTGTTCGAACCGAGCGTCTTGAACGCCGTCTGCCATCCATGGCGATGTGTGTCGATGAAACCCGGGGTGATAATCTTATGGGTGCAGTCCACGACCTCGGTGTCAGCAGGTATATCCTCCGGGCTAGCTTCATCGTAGAGGCCGGCGATGCGATCATCAGTAACGAGCAATGCGCCGTCGCGTATGACGCTCAGAGACTTGCTGTCTTCATCAAAGGCAATGATAGTACCGCCTGAAAGCAGCGTTGAAGCAGACAGTGCCGCGCCGGAATAACCGGCAAGAGAAGCGAGCAATGTAGAACGCATTTTAACGGTTCACATGAGATGCTCACCGCCAGACTCAAGACAGAAGTCAATGATGAAGAAAGACAATGAACGATTCTTATACGAATCTCACCCGGCGATTATTCTACGTCCGCGTCGCAAAGCATCTGCTGTGCGACAACCAATTTCGAAACCCCCTGCTCTCTGCTCACCACGCCCAGCACAGCAGCGATTGTTCATCATCACTAATGACGTCCGCTTCGGAGTTTAGCCCTCGCACGCGTAACACGAGCCGTGAGCGAAGGTGAGGGGCGCCCGCCGGAGCCGCGACGCAGACGGATGCACGTGCGGGACCTATCAGAGCGGGCCAATCCGCCCAGGAAACCGTTTTTTGTTTCCCCCATTCTTCTTGATCCGTTGCTCCAAAAATGCGCTGATGCACTGTAACGCCGGTGGGCTGATGGAGCATACTTGCCGGTGAACGTGCTCTCTTGCCGACTGGGAGATGGGTTCGCCGGCAATTATTCACTAGATCATCGGTACCTGGCTTGGAAGAGACATTGGTAATCTAGATCTAGATCCTCACATGTTCCTCGCATGTTATTCTATGCCGGGGAGCAGACTGTTCATCTACAAGTTACGGGAGGGCTTCATTTCTTCTCTCTTCTCCATGAGGGGTAGCGGCAGGAGGAAAGCTGCATCTGAAAGGAAGTGTCATTTCTGCTTTTTTGCACTTGTATGCATCGAGACGAATCGAGGCCAATCCTTGCTAGTATAAGCCTGCCAGGCTTTTATACCAAAAAGAACATCTATCTATGGCCTATGATTTGTAAACGATAGGCTACCGGTACGAATATAGGCCACACAACGCATCAATATTGCACTTTTCCCCCATGTCCTTTATGCGCTATCTAGGATATCCTGGTGTCAGTCAAGGACATTAGAGACAGGTTAGCGTATTGCAAGTTAAATCGAACTACCTAGCAAGCTGTGTTAAATCCGGAGAGACAAGAGCGGTTTGTTACCCGCAATTGGCCGGTTCTTAAATCCGACTGTAAAGGAGAGCACAACTTCGACGAGTCCATGCACGAAACACTAGTTAGAGGGTTTCAACCCGTGAAACTAAAATGATCACATAAGCATGTACACAGGTGAAGCAACTGCATCTAAGTTGCCATTCAAACTAGCAAGACTCTGTCTCAATTGGAAATAGACAATTGGTGCGCCCTGTACCCTTCTAGGTATTTCCCTGTGCTTTACTCCCAAGATGAAAGCGCCCTTGTTCGTCAACAGCCACTCTCTCCAAGTAAATCGCGTATCTGTGTGCACTCCCTCGCTCGTTCTTGAAGAAGATCAGCGATTGCCCAGTAACCGTACAACCCAGCTATTTCTATCGCACCATCATAGCCGGATTCCCCTCGCTGATAACTTAATACTCCCAGATCAAGTAGAAACTTGGTCATATCCAACCGCCCACCCTGTACAGCACAATCTAAAACACTAATTCTATCTATACGGGGACCTGGGGCATTGATATCGGCGCCGTTATCGAGTAATATCTTTGCTAGTTCAATGTCACCAGTCTCTGCTGCAGCTTGCAAAGCAGTACATCCGTTATCATCAGCAGCGGGTGCATTCACATCAGCACCGCTGTCCATAAGAAATCCGACTAATAAAATCTTAGTTTTCCGGTCTTCGCCCTGTCCATAAGGCAGGTTACAAGCAGCTTGGAGAGCTGTCATACCTCCCCAGCCTTTCCCGGGGAGGTTGACATCTGCGCCATTCCCGATAAGACTCCGAACTAGCTCAAACTTGCCGGTCATGGATGCCGCCTGAAGAGGTGTGCACTGGATACATAAATGTTTTCTTGCTCGGCGAGAGTAGGCATTGATATTAACCCCTCTGCTAATAACCATATGAATTAAGTCTAACGATGCACCGCTTCTTATCAAAACAGCAAGAACGCCGCTGTGAGCGATCGGAATGTCACTGGCAAGAAGAATATTGAAAATCCGTAGCCCACAGTTCAAGTTCTCAGAAGAAGAATGGCTGCAATCTAAATGGTCGTCAAAGCACGGCTCGAATAGACAAGGCTGAGACGGCGACTGGTTGTGAACTCCGCCTTGAGCCATAAGAAGATAAGTAATTATGTCGAGGATATCTGAGAGATGTTTTCCTGTTGTGATAGCGTGCAGCAAAAGGCTATTAGGCTGGGAGTTGCCCGGCTCAGGTCGCAGGGAAGCACCTCGGCCCACCAAATGCTTGAGCATTGGAGCGACAGGTCCCCTCTCTAGATTTGGTAATAAGTTGTACGACGTATAGCGGTCAAAATATGGCGAACTGAGATTCAGAAATGTGAGCTCACAGGGCCTCCACGCTTCAAATAAGCCACCAACCACAGTGGTGTGCGTATCGTTAAGAAGAAACCCTGCATTAATATCGACTCCAGTCTTTAGCAGCCAATCTATTGCCTCGTAGTTGTTGAGAACAGCAGCCATATAGAGAGCTGGAGTGCCATAGGTTTTGAAATCAGCGTTGTGGCTAGCAAGAAGCTCCAGCAGCTGGGTCCCCTGACACTTGACTGCAAACATCATGACATTCGAATCAATGGTTGTTTCTTTCCGAATGAAATGGTCGAGGATGTCGATAATCTCTGAGGTGATGGTGTGGTCTTTTATTATACCCAGAAATCTTGCTAGAAGAAGGGACGACCCAAAGTCTTGCGGAAGGGGTCTGAAGTCAACATCACGCTTCACAAGCGCGTGTGCAATTTTGAGATCAAACCTCGCAACAAATTGCTCGACAAGGATGATTTGAAGTAATCCATGAAGGTCTGACTGTCTAGAGCACATCGTGTCGAGGTATCGGACAAGATAATCGCTTCCTTCTTCTGCTGCAAGGTATAACCCAGTGCGAGTAAGGCGCGTAGCATTTCGATCCCTATGGCAAGCAAAGTGGTAAAAGACTTCCTTGTGCCAGTTATATGTTATATCAAGAACCGTAGGTAGTAGACATAGCGGAACTTTTAGATGTCCGTAGAGCTTTCCTAGTCCAACCTCAAAACCCTGTAGAAGTGGCTGTTTGTACGAGGTAGGTGTTGGTTCTCTGAACAGCGGCGCAATAGCATCAATATCGCATCCGAATTCAATCAATATCTCAAACCCACGTTGCACTGTCTGCATCTCGAGACGCAATGGCATGTATCTGCTGATGCATCCAAGCACAGGCGGGGAGCGGAAGTCCCCGTGTCGTAGTTCGCGTACCACCCCAAAAAACAAAAATGTGACTTCATTTTTAGGGCACTCGAAAGTATGCACATGCATTCCATTCTCTCTTGTTGGACATGAATATGGGGTTGTATCGCAACTATAGCCCTGACCATGTTGCAGTGGACAATTCCGGGCTACGTGCGCTATCAGCAGTCGTGCGCAATCGATGTGCCCTGCGGAAATCGCACAAAGAACTGCAATCACATAACGCGAATGGCCCCAAGTCTGGGCCGAAAATGAGTAGCTGATATATTTTTGAGCTGCATATTTATCAATCTCCAGTAGAAGGCGGCATGCGCTGGGACAGTTCATCATTACGGCATGGAGGATAAGATTCTGCGCTGATGCGACAAGCCAATCCGGATAATCATGCGCAGCAGCTTCCACCAGCATTTGAAAGTCATCTCTCCGGTCGCGTAGAAATAGGTAGTCCAGTACTTCATGGAAGACAACGTGGACACTGCGAGATGTACTCGCTAGGAGTGAGTAGAGTACATTCGTAGGAAAACACGCGAAAAGATTATCGAAACAGCGAATCTTTTCCGAATCGGTAAATAACTGATTTGAAATCATGTAAACGATATTCGACAGATAACTAAGTGCATTGCTGAGTTCTTGTCCTGGAGATTCGCGGATAACTGGGTTGGGACCGGAGCTAATATTAGGGTGCATCAAATGTGAATAGAACGGAAAATCTGAGAGATTATTATAGGCTGTAGAGGAAACAATGCGTGCTTTCTCAAACAAGCATATAAAGACAAGAATATCAGCTCAGGCTACTGAGAAAAGGAAAACTGGTGTCGATATGGGACATCTTAAACATACTAGGTAGTTCCAGTCTGTAGATATACGAAGGTGTATGCTGAAGCAGGATGCTATGAAAATCTGAAATCTCACAAGATACACTCATTTCATGTATGAGATCAGACCTCTTAATCGTCGTATCTAGTGGCGAAAGTGCGGTCTGTTGTAGTGCGACCGATGGAGTTTGCGATGAGAAAGTGTCCCGAGAGGAATTGTCCCGACGTCGACATATTACAGGAAGTGGCGGTGATTGTCTTCCTGGGGAAGGCGTCCGTACCGCCACATCTCGAGGGAGTTGTTTATTATGGCCTGTTTAATAGCAGGTTGGTTCTTAGTAATGACTTGTTAGGAATTGGGAACCGAGATACCCTACCATGATCAATTGGTCTAGCCCCTGAGCGTCTGATTTCCTTCCAAACAGTGGCGGAAGATATCTTCGTTCCGCAAAGATATACCGCGCTAGCCTTTTCTCCTCTTTTTTGGAGTTCCTGATAAACAGCAGGCCAATCTGCCTTCTTCAATTTCTTGCGAAGACCAATTAGGCGAAGCTTTGATTCGTAGGTCGACAAGCTACGAGCGTCAGTATGCAGCCGCTATAGTGTGATCAGAGCAACCTACGGCGTGATAGGAAACTCATAGTCCCTTTCCATTATCGTTTTTATGTCAACAAGCCTTTTTCTCTCTACCTGATACAGTTGGCGTAGTACCGGCTTGTGTCGTTCCCATATATCACCTCTCCGCTCCCCGGTTGGCTGTATAGAAGAAGCCATTTACGCTGTGCGTAGCCTGAGAAAAGGACGCAATGCGATGATAAAGGGATGATTATAGATTGATAAAATTGACAAAATGAGCGTTAAGGATAATTGAAATAAAAAAAGACTCAATGAGGCCGAGGAGAAGGGGCGCGAATCATCTTATATGAAAGGTGCTGCGAGTAGCCTCTGAGGCTTTGGTCGAAAATCCCAACGATATGATAGCTGCCTATCATTGGACATCATGACCTGGTCTCCGGTCCAGAGCCTGCCTAGGTACATGCTGCATGTCAATATACTACCCGATACTACCTGTAGCATCCAAATACTCCGTGAAAAAAGCTTAGGAAGGGTGTTGGCAAGGATATTGGGCCAATCGCCTGGACGAGAAACTTGGGCTGCCGGGGTGCTGGACAATTCCTGCTGACCTGATTTTGGACAGACGTCTCAGCCCCCACGACATAGATGCATGGTTAAGCATTTTGTGCTATGCTTGGCGATCCAATACCAGCCCTAGTGTCTAGATATATCAAGAGTGTTTCGACCGGTTTTGGCGGCGAGCATAGGTAGGGCATAGCCCTCGAGGCCGAAGGAGATTAAGGCAATCGGCGCGCTCTCCAAAGCCCTCCCAAAACCTTATTCCTGGTCGAGATTAGGCGATCGCGACCTGTTGAGAACTCAATTGTACACTGCTCGTGGCATGTTCTAGGCCTCCATCGGTGAGGCCATCTTTCACATGTGAAGTGCAACATGAAGTTGTGAATAGCGTAGACAAGATGAGATGCAACGGGTCGGATGAAGATGGGATAGCGAAAGTTGGAACGGCCAAGATACCTACCAGGCAGGCGAGAGCAGGCACTGATGCATACACTGTGTGTTTACAGTGCAAATACAGTACAGGTTTCACCCGCCCTGGTTCAACCTCAAATGGCCTCCAGTTCATCTAGAAGAGGGCGAAGTTGATCTCAGTTGAGCTAGACCTCTCAAAACCTGCCTTGAAATATCTTAAACCCGCGCATTAAAGGCTAGTTTCTGCTGCGCCAACCTCTGTAGGCACTAAGATCTCCTGTTGCACATGGTGATATCGACAACAAATTCCGTCGTGTAATAGGCCTTTGCCGAGAATATTATATCTTAACCCATCTATTACTCTCAAACCATTAGATCTTAGAACTTTTCTGTATCCCTTTCACCGGTGAATTCGCAATTTCCCTCAACTTTTCCTTCTGAACCTTGCCGCTCCCAGTTACCGGGAAACTCTCCAAGCTGCCCCCTTTGCCAACCCAGAAAACGTGAACTGGGGCTTTGTGATATGCCAGTTCTCGTCTCACCCAGGCCCGAATCTCCTCAGGTTCGATCTTCGCTGCCCCTTGACGAGACTCGAGGAATGCGCCTACGGTCTCTCCGTACTTCGCGTCCTTGACTCCGATGACCGCTGCGCTAGCAATGGCGGGATGTTGCATTAGACGTTCCTCGATTTCTAGCGGGTAGATGTTTTCGCCCCCTGGTGATTCATTGCGTGATTAGCTGTACTCTGCGATATTCGAGGGATGAGAAATGAAGTGAGCGCGCACCTCTAATGATAATGTCCTTGATCCGCCCCGTGATCGCGCAATACCCATCCTCATCCAGCAGCCCTTCGTCGCCAGAGTGCATCCACAAGACGCCCGACTGATCGCGCTTCATCGCCTTGGCCGTCTGCTCCTTGTCCTTCCAGTATCCCTTCTGAAGCAAATACCCAGCAAAGCAGACCTCGCCTCTCTGGCCAATCGGCACAATTTGCCCTTCCGCATCGACTATCTTAGCCGACGTATGCGGCAGCACCTGGCCAACGGTCGTCAGCTGTTTCTCTACAGAGTCAGATCGTCTCGTTATGAACGCGACAGGCGAAGTCTCCGTCATTCCTGGTCGTCGTCAGCAAATACCGAGATCTCCTATATCAGACCCAGAGGACAGCTGATTACTGACCATATAGGACTACAAAATCCTTCACCTTGAGCTTTTTCTGGATATCCTCCATAAGCGGTCTCGGCACGGACGCTCCGCCCGAGATACCAGTCTTCACCCCTGAGAAGTCCCATCCAGGCTTCAGATGCTGTAGAAACGCAACCCACATAGTCGGGACTCCGAACAGTGCTGTGCAGTGCTCGCGCTGGACACTATGTATCACGGCCAAGGGGTCGAAGAACTGCCTAGGAAATACGACGGCTGCTCCATGAGTGAGGGTCGCGAAGAGCCCTATTCCAAGGCCTGATAAATGATACATTGGCATTGGACAACTTAACACATCACTTGCGCCCAACCCCATTATACGTCCGGTAATGCGGCCATTGTTGATTAAACCGCTTTCAATTTCACAATTGTCAGCACTCTGTCTTCTTCTCTTGAAGATGAGTAGGTACTCACTGATGTGTTAGCATGACGGCTTTCGGGTTTCCCGTCGTCCCACTTGTAAACTGTAAATTCAGAACATCGTGCGGATTGACCTTCTGCTCAGCAGCCCGCAAAGCCCCCTCACTAATCCGAGCAGAACCTCGTAGGAATTGTTGATAATGCGTGCATCGAGCTTTAGTCCCATGACCGTCTTCATCCAGTAGGACAATCGTCTGTAGCGTCGGCAAATCCGTCGCATCATGTACACACTTGAAATACGCGCTGTCATCGCCCCTCCCCATGTCCGTCGACAGGAAAAGAACCTTGCACTCTGCCACATCGTTAATCACAAGCCACGAAAGTTTCAAGATGTGAGGTTCGCACCGGTATGTTTGAGCGCCTTGTGAAGCTCAGACGGGGTATACGTCGCATTGTAAACGACCAATATCGCGCCGATTCTCCCAGCAGCGAAGAGCAGAGCACAGTACTCTAGCCTATTGCCTGCAAAAATGCCCACGCGATCCCCTTTAGACACACCCGCTGCCATCAACGCCCTAGCAAGAGCGTTGCTGTTCTCTTCTAATTGGCCATATGTCCACCGCGTCAGCGCCTTGGGGTACGGGCCGATTATCGCTGGGCGATCTCTATAGAGGCGTGCTTGATTTTTGATGAGATGTCCGATGTCAAGCTCCTCGAGCGGTATATCCCGCCGGCCGTGAACTATGGAGAGGCCATCTTGGCCGGAGCGTTTGGTCGCCGGATTCAATTCAGAAGCCATGGTTCGCAGCGATTGAGAGTCCTCGGAGTAGCAAAATGTGGGAAGACAACCAGAAAGAGGTGAACTCGTATGCGGGGTGTCGCATTCGATCTCAGCCACCAACCGGCCGCTTTCTCTACCTATACAGCAGCAGATCTGCATGTAAATACTAACGCCACAAATAACAATCACTAAACTTTGGGGTTGCAGTGATTATCGTTTATGTCGGACGGAAATGGGATGTCAAGGGCGTCTTATGATCAACACACGTACAAGGATGAGAATGACTTCCCTCACGCTATCGCGCACGAACAGATCTGCGAGATGAGCCATAAATACGGCGTATTTTATGCTCCTCTACTGGGGCATGTGCAGGTATAGGTAACCTCTTACTTTCAAGCTATTCACAGTACAGCAAGCTGCCAAGCTCCATATGGTATGACTGAGGTCAATTGCTTATATACAAGTGGACTTGTGCCCCTAACCTCCGAGGTCCACCGATACGTCTCATTCCAGCGGCGCGGATATAGCCTCATTTTAGATGAGCCTGAAACATCTCCGGTTCGTCGCCACCGGCTTGCGTGATATAAATATATGGTATGTTCAGCGCAGAGAAATGTTAACAAGTTCATCGGCATCGGTAACAACACCCGATGCATCGGCGACGACGATAGTAAAACCAGCTCGTAATTTGCCGATGGTAAAGAGGTTCTCGAATGGAGATTGGCCTAACTCCACAGATGAACAAGGCGTTGGAACGACATCTTGTGATAGAATGCACAGCCGCCGAACCCAAAGATGGCCGCCGAGGAGATATACCATCTATCACAAGGGCCATTTCTCACCAACCAAGGCGGATGTGACATCAAAGACACCGGCTCGTTTCTTCAATATTTCCTATCGCGCTCTATCTCTTTCGCCCATCCTGTAACTCGCATCCAAGTAAGCGCTGCCCAAGGACGCAGATAATAATAACTGCCTCGGCAGCGACGAGCGCGATCCACAGGCCGTCGACGAAGGTGATGTCAAAATCACCCAAGAGTTCTTCGATGTCGAGCCGCATTTTCAGCAAAGGACCGGACCGCTGATGTCGAAGATGAAGGATATCCGCTTCTGCGTGAAACGAAACTCTATATGATCGCCAATGAAGCTGTTATAGTACCAGGGGTCAGCTATGCAAGGAACTAGGGGGTATGAAACTTGCAAGACTCTTCTTACCTATCTACAGTATATCCTCCGCCTTCTCCTATCACCGCAGAGACATCGAAGGACAGCGCTGTATCACAGCAGCAGCAGCAGCAGCAGAGTGAAATGAGATCGTTATTTCTGTCTTTACAAGAAGACTCAGGGCCCCAATAGAATATATACGCACTCCTATTCAACCATCAAGCGCAAGGGCATATAATCAGAGTCAATGCGTTTCTAACAAGGACTAGGTATGTATAAAACACACGTGTAGACACAAGACGCAATGCGACGTGTAAACGCCAAATCCACTCTCGTGGCAATATGTATAAAAACCACAAAACCATCAAGCGCGGAAAGAAGTTGATATATCACGGCACAGTTCAAGGGAACAGTCAGTTAGGTCGTTAGCCCGGCACGAGTTTTGAACACGTTGTAAAGTCACGTACCTAAAGTCGTCTTCCCCAAAGTAGCATGAATTCAATGTTTCCGATTGTGGCACGGCCCTGCATCCCTTGGAAAAGCCGATCGGCTGACCACCCCCCACCAAGAACGTCACGTCGATATGGGATTAATATCCAATCGCTTGGATTCAGCAAATCCGGGGAATTCATACGCCAGCTTGTCAGGCGGATACCCTCTTTTACCCGGTTTATACATAGTTAGTTTATTTCGCGCTACTTTTTCTATACACATTGCAGGGGTGCCTCAATGATGTTCTGAGTGTAGAGGAATGTGACGGAATCTTCGACCCCTCGTCCTTGAACTGAGGCGGGGCACCAGTGCGCGTTACTATACAGAATTACATGGATATAGTTGATAAAGGTCATATAAGAGTCGTGATGCGTCACGAGGTAACTCCGGCCTCGGTAAAGATACACCAAAACCTCCCATGTTGTACATACCCAGATAATCCCAATAAAACGCCAGACCGCTGCAAATAAGTTATTTTTTAAGACATTTTGAAAAAAAGGGTAAATCATTGCTTCTTCGAGCTGTCTTGTTGCCTTGCCATTTCGCGAGCGTCGCCCCCTGATGCTCTCCACCAAACATCACAGCCCCAACGTAAGGTTCGCTCAACAGCAGTAGTGGGCGTAAGGGCAGGGCGCACATCGAGGTAGAAGACTGGCTCTCCTGTGGGCTCGGGCTCTCCGGAATAGTAGTCAATGATATAGCGAACCTCCTTTCTCTCTCCGTTCACGTCACGTGAGACGTACCAGTCATGTCGATCGAAGGGAGGTTCCGTCCTGAAGGAAAACGTCAGGGAATATTCTTGCATCAAAATACGGTTCAAGGGAATACGTACTGGAACTTGGAGGGATATATCCAAGCCATGACTTGAATCATGGCGGCCTTGGGCGTCATCTCCTTCGGTCTGCCCTGGAAGCGCACTAGACTGGGTTGCAGCTCCTCTACCTCCTTCTCATAGCCGTACTTTATCACGTTCTCTTCAAAGTTCTGCTCGCCCCGGCTGCATTTGCGCCAGCCTTTGTAGAGTCCGCCGGCGAAGCGTTTCTCCCATTCCATAATCTCCCCCCAAGCGCCCTCGTTCAGGAAGTTGTGTACGCCAACCATACTTTCGACAGCGGTGACATCTGTATCGGTGTAACCCTTGCGCAGTAATGCATTGTACATCTGCTGTGGCGAAGGGTATTCCCAGTTGCCTTCCCCGTCTCCTCTAGGTATTGTCGAGGGTTCGCGCTCTAGAGGTAACATGTGTGTCTGACTGGGAGCTCGTTCCTGTGACAGGTTCTTGAACATGTAGTTCAGCGGATTCAGCTTGGACATGGTAGACTGAGAGTCAGGCTCGGGGGTAGCTGTCTGGGATGCGTGTGGTACGGGGCATGCCGACGGAGGTCCAGCATCATGCTTTACTGGGCACGCTGATGGCAGAGGAGCCATGGCATCAGCGCTTTTCTGGTGTTTGTGCATAGGACATCCTGGCGGTGGTGTTGCACCGTTGCGTGCAAAGGCGCGATGGGACGGAGGGGCTGTAGGAGTCGGAGTGTTGGCCCAAAACCAGCCCATGATGACGACGATGAATCAGGGTCTGATAAGAGATATCAAGAGACGTCAAGAGATGTGAGGAGATACGCCCTACGTGATGTCTTAGTTCGATTGTGTGAGAAGATTGCGAAAGGGGAACAGTAATGGCGATATTGTATAAAAGCCCTGAGAGACAAGAGGCAAAAAGTTCAAGTTCCATCACGACTTTTTTGGACTGGATCATGGACGATAAGAATCCGGGACCCATTCTAGGCGGGAGGCGCCGATATCGACTTAGATCAAAGTTTCCAGCAGGCTTATAAGGCATAGGCCCTTTTTTTAGGCCGTCCATCGGCGCTAAATCAACCAACCCTGCAGTGCCTTTAGCGCTGCGACTTGGCTACTCTCACTGGCCAGCCAGTCCTCTACGTCACCATTCCATCCTTTCCATCCATTCCAAAGCTCAATTGCTCGATTGCATGTGTTCATGTCCAGACCTTTGGTATCCTCGCCTTCACGAGGCTCCTAATTCTAATTCTCTAATCCGGGCAGTATTTTCGTCGCTAGAGGTCGGTCTCAGGAATTGGGCGACTATGTTTATGTCGCTTTATCAATGCGCACCCCCGGCTTCCCGAAGATATGAAATCTCTCCATTTTCTGGCTCGATTTTGCGCGCGACAAATCACTCCTAGAGCGCGACCTGGGCATGTTCCTGCGAACCTCGGCCGATCCTTTTCCACCTTTCGATACGTGCTTTCTCGGTCAGCGCCACGTTCCCACTACCAAGCCAAGGGTATTGTTCTCAAGGCTGCCGTAAATGGTGTTCTGGGCACTGCAGCCTTCATCAAACTTTCCGAGAAGGATAATGGCGGCACAGAGCAAACGGCTGAGGGGCGCATGCTGGAGGCATCCACTCAAGAGCTAGAAAAGACGGTCGATGAAGACGAGACCGGAGTATCACGATGGGCTCAGGAAGTCGTCATCTGTCTAGACCTCTACATATGGGAGCCCTTGTGCACGGGTTTTAGATTCTTTCACTTGGTTGTCATCTTCGTTCCCGTGATACTGTCAGTCCCAGCAATATGGTTCGGGACTCGCCGGCCAGACCAGAACAACGAGAGATCCGGCACTCTCTGGTGGTATAACTTCCTGGTCTGGGCGATGGAGGCTGCAGGTCCCGCGTTCATCAAGGTGCGAGCAATCCCTCCTATCCTATCCCTTTTCCCACTTCGCTTGCTGACTCTTTGGTAACACAGCTTGGCCAATGGGCTGCATCGAGAACCGACATCTTCCCTATCGAAATGTGCAATGTCATGTCCAAACTTCACTCCAATGCGCCAGCGCATTCGCTTCATGCCACGAAACGGATAGTCCAATCTGCCTTTGATGGTCGGCCATTTAGCGACATATTTGAAGAATTCCAAGAACAACCTCTTGGTGTTGGTGCTATTGCCCAAGTATACAAGGCCAAACTCAAGCCCGATCTTGCCGTTCCCGGCGATATTGACGTACTTGACGCTCCCGCGAACATTCGCGCCAACGTTCGTCGAAATGTAAATACCGTACTCAAGAGTAGCCCGCACCGCGTGCCATCCACATATGTCGCCGTCAAGGTCCTTCATCCTGGCGTTGAGCGTACTGTGGCCCGCGACCTTCGCATCATGCGCTTTTTCGCTTTAGCGCTCAACTTGATACCCACCATTGAGTGGTTGTCGCTACCCGACGAAGTTACGCAGTTTGGAGAGATGATGAAGCTACAGTTAGATTTGCGCATAGAGGCAGCCAATCTCGCCAAGTTTCGCAAGAACTTCAAAGAGCGCTCAACAGCCTGGTTCCCATTCCCTTACCTCGAATTCACCACACGAGAAGTCTTGATAGAGGAATTCGCTCAAGGTATTCCGCTCGCGGACTTCCTAGAGAATGGTGGCGGCGCGTTCCAACGTGATATCGCCCACGAAGGTCTCGATGCGTTCCTGCGTATGCTGCTAATTGACAACTTCGTACACGCTGACCTGCATCCTGGCAACATTATGGTCCGATTCTATCAAACTCAGAAACCCCACTTCAAGCTCAAAAGCAATGAACAAGTGAATCCAGAGGAACAGCCCGATGTTACTGAGGAGGTGCTCTCACGCCTACGCCCTTACCGCAAGAAGCGTGATAAAGCAGCTTGGGAGGCCGAATTGAACAAGATAGACGCCGAAGGGTTCCGGCCACAATTGATTTTCATCGACACTGGTCTAGTTACGGAACTGAACAACACCAACCGTCGCAACTTCTTGGATCTCTTCAGGGCTGTCGCAGAATTCGATGGCTACAAGGCAGGCCATCTAATGTGCGAGCGCTGTCGTCAGCCAGAGGCTGTCATCGACAAAGAAGTATTCGCTCTGAAGATGCAGCATCTCGTCTTGTCAGTCAAGAGCCGGACCTTGGCCCTTGGCAACGTCAAGATTGGGGATATCTTACAACAAGTCCTCGACATGGTCCGAGGACATCATGTCAGACTAGAAGGCGACTTTGTCAACGTCGTCATCAGTATCCTACTTCTAGAGGGAATAGGGCGAAGCCTTGACCCGGACCTCGACCTTTTGAGCAGCTCCCTACCAATCCTCAGGCAGTTGGGCGCGCAAAGTGGATGGTCCGTTGGTGACTATCCAATGGCGATTATATGGGCCGGCCTTGAAGCAAGGCGTTTCATGCAAGCCAGCATTGAAGATGTAAGACACCCTTCTCTATTCACCTGGCACAGCTCATACTGATACACATGTCTTAGGTTGAACGATGCGTCAAATATGATTTATTGTCACCAAATGTATAATACCATGTACATTACACGATAAAGAACACCTTTATTGTCGTCTTCCATATAGAAGCGGAGCAGCATTATAGCGGAGTTAGGGCATTTTTAGATGGGGTATTGGGACAGCATCTACACCACTTCTATATAGGTAGAGTATACAGATACACGGCTTTTTGCCTAGACAATGTAATTTCTCGAGATGATATCAGCTCCGAGAATAAAGCCATCGATCTTAGCCTCTTCATAGCACCCTTGTCCACAATCTCTCGTCGCAGGCTCACTGCAACTTCGTAGCCAGGAACGTCACCTGATCCAGAAGCGCCTGGTCCTCGCGTCCCGCATTCTTCAACACCTTGTCGCGGAGATGGTCGACCTGGAGCCCGGGCGCCGTAGGCGGGTTTCCCTGCGCCGTCTGGATGCGGCTGACCTGCATCTCGAGGAAGAACTTGGGCACCTTGATCGCCAGGTTGCCGCCCACGCTGCGGATGCCCACCTCGGTCGCGAGATACACGTTCAGCGCGTCCTGGAAGAACTGCAGGTTGGAACTGCCGACGAAGTCGTCGGTCGCGAAGTTGCGCAGCGCGAATTGCAGGGGCGACTCCGAGGACCGGGAGAAGTCCACAGAGGAATATGTCACTGTGCCCGACGTGACGTCGGGAACGCCCGCGATCGTCGTGGCGAAGCTGGAGCAGGAGATTGTAGATGCCAGCGAGGCCGCGACGTCGGCGACTTCTTCCGGCAGAGCCGTCGAGCCGATCACGAAGCACGCGTTTTGGCGGGCGGCGATGGCTCCTGGTGCCGGGATGATATCCTTGCTTGTGACGAAGGGGATTTTGGGCATGGCGGAAGCAGCGCCGACGAGGGCGATGACGGGAATAGATGAACGCATTTTGAAAGTATCGACCGTCCCGAGAACACTGGATGAATTTCAAGATATACACGAATTATAGTATAAAGTAAAGGAGAGTTTTAAATATTAAACAACTAATTCGTGACGAACCAGCGGCGATATAAAGACCAGGTGAGAAGCGAATGAAAATCCTTTCCAGAAGGTAGCGAACGAATAAGTTACGTAGTTGACGAGCAGAGATGGATGAGAGAACGTCGATCAGATTGTCAAGCTGCGCATCGCGAGGCTTTATGCATTATTACTTTAGGTGCCTAGACTTACCCTACCCAGGCAACGAGCGTGGAAACACGCCAAGCGTGCCGACGTTATGTTGCGTTTCACACATCGTGATGACTTCAGACGACGTACTAGCTCGCGCCGTCTCAAGTTTTCCTCGTACCTTGCGTCTGAACTCCTATCATACCAGTCCTAAGAACTAGGGTGCGCAACTAGCCAATAGGTGACGAACAGAGGTTGCGTGACACCGTCGTTGCATTTGCGCTGGTATGCTACGGGGCCCAGGGTTTTGCAACACGAACGAACCCTTTGTATACATATGCAATCGCTTGGTTGCAAAGCCATTTCTAGGTTTCACGATATGAGTGCGACCAATCACGGGTTGCAGTCGTTGTATGATCTGCGTGATCCCTGCGCGAACCTAAGTGGCCGAGATAACCGCAACTCAACGTCGCTTCGAGGAATACGAGTGAGTGTAACGATGTTCGATCAGCATTCACACAAAGACTGATAATTAGAGTTAAACAACCATGTCTCATTACGGCGTCTAGATATTGCATTCTAGCACACGCGAATATTTCTCTGCATCCAGCCCCGTCAGACCCCTTCTTCTCCATTCTCAAGCAAAAGAATGACTGATAGGAAATCCACCATGAACACTCCACTCCACTCCACTCCTATCCACTTCAACTGTCACCATTGCGGCTGGTCTTTCATACTAGACTTATAGACCAATGAGAGCAAGACCAACAGCCTTGAGCAGCTCATTAGTAATACCCCCGACGGCCAAGAGGACACCGCCGACGACATGGTCGAGGCTGAAGACGAGGCCCTTGAGAGCGAAAGCGAGGGGGGTGAGGTAGTGAACGACCTTGGCTGAACTGATGTTAGCGCATAGTCATATATACATTACATACTAAGTCCACCATCTAGCAGGGTGGAGGTGCTCGAACGTACCGAGGCCAAGTTTGTAGAGAATCTTCTTGACGGTGAAGAGAACCTCGAAGATGATGATCGAAAGCGTCTTGAACAGGTCCGGCTTGCCGAAGCGCGCCTCGACGAGAGCACGCTTGACGACGGTCGTGTTGGCGGCTGTCAGGAGGTCCGTGATGGCCTGGAGTTGGGGCGCGATCTGGGATGCGTCTGCGGTGGCTTGGGCATCGGTCGGGTTCTCTGGGACGGCGTCCAGAGTCGAGTCTAGAGGTTGTCAGTCTTGGAGATGTCTTATCGTTGGTGAGATGTTCGACGGGAACTCACTGATGATGGCGGTCTGCTCCTGGATGTTGGCCAGAAGCGTTGTGAGGCTGGCGCCTAGCGCCTCGTAGTCCTGGCGCTTCTCGAGGCTCTCGGAGACGGCGATGGGGTTGGCGATGGCGCTCGTGATGAGTCCGCCGATGGCAAAGATGGTGAAGATGGCCTTCATTTTGAGAGGTGGTGGTGAAGTGGAATTGAAATGGTGGATTTAACGAGTTTGAGAAGAGGTTCAGACTGCTGGAGCTGCTGATGTGTTCGTGCTGTAGAGGAGCGAGGATGAAGATTTCCGGAACGATCGAGCACCTCTATTTATCTTCACTCCTATCGTCGTTGTCGTAGTTGTTTTCTCGCCCCCGACTATCACCTCTTTTCACCATTTTCTTGATTTTGGCCACCATTTCTCCTGAAGCCGGCGTTTGGTTCCCGTCAAGATACACTCCAGTGTCGATCCTATCCCCCTTTCTTGATATCAAGTGCCCCCTCCAACGACCGGTTTCTAGCCCCCAACCGGTTCTCTATACCCTCCATTGTAGGGTTAACGGTATTTCAACCGGATGTGTCTTTGAACTTTGTGGTCAGGAATGCGTCACTGCCATCGTTGCCCCTATACTTAGCATCTCTGTCTATCTTTTCAGGGAAAGATCGACCTCCAGTCATACCTCCGGACATTCGTGACCACAGTACCAGTTCCTGTATACCCGAAGGTCCAACAGAAACTAAATATGGTCAGCCCCTGAACAGACATCTGCTGTATGTGGCCGGCCATCACGTACAGTCCACGTTCTCCATTATCATTGGACATATCTTTCTTTGCTTAGATTGCATGCATGCAATTCTTGAGAACACCTATCCTTTAAGAACTCCTATATGCTCGATGATGTCAAGTCTTTTATCTTTCAGGTTTTAAAAACAAACGCGAGGCAATATTCTCCATCACAGCATTCCTTATTGGAAAATTGTTCCTTCTAGGGTTGTGTGAGCGGTCAAGGCTTCATATTCTGCCCTGAAGATCGTAAAAGCTGAATGCTTAAGCTTTTTTTCAGCAGAGAAGATCGCGCTGATCTGATCTTGATCTCACATCCTGCAGATGATAAACTGTCCGAAATTTTCGATCACTTCACCAGTACGCGAGTAATAGAATGCGCTCCTCGACTAACAAATGGGTATTAGATCTTCAAGGGGCTCTAGATCCATATTGTGTCGCCACCTACTACCCCGGACAATCAGTCAAATCCAATGGTTGCGCATACTCTTCACACCTAACATGAGCCTTATAGTGCAATGGAGCCGCCCTATATCCGAAAGCAACGTAACGCAAGGCAGCCGCTGAGGTCTGGAGAAATGTTACCCAACATTAATTCAGAGATGGCGAAAGAGTCGGTACCCGGCACAGCTCCAATAGAAATGCCGGAAGATGCTCCTCGGGATTACTCCGCCGCTCGGTTATTTATCCGGACTAGAACAACGGCATGCGTGATTGCAGGGCCACCTCACCTCATTCACGTAGCGGTGTAAAAACCAGGTTTTCCGCCCAAAAGGTTTTCATCTCGTCTTCTCATACGCATGTGTTGCTCCATGAGATGAATTGCGACATATTATGATACAACTTGATGACATCAGCTGATCTATCTTCATTAGACTAGGTGCCCATGGAAATGGCGTTTATGGAAGCATAACTTGCTCGCCTGGTCATCCAGCGACAGAAACTTGATTCATCGTTGGTTTTACGATTGAAGACGTGGACACGGATGATGCCGGAGAGAAAAGAGCCTTGCTGTTACATTACCGGTATGCAGGCTCTTTTGGCTCTACTCCGACCCCAACATAATCGCGAACGACATCTGATGCGACAGCGGCTTATAAAGACTTGGGGCCGGCTATAGTTGTTGACTTCGCCATTATATCCCAGGACGAGGTAATGGATCGGTCGATCAGGTGGGATATTTTCAAGCCTTCCTTACCTGCCGTGTTCGGAGTCGGTCGCGGTTATTAGAAGGAGATCTATTAAGTTGTTGTAGTTTCCTAGAGTGAATAATTATATGAAGAGCCGAAAATAGGACTTGAGATGCTTTCGTCCTAGGCTAGGACTACAGGCATGGAATCTGTTTGTCTGTAAACCTAGGATCATGATAGTCTATAAAGCGAAGTTAGGTTACAAAGCTATGTCCATATGACTAAATATGCATAGAAAGGGCTAGCATGGAAGTTGGTCAATATGAGTGAATTCATAATATTAGTTCAGTTTAGAGATCTGCCAACTGCCAACATCTAAGTGCGAAGCGCGAGGTCTCTGTGAAAGTGGTTACAATTACCTAGCTACCTAGAAAAATTCACGTAGCCAAACTCGTAGGGATTCATCCAAAAGTCAGACCAAATCAATCCATTCCACGTTCACACCACAACTCTGCAAAATTTCAGGTGTCAGTTCGCCTTCCCTGTCAATACCAAATCCCATGATACTAAACCGCTCTTTCAGGGTCCGAAAACCGGGGTGAGTACGGCTCCTAACCGGGGGATTGATAAAAATTAATCCTGGCTCACCAGTTGATTCGTCCATGATGCAACTCATTTCAATACCTTTACAAAACACGGTACTTGACTCACCAGTTGACTCATTGGCAATACATTTTATTTCCCAGGGTCTAGGGATTTGTCCGTAAAAAACCTCGCCAAACATAAACCCATCAAGGTAGCACACACCTACCACTTGGTATCGTCTACATTTTCCGTATTCGTCGAGAGGACGGAGGACCACGGGATAATCGCAGCCGAGAAAGAAGAAAATCTGATCATCCGAAGTCATTGCTTGGGGGCCAAGGCCGAAATATCCCTCCTTTGTGACGAAGAATCGCCTTCCCAAGCACATTCGAGACGCGGTACGAGCATAAACTGTCAGATCATCCCAAATAGCATCCAAACCATCTAGATGCTGTAACTGTACCATTTCAACAAATTTCAAAAAGCTGAGCGCTTGTTTCCGAGACGCTATGCTTGCTTGAGTCGGGGAGCGCACATCTCCAAAATCACCACATAGCGTCGTGCGAAGGAATGCCATTTGAATTGACGCGCCGTCAGGCTTGTATGAACCATGAGACCAATCATCTTCAGATATTATAGAGGCAGTTTCAACCAATTTTTCCAAATTGTCCACTGACGTTGCCCTAAGCCAGTCTAGTTCTGTCCAGTCTACTGAGGAAACTTGGTCAACCACCCCATTAGCTACGCTAGCGATGGGGAGAATTCCGTCATTGGAAAACTTAGTATAGGCCAAGGTCAATCCAGCTGCGAGTTTGGGACATTCCAATAGAGGGGCAGCGGGTTTTGTCGACAAATCGGGGACCCAACTTGGGAGGCCTTCGAGTCTAGTCGTTTCCAGCTCGCAAGACGCGAGAATACCCATCGAGTGATAATCGTAAATGCATTGCTTGGCTAGTTCAGTGTAAATTTCTGCGATGGGAAGTCTGTAATCCGGGATAGCCCAATCCTGCCCGTCTCCTCTTGGCCGGAGAACCGCCAGCATCCCGTAGACTTTATCTCTGAGGTTTGAGCATTGGGTTCCAGCGAGAGCATCACGTAAGTGAACGACAGGAATCTTGAAAGGACTCGTGATTTCGCGGAGTATATTTGCGTGGTGCAAACCGGATGAGAGAATGAATGTCGACATCTCTTTTATAATGCACATTGTGGCATGACGGAAGACATGCCAGTCTATGGCAGCTGGACCACAGTAGATAACCGCCCGTTTCGCGAGGTGGACTTCTTGGCGAATCCAAACCCGTTCAAACCAGGATCTCTGCATCAAAGCCCAGATTTCTTGCAATGGTATACCAGAGGGGAAAACTCCGGTTGATAATGCCTTTTCGTCTTCCGTATGTGCTCTGCTCGTGGGCTTCGCTACCACCGTACTCCAGTCAAATTCAACTCGCGTGCCGACAAACCCCATGTAGCGCATAGCAGCCGCACTGTCGTCTTTCTCGGGCCCAAGCCAGATGATGACGCGTGCTGCAAGTTGATAAACATCACGCATTAACTGCACTTGGTGACCACGCTCGTTGAGGTTCGCCTGGTTGATGCAGATCGCGTCAACCCAGAGTGTTTTTGCATACTTCTTGGCGCGGAGGTGTCTGAGGGCGGAATCCAAATTATCTGTTATCCTGATAAACGAGGTGTCGCCCGAGCCACCATCAACACTAACAGCCCAATCGCCCTGAATACCCCAGCAGTATGATAGTGCTTGGTATTTGAATTTGGCTTCTGTTCTAGCGGATGCCTCACGCTCAGCAATAGGCTGTTCAAGTCTCGAATGCTGCGCGGGCAAATCGACATGGCGGATGGATATTTGTAGTTTGTCAGGAAACGAACCAGCATGTAGAGTTAGGAGTCGTATTTGACGCCCTAAGAGGGGTTTGTACTGATATCCAGGCATTGCAAGGCTACCTGTTACCTATAGAGGAGAGATGACTGATGTAAAACGACATCAATGATCGGAAGTAATCTTGCGTTGCAAGACCTAGAAAGAACCAGACTATGCAGAAATATGGGATATGGCGAGATCATGTTTGCATGAATGCATTGATAAATCCGAGTCGGTGCAAACTTACCTTCCATGTGACACATTTGTGGCAGTGCAAGTGTAAATACTACTTCCCCGCATCAACCATTGGCTCTGGCTGAAAGTCCGCACATAGGTATTTATGCCTCGAATGCGAATCATTTATGGCCGATGAAGGATAGTACTTAGAAGTGCGTCAAATCACGACTGTCTTGATGATACTACATGGAAGCGTTGCGTTGGCCCATACGTAGACAGAGCGAGATCCTCTTTGATAACGATATTCCCGCACCGAAAGAAACCGCGGCTAGAGCCAGGCGCGTGATGAAAATCATTCATTATCTAGTACCAATAGAATACTGAGCTGAAAGTCCGCGTCGCGTAGTGAGCTGAAGTGGTGTGGCTAGATCCAATTGAAATAGGGGTCACTTAGCCACAAGATGACTAGGATATGTGGCTGTCAGGGGGCGGGATGCTCTTGAGCCGGATCTCTATGTGATAGAAAGGATGTTGTGCGTAACTTATATTTTATGTTCACGCGTCTTGGATTGTACGAGCGATAGTATCCCAGTCGCCAGATTCCTTCGCAATGTCAACCATTGTTTGCTAGCAGCAATCAACAAGTACGGTTGATTGAGTAGGTCGATAAGGTTCTGATTTTGAACCGTAAACTGAGCTTCGCACGTAAAGCTTCCGAATACTGATGCAGCCAGCAATGGCCTCCTTAATTTGTTGGTAGAGAGGTTATCGTGCCACGGCTTTGATACGTTTTAAATTACGAGCTCCGTTGGTGTATAAAACTAGTACAAAGTAATACGAGAGGGAGATGAGTGAAAGAGCAGCTATAAATGCAGGATCAGGCAGAGCCAAGATGGCGAGGCCAAAGATCATGGCAGCTGACGTGGTGATCTGGAAGGCACTCACTGTCGGAAACTTTCACATTGGTGGAAAACTGAGATCTGACGATGTCTCTTCTATCTTGCAGTGGCGTGAAGCTCTCAGTACTCTCTATGATAATCTATTCCGATACGCTCTCTACCAGAGACACCGGTGATCAATCCAAGACTGTCACAGTACTGCCCAGCTATGGTTTTATATATTTGTTCTATTATTGCATAAGGAGGGAAGTTCTAGTTTTCACCCCTTATTCCCTTTCCTAGCGTTATATATAATGTTCCTTAATCTATACTATATATTAAAAATTAAACTTCCTTAGTTTTATAATAATACTTCCTTCTTTTAAATATAATTAACCTTAATTATATAAGTTTAAATTTAATTATAATATAGTTATATAATATATATATTATATTATTTATTTTAAATTATATTCCTTTTTAAAGTAATATAGTAATGCCTTATAGCTTTATAGTAGAATTTTCTACTATAGTAATTAATTATTTACTTTATATATTTCTTTATTTTTCCTTTTTCCTTTTTTATATTTATTTTATTACTTTTTTATAATTATAACGCTTAACTTTATTTTTAATTTTTTAAAAAAGGTTTTTTTAAATATTTTATTTATACCTTTTTTTATTTTCTTTTATTTATTACTATTATTATTATATTAATATATATACCTATTTTTATAAGTAAAAAGTTTTACTTTTATTATTTTTAAATTAACTTTAATATATATTATAAAAAAGGTAATATTATTTAAAAGGTAATACTATTTTACTTTATATATATATTTTAAGGTAATATTTTTTTAACCTATTATATTTAATATAATAAATGTTATAATTTATATAAGTTAATATATTAATTATATTTTATTAATATTTTATTCCTTATTTTATAATTTCCTTTATTATTTTTAATTTTTAATTATATTTTTTTTAAATAAATAATACCTTTAATAATTAAAAATATTTATAATTTAAATTTACTTTTATTTTAATATATTAATTTTTAATATAATATATTTTCTATTTAACCTGGCCACCTAATTAACCTAGTTATATTTTTAACCTTTATATACGCATTTAAAAATATCTTAATAACTATTTATACAATTAACTTAAATTAATTTAAATTTAAATTATTAAACGTTTTTATAATATTTTTATAAGTTTATATATTATAGCTAGGTTTATTATAAGCTTTATAATATTAAGCATAAATTTCCTTTTTCTTTATATAACGATTACCTTAATATATAATGTAATTTTCTACCTTAAAAATACCCTATACCTTTATTTAATCCTTAATATCTTTAATAGTAAAAGATCCTTCATTTTATAATTTAATTCTTTTTATACAATAATATTTATTAAATTTATAATTTACTTTATAAAAGCTTTTAACCTTCCCTTTTAATAATATAAAATAATATATAATATTAATTATATTATATATAATTTAACCTAACCTTTCGATAATAAATATAGGAAAGCTATTTTAATATTATATAATCCTTTATTTAATATATTTAAAAAGGGAATTAGCTTTAATTAAGTTATTTAAAGTTATAATTATATAAGGATTAAGTAGTATTAAGGATAAAGGGTTAATTTAAAATATAATTAAACAATTTAACTAATTAATAATATAGTTTAAATTATATAACATTAAACCTACTTCTTTAAATCCCCCTTATATATTATTTAAAATAATTGCTTTATTAAATGTATAGAAAAATATAATTATAAAATCTTCCTTTTAAATATAAGTAATATATACCTATATAAAGTCTTTAATTTACTTTTTATATAATTATTTTAAAAGGTTAAATATCCTAATATTAAATAGTTAAAGGTAATAAAAGGAATAAGGAAATATATAAAGAGTAATAATATTATTTTCTTTATAATATAATTTAAATTTATATAAATAATAGCTTTTATAACTATTAAAAAGGAAAAAGTAATAATATCCTTTTATATAAAGCTTTATATATTTATTAAAATATTTAATTTAATTTATAATTTATTTATTTATTATTTAACCATTTTTTATAGTTATAATTTTTTAATTATTTAATATATTATTATTTTTATATTAAAGTATAAGGTAGTTTTTTTCTATTAAAATAATATATAATAAAATAATTTAACTATATAATAAAATTATTTAAATAATTATAAACTATTTTAAATTGCTTAGTTAAATAGCTTATAGTTTTTATTTATATTTAATTAAAGTTATAACTATTTTAAATAATGCATCTCCCACTTAACCTAGCCACCCAATTGAGCTGGCCACCCCCTTAACTTATATAAAAGTCCAATATTTCAATTTAGAATAACTTAACCAATATTAGTCCTACAATTTAGTAATTAGTACCATTAGATCCGTTATTTAATAAGGAATCTAGCGGTATTTTTTACTATTTTTTATAAAATTTATTGGGCGAAATATTAAGCAATACGCTAAAAGGCCGCTAGGCAAGGATTATTTTAGCGCTTACTTTAGCGTATTGCTTAATAACTCCACGGATATAAGTCGTATAAATCAATGGAGAGTACCGTTGGATAGCCCTTCTTATTACGAATCTAATGGTATATTTCATTATTTTATACGATTAGTATTCATAGAGTTATTCAATTATCACGTGATTAGCGCACCGACGTTTTTTGTATGGGCTGGTGGGGTAGCTAGGTCAATTGGGTGGCCAGGTTAAGTGGGAGATGCGTTATAATTTTACTTATTATAAACCTAATTTTATTAAAATTATAAATATTTTCTTTTTAAATATTATTTTTATTTATTATTTTTTATATAAGGATAAATTAAATATAGTATTTAATTAGATTTTTATTTAATACCTATTAATAATTAATTCTTTAATTAAAATATATTTAAATGTTTAAAGTTTATTATGTAAAGTTTAATATCTAATTCTTTTTAACTAGCTTTTAACTTTATAATATTATTAATTAATTAGCTATATCTTTTATATAACTATATAAAGGTAAAAACAATTTTGCTATAAGATTAAAGATATATTATATAATTAATTTTTCTTTATTTAAAGTTAATTGGGCTTTTAAAGGTAGTATTTTGCTTATTGGTTTAAAACCTTTCGTTTAAAGGGTAAGTATTATATAAGGAACATTATAAATAGTAACAGTACGTTAGATAAATAATTTCGGATTTCGTTTAATAGCTTAAAATATAAACTATAGGTTGCTTTCTTTATAAAGGGTTTTTATAATTGTTAATAGAAAAATGAGGGATTTTTTTTATATACGTATAAAGGTTAAAAATGTAGCCAGGTCAATTAGGTGGCCAGGTTAAGTGGAAGATGCGTTATATATTTATTAATATTATATTATAAAGTTATTACTTTAATTATTAATCTTACCTTTATATTTAAAAATATAAAAAAGGAAATTTATAAAGTATATATATTTATAGGTATTAAAAAAATAAAAATAATATATATTACCTTTATATAATTATCTTTTTAATATTTATTAATATTTTTTTTTTATTTTTTAAAAGAATTATATTATTTATAATGTTTATTTTAATTATTATTATTAATTTGCTTTTATTTTATAGCTATATCTTTATTCCGGTAATAAAGAAAAAGTTTATATTTAAAAGGATTTTTAATTATTTTATTTTTAATTTAAAAATATAATTATTATAGTTTAACGTTTTATTAAAAAGAATTTTTACAATTTTCTTTTAATAAATTTTTACCTTTATTTTCCTATTTTTTATTTTTATTATCTTTTTATTATAATAATATTAATATTTTAATTTAAAATTTTTTACTATTTAACTTTATAATTATAAGGTTTAATAATAATAAGGTTATTAAAATTTTTAACTTTTTCCCCTTTACCTTTTAAATAATTTAATTTTAAATTAATATAGCTATAATTAAAAAAAGTATAAATTTAACTTAATAATATAAGTTTTAATCCTATTAACCTTTATTATTCTTTTTTTAATTCCTTTATACCTATTTAATTTTACTTTAGTTTTTTTTTATTTAATTTAATTTAATTTAATTTAATTTTAATCCAAATAACGCTTTAATATTTAGCTATTTTATTTTTACTATTTATAATTCCTTAATTTACTTTTATTATAATAGTAAATTTTTAATCTTTTTTTTTTTAATAAATTTTTAAAATAACTCTTCTTTTCTTTATATAAATTTATAATTTTTCTTTATATCCCCTTTTATATATAGTTTATATTTTATTATTTATACCTTTACTTTAATAAATATATAATTTTTAATAATTATTTTACTTAAAGTATTTTTAATTAATATAATAATTTTAATTTAAAAGGGTTAATATAATAAAATACTATTAATTTATCCTTATAAACTTTAAAGTTTATTATTAATTTTTAAATTAATTAATAAAAGGTTAGCTATTTAATTTTATATTTAAGTCCTATACTTTTTTCTTTTTTATTATTTAAAATCTTTTTAAATAACTATTTTATTTCTTTAATCCTATTATTATTTTATAAAATTATCCCCTTTACCTTATTATTATATAGTTTATTTAAAGCTAATTATTTTAAAAAGCCTTCTTTTATTAAATA